GATATCGATAACGTGTTCGAAAGATAGAAATTCGAATTTTTCCAAAACAAGTTATTCAATTTGCATTAAAAAGTCTAAAACTGTAAATTTTCGAAAGGCATTAAAATTCCTTCTCCAAAAACTTTTGTGTTTATAGAGGTTACCAGTCTTGCTCTAAATTATATTAAGGCATTTTGACTTTCCATTTAAATAAAAGGAAAGTCAAATAGAACGCTCTCTTTTTAAATTATACCACATTTCATATTTATTTTTATTTCCATCAAGAAAAAAAAGGCAGAATTGCACAATAAGTTTTTGACTATTATAAAAATAAAATTGTAACTGTAGCAGAGTATTTATTTAAAGGAATGAAAAAGTCTCGTTTAAAACTTTAAACAAGGAGTCATAAAAAAGACATTATAATTTAAACCGCGCGCACATTGAAAGTAAAACTGTGACTAAATAATATAACAATTACAGTAATAATAATAACAGGGCTGACACTACTATGCTAGAAAGTCAAGAAGCATTGAACTCTCTAAATCTAAATCAGTGAATTTACCACACTGACTTAGATATTTAGAGAGAAGGAAAGAACCTATAAAAGGTGACAAGTTACACATATGTACTTCCGCCTTGGTGCATATGTGAACACCTATCGCGAGCACTACTGTTAAAAATCAACTTCTACTTATATAAATAAATATCTAAAAAAAATTCGACCCCAGAAGTTGTCAACCAACTTATTGACTTGTTTTTTTCTCTTTTTGCATTAGAACTTAAATATATATAATTATATGACTAAATTAAATTTAAAGCTGTAATATTACAATTTCTCGAAACTAGTATATAACAACTTTTTAAAATATTTAAATTCCTTTTTCTATCATTCCCTAAAAATAATTTGCACTACTTTTAATAATTTATATATAGCATAGATCTGCTTCCTTAATTATTATTTAACCAACAAGCTTGAAATTTTTGATACAACTTTGTATGTGTAAAATTGTGCAAAGTGTTACAAAATTCTTCGATATATGTGTGGTATCTATATATCGATATAATATCAGTACCGGTCATCCGTTCTTTTCTCACGACTCTATTGAAAAATTATTTGGTATGTAATAGTAAACTCGGAATGCAGGTCGGGTGTGCCCCTTACATGTAGACAACAAACACTTTCTTGAAAAGACCACCTCCACTTTCGCCTTAATATTATTTTAAATCCTGTTTCTATACTCAATTTATATTCTTTTTATTCTAAACCTTTCTCAATACCTACAAAACTTCAAATTATACAAAATAGAAGTTTCGAATTATTTTAATACAAAAAAAATAAAAAATATATTAGAATTTATATTTTTTTTAAACTTTTAATGTTTTTCTGCTAAATTTACTACACAAAATGAGTTCGAATTATTTAAATTTTTAATAATAAATAAAATATTAAAAATGTATCATTTTTTGCAAACTAAGAAAAATTGCAATTATTGCTTCCTTTTGGATAAGGTATTTTTAATTATAAAATTATTTTAAAATTTTGAAGTTTTTGTGAGAAAAAGAAAACGAAAGTTCCACATTTATAATAATATTAATCTAAACTATAAAAAGAGTATTATAAATTATAAAAAAAAACTTATTTTTTCAACTCTTGACGAAAATTTCCCTAATAACTTTCCACTTCTGTTGTTGGTTTTTTTTTTTTTTTTTATTTATTCTTAATATATTCCATTCAAGTGTTCAGCTTCCTTGCAGAAAAATATCTAACACTCGTATCTTTTATCTGACATAACGGATCAATCTATAACGGAATAATTAGTAGAAACTTGAAAAAACGTAATGATTGTACGAGATCCATGAAATTTTTTGTGTTCGACAAGCGTGAAACTAAATTCTTTTCTTGTGTATTTTAGACAAGTATGGAAAGATTACTTAATATCGAGAAAAAGATATAAATAACGATATTGTTTAGACATAATTGAAAATTAATTTGCAAATTATATATAAGGAAAATAGTAAAATGTTCGAATAGAGTTAATATTTAATAAATATTTGCTCTAAAGTTGCGAAATCTAAATGATTTTCTCAATAGCGAGCCTAAGAAATAATACAATGAACAACGAGAATTAAACAAAGAAATAACAATAAGAAAAATATATTTTTAAAAAAACAAATTTAAAAAAATAAAAAAATTACAATTGTTTAATAATAATTAGACAAAAATAACAAACTGAAACCTTTTATTTCATAAAAACAAAAGATATTGAAAAGTAGACTACTTTTAATCTTAAATCTAGATTAAGTCAATTTCAGAATTTAAAATACATATCAAATTACACAAAATTTGAGTAAAATTTATTAACAATTGAAAAATATTAAAAAATACAGACATTCCAGTTGATACAATAATAAAGATAATTATATATTTTACCAAAAAAATAAAAATACGCCCAACATTATAAATCAAAAACTAAGAAATATGTAAGCATTATAGAAGAATATAAAGTTTGAAATCAGAATCTAAAATATATCTATAAAACTTATAGGTAAGCGATTACTTCTCTATTATCAAATAATTTTTATATTTAAATCAAATTACCAAAATGGCATTTGCTTTAAATACTAAAATTATATGTTTAAATACCTACAATCAATTTTATATAATTATACAAATTATTTGATTCGAGTAAATATTTATTTATAATAATAGACAAAGTAATCGGTTATTTAAATCAAATACATTTTTTTAGTGTAAAAAATGTATAAAAAAAATAAAGTAATTATCTAAGTAAACCAACTTTTCTCATATCAAAAATTTAACTATTTAGTATTTCTGACAATTTTTACTATTTTCGGTTAAGAAAACATTTAAGAATAAATGTTTCTATTTCCAAAGTAAATAGGAAATTAGAAAAAATTAATATAATTTACTCCGAAAAAAGCAAAAGTATTATTTTTACAATCTCTGCAAAAGTGTTGCTATTTTAGAAGTTAATTTTTATAAAAACTCGTAAAAACTATATTAAAATTGACTCCAAAAATAGAAAAAGTTGATAGAAATGTTTAGAAATTTTGATTCGTCGAATAGTGAAAAAATCGAGGGGGTATATACTCCCGTATTGGAGTGTACACTCTTCTTGTAATAGACGTGTAATATCGCGTAATAGTACGTTATTACGTGGGTGTAATACCTAGACATATCTCTGTATTGCCCTGTAATACTTGGTAATAAGTGTAATTTTAGCGTAATAAATGTATTGGAGTGTACACGTTTTAAACCAGTAAATACCCCCTCGGAAAAAATAGATAATTTACAAATACTATATTTAAATTACTTAAATAAAAATTATTCGATATAAATAAATATTTATTTTATATAATAGACAAATAATCGTTTGTGTGAAACAAATAATTTTTTTCACTGTAAAACAGAAGGGAAATTTTAAATTAAAGTGTATCATTTTTGAGATAACCAATGCCGAATTTGTAAAAAATAATTATGAATTAAATGGTTTTCGGTTGATTAAAAATTTATTTCATTAAAATGATAATAATAATCATTTAGGTAGTTTATAATAGTCAATGTTAAATTAAAATTAATTAAATTTTTTGATCATGTATATTTTCACTTATATTTTCTTTCCATACTAGGTATAGTTATTTCAATAAAAAATTATTATCCCTAAATAGAAAGAGTATTATAAAAATCAACTCTCTGGTGAATAAAATTTGTGAATAAAGTGAAAAAAAGTTTTATCACATTTTACTGATTTAATACGGAACATTGTGGCCTAGATATTGTCAGTGGCGGATCTACGTTTGTAATATGTCGGCCATACGATTTTTATAGATTTCCCTAAATATGTGTTTTTTTTCTATTAAGGAAAAAACTTTTGCCAAAAATTATTAAAACCGCTCACATTTTATTTGTTTTTTTTTTTTTTTGCTTTGCATTTTTATGAAATTTGAAAAAAATGTTTTTGAGAAATAAAGAAATATTTAATATTAAATGTTCAAAATTTCAAAAAAAAGAAAACTTTGTTGCAATATTCTTTTCAAATTTTTATTTTTGATTATATGTGATTATTTAATAAGTGGTTTTTGTAGTTGGGATTCATGAGAACTTTTTAATCCTACTTGAACTAAATGCACTTTTATAAAAGCATTTTTTCAAAACAATAGATAATTACATTAAAAGAAGGGACAAATCTGCTTTATTAAAATGTGTATAAAGAGGTATGTTCGTAAACCGGAAGCGCTGTCATCAAGAAGCTCTAGCGTCATAATTTTGAATTGAAAAGTGAAAACAAATTTCTATTTGTACTTAAATGTTTGTACACTAAACCCTTTTTGGTCTAATTTCTCTTTTTTATTCTCTACTCCCAAGATTTTTCTCTTGGAATAAAATATATTTTAATCTTGTCATTTTTTAATGGCAATAATTTTTTTGTCTGTTATATTTCACTTTGTCATTTTCTTTAATAGTGTTAGTTAACATTTTTATATTTTTTTTTACTTCCGCCTATAATATCTTCTTTATTATTAATTATAACTTGGTCCATAAAGAGAAATTTTAATGATAGTAATTTAAAATCATATCGTTTTTCTTCTTTTTACAACTAATTTAAAAAATACAAGTCTTGAAACACAATATATGGGGGGTTAACATTTTAAATATTAGCAATACATATTTTCCAAATAAAACAAAAATAAAGTATATTCAATTTATGAAAGTAGGCACACAAGTAACTAGATTACGTTTCAATTAATAAATATAGGTGAAACCGTCTTTCACTAAATTTTTTTATTATAAAACAAAAAATCATTTTAAAATATTTTGAAAACTCATTTTTCTTTTAAAATCTTATTCAACTTCCAAGTTTTTTATTTTTAACAATAATAGTAATTTTAAAATTATAAAGTACGAATCTAGCTATACAAGCTTGTCGTAAGCTTACAATAAACTACTTTCAAAAATCAAAAATTGTATCGATTTTTCAAACAATGTATCATAAACTTACAATATAAATGAATGTGCCTTGATTTATGCGTCAAATTAATCCTTCCTATACAACTTTTTAATTTTCAGTAACCAATTCATTAATTTCACTTGAACGTTAAACACAATTCATTGATATCTATCATGTCAACCGATAATTAAAGAAAAATTCTCACAGAACACTGAAAAAACATCAGTATTTTCGAATAACGCACATGAGTTAAAAACTGCTTAAGAAGTCCAAGTGACGGGGACTTGAATCACAGATAGATTGAAAGTTTCTCTTCCGAGTACTGAGAATAAATAAAATCCCCTCCAAATATATGCTGTGCCACAGAGGAACAATCACTCACAAATATGATTAAAAAGAAAGCTTTTTTTACTTCAACTTTTTACAATTATTTTCTTTCAATAAAATTTTCAAATTATGTTTTTATTTTCATTTTCTTGTTCGTTATTTCAATTTTATTAAATAAACAATATATTATACAACTCATTGTGACTTTAGTTTTAGAAATTTTAATTTTTGAATTATTTTCATATTCGAAAATTCATGGAAATATTGAAAATTATTAAATAAACTATCAAAGCATATATAGTTAAAAATTTATTTATTCAGAGTACATTTACATTTTTATTATAGAGTTGAAACTAATTTTCTGCTCTTATTAATAATAATAATTCTTTATATCACGCAAGTTACGTATAATCTTCCTTAATGTCTTTAGTGAATTAAAATACAACATTTTCATTTTTCGATGTTTGAAATAAAAGAAGAATCGTTATATTGTATATGATTTTTATTTTAAAAAAATATTTTTACATTATCATCACATGAGAAAGTATTATAACTCAGCAAAATGACGAATTTCAGAACTAAGAACCGGATAATATACTATATACTTTTCCGACGATTTTTGACATGTTAAATCTGAATCTGAACTCAGAATTGTTGACGAAAAAAAATATTTACCTGAAACAACTAAAAATTTCGCTAGATTAGCCGAAGTTTTAGTTGTCTCTGTTACGACTTTCACTATTCTTAGAAATTAAAAAAAAAAACCATATTATTTTTGAAGTCATGTAACATCAAGATCAATTTTTTTAAGTTTAGTAGGGTCATCTGAAAGTACTGCTCTTTCTTTTTAAAAAATCTTTCCAAACAGCATTTGTCACTGAATTAAGTGTTTCAATAAGCAATCTGGTCAATTTTTATTCATTTAAGTCTACATAATACGTCTGCGATTTTTAATTTTAAAAATCTGTTATCAGATTACTAATTCTCGACTCCAATAAGCCATGTTATATCCCGAGCAAGGTTTTTTTTTTGAAATCTAATAATTACTTATTAAATTTTTGAGGAAAGGTAGACTGATTACACTGTCCGAGAAAAATGAATTTTTTTCTGCCCCTAAGTTTTTTCACACTGATTACGAATCTGAAAAGAAAAATGCTCTAGCACGTCAAGTTTTTGAGAAAGTTAGTGTTAAAAAATCAAAAAAGCAAACTTCGAAGAATTTACTTGCAAAGTTTAGTGAAAATTAGGTCAAGATTTAAATGTCCCACCTCAATAAATGTTTATTGTCAAATTTTCCTAAAAATTTAGCTTGAAACTTTCCTGAAAATTTAAATTAAATATTCGCCTATATACATTGAGGCGACATTTAAATCTTTACACAATTTTCACTAAACTTTGTAAGTAATTACTTCAAAGTTTGCATATAAATTTTTAATCCTTTTCCGTTTACTGGTTAAATAGATTTACTGTGCAAAGTAATTTAATTACTTTCCTCAAATTTTCTATTTTAAAGTGTTTTTTAACCAAGAAAAAATTAAATTTTTTAAGTTTAAAAGAAACCTCTTTGAACCATCTGGCTTATCTACAAGAAAGTATGAAGATAAAAATCGTTTCTTGACAAAATTACAGACTGTTATAGCGTTAGAATTTAACAACTGTAAAATTGCAGTGCCTACAATATTTTTATAGGAACATGTAAGTATCGACAAATTGTAAAACCTTTTGCTTAAGGTTCAAGGTACACCCCATGATATTCTCCATAGAGCAAAAGCATCTCGTGTTATAAACATGTTTCCACTCATTAATAAAATATTTTAATCTTGCAGTTATACTTACGTTATCCTTTAACGCCACTGACTCTTCTGTTGAGGCTGTGATTGTGTAAAATATTTCTTCTCTGGAATCTTTTGTTTGAAAGAAATTTCCAAGGGTTTTGAGGGGTAGTCCTTGTCGGTTGTAAAAGTGACTCCCAAACTCCTTTCTGATCGTAGAGCTCTTCCAGTTAGTGGATATGGTATAGTGGATATGGTTTAGACAAATATCGTCTCGTCTCGTGAGTAGTCCTAATTAAATAAGTAAATAAAAGACATTATTTTCCGTCCACTGATCGCTTTAGCCAGATTATTATGAAAGCAGCAGAACATGGTTTTATTACAAAACTCTTTAAAACTGCCGAACTAGAGCGTCATATTGTAGAGTTAGCAGAGGAAATCGAGAAAGAAAAGTTATTGCTGATCTCCTTGTACGTACTGTCGATTGGATTTTCATTGTCTTTTCTTGCATTTCTATTTGAAGTTTTTGCAAGTAATATTAGTGCAAGGACTTTTGCTTTTTTAGAGAGAGTAGTGTAATTTTTTTTTAAGAAACCTACAGGGATTTAGTAACAATTACAATTGAATAAAGTATTGTTTGTAGAAAGAATATCTTTTTGGTAATAATGCATTTAAAATGGTATCAAACTCTTTTAGAACTTCTGGTACAAAATATAGCTGGACTATTTTTGGATATTTTAAGCCTAAGTTACTGAACAAGAAAAGAGACAAGCCATCTGTTCGGCATCATTTTAATTTGTCCACAAGAAAATACCCTGTTAGTTTTTAACTAGAACCCAGCGATTTTTAAATAAACTGTAGAATTTACATGGGTCTCCTTTTGTTTCCTGTTTTTAGACTTAAGTAAAACAATGATACCCAAAGTCATTGTCAAAAAAGGCTAAAAGTCTTTAATAAACTATATTTTTATTAAAAAACGAAGTATTCATAAATTGGTAATTTTCGAATATCTGTCTCCATTTCAAATATTTTGCTCACGGGCCTCTGTTAAAGACTGTAGGACTAGATACATTCAAAAATATCGAAAAAAAACTTTTAGGATAAGTTTTTTTGAATTTCAAATAAAATAATGATATATTTTTTAAGTAAAAGATATTAAATAGAAGCGCTTGGAAAATTGTATTTTAAAGTATCGTTTAAAAATAATATTTGTTGTGTTTATTCTTTTCGTTTCTATAGTGATGCTTTAATCGATAGTGTTTTGAAAACTTTTACTATAAAGTTCAAGGTTCACAGTGAATTGTGAGGTATTAAAAAGCGTTACAGATTAAATTAACACAAAAAGGATTAAAATAATCTATTTTGGTGTTATTTTTTACTATATGACTGAAATTTTAATCAAAATCAAAACCCCAAATGTCATTTGACCGAACTGTCATTTTACCGAATTGCATTATCAGAACTGTTATTTTAACGAAATGTCACTTTTGCAAATCGCCATATTTACGAATTGCCACTTTTGCGAAAAGTCATTTTTGCAAGATATCATTTTTACGAATTGTCACTTTTGCGAAAAGTAATTTTCTCGAATTGTCATTTTTGTGAATTGTCATTTATGCGAACTGACATTTTTTCAAATTGTCATTTTTACGAAATGTCACTATTGCGAATTGTCATTTCGTAAAAATGACAATTCGATAAAATGGCAGTTCGCATAAATGACAATTCGCAAAAATGACTTTTAGTAAAAGTTACAATTCGTAAAAATGGCGATTCGCAAAAGTGACAATACAAAAAAAATAATGACATTTCGGAACAATATAACTATTCGTAAAAATGATTTTTCGCAAAAGTGGCAATTTGTAAAAATGACGATTCGAAAAAGTGACATTTCGTTAAAAAAACAGTTCGGATAAATGCAATTCGGTAAAATGACATTTGGGGAATAATCATGCGCCTCCTAACTTACAAACTTAATTACTAATTAACTGACTAACTTACTTAACTTAGTTATGTACTACCTAACTAACTTAGTTACTTACTACCTTACTAAGTTAGTTAGTTAGTTAGGTAGTAACTAAGTTAAGTAAGTTAGTAATTAAGATTGTAAGTTAGTTAGTTAGAAAGTTAGTAAGTTTTGGTGTTTCAAAATAGATAGATATGTCTTTGCACTGTAAATATTGTAACTTTCTTTTCTTGTGTCAATGTTGTACATAGTATCCTAAATGTAGTGTTATAATAAAATATATTTATCATAATAATGTATTTGTCTTTGTTATTCTTTAAATCCTAAGTGGCCAAAGGTAATTGATTTTATTTACTTTTAATTTGTTGTGTTGTAAATTCTGCAAGAATTGGAGAAAGTCGTATCTGCACCTGAGATGGAGCGCCGTCCTTGAAGGCAAAAGTCTTACGACAGTTCCGAGAGTGGGTAAAGGGCTCCAAAAGAAGAAGGTTACGGGTTTTAGTGGGTCGGGGCTGGTAGTAGGTCGCCAGCTATTTAACTTGAAATGTTTATTTATTTATTATTTTTTTTCCTTTTATACCAACCCCACAAAACCTTGTGTTGCGGAATCCAAGGTATCTGTAAGCAGATTTCCCAAAAGCCTCTATGCAAAAAAATCTAGTAAGTTCCAACCCTTCAATTTTTCTAAAATTTTATAAAAACAGTGCAAATTATTTTCATGCTTCTTAAAAAGAAAATGATAAGACACGGGATGATCCCTTTAATATACCTCTAATTTACTAGGCTTATTTAAATAATGCTCTATAATCAATAATCAATTTAAAAATGAAAACATTTTCTAGATCTTGACGGATTTTTAATTAGTCTTCTAAAATAAAATATTTTTCAAGTATTTTTATTTATTACTTAAATAATGCATTTATTAATAATATTTATAAATCGAAACAGTGTTCCAGCTATTTTTAAGAGTAGAGTTCAATTTAGAAATTGAAATTATAATGAAACTTAGACTTTCGGTTTTTTCTGACTAGCGCGATGAATTCTTCGATTTCAGTTTAGCAGTTTTTACAAAATACGGATGCTATAGTTATTAATAATTATAAATTTGAAGATTTCTTTTATCTGACATTTTAAGATTCGACATTTAATCTTTTAAATGTCAGAATAAAAAATATATATACATGTATAAAATAATCTCGAAAATGAAAAAGAAATCAACTTTGAAGAGTTTTGGGAGTCCCCCAAACTGTGCAATGTTTTCTGCTCAATTGAATAAAATTACTGTTACGATTGAAGATAATAAACTCATGTAATAAAAACAAGAACAGTACAAAGTGGAACAGAAAACTAATATCAGATTTAATTTGTATTCAACTAAAAGTGGAAGGTTTTTAGTTTTGTGTTTTTAACCAATTAATTGTCAATTTAATATCTAAGTACAAAAAATGTGTGAAACGTAGTAAAATGACATTTTTATCTTTTAAACTAATTTAACAAATTTTAACAGTTCTACATAAACTTCGTTTATTATAATTGATTTTCTAGGTCATTGAATATGAATCTGAAGTGTCGGATTTTTCAAAATTTAACGAATTTCGTTTTTGGAGTCACTTGAATATTTTTAAACTTTTTGATTTTGAGTTCAGATTTGTATTCAACCCTCGAGACAAGTTTAAATTAATCGACAAATTTGTTTTTGAAAATCTAATGTTAGATTCGAATTCAAGTATTTTCGGGTGGAAAATTTTCGCTACTCAACCAGTGAAAGTGAATTTTTCGATATTTTTTTTTATTCACTGAGTAGAAAGAAAAGTGAATGCGAGACTAAAAAAAATGGTTAAAACACAATATTCAAATTCAAGAAACGATAAATCTTGAGAGAATCGTGTTAATCCTTTTTTGATGTTTTTAAAGAATATTTTTTGGATTAATTTATACAATTTTGATACAAGGATATAACAGTAGAGAAAAAGAAATATTTAGAACAATAATAACACTTCCAGATCATATGATTTTATTTGTACGCACTTATTTAAAATTTTTTCAACTACTCTCAAAATCTCCATGATTTGTGAACTGAAAGTATATAATGGGGATAAGACAAACATGAAAAAAATGTTTTATATATATATACACAGTATGGAAAAGACTAGCGTGAGATTTTCAACAGTATTTTCCCAAGTTTTACTTCGTTCAAAAAGTCAAGTCACAGTTTTTTTCATTACCAACTTCCACGACCTCGACCTCTGAAAGTTCCGCCTCTAAATTGCGTACTACTTCCGCGCTTCCGAGGAGAAAAACTGTTGGCAGTAGGGCCACGAGGACTGTTATTTGGCCAAGGAAGACGCGGTCCTCCTCTGAATCCTGGCCTTCCACGGTGAGGAGGCATTCCTCCTCGCCAGGGAGCGAACGGAGAAGTCGGCGGCACTCCCCGCATTCGAGGCCGGAACATTGGCGAAGCGTTGGGAGTCTCATAGTCGAAAACAACCACTGGGTGCAATTCAGGTATGCCCGGAATGCAGGGTGGACCGAGAGGGCAAGTTAAACTAGGTGGAACAGGCGAAGCTTGAGGAATCGATGGACCCAGCGGAGGTCCATTGGGTGTCGAGAGCAACGGTCCATTTATCACTTGTACGAAATTTTTTGAAGTAGATTCTACTGACTTGTGACTATCCGCTAAATTAATCGACGATCTTTTTGAAGGCTGAGGTGAATTTTTTGATGATTTCATGAGTGCTTCCAACTGTTCTGAAAGCTGCTTCGGTGTCTCTGAATTTCCTGCGCTTTTATTTTTTTCACTTTCTTTCACATTTCCTTTGTGTTCAGGAGTCTGGAAAATCATGTATAAATATTTACATTTTTAGCAACATTATTATGGACTTTATCAGGATTGACCCAAAAGTTTAATTTTGTATTTCCCTGATTTCCAGACTAAATTTTAACTCTTTTTCTGATCCTAAAAAGTATTCTGATTCACTCTAAAGATGAAACATGCTAAAATCGATCACTCCGAGTCGAATCGGTTTTTTCATGTTTTATACAATAATTAAAGATGACCGAGTGATAAAATCATTATTTTATATTCAAGGTTACCACAAAATGATATATAATAAATTCCTGGCTGTTTCCATGTTTTAGGGTCAATACTTATAAAATTCCAGTAAAAAATTAAAAAAATTTCTGGCCTAATAACACAGTATTAGATCTAAATTTCTTTTTAAATTTCCAAATACCAAAAACTTAATAAGAATTAAAAACAAAAAAATTTTCTTCCGTAGAGATTTTTATATGGCAATGAGATAAAAACATTTTTTAATTTTAAGATAAAATTTTCTTAAAAATCTTTAATCACAGACAAAATTCCAGAAATTTTTTTAAATTAAAAAAAACATAATTACTTGTCCCAAAATATGGCTAGAACAATTTCAATTAATATCTGGATCATCAAAATTAATTTAATTCACAATTCACAAAAAGTAACCACAGCCAATAATCAGCAGAAGATGAAAATTATTTTTTGACCAAACTTTGTCTTCTGTTTACTAACAATTGATGGTCAAAATTTTTTTTACTGATCTTAAACTATTACTAGAACAGTTCCAATAATTATCCGGGCCATGAAAATTAATTTAATTCACAATTCATAAAAAGTAACCACAGCCGATAATCAGCAGAAGATGAAAAATTATTTTTTGATCGAACTTTATCTTCAGTTTAAGAACAATTGTTAGTCGAAAAATTATTTACTGGTCCTAAACTATTGCTAGAACCATTCCAATTAATATCTGAGTCATCAAAATTAATTTAATTCACAATTCACAAAAAGTAACTACAACCGATAATCGTTAGAAGATGAAAAATTATTTTTTGACCGAACCTTATCTTCAGATTTCGAACAATTGTTATTGTTAGTCTGAAAATTTTTTACTCGTCCTAAACTGTTACTAGAACCATTCCTATTCGACTTCGAATTCATAATCAACGATCCAAAAACCCCTAAGTAACAAAATTTCGATAGTTATAAATTAAAATTTTTGTCCAGAATTTCAGAAAAAAAGTGCCCCATAATTGAATGTTAAAGAGTTAATGATACACACATTAATAATTTAGTTAATTAATTTTAACAAATAGGAAGTAAATTCTTGAATAATTATGCAATACGAACCTTAGAGTCAGCAGCAATGAGTGAACTATTTTTAGATCCTGTAGATTGATTACTATTTTTAACATTGCTATTAATGTTGCCGCTGTTAGCCGATTGCTGATTTTCTTCCGAAAGCCTATTGTTCGGAAGACTAAAATCCTGTTTCCTTGCTTCCTGATTCTCAGTGAACTCTTTTTGTCCGGTTTTCGTTTCACCATTGGTAGTTTCTATCAAAACTGGATTATTATTCTGTAGCACCACAGGTGAGGATATTTGTACATGATCATGAGATCGTTGCCTACGACTATTCTTTTTACTATGATCATCGGGAAATTTGTCTCTTCTATTGCCACGATTTCCTCGACCACGACCACCGCCGCCACGATCGACTCGATCACTCCGATGCAAATTATCCCTTTGTTGATCATATTGTGAAAATCTCCCATGAGAGTTCGATTCGTCCTTATTCCAACGTTCGTGTTGATTATCACGATAATCAAAATCGTGTCCAGTGTGAAAGTCTTGATGAAAATTAAGTAGATTTTGTGAAAAATTTTGTACATTTGGTGGGAAATTTTGTGTATTCGGTCCAAAATTTTGTTGAAGTGAAGTGAAATTTTCTCGATTTGAAGGAAAATTTTGTAAATTTGAAGGAAAATCCTCTCTAATGGCATTAAAAGGAGGATGGCCCTCAGATTGGAAATTTCCTTCGTTTTGTCTAAATTCTATGGGGTTATTTTGTTGGAAATCTGCGGACCTATGATGAAATTGTTGAGAAGGAAGAGGAGGGGGTGGTGGCGGAGGTGCTTGATGAATATTGTGAACATCCTGAGGACCACAACCTCCTGGAAGAGGGATCATCCTCATGTCCATGTCCATGTGATGTGAGGTTTCGGGAACTGGAGGAGGTGGCCGCATATTTCGGTCTTGTGTTCGCACATCTACCAACACTCCTCTTCCTTTTTGCTTAACTTCATTTTCATCATCTGACAATTCCATATCCACACTTTCGACATTATCTCCTGCTTGCACTTGCCTAAAAAGGATTAAAAAATTTTATATTTTCAAGAATAAACATTAATTTTTGAATTTACTTCTTTGGAATGAGTCTCTGAGTCTACCGTGACTCTAATATTTGTATTTAAATTAATATTTAAAAATTGTTGTAAACTTACCGATAATCTTGATCAGTACTAGACCATAGAGTATTGTGAGAATGAGAAACAGGTGAAGAGTCATTGGTAGTACTTTGATTAGCTGGGCTGCCAGTTAAACTGATAAGATTTCGATGATCTACATCTCCTTTCATGAGTCGATAAGGTAATTGTGTACCTAGCATTGGAAGAGGTATGACTCTACACAGCAACAAAAAATAATTTCATGTTAATAAAATTTTATACAAATTGAATACTTTAAAATGCCTCTAGTGAGTATTTCGTTTACCTGTGATCAACATCTCCGACACTACTGAGAAGAGGCTCTTGCGGCTGAGAATCATTATATTCAACAGGATCTCGAAATCCAGCTTTCTCGTAAATAGGCGGTGATTCTGGGGTTTCCAAAAGAATATCATTATCTCGTGCATTGCTCGCCCAAATATTATCAGAATGCAAATTCCAACCTCTATTATTTGTGTCTCCCCAAGCATTTTTCTCCTTCTCTTCATCACCTTCCTCGCCGTCTTGCCAAGTTGGATTCATACTGTTTTTGACTTTGGAAAAATTTATAAAACTGTTAGGTTTTTTTCAGAAACGCAATCAAATACAAAAAAATAAGGGTAACCCACCTTTTTCGTCCCAATTAGGCGGCTCTTTTGAAACTTCATTAGAAGTCCACGTTGGGAACTTGGAAGGTAATTTATTGTAACAATTTTCATCGTCAAGAAAAATGGGTGGTGGTAGTGGTGGCGGCGGCAATGGATTTGCAGAATTTAGATTGCCATCAAAAGTTAAGATATTATTCTGACTATTTTGACTCGAATAAGGAGAAGATGTATGAGACTCTCCACTCAGAGTTCTCATTGCTATCGGTGTACTATGTAGCATGTGATGATTATTTACATTTGATAGATTGTTCGTTAATCTTTTATTTATTGGTGTTCCAGGAATGTGACTAATATTATAATCTCCATGTGATATATCCCCTTGACTTGAGTCCAAAGCATCGCCCAATCCAGGTATGTCGCCAGCATCCATTGGCCCTTCAGCTGTTGGGAGAACTGTCTTCAAGAAACTAGATATACTAAAATCTTCATTCTTTTCCCGTCCAGAAGAATTTATTACTTCAATTTGATTAGTCTGCAGATCAAAATTTAATCAAATTATATTTACAATGAGCTGCTGCATATTCTGCGTATATTTTAAGAAAGAAAGATACACAAAAATAGATAAATTGCACAGGGCTTTTAAAACTTAATTTAAGATGAGATTTATACTTTGTTGAATCAAAATCATTGGTAGACAATTTTTGAACGTCAAAAACTGATTTTTAGCAAAACTTGAGTACCTGCGACGATAAAACGGGGCCCTTATTATTCTATAAAGCAATTTTTTACCATTTTTTTTACTTTAGGGTTTGGAGGGTTTACTTCGGTTAAAAATAAACAAAAAAAATTGTATCCTGAACTTTTTAGAGGAAATTTTTGTTTAATTTTATCGTTGAATCAACGTTGGTAACTTCAGTTTCATCAATGCAAACAGTAAGGCACCGAACGCACTCTAAACTCGTACGACACTAGCGCCAAGCATAACTCAATTGACGCTCCAGTGTATTACTTAAGTTGGAATTTTTTCCAGTTTTTAAAAACTTTAGAGTATACATGCAGGATTGGTCTGAATAGTATAGTTCATTTAGTAATAAAAAATTTACTTTTGGCCCTGTGCTATTTAGAAAGAAAAAGTTTTCAAGTAAAATTAAAACAAATTTTAATAATCACTTCACCTTCATGGGATCATACTGTTGACTTACGTTAGGTGTCATCGAACTCTCGCTGAATACGTTTCGCTGAAAAATTCAAAGTTTTTTACTTATTCCTAAAAAGAATTAGATTAAATGAAAGAAACATACCATATCGAAGTCCATGTTCCCATCCATGAATGAAGAAAAATTGGGAGTAAAGTCTCCAGTTTGATTTAAGAGGCCAGCGGTAGATGGTTCGTAATCAGGATTATAGGACCCATACATAATGGGCGGTGCAATTTCAATAATCGCAGATTTCTGACTCGATAATTGAAGTTCTTCTCCGGGCAGGTCAATGTCACTGTCTGGACTTGGACTCGGTGCATTTATGTCCGGCGATGGTATCGGGGAAGTTAACATAGGTAGAAGTTCGTCCAACTTCTTCTTTAAATGCTTCACTCTACTTCCAAAGTTTCTGTAGGCCTGCAAGATAAAATAATCAAAACTAAGACTCTCCTGATAGCAAATGAAGAAAAAAGAATAAAATGATCTGAAAATATTGCAAATAACATACGTTGGTAACAATCTTGACTTCCCCTCGTTGAGTTTCGTAAAACTGATCAGCTTGCTCAAGCAATTCCAGAACCTGTGTTCGTTCCCTGATTTCAGCTTCAAGAGCGCGCACATAATTTTCAACATTCCTCACAGCAACTTCAACTTCCTTCTCTGCATCCTCGACGTGCCTTCGATCCTTCAGAGAAGCACAAAGTTCCTCAGCGTTGTCAATATCTACATTACTTTCTCTTAAATCGCGTAGTCTGGCGTCAGTGGCTTGTTCCAAAGTGGAACAAGATCGCATTGTTGAAATGAGCAAAGCCGCTTGAAACTCTTCGGGAACAACTGGCTGCGGTTCTGCTTTCTTTTTTGGCGCTGCCTGGATGAGACCAGACAAGTCGGTGAGAAATTCTTCATCGTAGACTTGACGCTGATCCCAAATTTTGAATATTCGTAAAATGCGATGTTTCACTTTCTCATCACGAACCATTGTTGTCGCTCGTTGCAAGGTTGTACCCCATGATTCAACAAATTCAAAGTTTTTTCGTTTCGAATATTGAATAACATCGTTGGCCAAGTAGAAAAGTGTCAGTCGATGTTCCACTTTTACTGTAATTTCAAAATAAAGAAATAACATTAGTTATTTCTAAAAACAGAATTTTATTGATAACAAGCAGATCATAATGTAGATGTCAAATATGTTTCCTGTGATATTTAAGAAGAATTCTAATTAGATTTAGTTTCTATAAATCATTTCTATGCTTCTCCATTAGGTTTCAATTTGCGTTCGCATTCAAAAACTTCAAAAAAATGTAATAGTAAGCTAAGATGTTCTGCTCTTTTCACTGTGACAATTTGCTAGTGACACTATTAATATTTTGCAGCAGACATCGAATAACCCAGGCTTAATAATTTCTTCATTAAATTTTGAAATAAAATATCTTTCCCTGTAAGTCAATATTGGATCAGCCATTTTAAATTTTGCAAATCAAACTTTATATTCGTAATCAGCGACCCCGAAAACTCTCGAGTAACGAGTTCCAAGTGAATCCGATGAATTTAAAAAAAATCTTCCATGATTACAGCAGAGTGTCTAGCGAATTGTAATTTTCAAATTTTCGACAAATTCACGGACCATAACCCAAATTATTCAAGAATTAATTTTTTTAATCATTAATAATAATTTTAATTAATACAATTTTAACCTTCCATTGACACACTGGGTCAATTTGACCCAAACTTTATCATCCATCATTTGATAACATTTTAGCCGATCTTTTTAAGTAAAATTACTAATTATTCTTTCAATTTTACATAGTATCATTAAATTTAAATAAAAGTTTTTAAATATTTAATTTAATTGTTATAAACATTAGTTTATACAAATTAGTAATGTATAGAAATTTAAAGAATAAACTTCTCTCATTCTCTCATTCATTCTATTCGCAGTCTCAAGTTAGTTTTTTTGTAAGCATTTTTTTTTTATTTTTATAAGTAAAAGCAAGTTGTTTTATAAGAAAAAACTCTTTATATACATATCATATTTTTTTTTTAGAAAATTTTAAGTTCTTTTGGAAACAAAGTTCCATTATTTCTATTTCACGATTTTTAACGAAATTATAATTTTTTTTTAAATAAATGAAAAAAATTACATAATTTCTATTCTATAATAACAATTTTTGTGCAAAATACTCAAATTTATTTTTTATAAAAAAGGTAATAAAATTGCAATATATAACTCTGTCACAATGTTTAACAAAAGTTCCAGTCTCTTTTAGAAATATGTAAAAAATATTTGCATACTTTCTATTTTTTAATCACAATTTTTAACAAAATTCCATAATTTTTAAAATAAACAAGTACTTGGCATAATTTCTATTTTATAATCACAATTTTTGTAAAAAAAATTCTGTTTTCTTTAGCAGGGGGGGGGGGATATTATAAATATTTCTCGTGATTTCATGTGCACTCGTTTTTATTAAGTTTTTATATAAACAAGCAGTTTAAATAATTTTATTCAATTACTATTTGAAATACTTTAAAAGAACAAAAACTTTGTTTCATTTTATAAGATAATTTTTTTGAATAAATAAAAAATAAAAATTAATTAAGTTAAATTAATTTGAAATTTTTAGATATTATTGTTAAATAACTATCGATTTAAAAAAAAAATTTTAGCGTTACTTTAGCTACTTTAATGTATACATTTTTTATTCACTAAATTTGAATTTATTCTTAATCAAGGTCAAAATGACCCAGTGTGTCATAACGGAGGGTTAATAAAAATGAATGGAAATTTCTTTCTGTTAACATTATTCAAAGGTCGACGGAAAAACAAACTTTTCTCCTGTCGAAATTTTTCTAAACTCAATTGTTTTAGAGTTATAGACCATTTGAAAATAGGTCCAATTTTAAAAAATCAAAAATTTTGAAAATTCATTGCTCAAAAATTTGTTTATATATAAAAAAAAAACATCAAATAATACTCTTTTTTCTATACAGAATGAGTGAAAAATATTTTTATCCCGGCAATTTTCCGGTCGAATTAAGTTACCGGTTTTTCCAAATATCCCGGTCGCTAGGCACCACGACACAGATAAAAAAATAAAATGTCAGTTAATAATTTTTACTATCTTAGTTACTTTCAAGTCTGATAAATAAATATTGTGTCGTGACAACGAAATGCGTGTATTTTTTTTTCTAGTAACTACAATGTATTTTTTTATTCCTAATAACTACGAATGTGATGTTTCACTGTATTAATAAAATAAGTTGTTTTACACAAAATGAATAGTAAATTCGACTCCACGAGAATCATTTTGTTTCAATAAAGATAAAATTAGTAATTTAAAATGTTATTTAAACTATAGTCAATGCAAAAGTAAAATTGAATCAGTAATTTTTTTATTCGTTTATTATTATCCGTTTCCACAGATACTTAAAGTATCACTGCGGCATTTGCTTTAATAATAAAAAATGGTCAACATGGAAAGTAGAAATATAAATGACTTACCCTTTTTTAGAACCTGCAACCATGTGGCCACAATTTTTTTATGATGTTGCCTTCTTTCAAGGCACCAAGCTGAAAGACTCTGAATTGAATCCTGCGAGTCTTTCAATGCAAGAAGTTTCCGCTCAAAGAACTCAGAGTCAAACTCGTTACTAGTCATTGTATTCTTCGTTTTATTTTATACTTTAACTATTGACTAATTGGTTGAATGTATTTTACAATACATTTTGCCGTGATCCGTTCACAGGAACACGAGATAAAGTATTTCAGTATTATTCAAAAACATTGTCTCGTAAAAATAACCTTACCAAAACACTTATCACTTATAATATCATTAACCTCTCCAAATCCATCAATATCATCGTGATGTAACTTATTCTTGTTTTACAGAAATTCTCATCTGTATTTTAATTAAAATTGAGTTTTCGAAGGACCTACAAAAAAGTTTTATTAAAAATCTACACGTTGAAAAATCACTTGACAAGTTTTTGCGAGCATATCCAATTAAAAGATTAACTAAAGAATTCACATGTGAAATGAAACTAATACATTTTTCAACTCAAGAACTGCCAGCGCTTTGAAGATTTTCAGTAATTTAACGATAGTTTATCTTTTTATAGACTAATAAACGCAAAAACAAGATTCCGCCATATTTCGATATTTGCAACAATCATTAATGTAAAAATAGATAGACACAATATGTTTTCTTCGGTAAAGTTTGAGGGTAAGGTAGAAATTTGATAAAGAGACTTAAAACAGAGTGCGCTAGAAGGCGAATTTAAAGAAGCGGACAAGACAATAGTAAAAAAACAGCGATTTATACGCACGAGACAACTGAATTTGTCAACTGTAATTTTCCAGGAAAATGCTACCTTCAGGATAAAAACAAAATAACAAATGCCAATAAAAAGTAAATTCTTAATTGGAATTGTAAACGGAAGTGTGAGTTAGAGAAAACTAGAGCATATGTGTCCGTCCTTCTCTAACACATTGTAGTAATTGTGTTTCATGGCGGAACTTTTGAATTGATATGTAAAAAAGGCTTTTTGCAAGTAATTTTATAATTTTTATATTTTATAATTTATTCATTATGCGTTGGCCTTATATCTTTTTTCTGCAAAAATAAATTTATATGGACCAACTTATTGGTTAAACGTTTTCCGTTTTACGCTTTGACGTCTTCACGTCTACATACATACATGGAATGGCACTTTGAGGATATAAAAAAAGCCCATTGTGGACATAGCCTTAGGGACCATCCATATGAAGGCCTAAGCACAACTGTTTCGCGAACTCAATGTTATATATATATATATATATATATATATATGCGTCCTTTTCTATCCTAATCTGCCTGAAGTCGATTTTGACTTTTTCGGTAAATTTTTTTTCTACCGATAGTCGTATAAATGCACCTTTATCTTTGTTCTTATTATTTTATCTGTCTGAAGTCGATTTTGACTTTCTCGGTAAATTCTTTTTCTACTAATAGTCGTATAAATGCACCTTTATCTTTGTTCTTATTTTGCAGTCAAGAGAATTTTGTCTATGAATATACACCGGAGGAATAAAAACACTTAAATTTTTTATTTTATTATAAAAATAATAAAGGTGCTTCTATACCTCCGGTGGATTGGTCAAGCAATCGGCTCGATGAATTTTCACGGTCGGAAAATGTACTTTCATGGCGGGTATTTTTGAATAAGTAAATGTTGAAAAGGTTTTTACTTGAAAATTTATTTAAAAAAATGATTTTATCATAGAAATTCTTTTGAAATTTATGTTAAAAAACATGTTTTATTTTAAAAGTTATCAAATTTTAATTCAAAATGTTTTAATTTTCCAAAGAAGTGTAAAAAGCCTAATGTTTTTGAAATGCTAGTACAGACGGTACAGACTGTTTGTTATGAATGTACATAACCTAGCGTTGTGTTGTCGTGCTTGTGATATTATTATTATATTCTAAATTTAATGATTTAATTATATTAAATAATAATGAACAGACAACACAACGCTAGGTTATGTACATTCATAACAAACAGTCTGTACCGTCTGTACTAGCATTTCAAAAACATTAGGCTTTTTACACTTCTTTGGAAAATTAAAACATTTTGAATTAAAATTTGATAACTTTTAAAATAAAACATGTTTTTTAACATAAATTTCAAAAGAATTTCTATGATAAAATCATTTTTTTAAATAAATTTTCAAGTAAAAACCTTTTCAACATTTACTTATTCAAAAATACCCGCCATGAAAGTACATTTTCCGACCGTGAAAATTCATCGAGCCGATTGCTTGACCAATCCACCGGAGGTATAGAAGCACCTTAAAGTCAACAAAACAATCTAGTTGTTAGTTAAATTTTCTGAATCATTATTGTAGAAATGCTATAATACTTAAAGTACCGTTCATATAGGCCCCGAATCGCAATTATTAAACATGATGCATTGTGCCCTGGCCTTATTTTCAGTAAGCAGCGGCAGCCAGCAGGAGAGATTACATATTATTTTCCATACTATTTTCTTGGTTAAGTTGGGAGGGGAACCCGGGGTCACGTGACCGAGCTGCGTTTTGAGCGCATTAAGCAGGTACGGAATTTTGTTGTTTTTTTCATTATTTACACGCGTCACGCTCACGAAAAACGAGTATCAAACGTATTCACAATAATCGGATGTCTATGCGTTTCATAAAAAGAATAAATCCAATCGGAAAATCAGTGAGTTGATTGAGAATTTGTGCCTCTAGCTGACATCTATTGCTAGACTATTGATGGTGCGCCACGATCGCCACGGTCTTTACCAATGATGGTTGACAAGCCTTCTAAAGGACCATCACAAATGGCGTCCGTCGTGCACATGGTCGACGTTTTTCTTCAATAAATTATTTGCCGACTATTTTTTCCCCCTTTTTAGTTACATTATACTGTTGCTGCCAATTTCCGGGCACATTTTAATCATAACCCAATTGATTCGTCGATTTTCAGTGATCTGAAGTGATCTATTTCAATACTCGTGCAAGTCTTTTGTGTTCTCCATGTATGTATCTAACACTTCCTGACGTTGCGTTTACGTCTATTTCTTCTCATTTTTTTTGGAAAAATTTTTTTTTTTTATTAATTCTCAATTTGAAAACTTGTAATTTCCGGTTAATTCTTCTATTATATTTTATTCCGCTTATTGAATACAGTGAACAATCTCTACCACGCCTTGTATTTTTACCTAATTATTTTTCCCCTTGGATCTTTTTATCTAGAAATTATATTTTTTTTCTTTTAAATTTAAATTTTTGTTTCCTCTTGAAACAAAGAAAGACCTCTTTAGTTATCTTGCAAAAGCGAAAGTGGTGATGGAATTTCTAGACAATCTAACCTTTTCAACCGTGACTCGTGGAGCAAATAATTTTTCATACTTTTCAATTTATTTGAAACGTCTTTAAATGTTTCAGACTAAGAAGGAGAAAATTCACTTATTCTTCTTTAGCCACAGTAGAAATTTTTATCTCTAAAGGATAAAAAGAATAGGGAAAAACGTTGGTAAACAGTGTTGAATAATTTTGCCCAATTTTCCGATGGAATTTAATTATTTTTCACTTTTCAAAAATTCTGAAATTTTACTTAATTACTAAATTTTGATATTTTGAACTAATAACAACTATGTCAGTATTAGAAAACAAAATTTATTACAGGTTTTAACTATTGAAAAATCTTATGTCCTCGTATCTTGTCATATTTTTAATCAGTCTTTTGATATTTATGATTTTATTAATTGTCTGCGGTATGATTATTTTCGATCTAATCGGATATCATTCGTCAAAGTGATTAGAAAAAAAAACAGCTCTGACTAATAATATTAATGAAAGTTAAAGTACGATTTTTGTTCGTTCGATAAACCCGACGAACTTTTTTCGAATTTTGAACATTTTGTTAATTTTTTTGCAAAATTTATAAAAAATGTAATTTTTTTTCTTTCAGATTGTATATAGCGAGTGTAAATAGTGTGATTGGTGTGAGGTAGTAGGTGAGTGGATTTTTAGTTGGCAATGAGTTCGGGCAACAAATCGTCGGTGTCCTCCGGCGGGAGAGGCACCAGTAAGAATAAGACTTCACAACACGGAAAATCAGATCATCAGTTTAAGTCGTCAGATTCAGGCAAGCAAGACAAAATCCAAGTAAGTATAAACAAGAGGTTGAAAAATAAGGAATTTCGGCTTCGTATCGACTCTTTGTTGGCCGATACGAAACAAAAATTCATTTCAATTCGATACAGTAATCAAACAATTCAAGGCGAATTTAGTTTTTGTTTACTACTTTTTTTTTATTCTCCTCTTTTGAGAAACATTTCAAATCAGTGTTGACAAAATTTTAACATATTTTTTTCAGAGACAAAATAATAAATTACCGGCGAAAATTTTTTAAACGCTTCTTTTTTTCAATTTCCGAAAGTCGTTTATTTTCAATAATATATTTTTCTTTATTAAACTTTTTTTCTATATTTTAATAGATTTGAATCTATTAAAATTTAGAAAAAAAAGTTGTAATGAACTGAGTGTTATTTTTAAATAAAATAACACAACGAATTTTTAAGTTTGCATTGTTTTCTTAATTTAATTGATAAAACAAAGTTTCCACAAAGCTTAAAAAATTTATAACAATATAAATTGGTCCTTTTTTCATGTAAAATTAGGAAAACATTTTTTTACACATTTTTAATAGTTTTAAAGTATAAAAATTTGTACGTTATACTCAGTAAAAAAAAAAATCAAGCTCTCCTTTTTGCCTTAGTGAGTTCAAATTTTTACAATTAAAACAAATTTTTGTAAAAAGGAACCGTTCTTGAGTTATCAACAACTACAGGCCTCGAATATTATGAGTTTTTTGACTTCTTCGACTATTTTTAAAAAGTGCGACTCTTTCGATTTATTTTCAAAAATTGTGACTTTTTCGACCTTTCTTCTACTTCTTCTTTTAAGAAGTTTTATTATTGTCGAAAAATTACAATAGAATATTTTTAAAAATCTAATTTTTAGAATTGTTTTTTCATAATTTTTTAAAATTCAATTATCATCGAATAAATTGAATTAAAATTTTTTAAATTTACTTTTTCAGAATTATTAGAATTTTGGAGAAACCATTTTCATATTTATAAGTAAATTTTTAATTTAAAAATTAAATTAAATTTTAATTTCTTCAATACAATTTTGATTATTTTTTTATATTGTTCAAAGTTCAATTATTTTTAAAAATTTTTACCAAATTTCAATTATTTTATGTATTTAAGGGGATGTCAAAGTCGATTGGATTTTTGCATTGAGCCGCAATGGGAAAATCGCATCGACTTTGACATCCCCTTAAATAATTTAATTCTCTGAGAACTTTTTAAAAATTATTATAAAAATAATTTCTTTAGAGATAATGTTGAATTAAAAAAGGTAGAAAATAATTGAATTTTGAAAGGTTTATATGTTTTATTATTATTATTATTATATAATATGATTTATTTATAGGTTTTTGAGCAAATTTAACATGTTTTTTAAATATTGCATGTTAAATTGTTAGTAAATAAATTATTATCCCCAAGTATTTTTTTAATTTTAAATATTTATAAATTTTTGGAAACGAGCATATTAAAAAGTTAACTTCATAAAAAATTTTTATTACTGAGTATTGTTTTTTCTTTCTTTATTGTAAAATACATTAATTTTTTATCAATATTGTAAAACAAATGGAAAAAAACGAAATCAATTTCAAGAAATCTATAATTTTTTAAGTGTTTTAAAATATTTATTTCTTTAACTTTAATTGAGAAAATTTTAAATTATCCATAATTTACACTCTTGTCTCTTTTTTGCGTAATCTCCTTTATTTCCTTTTTTAATTTCCTGAAATTAATAGAATTCCTTAAAACGTCTAAAATCATGTTTATTCACTCCTATTCCTCCTTTAAAAAAAAAAAACTTAGAAAAATTCAGGGTTCCTACAGAAGCAGGGAATCATGGAAAAGGTATGAATTTTTTAAAAGTTCTCTGGAAATCATGAAAAAGGCCCGGAGTTTCTAAAAGTTTAAACATTTTTCAAACCTTCTGTTTTTCTTTATGATAATTTCGAAATTTTTCAGATTCGCATTTTCTTCAAATCTTTTTTAAACATTTTAGTGCAGTCTTTTAAAATTTCTATTCATGTACGAGGTATGTTATAATGTTACTGAAATTTTCCAAAAAATGACCTGGAAAAAGCCTGGAATTTTTAAATGAATCCTGAAATTGTAATTTGTTATTACAATTTTGAAAAATACTCCCTAGATTTGAGTCAATTAAAAATCATAGTTTTAACTGACAATCAGTGACTGACATTATACTTCCGAATCAGTTAACAATTGCTGATTTTCAGTGAGAAATAACTGAGTTTCAGTAAAAAATACCTGGAAAATTAGTTAAAGTTGACTAATTGAATCAGTTAAAAAAAATCTACTAAAACATCAGTTATTTTTAACTGACTATTAGTTATATTTAACTGAATGATCAGTAAAAATTAAAAATTTGAAGTAGTGACTGACTTTTTGCTTCTAAAGCAGTTATTTTTAATTGCTTGTATTTAATCATGAAATTATAAAAATAATGCTCTTGAAAGCAAGAAAACTAAAATTTCAAGAATTTTGAAATTTTGAACAACCCTGCAAATGCTCAAAATGAACCCTTTGTTTACTTCAAAATCAGTATATGTTGAGCACAACTACGGGTTTAGCAATAAAATTCAAATAATATGAACATTTGAGTTGTCGATGCAAAAAAGTAGAAATATGACGGTGGCTCAACTTACTCGCCGGCTCAACTTACTTGACTCTACCATGAAAGTATTTAAATTACATCTACTCTGAAAATAAGAAAATTTATTCCATTGATTTAACATTACCGTTAAATAAACTTATTTTTTAATATTTGAGGTCACATTCGGATTGTATGTAAAAAAAAATTCAGAAAAATTATTATATTTTTAACATTTTAGTTAACAGTCCAAAAACTAAAACAGAATTTTTCACGCATCAAAAAATTACACTCTTTAACTATATCAAACGCACGAACCCTGCGAAAGACCTTGAGCGATTGGACGATAAGAAGAGGGAAAGGGTAATTTACCTCTTTCCATTTGTGTCCGTCCAATCGCTGATTTACTTAGTTATACTACAAAATAATTAATTTTCAGAAGACTTTAAATTAAAATTTTTAAAGGTTTGAGTTTGGAATAATTTTTATTTTTAATTAATTTTTTATTTTTTAAGCAACAAAGTACTTGAAAAACTTGGGGTCCAAGTTAAATATAAAATAGTATTTTAACGATAAATACATATTGAACATAAAAAATTTAAATAACTCTACTGACTTAAGATGAAACTGTAAGAAAACTTCGTGAGACACAAATTTTCTGTAACGAGAAAAATAACAAAACATCACGTTTCCAGCGAGTAACATTTGATAGTATTAAAAATAATTGAATTAGAGAAGAATTTTAGTTTAAATTTCTAGAAAATTATTGAATTGAAATTCTTTATGACCGGGAATTTTTTTTATGAAAAACGCTGTCACTTTGAATAAAAAAACTTTCCTGGAAATTAGAATAAAATAAACGACTTTTTTTCAAATGAGACAAGTAAGGGAATTTCTGAACGGGATCTGAAAAATATACATGACATTTGAAAAGCAAGTTACTGTATCGTATTTAAATGATTCGCATATTTGTTTGAATATTTCATATTGTTTCTCTTATTGACGTATTTGTTCTTGAATTAAAGCAAAAATCAGACCAGACACGACATGCACAAATCATTGACACTCGTATGGGAGGTGGCGAAGATCCCACTTTCAAGGAAAGGGTGAAGCAAGTGATGGAAGTGACGCGTCGTACTGAGGACGAAGTTATCATGGCTCTGCATGATAGCGACGGGGATTTCAATCGAGCTGTAAACGATCTTCTGGAGGGAGTGAGTCCTGAATGGGAAGTTAAAAAAAAGAAGGCCCGTCAGCCCAGTAGTTCAAAGCAGAACATCGAGCAACTTGGGGTTCAGGACGAGGGAGGCGAGTGGGACTCGGAGAGAAGGGTTCAGCGTGGAGGAGGACCACCTCGCATGCGGGGACGTGCTAATCATGACAACCGTGGGTGTGAGTTATGTCACGAAACTGACATAAATTATTTTCTCTCTTATTGATTCGCTTTTTGCCTTTCGCCAATGTGCGCTAATTGTTTCGTGAATTTTCAGGGCGTGGACGTGAAAACAAAGAGAATGAAAGAAACATGGAGGAGAGTGGACGAGACGGTGGCTTCCAAGGCGGAAACAGGAGAGGAAGAGGTGGTCCCGGAAGATCGGGACGCGGTGGTCGTGGCGGCGGCAGAGGTTTGGGTCCCCGAACTTTTGCTAACCGTGGCGATCCATCGAGTTCCTCTCACAGTTTCAATCGACCTATCGAAACATGGACTGGCAGTGAAGAACAGCAACAGTCTATTCAAGAACCTAAGATGGGTTAGACATTAAACGTTTTTTTAAACAAGACTCTTTTTTATTATTTTCTTTATTGTTTCCTTGATTTTTTGGAATACATTTTCTAAATTACTTTTAGACGCCTGGAATAATTTGGAGCCTTCTGAGGATTGGGACAACGAAGAATATCAAGGATCTCTTGCGGACACTAAAGTTTTTACTCCGAGTACGTCGTTGACAGATGAGCAGAAGCTTCAAGATTTGCAGTCGCAAACGATTCAGACTGTGACACTGACGCCTTTACAGCAAGAGGTAAAGTGAATCATTTATTAAATTAAAAAAAGGAAATAAATTAAGGTTTTTACATTCTTTGAACAGGATCATCCCAAGTTGTCTGATATGCCTGTGATGCAGCAGTCTTTAGGTCCTCAGCAATCGCAGACAGCCCAGCATCCTGTTTTGAGTATGCCAACAATGCAACTCAATCAGCAGACAAATGCCGTTAGTAGTGGAGCACTGACGGCTGCTCAAACTCAGTATTTCACACAACTGTCGCAGCAAAGCAATGAGACTCTAAAGACTGCCGGACCAGCCTCTTACTCGTCTACGATCTCAAGCCAGGTATTTATTTGGTTTCCTCATTATTTATTTATTTCCTTATTATGTATGTGACCTTGAAGTGAAATTGATTGAATGAATAATTGTGTATTTGTTTGAATTGAATAGCCGCAAAGGCAAACGAAGCAACGACCTCGAATTCCACCGCCATCGAAGATTCCCTCGAGTGCAGTCGAAATGCCGGGCGATGCTGTAAATAGCAGTATAGGCATTTTAGACGTTCAATTCGGTGCAATGGACTTTGGTGCTGATACTAGTTCTTTAGATGGATCATTGAGCGATAAATACACCGCCAGTACGACAATTTCAATCGATATGAATTCCAACAGCAATACTTCCAATACTGCCAGCAGTACTACAAATTCACTCGACATGGAGTCTATTCAGTCCACAACCCAATACAACACCAGTGGTCAAATGGTGAGCCTTCTTTCACTTCCTTCAAAACTAATTTTACTCGTTTTTTCATTGTAACACTTTTTTTTTCTTTGCATTTAAATTAACAGCTTGCCAACGATAGTTTGTCATCGAGCGATCATTCGCTAAACTCCCAAAGTTTCACGAATCGAGGAAGTGCCACGACTCAGTCTCTAGACATTTCCAAACAAGACTTCACCTCTCAGGTGTCTCCGAACGCTACCAATTATGGTTCGACTGCAACTTATCCTTCACAGAAAACGTCCTTCCAGGCACAAAACGCAACTTCGAATAATTACAATGTTTATTCGACTAGTGCGCTATCGGCCCCATCGTTTCCATCGGTCACTGTTGGAAACTCTAATAGTTATTCTGCAACAGTCTCCGTTTCGCAAGCTAGTTACAATACTTCGGCGTCATATCCACAATCTAGTTCAGCTTCCTTTAGTCAAGTGTCACCCTCAGTTTCTGTGTCAGCTAACGCAGTGTACAATCAGCCTGCAACCACTAACCAGGTAAATAACTTTTTATTCATTTTGCATATTGCTTCTTATAAAATTAACATGTTTTCCTTAAATGCTTCTCTAAAAATCAAAGTTGATTCATTGAAACGAATTTTTTTACTTTATATCCAATGAATGTGGTTTTAACATTTGAATATTTGTAAATTTAATAATATTACGATTTGAACTTACTAACATACATGGATTAACATTTTGCATATTTTCTGTATTTAGTGTTCTAATTCTTGCTTCATGTTCAGTTTAATCTTCAATTTTAATTTTTAATCCTTTATTGTTTAAAGACTTATCAGTCGACAAGTGCATACGCGCCAACCACCACAACATCTTCTCAGTACCAAGGACAATCGATAGCTACGAATACAGTCAACAGTAATAGCAATAATAGCAACAACTCGGCCTACCAGACGACGGGTTATCAGGGATCGTCCTCGTTTCAGTCAGCGCCCCAATCGTATCAATCTTCTAGCGCCAGCTTTTCATCGCCAATCACCCAAGGATCTGGTGTTTATCAAAATGCATCTGTAAGTATCGCAATAATATTTTTAAATATATTCATTTTTCTTTCACTCAACATAAAGTATTAGAGGTTTGTTGTTTAAAATCCTTGACCAGAAAGTCCCCTTAAAGCTACTTTTTTGAAATAATTAACGAATATTTAAATTTCCCCTTAAAGTTGCAAATTCACTGATGCTTTTGATTGTAAGTAACATTGAACTGTTGTATTTGCAGGTGTACGCGTACAGTACTTATGGAAGTCAATCGCAGACTGCTTCACATAATCATAAACTGAACAGTACGGGAAATAAAGATTCACAATATGATACAAGCACAACTACATCAAATAGTTCCCTTGCGACAACAACAACAACTCAAAATCTTGGACTTTCATCATCCTCGGCAAATAGCTCTCAAACCAAAGTCACCAATTCTAATGGTAAATATTTTTAATGCATAATTTCAAATAACTTATTAATAAGATTTCAGTTGCAGTCATTTTTTACTGTAAATGAATCAATCAATTTTAAATCATGTAAAATTACTTTAGGGCCTTTTCATCCTCCCCTTAGCAATTACAGGGACGCAAGAAAACTTTTATTCTCTAGAATATCATTTTAGCAAAATATATAATTGTTGGAATGTTAGCTTGGCAGAATTTCCATTAAATCGATTATCAATGTGGTAGAATTTTTATTCCTAAGAATAGTAATGGGACAGAAATGAAATATGATTAAAATTTAATTGTTGCAAAAAAGTAGATAAAATTGCCAATAAATAAGTTATCCGCTTGACAAAGAAAATAGTTGCCTAAAAATATTAAGAGCGTTTTGTGTCTTTGAATCTGAATAAAATGTGAATTAATAAAACAGCTGCGCCGAAAAGTACTTCGAGTGGTATAGTAACTGGCACTGGGAACACTGGCAATATGACAGTCGCTGGCGCAACCAACAACATGACTCCAGCAATTCTTGGTCATCAGTACATCATGGGTCAAAGTGTTCCCGGCGTTTTCCCCGCTTACCAACAAATGTACAGTTATGAAGAAGTGCAGATGATGCGCCAAATGCAACCACACATGGTCAGTCACTAATAAGTTTATTTATTTCATTATTCTCTTATTCTATATCAATTTGACTGTTTACATTTGAAGGCTTTCCTGCAGAAAAAAGAGAGCACGCGAAAATAATTTAAAAACCGAATAATCTCTTTGACAATTTCACCTTCTATTTTCTACACAAAGGCCTTCAAATTCTCTTTTTTCATTTACATATTAGCTTTTTGCCACACTGAAAAAGTTTGTCAATTCTCAGTTTTAAACTTGATTTATTATACATGACGCTTTTTGCTGAAAAAAAAACTTACGCAACAAAAAATTATTGGTTATATTTAAGAATATTTTTACTTGATTAAAGATTCATTTTTAATTACCTGAAGTTAATGACAATTTTTATTAATTATTTAGTATTTAAAATCTATATTTTAATTAATATTAAACTTAACTTAAAATTATTGAAATTTATTAAAATTTTTAGAAAATAATTAAATTCTATCGAAGAATAAAATAATAATAATATTTATGTACTAAAGTTGAAAAGACTTATGAAAAATAATAGTTTAAGATTAAGTGTTGACAAACTTTTTTGAATTTGATATTATAGTTCAAGTTATTTGTATAGAGTATATTATTTGGTTTCGTAATAGAAATTGGTACTTTTCTCAAATGGTGTGAGTATATTTTACTGTTGATTTTGATTGAAAAAATATACATGTGTATCTGTATAGAGTCGAGTCTCGTAAATGCAAAATATTTTATGGTAGAACTCTCACGATACTGGATCGAAACTGACGAGAAACGAGTATCAAGGGAATCTGCTGAACTTGTAAAAAGTTTCAAATGAATTCATTTGATACTCTCATTTTGGGCGCCATTTTGGATCCGCCATTTTGAATTTTTGAAATCTGGCTACACTCTTTAAATTTAAATTAGTAAACATGTTTACTAATTCGAATTAGTAAACATTTTTACCAATTCAAGTTTAGAAAGCAGATTCGTAATCGCAGTGACCCTAAAAAGTAAAAACCCCCGAGTAACGAGTTATCTTGAGGAGAGAGGAATTTTTTAATTTTTGCTACTACGAGATTCGATTGCAATCCCAGTGTTAAAAATTATATTGTTTAATATAAAGTTTTATATATTTAATATTATGTGCAAGTTTGAATTTTTAAGTAAATAAACAATTTTTCTCAACATTAAAGAACAGTATTGGAAAATTCAAATTCTTTTGCAATCAAATATTTCACTAAACACTTTCATTACGATCAAATTTTTTAAATTTTTATATAACAAAATTTATTTTAAAGTATTATTTGCACAGATAGGCAATTTTATTAAAATTAACTATATTAGCGTTTAAAATAGAATCAATTTTGAAAGTTTGGAAAGAAAGTAAATACTTTCCAAACGTTTCAAAACAAATAACTAGAAATTCTTGTTACTTACGAATTAACATTGAAATTTCTTGAAAATTTTTTCCATTTAAAAATATAGTGTCTGAAAAAATTACTCTGATGCATATGTATATATACAATTAATCAAATCAATTTCTTTCGGTTATGAATTATTTTGAACGTTTATAATCTTTTCTTTGTAGGAACTTTAGATTTCCTTGATTTTCTTTATTAACTCTGTGTTATTCGCATATTGTGCTGATAATTATTTCACTGTTGAAATTTCAAGATTTCAAGAATTTGAATTTTCTACTATATTTTGATATGCAGTAAAAATTTATTTTACATTCTAAATTGTCACAAAACTAATGTCAGTAACAAAGAGTTAATATTATTTTTAAAGAAACTTTTACGAAACTGGTGTTCAGTAGTTGCTTGTTATTTAAGTAGTTAAAGAAAAATTATTTTCATTAGAACTTATTTGCACTTTGTAAGAATATATTTGTTTTCAGTTGAAAATTGGAATTATTTCTATTTACTTGGAAGTTGATTTTAAATAATTTTATCGCGCTTGAACTTTTTTGTTTTAAAAATACTTTTCTTTCAAGTTTTTGTTAACAATTTGATCTAAGTTCAAGTAGTTTAGATATTTTTTGAAAGATTTAACGAATCACATTTCTATAGATTTCCAGTGAACATTTTTTATTTAATATTTCTTAAATATCTTATGATCTTCCGTTCAGTAATCGTATATACATCTAGTGAGAATTTAAAATTCATTAATGAATTAATGATCTATTATTGGGAACCAATGATTTTTTATAAATTAGTATCATCTTGTAAAGAATAGGAATTTGGCAAATTAATTATAACTAGGACCCTTGACGGATCTAGATAAATTATACTAGGTAAAATTAAACGAAATTTTTACTACTCTAAGAGTGAGAATCTTGTACTCTCTAAATTTGAATTAGTAAAAATGTCCACTAATTGGAATTAGTGACTGACTTTTTGCTTTTTAATCAGTGAATTTTAATACCAAAAAAGTGGAAATTACCATTTACTAGTAAAATTTACTAATTCAAAAGCAAAAAGTCAATCAGTAATTCAAATTAGTAAACATTTTTACTAAATCAAATTTAGAGAGTAAATAAACTCATTCAATAATACGAAGCAATTAAATATATTCAAGAAAGATGTTTATCATTTAATTGATCTGATTTTTACTTAATTTATACATGGCTTCTAAATTCTATATAGTAGATTTATTATTGTCTCGTAGTAATATTTTTCCTCTACTTTCATCTTTTTACTTGAATTTTTTTTCTCTTTCTTCTACTCTACTTCAATTCTATTATAATTGATATTTTGATTCATCAGAGTGTCTGCGATCCAGAAAAAAATTTACCACTTGAACCCTGTTTACTTTAAATAAATAATAATTTAGTTTTCAGAAGATTTTTAATGAATAAAATTTAAATAAATACTTCTTGCAATAATAATTCTTTTTTAACATTTAAATAAAAATTGGAGCAAAAGAAGGCTCGAGCAATTTTCTCTCAGCATGTAAATTTTAGAATAAAATTATTTATTTTTTTGGTTTTGGAAAAAATACGATTTCCATAAAGATATTTTTGTTGGAATTTTACAACTTTTTGGGTCATCTCAACTTTTTAATAAATACATGAAGTAATATTAAAAGGGGAATTGTTTCGAAATTTCCTTTCTTTTTCAATTTTTTGAGAGAAATTCAAATATTTTAAAAAATACGAAACGTAATGAAATTTCCTGAGATAAATATCCAGATTTTAACCCAATTAATAATTTTCTAGAATATTTTATATATCCATTTAGAAGTTTAGTCTATGTTTGTTTAAATTTAAAATGAAATCCAATTTTTTGGAGAAAAATCCAAATATTTGAAAAAATACGAAATGTATTGAAATTTCCTGAAATATTGTGACTGATAGGATTAAGAACGAATCTTTTAATGTTTAAACTAGAATCGTAAATTTTATAATTTTGTGATAAATTCAAATTAATATTTTATAATTTTGATTTCTTGAAAATTGTGAAAATTCAGTGGTTTAGAACAGTGGTTATATGATTGAACCTTTCAGGATAAGTAATCCGTAATCCAACAGAGAATATTTAAATAAATCTATTATTATTTAAATTAGCTGCTTTATTATGTTTCTTAATGGAATTATTTCTGTTTTGAAATTTAGTGAAGATGCTAATTTATTTATAAACAACTAGCTGCATTTTTAATGATAAAGTTATTATTAAATTCGGCTAGTGATTTAAAAATATTGACTTTTCATGGTAAGAGAAACGAATGAGGAAAGTGGACACTGATGATTAGAGAGTCTTATCTTGGTGCTAAGTGCTTAGGTGTTAGAAGTTAGGTAGTTTTCTTGTATTTGAAGTACACAGTGTATGCATGTAGTTTTGTGTTTGGCCTTCCTGACTAACGTGCAGCCAACTACTGGTTACTATGACGCGGCACTGGGCTATCAGACTACAGGCCCTGCTACGAGTCTTGGCGCCAATCGAGGGGACGCTCTCTCCGGTGTTCAAGGGGTCCAAGGAGTTCAAGGCGCCTACACCAGTATTAGCGATGCCAGGTTTGCCAGGAATGACAGTAACGCCTCGCCAGTTCCTTCCACAATGTCCCAGCAGGTAAGACACCAGAAAATCATTTCTCATTTAGATTATTAACACTACAACATAATAAAAATAATTATGTTTTTTAATGTTAATGATTTAAATAATACAGATATCGTAAAAAATTTTATTGATTGCAATTATTTTCAAAAATTTTAATAAAATTCATGGCAAAATTTCAATCATTTGCAAAAATTTTCCTAAATTCAATGACATTCAAAATCTACTATTTTAATAAAATTTTCTAAAAGAATCCAATAATTTCACAGAAATTCTATTATTTACAAACTTTTTATAAATTTCTTCGCAATAATTGCATTACTTTCATAAATAATCAAACTCATCGCAGAATTTCAATTATTTTTCGTACAATTTTAATCAAATACCTCGAAAAATGTAATTATTTTTACAAATTTTATTGAAATTCGTCAAAAATTAAATTCAAATTCAAATTCAATTATTTTTTTAAAATAATTCAATTTTTAAAAAGTTTCAATTTGAAATTTTTGAAAATCTGAATTTTTCATACTTTTAACTAACAATTCTGTAGAATTAATATTTTTCAAACAGTTTAATTGAAATCATTTCAAGTTTTTATTTTCAAATATTAATTGAAGAATTTCCAAATCCAATTTCGTAAAATTGAATTGTAAACAAATACATTTGAAAATTCTCAGAATTTTTAAATATATTATTGTAAATAATTGATTTAAAGAAGAATTTTAGTTAAAAATTCTAGAAAATAATAATTGAATTGAAATGATGAAAATAATTTTGAAGAAGTCACAGTAAAAATGTTTCTTATAGTAGAAAATAGTAATCTTATCACTCGGTCATCTTTAATTATTATAAATTGTTGAATTTCAAAAAGATTTGAATTTGAAAATCTTAATTCCTATGGAAAAATAATAATGATTAATTATTTTTTTAAAAAAGAAGTTATTGCTGTTTTCGAATAATTTTACAGTTAGAGAAATTCGTAAATAAATGTATAATAGAAATTTTTTTTTGAGTATTTAATTATTTTTAGAGTGAATTGCAGAATATTCTTTAAGGAAAAAGTAAAAATTTTGTCTGGAAATCAGGGAAAAGTAAGAGAAAAAGAAAATTAAATTTTTGTGGCAACTCTGATTAAAATCGAATTATTTTTTAAAAATTTTATAGAAGCTATATGATAAAAAATTTGAATTATATAATGCAAGTCGTATTTTAAACAAATAAATTTTTATCCCCTTTTTGTCCCCTTTTTGAGGAAAAAATTCCCCTTTTCACCTTTTTTGATGAAGAAAGGTACTGTGATGCCTGAAATTCGCAAATCTATTATTGTGTTCCAATATGTAATCTAAAACTTTACTATAAAATGTTCTTAGGATATTTGCAAAACATCCTCGGATGTTGATGAATTTCAGTTTTCTTATAATTTGGGCAATAATATTGTTTTAAATTTTAATAGACGGCTACCCAGCATCAGCAACCAATGATGAATGCAATTCCACCGCCAGGATATTATTTCACTTATGGAATGCCAGGAAGTTTCCAATACGGAACTCCCCTTTATCCTGTAAGTTATTTATTTTTAAATTATTTCTTACAATTCACACATATCTACAAATTACTTAATTATTCGAAAAATAAAGAAACGTTTCATTGGAAATCAATTGAAAAATAAAAAATCATTTTCGTTCTGAAAATTATATTATTCATATTGAACTTATTTTACGCTGTGAAGCCTGCAGTAAATTGATTCATTCGTTTCTTAAAATTCTTTTTAAATAATAAAATAGGACACTTTGTAATTAAAAAATGATTATTCTTGAAATTGATTTGAACTGCCTGGTTTAGTAAATGATTTTCATAATTTATAGCAGATAGCAACTGCCGGAAACGCGAGCACAAGCAGTGGTGCTTACGGTGCTAAGCCCGGAAGCTATGGTTCGAGTTACGGAGGCGGCACTAGTTACGACTCTCTGGCCAGCACTGGACAAGCGGCCGAATACAAAGGTGCTGGAAGTGGATACACTGGATCGCAAACTGGAAAATCTGGGTCCTCAACGGGAAACACGAATTCCAGTGGTTCAACTGCCGCGGAAATCAGCGCTGGAATGTACGCCACTAAAAGTCACGTTGCTCTCAGTAAAGTTAACGTAAGTTCATTCAATTATTTCATTTTTTTATTCATAAATAAAAAGAATTCATTGATTAATTATTTAATTTATTTATTTGATTATTATTACAGTCTTACGATAAACAAACTTTCCATTCTGCAACGCCACCGCCTTTCGGTTTAACTGGCAGTCAGAACGCGGGTCTTCCTGGAAGCTACGGAACTCCACATTTATTTATTCCAGCAATGCATCAACCGCATCAATTACATCAACCTTTACATCAGGACGGAGGCAATAGTACAGGTCAAAGGACAAATCCAAGTTCTCAGAATAAGGCTCAGACAAAACCGGGATACAGTCCAAGCTATTGGACCGGTGGTAATTAAATATTAAGTCAACTGAAAAAGAAACCGAGAAACATAAAAGAAATCAAAGATACATTGCTCTTGACCAATCTAATGATCTTTGATTCGTCTCTAAAACAAACATAAAAAGGAGTTTTTCAAATTCATTTTGAAAGAAAGGGACTAAAATGTTGAAACGATTTTTCACGGAACTATATAATTTTTATTAAAGTCACGCGATTTGTGCCAGAACTTTTATGGTGTAAATGAATGGGGAGATATCAAGTATGGAAGAACTAGACCATTTTAATCACTTTGATATTCAAAAATTAAAAAAAAAAGAGAAAAAGTATAATAAAAGTCCATAAAAAATAATATTGACGAGAAGCCCCTTTAACGGGTTCAAGATTTTGAATACACAAATAATAATAAATAATTTCTATTTTCTACGGGATAATTCACAAATTATGTAATTTATCTAATACTCTAAAACTGAAGGTTGAATTTAATTTAATTTGCGTAAAATTTTAAAAATTGTGTAAACGAAGAATAATAAAGTCATTAAACGTTTTACATTATTTGTGAATAATTCTGTATTTGTTTAACAAAATTCCTACTGCTTAAGACTTTTAAAATACCGTTCAAGCAAATTTAAAACACTTTTCGACATTATCAAAACGATGCTTATATGCTGAACTTTAAACAGTTGTTTACTTTTTCATATATTCACAATTTAAAATATATTTAATGGACAATTGACAAAAAATTGTTTAGTACTTCCACAGAGGACAGAAAATTTTCAGTTTTCATATGTTGTATAACAACCAACACTAAAAAGGGATAAAAAACAAAAATAGATTAAACGTCTCTCCTCTTCCTTTTTTTCTTGCTCTTTATCTCAATGTATAATTAGTGCAATTACCAGTACATTGCGTTAATTCTGAGAAATAAAACTAATATGTGATGCACTCGATTTTGGAATTTAAAAGAAAAAAAAATGCGATTATAACAGACCGATATTGTATAGAAGTGATATAGAAGTAAAAATTACACTAAAAAAAAAATAAAAAGTCGCAAATGTGTGTATTTCGTGAAACATTTTATGTGGAATGTGTGAATATTAAAATTTTTACAAAACCTACGCAATACATTTTCTCTTAATTGTTTATAAACTATTGCATAAATACACTGCGAAAAATAAAATTACCTTTGCTAGTTTGCAAAAGAGAATAAAAATAAATATTGCGACTCGCTTAGATTTTCGTACTTTGAATATAAACATTTGCAATTAATAAGTCATTAAAAAGCGTTTTTATTAATGAATGTGAAGAATCTTCTCTTTTGTACAAATTATATAAAGTTTAAACGTAGGTAAGTTTATAATTGAAACGATTTATTAATTTTTATGCACCTGTGATGTTTCTGGTTCTCGACGGTCATTTTTTGTTTCTTCATCTTTAAACCAAAAAAAAAAAAAAAAAGTAGAATACAAAGTCAGATCAATGAGCCGAGTGATTCATCATAATTTTCACGCCAAATCTCTTCGAGTTTCCTGATACATTTCAGAACTTTCGTGCCAAGTACTTATAATTGCACTCATCCTTCAATCTTCACAAATTTTGTTTTTATATTCATGAGAAATCTTTTGACCCAATCATCATTTGATAAAAAAGTTATTTTAACGAAATCTCATCTTTTGCTTATTTTCTTTTTTCAAACCTCTTTACTTATATATTTAAAGGCTCTTAAATTGCGTGGCAAATCAATACTTTTCTTTTCTTACCATTATATTGTGGTTACGGAATTTGAAAGCCGTCATTTTTTTGAAAATTTCATAGTTTTTTACGCAGCACAAAAGTAAATAATGTGTAATAATAATATTAATATTAATAATAATAAAAATAATAATAATAATAATAATATGACCAGAGAATAAGTGGGAAGTCCACTGAATTTAAGTAAGGGAAAAAATGTATTTGTTTCTTAAAGGGATTTTTTATGTGTGTAAAAACGTATGTAAAATTAAAAGTAAACAAATAATATAGGTGCGTAAAAAGTGGTTGACAAAAAAAAAAAGAAAAAAAAGCAGTAGGTTTAAGACCTATTTAAATAATAATAATAGTAAATGTGGTTTTTGTTTGCAAAATTTCTTACAACCGCCACGTCCTAAAGATTTTTGAAAAACATCCAAGTACTTTTAAATATAGCTGCTCATTTATGTATCATATAAGATATTCATACACATCAAATTGAAACACGTTTTCGTTTGCTTTTAAAAATATAATTTTAAGTTGATAACTTTGTATACACTTGGATGATACTAGAGAAACTAAGTGTAATTTGTAATGAAGAATTATAGAAAGTAACCGCAAGAGTATCATCAATTTACTCAAGATAAGATAAGAAGTGACTATCTCGATCTCGAGAATGAGCGTTCTTTTTCATATATTAATTATAAATTAATTAATAATTTTTGTATTTTTGTCAATCAGAAGTGCAAAAAGAAGTAAGCCACTATTGCTAACTATTACATAATGATTATTATTATTATGAATAATAATAGCAACTACTGTGTATAAATATGAATATCTAAAAAATAAATGTATTAAAATAATTAACTATCTTCTTCTATTTTCTAACTACATATATTCAATGTCCTCCTAAGAAGCAAATCTTTTTAAGGTTACGTTTGTGTTATTTTTACCTTTTAACCCTGTCAGTTCAAGTTTTAAGCATCTCTGGATAATTCTTAACATTTTTAGTATTGTCATATTGGATCCGCCATTTTTAATTTTTTAAATCTATCATAAAATTTTAATTTAGCACTCACATTTGAGAATTTCAATCCTCAAAACGCATCAATTTTTAATTTTCCGCCATATTGAATCTACCATTTTTAATTTTCAAATTGACTTAAAATTTCAAAAAGCAACTGTAATTAAAATTTTGTAACATTTTATTGAAAATAATCATATTTATAAGTATTTCATTAATAAATTGTTGAAAAATTTTAATTGCAAATTTAAAAATTATTTGAATTCACAATTGAGTGCCTTTGTTCATTAAAATATTTGTTAAAATGTTGTATGTATATCACGGTCACGAATATCTAAAATCATACGAAAAGATTTTCAAAAATATCTAAAAAAAATTTTAATTTATTTGCAAAAAATCGATTTTTGTATTTTTTGAAATAATAACTTTTTTTCTTTATTGAAATTTGAATTGATTCTTTAAAAATTATATTCCTGACACGAAAACGAATCGATTGATGTATAGTATATAGTATATACAATTTGATAAACATTCTTATAGTAGAATTTTTTTCTTTGGTCATTTTTGAGTGAATTACTACCATTTAGGTTCAAAGTGTCTAAAAATAATCCAGCTACGGTATTTTAGCTGTATTTCAAAACTGAATTTTTACAAATATTTTGATTCTCACAAGCAGTATTACCAAAAACTTATTTTCTACAACCTAGGTATCATGATACATAACAATTCAGAAAAGTATTACGTGGTAATATTACTGCAACATTACCTGTATTGTTAAATTAATATAAAAATAAGACTGCAATAATAGTAGTTGACAATATAATAGACGGACGCATTAAAAGCGTGTTTAAGACGTCTATTTTTGCCCACGGACACCATAAAGACAACTAAAATATGTAAATAAGATATTCTCTGTCTGGTCCAAAAAAGGACGTCCGAAAGACGTCTTTTCCAAGTCTCAGATCTTTTTAAATAGACATTTCTTTCACAATATTTTCTTAGTTGAAACCCAGTAATACTTATTCAATTTATTTTGAGTTTCATTTTATATTTTTATATATTATACAGAAATAATAAAACAATTCTACGAAGCTGGAATGGAACTCTGATAAATTTCCCTTGAAGCATTGCGTCTTAAACACCTCAGCCGTTAACTTAGAAAAATTCCCATAACTTTTATCTTCAGTAGTTTCCAAATCCAAATTGACCTTGAAAAATAATATTTTCTATTTATGGAAATTTTTCTACTTTCAAAGTTTAAAACAAGAAGACGTCTTAAAGAAATCTAATGGCAAAGACGTAGAATATTTTTAAGGACGTCTTTTGAACAAGTGTACCCACTGGGTTTATATTAAACTCCTTAAAAAAGCAAACATTCTTTCACCAATAATACTTGCGAAAATTTCAAATAGAAATGCAAGAATCGACAGTGAAAATCCAATCGAAAGTACGTACAAGGAGATCAGCAATAACTTTTCTTTCTCGATTTCCTGTGGTAACTCCACAATCTGATGCTCTAGTTTGACAGTTTTGAAGAGTTTTGCAATAAAACCATGTTCTGATGCTTTCACAATAATCTCCCTAAAGCGATCAGTGAACGGAGAGTTATCTCTTGAAACAAATCCTTCGGTCACATGAGCAACTGGTTCTGACAACATCTTTCCATTAAATTCTCCTTTTAACTCCTTTATGTGATTAACGTGTGCTATTACTCCACCGCTAATGCAGGACACATTTTGATAATCATTCAAATATAGAAGACATCCCAAATTTGATTTGATAGCTGGAACTACAGTAGAATTTTGTGCTAATTTTCTGATAAGAAGGTTAGAACTTAATGTCATTGAAGTATATAAAGTCGGACTGTTGATTACATGTGTCAAAGACGATGTAGCGAGTTCTGCAAGAGTTTCTATCTCTGGTGAGGATTGCAGTGAGAGGTCCAAGATGGCAGAAAAAAAGTAGCCTGTGTACACGAGGCAAGCGAGTAATACAGTTCCAAACACTATTCTCTCCGTCGGTTCAACTGGTTCCTCGATAACGGACAGTCCCATTATCATTTGACTGATGTTCGATGCTGTCCATGTTCTTTTGTTGAATCGCATCATAATCGCAGTCAATTTAAGTACGCAAATCGTACCAATAGTTCCCAGAAGCATGTACAGGAACTCTTGTGAAAGAACAATTACTTTCGAAGATTTTGTAATTCTCGGAATTACAGCTCTTGCATCAGACTCCATTATATAACCCAATTCTAAAATATTTATTTGTAAATGTTCAATAAACAAAATTGTGTTCAAAAACATTTCAGCTTTCTTTTTATTCAAAAGTGTTTGAGTAGACACTTTTTGATGTGGAATAGCTTTATGAATGCAAGGTCTAAAATTCATGTGGTGTGATAAAATTTCAGCAAATTTCTTTCCTGTGCTGAATTTAGTTGACACCGATTTATTTCCGTCTGATATCAAGAATTTTAAAGGGTATCCACGTAAATTCTTAAGTTTGTTTGGAAACCATTGACTTGTAGTTGATATCTGAAGGGCAGTGTACTTTTTTGTAAACGGATTCAAACGATGCAGAAAAGATTGCTTGTCGCTTTTCTCTTTCAGTGACTTGGACTCTTCTTCATGATAGACCAAAATCGTAACGTCCAAATAATCTCTTTTCCATAGATAATATAATGTTTTGTTCAGATTAACGTCAGGTAACACATGAGAATGTACGATTAAACATTTCGGCATGGGTAGAGATTGCGATAATCCTCTAATTGGTAAAAGAAATCCTCCATACATTTCAGTAGATACATTTACACTATCTTTTACGAATACAAATAGTGCCGTCTTTCTTGAACGTCTAAGAGATTTTAGATAAACCCTAAACTGTTTATTTCTCCTCTTACTGTATTCGATACTTGAAGATGGAAAGTTTCTATTGATTGACTTGACAAGAAGACTTACTGAATCGTCTGTGTTGTTTCTTTCATTATCAAAGAGGAATACTACATGGTGCAGTTTTGACTCTTTCTTTAGATACTTTACTAATCTGTTATAGTGATTTCCAATCGTAGATGATTCCAGTATTTCCATCAAAATGATAATGAGGCATAATGCCTTACTGATCAGATTCATTTTGTAAAAATTTTCGAATGTTTTGTTTTATACACTTTTTTCTATTTCACTATATTCCTACTTATAAACTATTGACTGTTATTTTAAAAAGAAGACACTTCGAAAACTTGACGGGAATTGTGAATTAGTTCCTATCCCATTACTTAAATTTCTCTTTAAGATACTTTACTAATCTTTTGTAACAATTTTCGGTTGGAGTAAATCCTACGATTTCTTTAAAAATTATAATGAAGTGTTTCGTTACCCGGTAAGAAGCGGAGAATTGAAAATAATTCAAAAGTTGTATTTTTCTTAATAGGTGAATTTGCCTCGGAGCTCTATTTCATGAGAACTGAATTGACTTTACAAAAATATGAAAGGCGCGTTTCAGAAGAATGAGAAAGTATAGCGTCTGAGAAAAGGGACCTTACAACCAAACTCAACTTTTCGAGTAAAATTAATTTAAAGTTTTTCATCCAAATTACTGATTTTAAGCAAATATATCTATAGTCATTTTCGTCATAAAAAAATATATTTTTATTGAAAAATTATTTTGAAGTGAAAAAAATTTTTTTTATTAAATTTGTTTAAACAATTGCAAAAAAAAATTTGTTAACCCGAGACTAATTTATTGCATTAAATTTTAAGGACATTAAAATGTAAGAAACCGTCTAAATCTAAAAATCGATTTTTTTGGTCATAAGGTTCCTTTTCTCAGACGCGGTCACATATGCGCTAATTAATCAGTGAAACGTCACTGATTATTTAGTGAAATTTCACTTATTCACAGCGCATATACTCTAATTAGAATAGTGTCATACTTATCGCTGATTTAGATTTAGAGAGTTCCACTGAATTGATTTACTATGCCATTCCGAAACGCGCATTCAAAATTATTCGACAAGTCAAACAAACCAGATATGTTTCTATTCCACTGAATTGACTTAACAATTGTTCTGAGATGCAGATTGACTATTATAAGAATCTTTACCTTTACTTCTTGATAACATTCTATCTTTATAACACTCTCTGATGGATATGAAGATTTTTGCTTATTTCCTTCACTTTAGCGTCTCAACATAAGTTCGTCAACTTGTTCGTTGTTCAGAGGACTGTTTTGCATCACGGCATCGACTTGGCAGAATTCCCTGATGAGATTTTTAGATATTTGAGGACAGCGGCAGTTGCGAGTAATAGCGAAATTCTTAAACGAGATTTGATACAAATGAATTTAATTGAATATTTAAATATATTGATTTCGATTAAATAAAAATCTTTATGTTACAAAGTTAGTAGGCTTTATGGATACTTACGCAATAATTGAATAGGTATTCTTCGAAAGGTATAAAATGAATCATGTCTACCACTGAGTCAATGTTCAGTAAATAATGACAGAAAACTTCCAATGCTGACAGTCAGAGAAGAACTTGTCTGCCGATTAGTAAGAAGTAGCATGTATAATATTTAAGTTACTCAGTAATCTGTGGATCTAAAAAAGTGTACAGTAGAAAATTGCATGTAATTTGCATTTTATGTCTTAAAAACACTCGATGACTCTGATAAGTTGTTTCTTGTCATGCTTTACTTTTTTTTATAGTCGATAGTTATTTTCGTATCAAGGGCGCAAAATGCGACAATGGCGAGATTAAGGGACCGAGAGGACACAATTTAGCGTTTTAATATTTTTAATCGAAAGCGGGCTCAAAATAAATTTTGATTTTATTTACTTCAACAAGAGATTTTCATAGCCTAAAGTAGTTAAAAATTAAAAAATTTGCTGAGTAAGAAAAATGTTGAAAAAAATTACCGTGCTAATTGCATAAAATAGATACTGTATATTTATTATTTACACTGTATAATTAATTCCAGTCCGTAAAAATGAGAACAGCAGGATCTCAAATTGTACTCGTGTATATAACTTAAAACAATAATAATAAACCAACTTGTCCAAAAATGTCACTGCATTTCTCCAAAATAATTAGTAACTTTATTTAATCAACATTTAGCATATATGATAAATACTCTGCCTCGCATCGCATATTTGTGGTAATGGTCAAATAATCCAGGAATTTTTCCATATTAGAATTTATATCCTCATTAATATTATTTCCCCCTCCATTGGCTATATATCCATTTTCTTTAACTCTATCTGATAAAATTTTCTTCCTAATATTTCTATTGTGTGTACTAAATTTTTCATCAACAATTTTTTGAGTGTTTAAAACACATTCTTCCGTAGAATCGATTGCTCCATTTCCTGAAAGAAAGCGAAATATATAACTTTTGGTCCAAAAAAATCTTGCATTCGTACTGTTATTTTGCTTGAAAAATATAATAAACAATAATATTTAATTACCTGTGTATTTTGTTTCTTTGTACAATTCAAAAACAGATGGAAAAGTCCCTTCTTCCTTTACTTTAAAATCTTCATTAAATATACAACTACTTATTTTTTTAATAAACAATTCTGTTAATTTCAACATTTCAGTATTATGTGAATCTAATTCTAATTTTGCAGTTTTGTTAATAATTGGCTCTTCCGACTGAACTACAATTGACGGATTTAGTCCATTTTCGTAATCATTTTCTACACAATATTTATCATCAGTTTCTGAATGACCATTATGAACAATTTGGTTTGATTTGTAAATTTCTGGATTTTTATCTTCATGAAATAGATTCTTAACATTTTGTGTTAATTCAAAGTCTTTCTGTATTGACTCTTCACTATTCTGTTCTTCTGCTCCTTCGGCTTTTAATTTAAAATCACATGACGTGATGGAATTATATTCAATTATGTCTTTCTGTTCATTTGGATTCGATAAAGTAAATTTTTTTTGTTCATTACAATTGTCTATTGCTTTTTCCAGATCACTGGCTGAGACTCTTTCAAAATCCACGTTATTCATATTCCAAATGTCCGACGGATAGGGAATTGGTAACTTGAAAATTGAAAAATGTTTCCCTCCAACGTGAAACATTAGGTCTTGAAAATTCTTAAGTTCTCGATCGGAAATAATAGTTATTGAAATTCCGTATGATCCGTAACGACCGGCTCTTCCAATGCGATGCAAATATGTTGCACTATCAATTGGAATGTCTAAATTAACCACTAAATTCACATTTTTAACGTCGATACCTCTTGCTGTTAAATCTGTGGTCAACATTATTTTGCATTCATAATTTTGCAATTTTGAAAGTGAATCCAGACGCTTATTCATGTCTTGACTTCCTATTATAAACATGGCTGGAAATCCCATTGATGTGATCTTATTGCAAACAGATTGAGCCCTTAAAATAAAAAGAGGGATTACTTCAAATGTGTAGCTAATTTAGGAAATTAAAAAAAAAATTTCGACCCTAAAAGGGGGGTTAAAATTCTAAATTATTTTAAAATTCTCTTTGATTTTTAACCTCCCCTTGTAAAAGATGACGAATTGCGATTCAATTCGCGGCATTAATATTATTAGATTATTAAGTTTATACTGACCTGGTTTGATAATTAGAAAACACCAAACATTGTTTAAAAGGAACCGTACTGAATATTTTTGCCAATTCTTCGGTCTTAATATGTACCTGCAAAGATAAGACAAGTAGCTGTAATTAAAAATTAATAAATAGGCAAAAATTTATATAAAATTGTTAAATTCCCCCTCGCAGGTAAATAAAGTAGCCATTATTACCCTAGATAAATAATAAACACTTTAACCATCTGCGGGCTAGAAAAAGGAACTTTAAGTTACATACAAAAATATTTTTAACCAGTTACAAACCTGCTTCATTGCATTCGGATGGTGTGGAACAATAACAACAAATTGTTTCAGTCCAACAAGCATTGGACCATCATAATCGGTTGATACCAAAACAGGTCCACTCATATATTGACTTAAAAATATTTCCAAATCATTTGGATACGTAGCACTTGAGGATATAATTTGTTTTTCCGTTGGAAGCTTACAAAAAATGTAACTGAAAAATTAAAAAATTATTTTAAAAAAGAATTCATTTATTCTCATAAATGAGATAATTTCTCGATACTTTGATTTTTTTAAAAGCAAAAATTGACATTTAATGTTAAAATGCAGTAACTAACTTGATGTCCTTCTGAAAACTTGTCTCCATTAATTTATCTGCTTCATCCATCACAAAAAGACGAATAGTATTAGGTTTCAAAAATCCTTTATCAATTAAATGCTTTATTCTTCCAGGAGCACCAACTGCTATATGACATTTATTCAGTTTTTTTCTATCCTCATCTAACGAAACCCCTCCTATGAAATAGTTTACTTTTAAACCTAAAAGCAGTTCAATTAACTTTATTAATTAAATGTAAATGTGAATTACGTACATAATCAAAAAAATTTCCAAAGCACCTTTCATCTCCCTTCCAATGGATGATATAACATCTGCAATTTGAACAGCGATTTCTCGCGTAGGAACTAAAATCAATACTTGGGTACATGATAGTTCAATATCAAGTGTTTCCAAAGCTATGAGACCAAAAACTGCTGTTTTACCAGTTCCTGATTTTGCTCGTACCACCAAATCTGTGTAAAAAAAGTTCATTATTTGAGATTTCCTATATGATTAGATCTGTTAATAGCCGAAGAATGATAACTTTTCTATTATTTTATGTTTAATCAACTGAACGAAGAGAAATACGAGTAAATGATTACTGTTTTCTGGTTTAGCCTGCGACATGCCGACGTTGGTTTTGTTATATAAAAACAGAGGTTCAATTTCAATTAATCAATTCAATTTTCAATCGACTTACGAAAAGGCTAAAATTTTTTCATTTTTAAACTTTGACATCAGAGTCTTTCTTACATAAGTAATTAATATTTTAATAATAATAATAAACAATTGATTAATTTAATAAATAGTAGATATGTTAAAATAAATAAAGTAATGATTATTTGAGAAAATTTGAAGAAAACTATAAATTTATTTATTTAAGAACGTATATTAATTATTGACAATCCTGAAAAAGTGGTTGGGAGGTATAACGTAGGTTTTGGTCAGAGAGAAGGATAGTCTGTGTTGTTTCTTTCATTAATTCATTATCAAAGAGGAATACTACATGGTGCAGTTTTGACTCTTTCTTTAGATACTTTACTAATCCGCCATAGTGATTTCTAATCGTGGAAGATTCCAGGATTTTTATCCAAATGATAATGAAGCATAATGCTTTACTGATCAGATTCATTTTATAAAAATATACACTATTGACTGTTATTTTGAAAAGAAGACACTTCGAAAACTTGACGGGAATTGTGAATTAGTTCCTATCCCATTACCTTAATTCCTCTTTAAGGTACTTTATTAATGTTTTGTAACAATTTTCAGTTAGAGTAAATCCTACTAATTTTTAAAGAAATCGTAGAATTTACTCCAACCGAAAATTGTTACGAATGTTAGATTTTTATTGTTATTATTTAATTATTTTATTATTATTATTATTATGTATTATGTTCGATATTATATTATTTAATTGCTACGTAAAGCATTAACTGAATAAATTCATTACGTAAAAGTTTACTTCAAAAGGTATAAATGAATCACATCTACCACTAAAACAATGTTCAGTAAATAATTAAAAGAGAACTTTCAATGCTCACAGTCAGAAAAAAACTTGTCTGTCGATTTGTAAAAAGGAGAATATATAATATTTATGTTACTGAGTACTCTGTAGATCTAGAAAACGTAATAATAGATAATTGCATGTCATTTGCATTTTATGTTTTAAAAACACTTGATCATTGTGATAAGTTGTTTCTTGTCATGTTTTACCTTTTTTAGTTAAATACTTTTAATTGATATTGATTAAAACCTGTTGTTTTCTGTATCCTTAAGTTTTCGTTAAACTTCTAAATTCCTTTTGGATATTGTTACATATTACAAGAAGAGAATTAAAACTTTTTTTGGGCGAAAACAAAATTAAAAACAAATTCAATTGAAACATTGCTTATTAGGTACATTAATATTAAGAATACTCACCGAATCCACAGCGACCAAGAGGAATCGCTTTCAACTGTATTGGTGAGGGCTTGATAAAACCACAATATAAAAGGCCATCTAAAGTCTTTTGAGAGAGACTTAACTGCGAAAAAGTTACTTCTTCATTAACTTTTATATCGCTGGTTCTCGACGAATTACTGACATCGTGAGCTTTTAAAGCAGACATGACTATCTAGTTGTATATCTTTATGTCGTTATTCGGCGAATTCTCACAATTCTAAACCATGTTTAGAGAATATTTTGTAAGTTGAGTATCTTATATGTATCTGTAAATTAATAAAGAAATTCTATTAGAAATTATAATTAAAGTAAATTTAATAAAGAATAATAATAATGAAGGTCTTTGGGGCCTATTTATTTTGGGAAAATGAAAAACGAAAAAGGATTTCTTTTAGAGGGTGGAAAAAATTTTTTATATAAAATTTTACTACAAAATGCCGGCGATAGATGCTATATTTAAGGAAGTACCCGATATAGATTTGGAACAAAAGTTAGTCCATTGTCATAATTACGTATTTTATATGAAAAAGTTAAATCAAATTAAAAATTTTTTTTATTTAAGCTTAAAGAATTTAATTTTTAACATTTTAAAGAATTAAAAGTTGCGTTTGAATAAAAACTTAATTATTTTCTAAAATTTTAACAAATATTTCTTTTTAAATCAATTTTTATCAGAATTCAACTACGAGAATTGAATTATTTAAATAGAATAATTTTTGTTAGGAAACTTGTAGAAGAAACGATTACTTACGTTTTATTTTAATTTGACGATATATTTAAAATTAATATTATTTTAGTATATACATTGATGTATTTTAATGTCTTATTGTAACGAAACTATTTAATAATTGTATTTCTGTGCAATAATAATGTACCCAAAATAATTAATGTCGTATAAATATATCGTGAATTTTGAAAACGGCTCAACTCTGAAATCCGTAAGAGTCATTTTCGCTATCATTTGTTATGTGAAAATGACTCTTATGGTTTTCAAAGTTAAGCCCTTTTCAAAATTAACGATTCAGTTATGCTAAAAAGATTTTTACATTCTCATTTTGGTATAAATTATATTGTAGGTATGTTATGTTTAAAAGATTTTGTGATTTTCTATTAGCAAAGTACTGAACTTGTATCGAAACGTCAAAATTTTAAATATTATAGTAACTTAATTTAATCGTACCAGCAAAATAAAGATCTCTTTATAAATTATGAAACTTAAAATCGTAAGAGTCATTTCTGCATAATAAATTGATAGTAAAAATGACGCTTACGGTTTTTGGAGTTGTGCCTTTTTTGAAATTCTTGATTCAATTATATTTAATAATTTTCAAATTACTACCGGCATCATTTCGCTAGCAAAATAAAATAACCTATATTGAAATTTTACCTGTAAATATATGTGAATCTATTGTTTCAATATTTATCACTTTTGTACATTTGAAAAGCATTAGATGTTAAACAAGAAAAATAATCTCAAGAAATTAAAATTCGGTTATGATTTTAATATATATTTATAAACAAACCACAATTACTAACACGCGGTTAGGCTGGAGTCCCATGGTAGCGTTTTGCGTTGCGTTTTGTAACTAGGCCATGAGTGCAAATAGAGTAAACATATATCTGTATCTCTCTCACACTCATTGCCTAGTTACAAAACGCAACGCAAAACGCTGCCATGGGACTTCAGCCTTAATCAAACCAATAACCGCGTAGAAACGCTGCAGCTCTTTAAATTTAAAGGAGCGCTCACACCTTAACTTCACGTTGTTAAAACACTCTCCATCCGTTTACAATATGCAACAAATTTGAACTGTATCCTCTATGAGACTAAATTTTTATAGAAAATAAAAGAAATTAGACCAATTTCTATTCTAAATCATTAAAGTAATATTTAGATCTTAATTTTTATGTGCTTGGACTTCCATGTACCCGAAGGCCGCAGTCCCATGGCAGCGTTTTGCGTTGCGTTGTAATAAGAGAGAATGCAGCAAACGTATATTTGCGTCTTTTTCTCTCCCATTACAACGCAACGCAAAACGCTGCCATGGGACTGTGGCCTAAAAGTCGATCTAATCATATTTCATAACTGTTACCATTGTAGCTTGCCAACCCTGGCCGAAAGGATAAGAAAAATAAATACTTCAAAACTATTGTAAAATTTGTATTTTTCTAGGAAACAAAATAATTTGTATTTGTTTATAAAAACAATATGGTCAGAACGCCGCTTCATCCGGCATCAGGAACGGGAGTAATATTAAGAAAATGTGCCGCACTAGCTATTAGGTTCGTCAGATTCGGATGTACAAATAGACCGTTCTATCATATAGTGGTTATGGAGGTAATTTTACAATTACTAATTTAATAAAAATTTATACTCTATTTTGACATTTAGTATTAAAGATGTTCAGTAAATGATATGTTTTTTGTGTAAATTGAGGTGCATGATGTACTGATATAGTCCTTAAAAAAATTAAAAAATTTGCAGGAATAATACCGGCTATTTAGAGGTTATTACATTACTACTGTAAAAAGAAATTTTTTTAGTTACAGCTTTGTTATGGAATTTTATAGAACCTTGTAAAATAACGTCTTTATTTAATTTATAAACTTGTTAAAGAATTAACTTGCAGAAGTTTTTTCAAGTTTTTTTTTTTATTTATTTTATTTTTTTTGTTAAGAATTAATTTTTTTTAATTAATTAATTGATACTTGGTACTTAAATGAATTTAAAATCCCTTTTGTAAAATAAATACTTTTAATGTGCCTCACAATTTTTTGAAAATTATAAAAAGTTGTAAAATTGGCATATTAAAAGTATTCATTTCACAAGAGGGATTTTAAATTCACTAATTAAAACTATACCTATATATATTCCAATTCATATTTTATTTTCATAAAAAAAAAATTTTAATTTGTAGATTTGCCTGTATGAAAAAAGGAAATTTTTCTACTTGTATATAACTAAATTGATATATAAATTCTTAAATTATGAACCTAACAAATTTATTTAATTTTAGAGGAAGTTAGAACAAAGACAACCACCAGTTGAGCAGCTAGGGACGTACGATATAATTCCAAACAAACATAACGAAAAATTATTGGCACTCAATTTTGAAAGAATTGCGTACTGGATAGGACAAGGTGCTCACGTATCAAGGCCAGTTCTGGAGTTGTTCGGCCTTTCAGGATTCTATCCTATACATCCCAGAACTTACATGCGCTCATGGAGGAATCGAAGAGATGCAGAGAAACTTGCTGCGCAAGCAGCAGCTACATCTGAAAATCAAGTGTCTGCTGCTTCTTAAATTGTATTATAGCAAATTATTAACAATGTAAATATATTTCAGTCAATCAATAAACAATGTACAATTTTTTTCCAAGTGTAAATTTCTTTATTTTAATGAGTTGCTTATAAATTATGGAATTCACAAATTTTCTACCCCAATACCCCCCCTAAAAAATGTTTTACACTAATTTAAAATTTATTTTTTTATAGTATTTTTATAATAAAAATTACTATATCAAAGGATTTTGTAAACGACAATTTTTATTTTATTACAGGATTGCCACAAAATGTGGAATGTAAAGTCTCATATCTTTCACAGGCTCTGTGGCAACCCTGTATTCACAATTACATATTTTTAGCCCTTCTTTCAAAAATTTAAAATATTTTGTTCGATTTTATTAATTCATCCTAACGGCAATTTTTTGGCCTTCAGACAAAGTTAAAAATTTTATTCAAAAGTAATACATTTCAATAAATAAAAACAATTTCATAAGATAAAATGCCGTTTGAATCACTGGTACAAGAAAAAATCAAAATCCATTCGTCAATAAAAATTTGAGCATTTTGTCTTATAAAATCGACAATATTTTTAACCCTTTGAGGACCAGTGATGATTTCAGGCAACATGAACATTTTTTCTTTAACTCTTGCATATTTTTCTTCATTTTAAAAACTGAATACAGATTGAAATAATAAAAAGGTTGTTTAAAAATAAAAAATCGCGATATTTAAAAAAAATTTGATCCTCATAGGGTTAACATTCAACGAACGAATGTATTTCAGAACTAATTTAAAAAAAAAAATAGCTGAAAATTGATTTTAATTTGTAATTTATAATATATTTAACGAACAAAAAAAGATTGTTACAGTTTATAAAAATAGAAATTCATGTTGATAAAATGACTAAACTTGGCATTATCGAATAGATTGTTTCAGTCTCGAAGCAACTGATTTAACATCGGTGATTTCCTTCTTTCTGGTGGGATCAGGTTGGAAACACTTCCACAGTCTTAGAGTTTCATCAGCACCCGCGCTTAAAACTGTCGTACCATCTGGTGACATTGCCAAATGCAACACTCGACTTGAGTGTCCTGTCAATTCAGCTACTTTCGTCATCGATGGATATTTCCAAATTATCAATTGATTTTGTGCATAGCCATGTCCTGAGACTATTTCCCTGTACGATGTTGACCACAACAGTGAACAGACTTGCGATTTTGTGTCCACTGCATTCAAGCAGGTGCCTGTTTAGACAAAACAAATTTAAACTTGTACCTTCGTAAAATCCAAAGTCACTAATTTATGAAAGTTTTCTCACCTGTGTTACAGTTCCAAAACCGAATCATTCTGTCTGCTGTGCCACCGCCACTGGCGAGAATATTCGGTGACCAGGGGCACCAAGCGAGTGCTTTAACAGCAGCTTGATGCTGGTTCAGTGAATATAAAGGCTGCGGCCGGGTGTGATTCTGACCAGCGACAGCAGACCAAACTTGCAGCATATTATCATTGCCGCCGCTGGCTAAATACTTTCCATCCGGGCACCACTTTAGACCACAAACTTCTTGAGCGTGTGCATCTATTGTGCTAACGACATGGTCACGTAATCTGACATCATGATGAATTATTTGCCCTGCCCTGAAAGTGAAAATAATTTTGACTCATCGTTTCACTTTTATTTCTACTGGAAAGTAGATATTGAGAATATCGAGAATAATCAATAAAAATTGTCAGTTTATACCTGCAACCAGTGGTAATAACATTATGATTCCACGCTAACGATCCAACTCTTGCATGATGTCCATTCATCACACGTGCTCTTTTCATTTCACTACAATCCCAAAGCTCCGTATTTCCCGATGTGTGTCCAACTGCTAAGTAAGGACCTTGTTGAATCCAAGAAACAGAGCACACATAGTCATTGCTGTCCAATTCGAAAAGTTGCTCTATCGTTCCAGTCCCGGCATTCCACAAGTAAACGGTGTTACCCAACGCTACCGCTAAAATGTTCGTAGGCGACCAGTCAACTAAATTTAAATCTGAAAATTTAAAAAGAATTATGTTGAGACTACAATTTGTGTTAAAATTTACAAACTAGAAAAAATATGACTTACAGTAATCGTCAAGGATTTCAGGCGCATCTAGAATGCGATCAGGTGCTTGTGGTATGTACCTTGAAGAATTTTTAACACTGGATGGAGTTTTAGATAGACTATAGACTACTCTCAAAGAGTTTTGGTAACCTTCAGGTGGTGCTGGAGCTTTGTTTTGATACGACAATACTCGCATATTGTTGATATCGGCACCATGAAGATTTTCTCCAATAAGTCGTTGCATTTCTTTCTTCGAAGGACTAACTTTAATTTCTTTCTCTCCATTCTGCTCTGAATATTGCTGTTGTATCTGTTAGAATGAGACAAATTTTTAATGTGTTTGCCTAAAGTTTTATTAAAATTTTTCAAAATAATTAGGTAGGGTGTCTACTAAATTTCTTTCTTCAAATTCTCGGTTTTTTCCGATTAATGGTATTTAAAATCTGACTTATAAAAATATTATATGAAAAATCCTATATTAAAAAAATAATAATCGACTATAAGTGATTATCTATCATTTTATAAATTTATAATTTAGCACCACATAGAACTTAATAATAATTTTCCCAAAAGTAATAAATTTTGTAAAAGTTCGATAGAGATTAAATTTCGGAGAAGAATTTGATTATTTTTAAAAATAATTGAAATTCTGACGAGAATTTTTTTTTAATTTTTGAATATAATTTCGGCGAAGAATTTTATTGCTTTTGAAAATAATTGAATTTCTTCAATCGTTTGTAAATTCTCAAAAATACAATTTTTTTTAGTGCTTTTAACTAAAATTCTTCTATAAATCCATTATTTTTTATAATTAATTAAATATATATTTAAAAATTTAACTAATTTCAAAAGAATTTGAATTATTAAAATTTTTCAAAAACCGAAATCTAAACCTTTTGAAGTTGTTCTATTTATGAAAATTGTAAACGCAACTCTTTTAAAATTCAATTAATTTTGAAATATTAAAGTAAAATTATTCATTAAATAATAATTTTATGATAGTTCTTCAAGAATGAAGTTATTTGAAAAGAAATTATTGTCAGAAATGGAAAAAATTGAAGATTTTGTATTAGAATTCGTGGTAATTTCATAGTTTATGAGACAAAAAAAAGACACAAAAATTCAGAATTTTTTTATGAACTCAAAAAATTATTACTTGGACTGATTAAAAAATACAAGTTTACTAACCTTTAAGTAACTCAGGTCAAAATTTGTTGTCGATCTTGAAGGAATAAATCTATCTCCACCACTGGGCGTCTTGGGAGTTGTACCTCGACCTATTAAAAATTTAATTAATTTCTATAGTCCACACTATAAAGTGTCAATTTTACTAAATGTAATAAAATAAAAAAAACCTTAAAATTTTGTTGATAATGAGAAAGAATTAAAATAATTAAAATTAAAAATTAAATTAAAATAGACTTACTTGGAGATTTTTTTAAACATTTTGTTGGAGTCTTCTTGGTACGTAATTCTAATCGTTTAGTCGGCGTCTTTCCAGTACTCACATTATTTACTGATGCATTCGCCAGTTTTCGAGAAGAGTTTAAACTCATATTCGAACTGGTACTAAAAAAATTAAATTACATACTTTACACGTTTGCGCAATTTTTTTCCGATAATCTTTAGTTTTTTTGACACTTGTTACCAATTTTTTGATCAAATTTAATAAATTTTCCTTAATCAAGGAAATTTTTTTCCCAAACTTTGTAAAAAGATTACAAAATAACATTTACAAAATGGAAAACAATTTATTCTTATGATTCTGTAAAAAGTAAGTGAAATAAGAAATAAAATAAATAATAATAAATAAATATATAAAATAAATAAATAAGTGAAGTTTTTTTTATGTATTTCTTGAAAAAAGGGACAAGGGGAGAAAATTCACGATTTTGGGTGTTTTAAGGAATTTAATTGAAGGGGAGAAGAAAGGAATAAAAAGAGGACCAATTGTGACCTTTTTATAAACAATTTAATGAATATAAATTGAATAAAAAAAATAAATTAAATGACCTTGGTTAAAATTATCCTTCGTTGTTTTTTATGCTCCGAAAGAATACTTAACTAAAATTGGGAATTGCTACCTAAAATATCTTGAAATTTCACTATAATCTTTTTTAATAAACTGTCAAAATGAATATAGAAATGCGGAATAAAAAGTTTCGTTTTATTTAAAATAAAATTTTTAACAAAATAGACTTTTAAATCAAATTTTAAAAAATTCTGAAAGCATCTTCATTCTTTACTCTTAAAAATTTAGAAAGTTTTCCTAACGCTTCAAACGTTCAAATAAACGAATTTTTTTTAAATGACCATACAAAAACGAAAAATAATTAATAATTAAACATTTCCTTACTTAAGAGTTAAATTTTTTTAATCTATTAAATAATTTTTGTATAAAAAAATACAATTTAAGAGAAGTAAAAAAAAATATATCGTCGTTTCATTTAAACGTTCGAAACTTTGGGAAGATTAGATAAAGCCACAAACTAGACAAGAAACGAAACGAATAGTTACCTGGAATTTGAAGCTTCTAAACATTTTTTCTGCCAGCGCGGTAAAGGTCCCCTTATAGCATCATCCATTCGTGTTACATTATTTAATTCTTTCATAAATCTTAAATTCGACATTTTCTTGTAATTTCTCTTTATACAATATCAATTTGAAACAGTAAAGCAATGATGAAATAAATAAATACTAATAAAAGAAAATTGATCGCAGTAATTTCGTTACAAAGATCAAAATATTTTTTGCACAACGATGTTTGTCATTGGATTTAATTACTAATTAAGACTTTAAAGTAAACGATAAATATTTTAAATTATAGATATTACTTTATTGCTTGAGGAGCATCTTTTCAAACACTCTTAACAGTCATAACGTTCATTTCAACATTTCAATCAAGTTTCCATAACAACAACGGTAAACGATTGAACTAAATTGAAGGATTTGGTCAAGGCGAGTTCTCATGTAGAGGGTGCATTTATACGACTGTGCAAGCACCTTTATATTCGCGAACGTGATGCACAAGCAGAGTTTCATTTACCCATCCCTGTGCACGAGATAGAAAAGGATACAAGTATGTATATCTATCTTTTTCTATCTCACATGTTTTGTTTACTAATCTATTGTATTTAGGGCTTAAACTAACATTATTTTGTTCAATGCAGACGAAAAACTTTAAGTCAATTGTATTTACTAATGTTTGAAAAAACATGTGGAGAATATAAAGTGAATATTGTATAAATTTTTGTTTTACGTATTTTAGTCCCAAAAGCATATATTAGTTTAAACGGAAAATAATTAAAAAATATTTTCTTTGTGTTAATGAACTGTATTGAGAAAGTTTTTATAAGTTAAAACAAATTTTCAACATTGTAGGCGGTAAGTGCACATTTACCGGTGTACATCCAAGTGCATTATTGCTTTCTTTCAACTTACACCAGGCGCACTGTATTTTTATACATTTTTAATGCGCAAGATTGTAACAGAATAATAGCATTAATATTCTAGAATGTACATATAACCTAAAAATAAATATTTTAATTCAATTCAAAACATGTGCTTGCATGTGCTTGAATATGTTGAAGTATAGAAACGATACAGAATATATACAATTTTTTTTGGAGCGAAATGCAATAAATTTTCATGCTTTCTATACCGATGAAAAAAATTTTAATTTGAAACATTTTAAAGTTGTATTTGAATAAAAATTACAGTTTTTTCTGTCAATAACAAACATTTGTTAAATTTTAGGTTATGTTAATAAAATCGTTTCTTATGAACTAAAAATTGTAATTTTTATTTAAATGAAACTTGTAATTGTTTAAAATGTTGAAAATTACGTTTTTTTCGCCTCTTCCAAAATGAATTTAAAATCTAATTTGTCTTTTTCTATTAAAATACAAAATTATAGCTGCCCGAAAGCCGAGGCAAGACGAGATTCTTTTCAATCTCGTCTCGTCTTGAAGTCTCGACATTTTTTTCAATTAATAAGGTTATCACCCGTTTATATATCTAAATAAATAAATGTCAGAAAATTGGAAAATTTAGTAAAAAATTAGTCATGGAAATCACAGAAAAATAGAGAATTTTATCAAAAATACTGGAATCAGTAATAAATTTTGAGAATTGAAGAAAATTGTTTTATTTTTCATGTCCTACAAGCTTAGATAATTTAAAAAACATTTAATTTTTTTTTTAATTTTTCTTGTTCTGCTTTGAAACTTTAAAATCACCACAAATTTTATTTTAAATCATTTAAATCTACTTCAAGAATTTTCATAAAATTATTATTTATAAATTATTGAGAGTATAATTTTACTTAAAAATTAAAATTGGATTTTGGAATATTTGAGTTTATAATTTATATATGTATAAATTATGGAATTTCAAAAGGTTTTATTATATTCTTTGAAAATATTCTCGAAAAACGAATATTTAAATTTTTTTCTCAGAGGGCCTTCTAAATAAGCAAAAAATAATTGCATTTAAATTTTATTTTAAAGGTATAAACTTATAAAGAAGTTGACAGCATATAAAGCCTATAGCAGTGAATAATTATTTTCTAAATTATTTCATTGAAGATGTCTAAAACATTGTTAAAAGCTTTAAATACAGAAAATGGAGGTCGATTTAATTTGTCAAGAGGGTCATCATTTACTGAACATGAAATAACATTTATGAAAGAAGATTTGGTTTCTGAAGACACTTATGTTCTTGCTGTTTGCGGTACTCAAAGGTAATTATTATTTCAAAATGCATTCTGCGTGAATTTTTTAGAAAAATTGAAGCGTTTATATTTAAATATCGAACTGTTGGAAAATTTATTGTTATACTTTGTTCCTAAAATACTAATTGATAGGGAAATTTAATTTTGTTTTAGCGATTCTGAAATCTGCATAGGAACTGCCCTTTCTGATCATTCATGTGTCATATACTCATTAACTGATGACACTTTAGACAAATACGAAACTTTAACACATAATAGTGCATCCATTGTGGGCATAAAATTTAGTCCTACTTCTCGAAACATAATTTACACTGCTACCGCAGACGGATATATTAGAATGTTCGACTTAAGAACAAAGGGAAAATTAGGACTTGAAATTAAAGGTAATTTATCATAAGCGTTTAATCGGATCAAGAAACAGGAAAATTAAGTGTTAAATTTTTTTGATTAACAGATGACGTAAAAGGAGCTAAGCCAAAACCTATAGCAAGTTTTGATATTAGTTGTGATGAAAGACTTTTAGCAGGTGGCACTGAACTTATTAATGGAGATGCATTTATTCTCTTTTGGGACATAAGATACAGTAAATCCAAGAAACAAAATAAAAACAACCTTCTAGGTGGTTATTGGGAATCTCATACAGACGATATAACAAGCTTATCGTTTAATTGTAGCAAACGAGACGTATTGGCGTCGGGAAGTACTGATGGCTTGATTAATATTTTTGATTTAACGCAATCGTGTGAAGATTCTGCATTAATCCATTCGTTGAATACTGAATCATCTGTGGTAAGTTGAAAACCAATTTTTTACTTTACAAAATATAAAGTAACCACGAATAATTTTACGAGTCTATTTTACTCAAAAGTGATAACTTACATATTTTTACTAATATCTTATTATTAAATTTTTGGAGACAGTTTTTAAGCTGCATGGATATTTTTTAAAATTATTCAGAATTTTTATACATTTTCTTTTTAGAACAAAGAAATAATTTATACGTACTAAAATGCATCAACTAATATTCTATTCTTTACAAATAGGATCGATTAGGATGGCTCAATACTAAAAGTTTGTGGTGTACAACACATACCTTCTCATTACAATTTTGGAATAGCGACGGTGCAACTCCATATGCAAATTTTGATCGAAGCCAACTTGCTGCCTTACAAGTAATTATGCTTTTATTTATTTTTTTCTTACAATATTTGACATTTACTCTACAAATCTCAAGAAAAAGTATTAATTTTGCAAATACTATTATTTTTATAATATATTTACTAAATAAATAAATTATAAATATTTTGGATAATTTATAAATAAGAATATAGATCAGTTTTAAAAAATCCAAAATGGCGGATCTAATATGGAGACCAAATATTTTTTTAAATTAACACATTTGTCTAAAAATATTTACTTGGAGGTTTTTAGGGTCACTAAAATTTTTCAATTCAACATTTTGATTAGGAAACTTGTAACTCGGTTTTTTTTGGGTTGCTGATTACAAATCCGATGTCAGTTTTTGAAAATACAAAATGGCGGGTCCAATATATGTCAAATTTGCCATTTTGAATTTTAAAAAATATAAGAAACTGTCATCGGATTTGTTTATACTGTTATAAAATTTTTTTTATTAATTTATTGTTCTATAAAATTTGTCCATAAAGTTGAATAAATTTGCGGGTCACTAAATGTTTTATGAAAAAGAAATGCTGTTTTATTTTATTGGTATTTTTTGGAATTGGTTAAATTGCTTTTAGCAGCTGGATAGTAAATGTATGTTAGAGAATTTTTCTTTTATTTACTTATCGAAAGAATGTGTATTAACAGGAAATATGTTTGTTAAGAATGATGGTGACCTAAAGAATACTGCTGCAGATAATTGTTGTCCAGTGCGAGTTCATACAAACACACATAGACATCCAATGCTACTTTTAGGATCAAATAGCAGCAAAGGGTAAACATTTTTTATAATAATATCCATTTATCAATCACTTGCAATATCAAACACAAAATCTTAAAACAAATCTTAATAATCTCAAAACAAAAACAAAGTAAAATATTAACATATACTAAGTAAATTACTCTTTTTCTTCACGCGGCCAGGATTTCTTTTCGTTTGCTAAATTATTTATTTAATATTATTAATATAGTCTTTAGTTTTAGAAGATTTAGAAGAATATAAATCTTTTGATTCTGTTTAACTGACTACAGAGAAAACTTGAAATGTTTGGGTGTTTCTGGTGACAATTTCAACGTATGCTACAATCTTCTTGGAAACAAGCAAATCGTTCGTGACAGTTTTTTCCATGAGAAGGTAATGAAACATTTTCTTCTCGGAATTTACATTTTAGAAGATAATTTTTATTTTTAAATTTAAGTAAAAATAAATTTAATACACAAATATTTATTCCACGATTTTCAGAGTGGTTGCTTAATAACCGGAGGAGAAGCAGGTATCCTAAATGTATGGAAACCAATGGATTTAAATGATTTTCACAATGGTACATTAGATGAGCTACATTTAAAAGCTAGTAGCACCAGAAATCATGCCAAACAACATAGATCCAAACCTTATTGATCGAAATAAGATTAAATATTTTAACATCATTATAACAAAATATACTATTTAAAAGATAAATTAAGTTTGTTATTTAATAACATTAAAGAGATTGTATAATTGTAGTTAAATTTTTCCAAATAAATATCAATTATATTTTTAGACAATTAAAAACGTTTTTTTAATCAACAAAATATTTATCAATTTTATTTATTATATAAAATGTGATACAAAACTATATAATGCTTTCAGATTTAACAGAAATAAAAATTTTTTAGACGACATTCATAAATTCGAAATAATTAATACATTCTAAACTATTAAATACAAATTATTATATACATATTTTTATCAATGGAATTCAGAATTCTCTAGGTCATTATTATCAAATACATCAATAATCGATAAACTATCCAATTCGTCAACTAACTGATTATTCTCCTGAAGAATAAAAGAAATTTGTTCCTGTATGTCACAAATATTTCTCCACTTCTTTACATTTCCATTGTCTAAAACATTTGGCTTTTCTAACGTTGATAGTTTTCCTGGCAATTGATCAATTTCGTGTAAAATATTATCATAATGCTCTTTACTTTCGTGAAACAGTCGATAGGAAAACGATTCTAATGTGGTTTCATAGTTACACACATCCTTGTCTAAAATTTGAGATTGCAAGTATACAGTTTGCGCCATTTTATACCAATCTGCTAATGATTCGGATCGTTGAGTAATCGCTGGTACACATTCGAGATCGAGAAGAATTTTAAGTCTGCGTCCGGTTTCTGTCACCTGTAAATCAAAAATTTTTTTATAAATATTGGTATAAATTTTAATTTTACAATTTTTTTAAAATTAAGAATGGTTTTTCGAACAGACCTTAATTCGTTCCAAGACATGGAACTGTTCGTCATTGTATGAAAGACTTCGAGTCGCTCTGTCTCGTAACAAATGTTGCCATCCATCACGCAAACGATCTACTAGCGTTGCAGCTCGCTGATTTGCTTTCGATGACCATGGACACTTTAGACAACGAGTAATATTGTCCCATTCTGCTTGCAAAATATTTTCTTTCACGTACCTACAAGAAAATTTGTTTCAAATTAATTTTTTTTTGTAATTAGAAAATGGGTTGAAACTACCCTCTCTGTTGCTGAAAAACCCTTAAAATTACAAAAAAGGTAAAGCTCTTTAGATATGCGAAATTCAAAATGGCGGATCTAATATGGCGGTCGTATTTTTAAAATTTATTTTAAATCGTTTGAAACTTGCTACTCGGGGGCTTTTGGGTCGCTGGTTATGAATTTGAGGTCAGATTTACAAAATTAAAAATGGCGAATTTTGGAGGGTCACAAAAAAAGTCACAGACTAAATACAGAAATAATTGAATTCTTGTGAAAAATTCTAATATTTTTGTAAATAATTGAATTCTTCCAAAGAATTTAAAAAAACATTTTTTTAAATAATTGATTTTCTCGAGCAATTCCTGTAAAATTATATTAAAAATAATTGAAATCCTGTAATGAATTTTATTATTTATGAAAATAATTGAATTATTGCAAAAAATTTTATTGAAATGTTTAAAAAGAATTGAATTTCTGTAAAAAATGTTATTATTTTTGAAAATAATTGAATTCTTTATAAGAATTTTATAAATATTGTTTTAAATAATTAATTTTTTCGAAATATAATAAATATTATGATAATTTTATTTTAAATAATTGAATTCTTGTGGAAAACTTTATTTGTAAAAATAATTGAATTTTTCGATTAATTAATTTAAAATAGTATTAAAAATAATTGAAATTCTTGGATGAATTTTATTATTTATGAACATAATTGAATTTTTGTTTAGAATTTTCTCAAAAATTTGTTTAAAAAATTGAATTTCCATGAAAGTATTTGAATTGTTGTGAAGAATTGTATAAAAATTTTGTTAAATTGATTTTTTCGAAATTTTTTTGAAATGCTATTCTAAATTAATTGAATTCCTGTGTAAATTTTATTATTTATGAAAATAATTGAATTTTGTATGAATTTTTATCAAATTTTTGTTGAATAATTGAATTGTTTTGGGAAATTTTATGAAAATACTAGAGATTGAAAATATGTAATTGAATCGTTTTAAAGAATTTGATTATAATTTTGAGAATAGTTTTTTGATTTCTAGTATTAGTGAATTTAAAGTATTGGAAATTCTGAAAAAAGAACAAATCGTAGAATTACGTAAAAAAAGTAATAAATAGTAGGTTTACCTTTGATGCAATTGTGACACCGCTGGAGCCAGATCCACCAGAAGTTCCTTACTCTTCAATTCCAAATCCTTCTTCCAACTTTTAAGTTCGAAATTAATTTGATTTCTAAATTTTCGAAAAATTTGCCTAGCAATGTGTTCAGTTCTATCTGTTGCCGTGACAGTATCCTCTATCGCTTTAGTTAAATCCTTCAAACGATGACACTTATTTAAAAGTTTTGTCAAGTCAGCTGACAAAAGTTTCATGAAAGCAGAAACTGCATCCTGCGATAATTTACTACATCTGACTAAATTGTCAATTCTTCTCTTGCAAACGTGTCCAACCGAACACGATAGTTTTGCCTGACTAGCATCATTTTCCACCGAGACAAGATTTGAGAAAGTCGGGAATTTTGGTAGTTCAGGATCTTTAGGAATAATCACATTATTATTATCACGTGAAAATAATATCAAAGGACTGTCCAAAGTTGTCGACGGATAACCTCTTCCGGGTGTCGATTCATCGACTAGAAAAGATAAAGGATTTTCATTGATTAGCAATATTTGCGCATGAAGAGAAATATCGGTTTGCTCTTGAATATGATTTTGAAATTCGTTCATTTTCTCCTCAGGGTGTAGGAAGATTTTTATTATATCAGCTCTTGGAACATTAAAGATGTAAATTTGTTTCCGACTCAAAATGTCCATGACTTCAGCGAAGAAACGCTCGAAGGACCAAATTCTCTGGGGATCAACTTCTAACAAGCCGGCTAATAATGGGGTTGTAATTTTCTTAAGACCGGTGCTTAATTGGCAATTTTGAGGTAATTCTCTATTCCATTCGATTGGTCCATTTTCTGACGTTTGGGTTCCTGATATAACTCCTGATGCTTTCTTGGTAGTGATGTAAAACATTGTTTCCTTATTTCTTCTTCCTCCGAAGGGACGAAATGGTAAATTTCCCGTTGCTACGTGATACAGAGTGACGCCAATTGACCAAAGATCAACTGTGGCTCCAAAAGTTTTCCCCACCGGTTTTCTTAAAACCGCTCGCTCGTACATGTCCGGATGTAAATATTCCTCAGTGCCGTAAAGCGACACAAACTGTTGATCTTCCTGTAATTCGCGAGCCGCACCGAAATCGGTGAGTTTATAAATTGTACTACCATCGTCAGCAATGAATTTCATAATATTCCCCGGTTTCAAATCACGATGGACTAAATTATTATCCCTTAGATGCTTCATTCCCGCGGACAAATGTTCTACGACTAGAAGAAATTCATTTTCCGATAAGCCATAAGTGTTTTCGGGATCGTCGAGAATATTAAATAAACTTCCACCGGTGCAAAGTTCCATGACAATGACTTTTCCTCTGCCATCTTGTTCCTCCTCGATTGCTAATAATTTAACAATGTTTTCGTGTTTCACCTTCTTCAGGACCTCGAATTCTCGCATTTGAACGTCATGAGGCCGCATGCGACTGAGCTGGTTGAATGTCTTCACAGCAACTGGTTCGCCATTATTTTTGTTGACTCCTTGAAAGACAGCGCCCGTGGCACCTTTCCCGAGAACACTGGTTGTGCACCATACATAATTGGCAGAGCCGCGAAGAAAGGACATGATTGTACTTTACTCAATTTCTGTGAAAAAAAATAATGAAAATTTCACAGAAATTTCATTATTTACAAATTTTTTTTTATAAATTTCTTCGCAATCATTCAATTAATTTCGTAAATAATAAAATTCTTTTTAGGAATTCAATTATTTTCATAAATAATTAAACTCAATGCAGAAATTTAATTATAATCAAGAGTAATAATATTCTTCGCAAAAATTAAATGAGCGGATGGGAAGAAGAACTCGCCGAGCTACCAGTCAGGTAATTATTCTTCAAAATTTTATTAAAATTCGTCAAAAGAATTCAATTATTTAAAAAATTTGTTGATAACATTTTTTTATGGGAATTGAATTTTAAGAAACATTCAATTGTTCAAAATAAATTATTTATTTTTGTATTTAAATAATTGAATTCTAGTAGAATTTTCTAATAAAAATTGATTTTTATTTCATTAAAATGAATTTCAGTTAAAAGTTTAGATAATAATTAAATATTAAAAGCAATATTGCGTGAATTTTTAAAAATACATAATTGAATTTTAAAATTATTTTTTTAAAAAAGTTTAATTGAATTTTTTTAATACTATTTCAATTTTTTATATTCTGATATTTATTTAATTGAAGAATTTAGGAATAATTGAAATTTCGTAAAATTGAATATTGTAAACAAATGGATTTGAAAATTTTCAAACAACTTTTTTGAAAATTATTAAAAATAATAAATTTAAAGAAGAATTTTAGTTAAAAATTCTTGTAAATAATAATATTGAATTGTAAATGATTTTATCACTCGGTCATCTTTAATATTATAAAACATGAAGACATCGATCACTCCGAGACGAAGACTCGATTTCAGTCATCGATTTCTTCATGTTTTATAGTTAATGAAAAATTTAATTTGTAGTTTTAAGTAAAAAAAACATTGGATTTTTGCGAAGAATTTTATTACTTTTGAAAAGAATTAAATTTTTGCAATAATTTATAACTTTTCAAAAATTTAATTTTATAAAAATGTATTTAACTGAAATTAGTATTCGTGATTTTAACAGTATTAATTTTACAAAAGAGATTTTAAATTCGCTACTTTTAAATCTTATTTTACAAGTTTCTATAAAATTCCGTATTTTGTATTTTAAAAATTTGAAAAAATCATTGTTTAATCTTAGCCGTGGAGTAACTGGGTCATTTACCTTATATTGAAAAAACAAAAAAACTTTGGTGTTGTTATTTATGATTGTTTAAGTTTGTTATTAGTTATTATTAAACTGATATTTAATAGAGACGTTAAAAACTTCTAATTTTTGTCAATACAACTTCATCTATAATTAATACTGTTCGTATTACTTGTCATATATAAAAATTTTCCTATTTTTAGTAAATATGGTTTTACCAAAAAAAAATAATAAAATCTGACTTTCATTAATAATTTTTACACGTCTTTCATATTAATATTTTTTTCCATGATTTTAAACGAATCGAAGGTCTTTTTAAAAATTTGATAAAATTGAAAATTCAAATTAAATTTTAGCAAAATTCTAAAAAAAACTGTTTTCTTATTAGGTTATTACTAAATATGTAATATATGAAAACAAAGAAAAATTAGTGTTCTTTTTGAATTAATTTTAGAATATGTAACGGTATTACTCTTTATGTTTATTGAGTTTAAAATGTTACCAATTTGTTTTATTTCCACTCGGTGTGTGTAAGTTGTGTGATATTAATAAACAATTAAAAAACAGATGACTTTTAGGCTGCGTCTACAATAGAAAAAAATAATGTGTAATTTGTAGTGTAATGTGTATTGTTTTTGGCATTGACAACTGTCAGGGGCAATTACACTATATATTAAACAATTTTCTACACATTATTTTTTCTGTTGTAGACGCAGCCTTAAAATTGAACAGGAAAGTTAACTTACTTTCTATTTTGTAAACTATATAATTGGGTAGTGTTTATTACACATATAGATAAAAATGTGTTATTTAAAGTCCACTTTTTGACCGACTGATAAAATTCATTATCGAATTTTACATACAAACTTCTTTTTATTTTCACTGACTTTTGACTTGACTAATTGTCAAATGTGCCAATCTGTTTTTGTTTACCAATTTTGACACATATTCTATTCCAGAGATGACTTTAATATAAGTACGGAAACTCTATTCTAATAATGGGTTCACTAAAGAGACAGGCCTGTGTATCTGTCTCTCTTACTCCAATGTGGATTTTTCGTTCTGGACAATTTTTACCGAAGATGTGAATGCTTCATAAGGGCGAGTCCACAATTTAAGACCGAAGCAGAATAGACATAACTGGAATTATAACCGCAATCGTTAACGGAAGAATGAGTTAGAGAAGGATAAACAATATACCTATGATTCTCTATCTCATTCTATTCTGCAAAGTTTAAAGGCGCTGATTAAAAATATAATGTTCATTTTACAATTTTCAAAATGGCAGATCTAATATGGTGGACGATTTTTAAAAAAATTGATTGAATTCGTTTGAATTTTGTTTTTTGGGGTCGTTGATTAAGAATATATGATATTCGTTTTTCACTTTTATATTTTACGTCTGCCATGTTGGATCCGCCATTTTGTTTTTCCATAAAATAATATCAAATTCAAAATCAGTGACCTCAGAAAACCCCCCCGACTGACGACAGCACTTTTTAGACCACTGTGACGGCACCTTAACGTAAAAATGCTTTTGACTTGATATTGTAGAGAGACCTCAATAGACTTTATGCTCTTTTCATTTCGAGGTGAATGCACGCGTCTTCAAGAGAGAAAAATCCTCGTGACGCCTCACTACCCATCACTGCACATTGAGATAATATTTTCCATCTCACTCTAACTAGTTGCGATTTACGTCTTGCGTTGTCAATGTGATTAGGGCTAACCAATCCATTCTCTTTAAGTAACTTTCATATACCAAAGTATCATTCTAACTTTTTCTAATCAATACACAAAGAAAAAGAGAGAGTGTAATTTTATATTCAAAAAATGTTTGAACGGACACACAAGAATTTCATTCTGCATTCTATGTAAAATAGTTGCCCTGTTTTGGCTATACAAGTATTGTGTGTGAAAATTGTGTGATTTTTAAAGACTTTATTGTATAAGTAATTAAAAAAAAGGGAATTTCAGTGATTTTCATGGTTTTTTTAAAAAACTATTTTCAATTTGTAAAAATATTCCAATGATTTACTTGTGATGTTGCAATACAACTCTTCAAAGTTGTTTTATTGTTATCCAATTTGTCAATACATCTTAACTTGTCAACAAGTTTCTTTTAACATAAACCGGTTGGATCTTTACATTTAATGTTAAAGATATGAATTTTTATCATCTGGATTCATAATCAAGTATTAAAAATATGAAATGACGTACTAAATTCGATTCACTGTCTTTTAACGGACATGTGATAAAAAGTTTTGGGGCTCAAATTTTTTTGCCAAGGAGTGAAAAAGAAATTTCATAAAGGGAAACGATTAAATTATATAAATTACTGAAATGGAGAAACAGCAGGAAAGATTACCACCCTTTTCATGTGGTAAATATAATTTTATTTTTGCATTATTCCAGTATTCACTGTTTTGTACATACCTACAAGTGTCTAATTCTTCGCAATGACAGATTCTCAATATTTTTTCTACATGCCTATGATTTTTAAAGGAATTCACTTGTTACACTTACAATACTTGATGTTTATCACTAAATTGAATAACAAATTTCAAAATAGCTTATTTATTCCTGTTTATTCGTTGTAAAACGTTCCACTCCATAAAACGTCATTAAAGAGTCAAATTTTTAGTAACAAAAGTAGATATTTCTCTTTTTTATTAATATTATTTTTATCATTTCTTATGCATTATTGTTGCTTTCGCATAAATAAAGTATTTCTTCTTCGAGAAATATTTCAATGTCGAATTTTTGACATACATCTCTCACGGTGGAACAAAGAAACCATTTTGTAAACAAATTGTTGAATTTTAAAATAAGTTGAATATTTTTAAAAAGTTTATTCTTTACACTCAATTAGAGATAAAATGTATGTATTTTTTACAGTAATAATGTAATAAACATAACTAACATATGTGCCAATTTGAGAAACATTTAACATTTTAAAGAATGGAATTTTACTTTATTTCTTTAAACATTTTTACAATTTATGATTCTTTATCTTGAAATATATTTGAAAACTTTTTTTCAACTATTTTCTAAATTAGACAATTTAGGAAATTTTTCAGTTTTTAAGGTTATGTGGGATTTTAGTTTTTAACTATTTAATGTTACATTAAAATTAAATTTAACTCTGTCTACTGTCAATATTCTCAGGGTGGCCACATGTCCAGGTCTAGGATATTATGACTTTTTCGACTATTTTCAAATAATGTGACTTTTATCGACTTACATTAAATGCGACTTTTTCGACTTTTCTTCCAAATTTTACGACAAAATATCATATTTTTAGTACAAAATGCAACTTATTATACTATTTTAGAATTTTTGAAAAATAATTTATAATTCAAATTCTTCAAAAATTTGATTATTTTTTTTTATATTTTTTAAAAAGACTTAATTATTTTTAAACAATTTTATCAAATTTCAATTATTTTTCAAAGATTTTACCAAATTTCAATTTTTTTGGACTTTTTTAATTGTATGTAATTTTAAAAGTATTATCTTTGAAAAATTATTTAGAAATATTTTTAAAAAGTTAATTTCACGAATTTTTTTATTAAAATTTTTGAAAATATTATATCTTAATAACTTGAGAAAAAAATATCAACAGTTACAATTATTACAAAAAAATTGAGTTTTTGTATAATTGATTTATTCTAGAAGATCTTAGAAATTATTTAAAATAATTGATAATTGATTTAGAGATGAAGTCTAGTTGAAAATTGTAGAAAATAATTTTGTTCTATTTCGGCTTTTTGATATTTTTTTTGCTTCTCTCTTTTTTTGATAATTTCTTCTTTTTTTTGCGAGAAAGTGAATATAATTTAAAATTTTATTAATTATTAGTAAGTAAATTGCCACGAAAAGGAATATATATGCAAAGCTTAAACAACTTTTCATTTCTAATTTCTCAGAGATTTGTAAATATTTTTTATTGATAATAATATTTTTTTTTATTCAATTTTTAAAAAAAATTTTTATTATTTTCTTTCGAGAGCCGATATTTTTCCCAATAAATTATTTAAAGTTTCAAAATGGGCCAGCAACCGGTTGTCGAGAATATAAAAAAAAATCAACATTTTAAACACTTTATAATATTTAATTTTATATGAAAACTTAAAAAAGAGATAGTCTTTGTAAAAATTAAAAAATTAGGTTTATTTTTGAAAAAAGAAGGGTTAGATAAAATTTTTTTTAAATACTTTTAGAATTAAAAAATACCTAATTTTTGAACAAATTGATTGAATCGTTATTTTTCATTACTTAAAAAATATTTTCAAATTATTTTAAATATTTTATTTAAAATAATTTTTGACGTGGTATTCATGAAAATATTGTCTACATACTTCCTTTTATTATTATTTCTTTAGAAAATTTTTTGTTTATTTAGTTGCTTAAAATTGTGAAGCTTATTTAACGGCGTCAGCAGATTCTTCAATCCAGCATTGATACATAATTGTGACTCTTGAATAATACATTTATATGCACAAATATTTTTATCCTTTTGTATAATATATATTACTCTAGTTTATAGTTGTTGGGAGAAGTTTTGTAGAAAAGAGCATTTGTCCTGTTTACATAAATAAATTAATTTTTAAATTAATTAAATAATTACTTGGTAAATTTACACGTTTTTGTTAACATTAGTAATTAATTTTCGTTTCTATCTAAAAATAGACTTAAATTACTTAAATAAACAAATTTAAACTCGTCTGCAAAAAACAATTTTTTTATGAAGAGGACAATCATTTTTGGACAAGTTTTTCTTTAAAGTCTGACTCTTTTTACAAAATTTGAGAACGACCCTCAGTTTCAAAATGGAAACTACAATGGTAATGTAATGTGAATGTAATGTAGGTCAAAAGGTCAAAAAGTACGAAAGGCAATCTTTCAAATTTAACTTTTTATATAATTTACATTATTTTTAAAAAACTCTTTTCTTATATTAGCAATTATTTATTAGGTTGTTTTAAAATAAAATGCTTTATTAATCAAATTTTACTAAATTTCATATAATTTTTTCAAAGTTTAGTTTTTTTGATATCAAAATTTCTCTCTGTCGCATTTTCTCTCCAAATTTGTAAAATACTTTTACATCTGAAATTAATATTCATTTTCTTTCCGTACAAATAATACAAAAGTTTAAATTACTGAAAATTGAACTTATGTACATTTTATTTTAATAATTTTGTTTCATTAAGATTAGTACCTACTTGTTTTTATTGACTCTCTATATCTGAATGAGTTAAAATTTTAACTAATAAATTGACAAAAGATATAAATAAACAATGAAAAATGGGATACCTGAAAATTCCTCACACTGAATTTAAATAAATTTTTGCAGTGTTTTGAATAGTTGTAAAATATTTGAAATGTTTAACATAGATTTTCTGTCTATTCAGAAATATAGTTTGATCGTGAAATCGTTTTCTATAAAATGTAGCATAACATTACTCACTTCACAATTCTATAGATGCAGTCTTATTCATCAGAATTGTGTCAAATCATCCACGAATAGAGACAATTAATACAATGTACACGATTCCACTCAAGAAGTAGTTAGAAAATTAGTTTATATGTCAGTGATTTACTTATGGGAGAATTTATAGTTTATCGTTAACTACCAAAAAGAATACTTCTCTTAACTATTTTATTCTCACTTATCTTTATTTCGCAAAATTAAAAAAAATTAAAAAGGAATATTTTTTGATTTTAAGTTGCTTATTACTTTCAGAGGAAGCTAAATTTGAAATTTTTGCGATGCCTCGCATATAGTTGATTCTGAAAAATATTTTAATATCAAATTTTTTTATTCTATATATAATTTTCTAAAAATACGTAAATTTCTGAAAAAATTCATGTTTGATTTTCCCAAGTATCGTGAAATTTTAAGAACCACTTGCAGATTGTGATAATTCTGACGTGGAGTTAGCCATTAAATATATTTTTTCAGATGAGTTTCCAAATAGTGGAGAAGACAGTGAGGAAGATGAAGTAATAGATTACAGTGATCACTCTATGATACATGAAAACTTGATGCATTTAAATATTCAGGGGACTGCTGATACAAACATCAAATATACCAAAGATAATTCTGTACTTGTCATGTCAGATGCAATGAATGATCAACACATATTAATTCCTGATTCCAACAGCCACAATCAACCTAATCCTCTTGTTCCGATCATTAGTGTTACACCTCATTCACCTGGTGTTGTATCCAAGTATTATCCTGTGTTGGGTAAGAAATTAATTATATTTTTTTATAATCAAATACATTCCTGTTCGGAGACATCTCTGAATTTAAAATCATTTTTGTCCTTTGCAGAAGAAAATTTACAACAGCTTCATGAAATTTATGACAGCGTTCAACGTATTCGAATGCAAGATCCTGTTTTGGGTTCGATGGGATACAATAATCGATTTTTGCATGACGAGCAAATTCAAAGACTTAGTTGGTCTTGTCCTTCTCTTCAAAATTTGATGTCAATAGAAGCGGCAGCCAGACTTCAAAATCAGGACTGCGGATCTGAACCAGACCTCATCACAAATTGTTCTAACAATAGTTCACCGACTTACTTTTCAGGATCAGGTCCCAATAATGCTCAAATTAATCAATGTATAGATAGACGAAGAAGTTGGACTGATTTAGAAACTACAAAACAGAGTTATCGTAGACGCTCTGCACAGAATTTCCTTCAGGCACAGAATATGGTAAGTCTTCTTTAATTCGCTGCACTAAATTAGTAATTATTTTGCCTATTTAAACTATTCGTCATTTTCTCGATGATACTTTGAATTATTTCAGCTTTTCATTGACGACATTTTTCAGAAACAACGCAGTATCAGTTTAAATAGTCTTGATGGAGAAATCGATCTAGTATTGGGTAATAAGCCTCAAAAACAATCCACTTGTGACAAGGAACGTCCATCTAGATCCCCAGCAAGCACTCACTCATTGAATGAGGCCGATTTTATTCAGGTGAAATATTTATTACTTATTTATATGGTAAACTAAAATTTGCCAATTATATCCCTATAAGATAACACCTAGCACCTAAAATTTAAGAAAATGTTTATTTTACACTATTTTTCAACATTTATAGGGTGGTTTTAGTAAAAGAACATCAAAATGTGAAAACCAAGAATTGCATGACAGAATTTCACTGATACCTGGAGTAGTTGGATCGCGACTTACCCTCCAAAAATCGGTTTCAACTCCTTCAATTGTCACACCTCCAGGTCCTACTCACCTAGCTGATTCTGGAACCCTAGCAACATCTTCAATTAATACGTGAGTTATAAAAAATATTAATATGTATGCGAATCCAAGGTGTTCTCCTTTGTCTATATTATTACTGCATTATTCAAACTCAAAGCTTACCATTTTTTTTCGAACATTCATACATTTTCCTATTCACAGCAATCGGGGTATTTATTATATAAAGTATATATTTAATGAAAGTTTTAGACAATCTGGTAATCTTATACAATTAAAGACCAGAATAGAATGTCTATTAAAATTACTTGAAATCGATTTTCAAGTAGAATATAAAAATGCCATTATTTTTTTGTAAATCTAAGACTACTTATCTTTTATTAGAATAAGTAGTTTATTGAAATAGTGTTGTAGATTATTACAAAATTAATTCAAATGTGACAGTACTTTTTGTCCGTTTATAATTCTAACCGTTACTGAACGATAAAAAATTGTTCTATTTGTAAGAATGTATAGTAGATTATTTCTGCATATTTAAATGATACAGATGTCATCACTGGAACATGTAAAAACTTAGGATTTGTATACAGAAATAGTGGTTTTAAAATCTTCAAGTAGCCTGCAAGTTCAAAATACTTTACGCGTCTATACAATTTTTTTACAACCAACAATGAGTACATGTATTTTTAAAAAATACATAATCCTTGGTCAGCAGCAGCCTATCGAAAGTCTGCTACAGACCAAAAGGTCTCTCAGTATTACGTTTTCCAAACATCATAGTACATATTTTTGCACCAATGATTTCCATACTGTTGGCACAACTTTAATTATTTTAGTACATAATATGTTTTTTTCCATTGCATGAAAAGGTGTGTTAATAGTATTCATATTTTGGAGTTTTGAAATAATCAAAGATGATTCTGCAAAATCCTACAAAATGTTTTATAATATCGTTTACCTCATTCTTCCTCGCAGTTTTTGAGAATGTTCTCCAAACATCATATATTTGTGAAATTTCTCTGAGTTCTTCCCAAGGAATCCCAAGGAATTGTTTGTTTAGTAGATATTCCAAATTGTTTTGTTTTATCTTCATTGTTCACCTTGATTTTTTATTAAGACTTGAAATCTTGATTGTAAAGAATTTGATTTTAGAGAATCTGTTGGTGATGTGGCAGTGTTCGATGTAAGGAAGGAGTTCTTGGGCACCAAGCCAAACCTATTTCTTCGACGCAGTAGCGCCACTATTGAACGGTTTGTTCTGTCTATTTTCAAAGTATTTTACATTGATAATTACAAAATTATTTCAAATAGTTTTTATTCAATTTTTTACTTATTCGTTACTTATTTCTATTTAAAAAAGAAATACTTATTTTCTTATAAACTTTAGTTGAACATTTTACTGCGTTATGGCGTGTATGAGTCATTTTCATTGAACATCTGCAGTAATATTTGAAAAAAGTTCGCTCTGTCAAATCATTTCAGAACTTAACATTACAGTTTGTTGTATATGAAAAGTAGCGTTTGGAGTATGTTCAAATCTTTTCCAATAATTGATTTGTTTGTGAATTATAATGAAAGTTTAAGTCGCTGAAGATGGATTTTGATTTGTTATTTGGAAGATAAAATTTTATTTACTTGGTTTGTGAGTCTGTCCTTAAGAACCGTACATACTCATTAAAAATTACCTAAGATATACATATAAATGAATGCCTCGTACCTTGCTGATTGTTTCTTACTCTTCATAAAAGTTATTCGTCCATTCTGCCATTCTGATGATGAAAGTGTAACAAGTAACCACTTTCTTTATCAGGACGGCAGAATTGTAGAGACACTGTGTGCCTGAGTAAACATTCTCTATAGCCAAGATTTCTGTAGATGTTTGCGCTTAATTTAGAGTTTCGTAGGTAAGTCCTCCTTCAAAATTGTTAAAGGAGTTTTCCATATTTAGATCGAAATTTCGAAATTTCCTTTTTGCTATAATGAAAATTCATTCTTGAGAGTATAAAAAAAAGATATATAAAAAGATAGAAAAATATTTGTCCAGTAATGTAATTAAGCTGACATATCTTCAAACAGCAGTTAATAGTAACTAGTACCAAGTTTGTTGGGAATGTTTTCAAACCAGTAACGTTCCTGTGATGACTTTATAGAATTATACAGAAAGGAAAGGAGTTTCTTTTATGCATTGCGTATTCAGTACTTTTATATTTGAAGTGAATTTATAATACACAGTACAAATGTTTTTCCTAACTATATTTAAACATTGTATGAGATGAGTTGTTATTATTTGTTGATATTTTATTTTTGCATTTGATTGTTTGCTACTATTTTGCACGACAGCAATCGGCATGAGAGACATGAGAAAGGTAGCGGCAGTGAAACTGAAACTGAAGACCTACACATTCCCCGTAGACATGAATCTCATGAAGATTTAATAGGAGAAGGGGTGCGAAATGTCCAAACATCTCTTGATGAACTATCCACTGAGTGAGTAAATTATGCTTGAAAGGTAAAAATCTTTACGCCCACAAGAGGACATTCTTTGTTGTATATTTAACTTCAAGGATCACACTTTAAACACTGAATTTATTTTTTGAAAATTAAACAAAGATTTATGCCTTTAAGTTAGTACAGTCAGTAATTAGTTTGTTCCGGTTAGAAGTTGGAATTATTCTAAAATCTCTAGAGGAAACTGGATGCACAGCTCCTTGGTCTGCTTGTGAATATTTTCACCCTCTTCATATTTCTTCATCAACAAAACTTTGTCTTGTCATTTGTAATCCACTTGTTCCTTAGATAGTCAGAGAAAGTGGTTTTTCATTTTGCTGTGACAAATGTTTTTATTATACCAAATGCCTTCTCGACGACCTACTAATGATTTTGACAGATCGATGCTTAATACACCTAATTATACTCAACAAATATTGTTCCTCAAGCAATGCATCTCTTCCTATCGAAGTAGTAGAAAAATTCTCATTTTCACTAACAAAGACCTAATCATGTGGTTTTATCAAGTCTGATGAATCTTCTATCTAAATTGTCAACGGCTATTTAAACCAAAACCGCAGTCATGGATCGACTCACTGATTTTCTTTCAATAAGAATCTGAGTGGAACTAACAATTTTTACCGCTTTTTTGTTTTTTTAATATTTAAATTATCATATATAACTATATTTAAGAAAACTTATACTTGAAATTAACAAATTAACAAAAACCAGTTAAAAACAAGTTAAACCATAGGTGGAAGCATCAGGCAGAGAGAAAGAGTCAGCTAGTGTACTTAACGTCCCCTCTTCTTTCTCTCTCCAGAGGCGCATGCGCGAGAACGACATATATTGAACTTGATATTTCTCTATAAAAAGTCCGACTGCAAAGTTTATTTTACATAGTTAAAGGGTGTCTTTATTGAACTAAAAGAGATCTAGAGCAATAAAATCTATAAACATATTAAAAAAGTTAAGGTCATGTTATTCAGTGATCACGTGCCCCATAGTAAAGTTTATGGGGCACGTGACCCATTAATAACATAACCTTAATCTCAGGCGTGCAAAATGGTATGAACCCTTAAATAGTTTTAAAAATATTTTCCATTAATTTAGTTCTGGCTCTAAATTAGAAATACAACAGAGAATGTCTTCCTGTCATTTCAACAATGGAAAGATTGCGATTTTCTTATTAATAGGTCGGCAGATAGTTCGCCATTTTTCATGTAACAAGTTTGTTTTGCAACATTTTAAAGCATGAATTACAGTTTTCTTTGTAGCTAGTTTAAATAGCATATACTTTCTGAAAAATATTATCTGCAAATTTTCCGTTGCTTGACAGAACTATTCCTTTTTCAACGTCCATCCACACAATCATTAAGTTTTTAGTGGATAATGGTTTGTATACAATTTTTCTAAAGTTCTCTAATTACATATCTTTTTAATCGCCATGCATGTTTCGTATTTTTATATGGCATTTTTAAAGACTATTTATAAAACGATACATGGTGATTATAAAAATTTACCTTATTGTCATATTTTGATTTCTTGCGTTTCGCTCAAATTAAATTTATCGAAAAATAATGTTCTTATTATGTTTCAAGAAACTTTGGTTTATGGTTTTCATTTTAACAAAATTTTATTTTATGAAAAAGTTAACTTGAGCGCAATTTCGTTTCCACGATTGTCATTACTTCTCATTTTCAATTTAACGCTAAGAATTTGTTATGAGAGAAATTAAAAATAAAATATTTAAAAATAGTCGCGCTCCTCATAATGACCAAATAAATAAATGATTTTTAACTTCGAAAGACTTTGACGTAATTTTTATTTCAGTGGAACAGCTTATGATGATCAGCACTCTGAAAAAACTAGAAGGAAACGTGGTTCACTATTCTTTCGTAAGAAAAAGGTATGTATTAAATTGTGTTTGAATTGAACATAGAAAAATATCATTTTATGATTTATTTAATAGGGACACCAAGTTATATTAATTGCCAAAAAATAATTTTGTGTTATTGTGAATGAGTAACGGTCAAAGAAATCAAGTTGTCGATTGCTGCCTAGATATATATAGAGAGTCGCATGAGTATTTCCCAAATAATTATATATTCTCATCATTTGAGAAATTATTTCAAATTTTAATTAGCTGAAAATTACAGCTTGTCTGCTTGTCCATCTGAGGACAAAGGAATTGTTAGTCCTTAGTATTATAGTGACTCTTGAGTGTCAATTTTTGTTTTGCATATTTCGAGAACTAGAACGTTTGCTTGAATGACAAAAAGTATATGACATGTAATATATCAAAAGCATTTGTTGTTAACAGAACAATTCAAAAGAATTTTTTTATTATTGAAAGTAATCGGCGATGGGTTTTTATTTTTCTCTCGATAAAGATCATTGCTATTAGCTGATAGTACCACCTAACTTTTAGTTAAATAATCTTTTAAACAAACATAAATGTAATGATATACCTATTGACTCAAAGTGATATTTTTATTTCTTAACGCAACCAAGTGAAAAATTTTTTAAAAAGAGTTCTTAAGAAGATATTTAGAAATTTTTAAAAGGCAATTTAAAGTTAATGTAACATAATTTTAGGTTATTGATAAATATTGAATCCTTTTATACTAATTTATAAAAATATTGTCATTTTTTGCAGGATAAAAACGTTAAGAAGTCTACTTTACAACATAATCATCAGTGGGTGATTCTTATTGCAGGAACTCAAGCAAATTCAGTATGTGATTTTTGCATGAAGCTTCTAACAAATAAATTCATTCTACAATGTGAAAGTAAGTTTAACTTCATTGGTCTTAATTTTATTTTCTACTATACCCTTTGCAGTAACCCTAATTAATCAAGTAACTTCGTATTACTTAAGAGTACGATTGGGTATTACCCCCATATTTTGAAATACAAAAGTTGATCAATTATTTAATTATTAATGACAACTTATTAATGATAGATTGTGGAGCAATGGTTCATCAAAATCAGACCTGCAAAGATCAGTTACAATTGGATTGCATTAAAACAAAACATCAAGCTGGAAAAGGTGTCACAAAATCGGTGTCAAGTGTGTCTTCAATAACAAACAACAACATTACAAAGCGTGGATCTACAGTATCTTTACCGCCTTCTTCATCGATCGGAAGTGGAAGGTAACCAAAAGTTTTTTATTTCTTATTAACTGCATTGACTCTTTGTTTTATATGGTTTCAAAATCGCACGTTGTTAGCATACTCAGACTAAAGCTCGGAGTGGATTTTACTTAAGAGAGTTTTAACATTTATTTTTTCAATGACTGACAACAATAATATTTTGAAAGTAGTGAATTTGCAAAGTTCAAAGAAGCAGAGAAAGTGAGAGAAAGAAAACGAACGTTTCTCCGAGTCTTTGGCTGATTAAAAAAAGCTTATTATTTACAAGTAATATTGTAAATTACCTTGACATTGTTAGAGCAATGAGCCTTGGCATTTTTAACATCTGCCTTTTGTTATAGCAAATTTTTATCAATGGCGCTTTATAATATTTTTAGAAAATGCAATACACATAAAGGTCATTGTTTTGAAAACAACTTAAATTCTGATTAGCAGAATCGCACAAGGAAAGAATTTATTTAGAAATTGTCAATACATAAGTACAATGATTTACATGTAGCTTCTTCCGTTATACCTGTAAGCATACAACGTGATATGTCCCGGGAATGAAAATTAGAGAAATCAATTTTGATTTCAAATATAACAGAGTAGAACAGTATCGGACAATCGGTTTTCTTCGTATGTGATAAAAATTGAAATTGCGCTAATGTAGTTTCTGCTTTTTCCTTCCCTCTTGCATTCCTTGTGCAACAACGACATACCAATTGATCGTTCGTCGATAAAATGGAAATTTGCAGCAAGAAAGCAGTTTCAAGCTACAGTCCTTGGCGGCGTGTTGCCACCAAGCTGGGAGTCAAGTAAGTCTCAGATGTGATGTGTCTCTCTTCTGTCAAGACATTTCTTTATTATTTCATTTTTATTTCGCTATTAGTATCGAATTAATAGCTGAAATTGTAAATCAGAATTGCTTTTTGTTTTCTTCAAATGTTTATACCTTCCTTACGTATTTAATATTTTACATTTATTCCACCCTTAGAGCCAAAACTATTGAACGTGTTCTTAATAAATTCTTGAATGCAGAGAGTATATTTTTTGTTAAAACACATCTTTAAAACTTTTTTTTGGAAAATTAATTGATTATAGGTCAAGGGTATAAGATTTAAGTTTTAGAAGATTCATTCCCTGAAAGTTGAAGTAAACTTGATTTGGATGCAAAAGTTCCAAAACATAGGTTTCAAACCGAAAGTTCCACGATTTATATTATTTCAGAGTAAAGGTGTAGTCATTAATAAGGCATTAATTAAACCTTCCTACAAAAAGTATAATTTAGTAACGAATAAAATAACATAATCATGGTTGCCACAGAGCCTGGAAAACCTGAAAAAGATATGGAATTTAAAAAAATTACTGGAATTTTGCCTGTTTTGTTCTACCTATTGTTTAGGACCAATATCAAATTTTTGACTTTCAATTGTTAGTAAACCGAAGACAAAGTTTGCTGAAAAATTAGTTTTTCATCTTCTGCTGATTATCGGCTGTGGTTACTTTTTGTGAATTGTGAATTAAATTAGTTTTGATGACCCAGATATTAATTGGAATTGTTCTAGCAATAGTTTGGGACCAGTAAAAAAATTTTATGACTGTCAATTGTTAGTAAACTGTAGATAAAGTTCGCACAAAAAATAATTTTCCATCTTTTGCTGATTATCGGCTGTGGTTACTTTTTATGAATTGTGAATTAAATTAATTTTCATGGCCCGGATAATTATTGGAACTGTTCTAGTAATAGTTTAAGATCAGTAAAAAAAATTTTGACCATCAATTGTTAGTAAACAGAAGACAAAGTTTGGTCAAAAAATAATTTTCATCTTCTGCTGATTATCGGCTGTGGTTACTTTTTATCGTTCGCTAGTCTTCTATCTGAGAATAATCGAGTATATAATATAAACAATATCGAGTTATTATGTTACGTTACCGCAGACGAGATGAGCGTTACTAGATTTAATTATTCCAGAAGCTAGTAGTGCACTACTAGTGGGAGTCGATTTCGCTTGTTTCACGAAGAGAAGATCGCACCGGTGAAGAATCAAGACGCCATCTAGTCCTCCTAACCAATAGGAAATATACCGAAATAATTAACTTTCTGTGAAGATGATTCTTAACCCAGGATGTACAAATAAACTCTACAGCATCCGCTTCAGGTGAAAAGAGATGTACGTCTATTTACGTGGGGCGATAAGTGCAAAAGGGGTCAGGAAGAATTTACAATTCGTTTGACGATGGAAGATCATAGTAGCTATTAGGCTAACATCTAGCGCGATAAATTATGATTGGTAGAAACAATCAAGGAACGACATATTTAACCTGCTGATGCTAACTTATCCACAATCTATCGCCAAAGAACATAACTCCCATAGTCCCCACCAGGCGTCCAAAATGACGATTTCTGAAGATGACGGTCGTTATAGCATCAGCAGAGAGTTAATGAAAAGTAAAGAAAAACCTAGGAACATTTCTAGAATGTGAATGGTTTTTTCCCGCTGGATACACTTCTTCATGACTTTCGGAACTCACAATTTAAATGGGGATATAAGCTAATTTCAACTTTCAGGGAATTTTCATGCTGAGATTACAAATAGTTCCGTAACTTTATTAATGAAAGTAATATTAAAATTTGACAAAATTTGTATTCTTACAAAATGAAAAAAACCTTTAATTCTCTATTTTTAATAAATGAGAATTCGTATCTTGTACATTAATAAAAGAAAAGTAAATAGAAAATATTTCTTTTAATTGGTGTTGATGAATGTATCTTTAAACTTAATGATGTAATTCATTTCTGTAAATAAAATACAGTGAAATCCGTTTACTACGACTTAGCTATCAACAACTGACAGCTTATAATAGTACTACTGAAACCATAGTTTTTCTGGTTTACGTTGAGATTACTATGAACATTAAACTGTTCATTATGATAATAAAGAATTATTGGTACTAGTAGCACCCGACAAGAAAACACCTTTGAGTGCTGTCACAGATAATAAAGTTGTAGCTGGAAAATGTTCAAAATGTTCACGGTAGAAGCCAACAGTTTGTTGTGATTTTTAAAATACGTTCGAAGTAGGAAAATAGTTAAAATTGACAAAAATCTGTAGAAATTCCTGACAGTTCAGGTTTCAGTTTGAAGTTAATAAAAATTTCTATATTCCTTTCTTTCGTGCAATTTCATTATAATGGAAGATAATCGTTGGTGGACCCAAAAGCTGATACAACATCGCATTCGATTCCAAACAATGGTATAAATGGTATACAATGGTATATTTCTCGTCGAAATTTTGAATAGGTCTGTTAATGTCGTAATAATCGGATTCTACTGTATATTTATGTAAAAATTTGTTTCTTTTGTTCTTCAAATTCTGTTACAAACATTCATTGCGATCTATTTGTCGTTGCTGCCTTGCTATCTAAGACGGATGCCATTGTCGACTATTGAAAGTTAAACTTTAGGATATAGTTTATTGAATAATAATAATATATGTATTATGTAGAATTGTACATTAAGTGTAATATTTCTTGAGAAAACTGTAAGCAAGCCTAAAACACATCACTTCAGTTCTGCACCCTGTCTTAAGTGTCTCTTTTTACAAAGATGTTCCAAAATTTATAATTTTAGAAAGAATGCAATCTCTTTTGAAAATCAATTCTCTCTCTCTACGTGAGGAATAATAAAAATTTTTGACGCTGGAGATGCGGCAATCTATCCGGGACCCTAGCGATAGCTTGTAAAACTTGACTCGATTTAAGTGTAGGGGAGAGTGGGGCAAAATGGGGTACCTTTTTGAAATTGTTTGTTTACAGAGGACCAAACGAATAAATCGATTCAGCTAAACTTCAGAATTCTTCTTTGTACACTTAGCTTTGAGGAAATTATGATAATAGCGGAGAAAAAAATTTTTGAAAGAACTTATATCGTATTTTCTAAGAAAGTGCTAAAATCCCATTTTGCCCCACCCGTGGGGCAAAATGGGGTGGCATCAAATAACTATACAAAACATTGAGTATTTTTTCAAAATTCATTAAATTCTTGTTGTATGAGATTATAAATACAAACAAAAAGTAGGATTCTTTATTACTATGAAAAAACAAGTAATATTTATTAGAATTTAACAAAAAAACATGGATATTGCAAAATATCGATATACCGATAATGAAACATCGATAGTATAAATTCCTCGAAGCAAAAATATCGATTCTTCTGCAGGAAACCTTTAAATATGCATAATATAATGTTTTTAAATAGTTTTAATGAAACGGCGTAGCTTCCGGCATGCCCCACACTTAGGTACCCCATTCTGCCCCACACTGCATATTAAAACAAAATGCAATGTTTACAAGTTATTGTAAACAATTAAACAATCTATTCTATTGGAAATTACTCTAGAATAAGTACTGAAAAAGATACCACACTTGCCAAATTAAATGCATTATCCCAAAAAGTTTGGTGAGCACTTTAATTTTGAAAAAAATTCATATTTTTTTTGCTTAAAACTTAAAAGTTGTATAACTTTCAAAAAAAAATTTTCTTTGGAGTGTCTTCATAATTAATAACAGTTTCTTATCAACATTAATGATATATGTCGAGGAAAAAAAAATTAAAAGTACCTATCATGGAAAAACAGAGGTACCCCATTTGACCCGCCTACCCCATTTTGCCCCACTCTCCCCTAATCCAGATTTTAAAACATGATCTTTCGAAATTGATGTATTCAATACTTGAATATCTGCATTTTTCACATTTTGTTTGGTAATTAGGTTTGTTCTTTTCAGAATTATTCATATTTCAACTTTTCCGAATCAATAATTCTAAATTTCTTTTCTGTGCAATAAAGTATGTTTGGTGCATGTATGTTTTTTTTATATCTTTATGTGGTAAATTAATTTCACTGGTTGGGTGGAAAAACACGACAAGTTGGTTTGGTTTTTAAAACATGACAAATCGAATTAGAGTTAACAGGCATTTTCTTTTGCGTTGAAGAGTATACTTAACCAGGTGAAAAGTAAATTCACTTATATAATTAAAAAAATTTTATCGAAATTTCAAAGAACAGTTTTCGATTTTGTTATTTTCCTTAACGCTAATGATAATAAAGAAAGCTTTTTGATTTAATTTCAAAGTGTTTGTTTTTCGAAACCAAACCGAGTTGTCATGTTTCTTCTCCTAATTAGTAATTTATAAGCGCTGATAAAAATCATTTTATGATTGCACCCTGAACAATTTAGTGTTCGTTTTCAAAGCGTTCAAGCTGTTTCAAAATTATTCAACGAATCCATCATGAAATAATAAAGTGTTATTATATTTTAACCAGATGATCCCTGAAGTTGCTTCTTTATGCTAACAATGTGTAATATGATCTTAGTTAAAGAGTATTCGAGATAAAAGTTTTATCAGTTAAAAACTACTGATGAATTTATAGAAATTGCTGAAGGACCAACTTTAAATTAAATATTCGTTGTTTTTAATAATCAGCATACAAAACTTTACACCCAAACCTTATTACTCAAAGATACCCTATAGGTACCTTGATAGGAACTATGTCACTGCACTTAAAACTTCCAGTCTTAGTCTGCATACTACACGTTAATTATTTATTAAAGATTTAAGAAACGGAGGAGTCGTCCATACATTGCGTGAACAATTTTGGGTTTAAAGGTGAATTGAAAAATTATCCATGTGGTATATGAACGTCTTCTACCAATAACATGATATGCTGTTAGTGTTACTATTTCACTCAAATTAAATCGAAAAATATTTTTCTTACTTGAAATAGGCTTTTTGATGTTTGCATGAATACACATACTTAATGAACATTGTACTGTATCCTTGTGCTTTTAAATAATGGTTTAAGTAAGTAATGTTTCAATTTGTATTATTCCATAACTGTTTCTCTGTTGTTGTTACTGATTTTCTATTATATTTAATACCAGTGACGTTACTATTGTTAAAAATACGTTATTTAAGGAGGTGTCAAAGTGAATACGACTTTTACACTACAAGAAAACAATGAAGTTTTTTAGGATTGTATTTAAACTTTACCATAATGTAAGTTTCGTGCCGAGTATTAAGGAATGTCCAAAATGTCAGTTCATGTCTTTCAGTCCTTAAATATTTCAAAAGCTTGTCATCCTGAAGACGATTGAAAACTTCTGTCCTCCCCCATGGATACAAAGGTACTGGAAAATTTCTAACAAATATTTGTTTCAATTCGAATTCAAATAGCTCACAATCTTACTAAAATATTTAATTTCCAAATTATCAGTTATGAATAATTTCCTATTATGAATTTTCAAACAAATTTCTTAATACGAAATCAAATTAAAACCTAAAAGAAGATGATAGTCACTATTTGATTAGATACCATAATTAAAAACAAAATCTTATGAAAAATTATTTCAAAACACGAGCATTTATTATACCAGTAAATAGATATAATTTTTAGTTCATTCGACAAAACTTTTTATCAAAAGTTTTCAATAGCTTTGTATCCTTTTTCATATTTAAGAAATTTAACTTTTATTTTACATTAAAAGAAAAGAAATTGATAAAACGTTGTCCTTTGGTGATGTTTCAATGAAATTATAAATGAATATAAATGACATTAAATTCATTATATTAAAATCTGTATTTTTTTCTAGTCAAACTATAAATGAAGAAAAAGATGGAGATGCTGCTCATCGTGATAGTTCCAGGTTAGTTAATTTAATTCATAGCACTTTTTCTCTTAGTTTGTATGCCATTATAAATAGTTGAGATCCTTAAGTAACTTTTAAAAAAGCTTTTAGTTGAAGGCTAGAATTTTTATAAAATTATACTTTTTTAAACCATGTATCGTGTCAAATTAACGGTAAGAAATTTGGGAATATAAATAACGATTAAAAATTGTTTATCCTTCTCATATTTCAATTGAGAAATCTCTGTATATTTTCTGCATAGACATTTTTGTATTAAAATTTATATAAATTGGAATTCATACGAAGACAAATAAAAATAATAGGATTTCTTCATAAAATTCAATATTATTATTTATTGTCTTAAATGTTACTATTTTTTGTAATTTACTCACTTCCCACCATAAAGACTCGAAATAAACGAGAATAAAAGAGAACGACCCCCAAAATTGCTGTTACAAAATAATATTCTTGCAAAGTTAGAAAAAGATAATATATTTGTATGATAAACTTTTTTTGTTAATATTTGCAGTGCCTACGAAGAGTTCGATTTTGGTGATGACGCACATCAATTTTCTGCAGACAGTTTAGAAGATTTTGATCCAGAGTTAGGTTTAGGTAAAGAGGAATCGGATTCATGGAGTGCGGCTGTAGGACGACATATATCATTGCGGCATAGTGGCACCTCCGAACGAGAAGTGAAGAGACAGGAACATCTTTACGAATTTGTACTTACTGAGAAACATCATTGTTTGGTGCTTCTTGCAATGGATAAAATATTTGTCGATGGACTCCGTCACCATTTCCAAATGACATCTACAGCTATTGACCGCATGTTCCCCAGGTTGCGCGATCTCATCGACATTCACATACGTTTCTTGTTGAAGCTACGTAGGCGACAAAATATCAATGTTGTTGTGCAATCCATTTCTGATATTCTCATTGATCAGTTCTCGGGTGAGAATGCTGTTCGTATGAAAAACGCTTATGGAGATTTTTGCAGTCGTCACAGAGACGCTGTAGAGGCCTACAAATATTATTTGAGAGAGGATACGCGCTTTGCACGATTTGTTCGTCACTGTCAGGTACGTTCGGTTGATACAAAACATAATTTTTTTTCATTTCTCGATTCGTTACAATTACTGTAAAATTTTATGCCAATATTTTACAGGGTTGCCACACTTTTTTCAAAGTTTATAAAATTCCCAAACATTTCCAGGTTGCGTGGCAACCTTGAAAAATTTTATTATAGTTCGAAATTAGTACGGGACTTCTGCGAAGAAAATTATGTTTGATTTTTTGTCAGTAATTAATTTCGAAAAATGTTTTCAGACTAATCCATTACTTAAGAAAAAAGGCATTCCTGAATGTATTCTTTTTGTAACGCAACGACTTACAAAGTATCCATTATTAGTTGAACCTTTAATTAAGACTGGTGTTTCTCAAGAGGAAACAGATAATTTAAGGAAAGCCTTGAGTTTAGTTAAGGAAATATTAGCTGATGTAGATGCCTGTGTCGCTAATAAGGAACGAGAAGATAGGAAATTAGAAATTTATAATAGGTACGATTCCATTCTTTCATTAACATTTTATAAACTTAAAAAGACATAGGCATTGAAAATATTTTTCAATTTCCAGGATTGATGCCAAATCATACGCCGTATATCGGGAACTGAAATTTAAAAAATCTGATATTTTGTCATCAAATCGAAATTTAAAATTTGAGGGTACAGCTTACCTGATGCAGGGAAGGGGAAAAATGGCTCAAGTTGTTGTTGTCGTTCTTTCTGATGTTCTATTTTTCTTAGCTGAAACTAGAGATCAAAAATATGCCTTTTTCGTCCCTGATAATAAAGCTGGTGTTGTGTCTCTACAAAGATTGCTCGTTCGCGAGAAAGCGGGACAAGAATCCAGAGGAATTTATCTCATAAGTAGCAATCCATCAGAACCAGAAATGTTTGAATTGAAGGTACAGAAGCCCAAAGATAAACAACTGTGGATTCAATCAATTAGAGCTGCAGTGGAAACATGTCCTCAGGATCAAGATAATAGAACGGACATCTTGTCAGAAAATTATAATAGTAACGAAATGAGAATTGTTCGCTCTTCCTCTATAACTTTATTGCCCTTTGAAGAAAGACGCTTCACTAAAAACGTGGAATCTGATATCAAAAAACTTATTGGTGAGTTAACTTATTATTCGATAGCTACTTTTTAAAATTAATTAAAGTGAATTATCGAGTGCGAAGTCTGTTAATGTGTTTGAATAAATTGAATTAATAACTTTTGTAATTTATTCAGATGAGTTACGAAAGAAGGACACAGAGCAAGCTTTATTATTAGAAGAAAAAATGGGCCTTCAAATGCAATTGTTACATACTACAAATGTTTATAGTGGAAATAATTTCGATGGAAGTAAAATGGACAAGGGATACAGAGAAGTCCCAGATTATACAAGATTCGTTCGCAATGAGGAAGTTAATTCAATTCATCTTTGGAAAGAAGTAAATTTAATTCTTTAATTCGGAAAGATGGAAGTAAAGAAAGGGGAATTAAATAAAAAAATCTTCTTTTAGGTCGTGGTAGCGGTGCAAGAAGCTACACGTCTTACTAGTTCTTTATCGTTCGCAGCAGGTGGTGCGACCCTTTCCAGAAGTCTAAGTTCTGCTGGTGAACGACATAGTGATGCCTATGTTCCACCTTCTTTATGTGTACCCCGAAGAGCTGAAACGTTTGCTGGCTTTGATCACAATAAGGTTTGTAATTCATTAATTGGAAAATTTCTAAAACTATTTCTTGAAGGAATTAATTTTTTTTGTGGTAATTTTTATTTTAGGACCGCTCTCCGTGGAGAGATACGGCAACTTTACAATCTGTTCTCATGCCCTCAAAGGAAAATGAACAAGTACCTAAAAAAGTTGAATTAAAAGGAAATGAAGAAACGGAAGGTAACAAAGTTCAACAGGAAATTGCCGTTCAGTTGTCCCATTACGTTTACACACTCCTCTGCATTATTAGCAATCAAATGACTACAATTGAAAGTTTGCATGCTCAATTAGCTGGATATAGGGATGGAAGTGTAAATAAACCATCGAATAGTAGACCCAATCCAAATAGGCAGCTTGAGGAGTTGCGAAACTTGCAAGATCAGTTGAGTCAAGAGAAGACGACATTCCGCGCAGCGACGCAACAGGAGAAGAGAATGCTAGACGAAGAGCGAGCAGAATTGAATAGACTGCGAGAGCAGTTGGTCGCCGATCAACGCGACGTTACGCAACAACGCGATCAACTGTACAGACGACTCGAAGCTCTCGAGCGACAGGGAGTTTCATTGGTTTCACCTTCAGCAGCTGGGTCTGCTCCGGCACACCTCTCGCACCCCACGCAGGGCGATCAGGTGCAAAGCAGAAAAGCGCAAGCAGACGGCAAAAGAATTCCATTGAACTTGATTAGTGCAACAAATCAGCAGAAGGTACAAAAAAGTCTGCCACCTGTTAAACAACAACTGCCACTTAAGCTCGCCAGTGGAAGCAACAATAACAATACCAGGTAAAAGATCTTATCGTCTGCATGTTACACATAATTTCATTAACATTTAACATTCAGTCTTATGATTACTTCACATAATATTTACTCATCACAAAGTATTTAACATTAAGAAATTGATGAAATATTTTTTGAAACAAAACAAGATGCACACTGATTTAATATCTGTTTAAAAAATGTCATTAGATACCTGTACAGCATATTAAACGTCTGACAACTTTGCACACAATTCACTACTTAAAATAGTTAAAATTGCATGTAAAAAAGTCTTAGCAACCATTTGCAACACGACTGACGAAATGCAGTGTAGCTAGACGTTTTAAAATACCGAACAAGTTAAATCACAAAATAATAGTTTGTTTTTAATAATTCAGTCAAGCGATAGAAACTCCTTAATTACTTTAGAGAATTTGGATAAATGAGTAACTAATTTTTTTATTGATATAAGAGTTAATATATTCAAACAAATTTTTTAATCTAACATCACTTTCTTAAAGGTCATATTATTCAGTGGTCATGTGCCCCATATACTTTACTTATTTAAACATATATCATACATTATACTAGCAAATGAATTTATTATTATTTTGTAAATTAAAAAAATTTTAATTTTCAAGAATAAACATCAATTTTTGAATGATTACAGATTCAAAATTATTATTCAAAAATTTTAATACATAAAATTATTTTCAATACAATTTTAATAAAATTTCTCGAAAAAATACAATTATTTTTAAAAATATTACATTTAAATTGAATTATTTTCAACAATTCTGATAAAAATTCTTCGAAACAATTCAATTATATTTATAAATTGTAAAATTCTTGGCAAGAATTCAATTATTTTTGTAAATAATAAAATTCTTCTGAGAAATTCAATTATTTTCAATGCAATTTTAATAAAATTTCTAGGAAAAAATCCAATTTTATTCAAGATAATTTTAATAAAATTTCTCTAACCGGTTCACTTATTTTTCAAAATTGTAATAAAATTTTTCTTAAACAATTCAATTATTTTCAAAAGTTTTTAATAAAATTCTTTGTAAATTTCAATTATTTTCAAAATTTTCAATTATGTAAAATTATTTTTAAAAATTACATTATTTTTACGAAATTTAATGAAATTCAAAAAAAAAATGTAATTATTTACAAAAACTCTAATAAAATTATTTAAAATAATTTAATTTCCTATGAATAATTTTCATATACATAATTTAATAGAAAATTTTCAGTAAATTTTAAAATTGAAAATATTTAAAAAGAAATTTTTTTTCAAAAGTTAGGAAACAAAAAAGCAAACAGCAACTAACTTCATACTGCGAATTGTTTTTATTTACAGGTAAAGTTTCGTATAGAAAAAAATTGAAGAATGATCAACGAAACATTACAGCATACAGTGATTAACTGGGAGGAGAAAGAAAGGTTACATAATTTATTTCAAAAAATAAAATTTACAAAATTCAAAGGTAATTGAAAATTGCGAATTTAGTATAGTAATCAAAATTATCTCGTCACTTTGAAACGTAATATTAGAATATTTCTCCCTTTGCTAAAAATGATTCTTAATAAAAAAAGAAGATTCAAAATGTCGATGGTTAAAAGAAAAGAAAGAATCTAATTATATTTTAAAGTATGCAACCTAAAAAGTTGTTTGAAACAGAATAACGAAAGGAAAGATTTAAATATTAAAATCATTTAAAATTACAATAATATAATTATTACAAAATTCAATACACAGAATTGAAAATTTTTCTCAAATTTTATTGAAAATTAATTGAAAACATCAAGAAATTTGCAGAAGTTTTCGAAAAAAACGTAAAATATTAAACAATTTTTCTCAATTTACCATTCGCCTTTTTGAATTTTTCCCCATTGACTAATCTAAAAATACAAATAAAACAGGTTTCACTTTTATAAAGTGAGTCTTTGTTATGAAAGAAAGTGAAAAATTCTTAACTCATAATATTTGTATTTCTAGATTGAAAAACATAAAATTAAAACATAATTTATAATTAAGGAATGTTTTAATGAGTTGGACATTTCTTGAAGTTCTGTGCAATCGACTTTTAAATTTAAGTTTTATTTCTATATTATTTTTAGACATTTATTTTGACCTCGCAAAACGGGAATGCAATTTTGTTAGAAAGTGAAAATTTAATACTATTTCTTAGAATTAACGCACAAAATTGCTTTTATCTTTTGTATTCATTTGAAAATTGTTACTCAAGAGTCTTCGTGGATCGCTGAATATGAATCTAAAGTTACTTTGAAATAAAAATGACGGAAAATTGTTTTAAATATCAATCAACTGACAAGTGAATTAATGAGATGAAATAATTGTAGAATTATTAAAATTTTGTCGCACTGAGATAAAAATTCTGTCATTTATTCCAAATACAGATTTATAGTTAGCAATCTTGAAAACTCGGGAAGAACGAGAGAGTCTGAAGAATTCATTAGATTATAAGCAGTTAAATTATTAATTTGAGTGTCTCACTCATTGAGACAAAATCCTTAAGATTAATTCCATAAGGACAGAAAAAATGTCCGTTGCATATAGCATTTGTAGCTATTGCCTTCACGTAATTTTTGTACGTAGTAGTGATAAATTTGTTGATGAAAAATTTTATGGCCTATTATCAAAATGTGTCCCACTCATTGAGACACTTTCTGATTTCTTGTAATTTACGTTGCTTCTATGCAAAGTGAATTACAATAATGCGAAAGGGATATAAATTTCGAATATCCATTATGCAAACACGTTCTGCAATTGCTCTATAACGTTAGGTAACAACTGTTCCTTTATATTGTATAAATGTTCTGTTCCATGGACAGTTTTCTATAAAAATGATTACTCAAACCTGATGTTAAATCTATATAACAAAAAGTTCTACGACAATGTGATGTAACTGTTATGTCTCGATAAGGAGTGAATTAAAATGGATTCAAACTATTCCAAAAAGTCCTTTCTTTTCATTCACATTTTAGCTCTAGTTTAATTTTAATTTCAAAAATTAAGAATAAAAAGAAAAAATATTTTTATTAATTAATAATTCCAATTTATTTTAATTCACATTTTATCGGGATAGTAATGTGTATATGACTCATATATAAATTTCGATGCATTTATTCTCTGTTGCAATTCTGTCATCGTTTCACTTAAAAAAAATGTAGGTAATAGTGATTAGCAATATTTCTGTAAGAATGAAACAGAATTGCCATATGACAAGAATGTAACACTTGCTCTGTAAAATGTTCAACATTACAGACAAATGATTTTTTATATTCATGTATGTAGCAGTGTTATTTCTTATACAAAAAAGAATTTTCTTTTTACGCTCTATTTAATTACATTTCTGCTTTTAATTTCATAAAAAGAGAATGAAATTGTACTTTCCCTAGCAATACAAGTACTTAAAGGAGTTGTGCAGAAAAAGAGAAACAAAACTCACGGTTATAGTTTGTGTAGACAATTTGCGTAAAGATTCCTAAAAAAAATCAACATTAGCCGTAGTTGTGTTAGGAGACTTAAAATATTGCTTATGGTCTTATCAAACTTCCATTCTTGGTTTCAAGAAATTTAATTCATATGATAGAGTTAACTCTATGTTAGGAATCTGTAATAATTCTGCATAATAGCATTTGTAAATAATATTAAGAATTTATTTAAGAATTGTGTACGTGGGAAACGAGTGGATATTAGGGCGTTTATAAGATTAATAATTAATTAATTAATAATTAAAATGTTTATTAGTTAATTTAAAAAAGACACTTAAAATTTTTTCATAAAATTGAATTTTCGCAAAGTTTTTTTGAAAATTCTAAAACAAGATTTTTGAAATTTTTCAATTCTATTGTTTCAAGATAATTGAATTTTTATAAATAAATAATTGAAAATATTTGAAATAATTGAAATTTCTTTACATTCTATATTAAAAATAATTAAATTCTTTTAAAGAATTTTATTTAAATTTTTCGAAAATAATAAGTTAGTCAACGTAATTATAATTTTATTTTTAAAAATTTCTTCGCAATATATTCAATTATTTTCATAAATTTAAATAGTAAAACTCTTTGCAGAATTTCAATTATTTTTAATACAATTTTAATCAAATTCCTCGAAAAAAGTAATTATTCTTAAAAATTTTATTAAAATTCGTCGAAAAAATCCAATTATTTCTAGAAATTGTAAAAAAAAATTCATTTCAAAAATTCACTTATTTCCGTAAATAGCGAAATTCTTCAGATTTACTAAATTCTTTTGAATATTATTTTTAATAGTTCATTGTACAACTAGTGGCGAAAGTGTGATTTTTTGAGAGTGAAGTTTGCGGCTCGAGCGTAGCGAGAGCAGCAATCACTCGAGAAAAAATATTCTTCACAAGAATTCAATTATTTTCATAAATTTCGATAAAATTCCAAAAAACAATTCAATTATTTTCGAAAGTAATAAAATTTTTCGCAGAAATTCTATTATGTTTAAAATTTTTTTTAAATTCTCCTCAAAATTTCAATTATCTTTATAAGTAATTAAATTGTTCTTCACAATTCAATTATTTTCAAAAATTTTAATAAAATTCTACGCAAACATTTAATTATTTTCATAAATAATAATATTCTTTGGAAGGATTCAATTGCTTTTATAAATAGTAAAATTCTTTGGAGAAATTCAATTAGTATAAATACATTTTAATAAAATTGAATCAATCAAATTTTCAATTATAATTATGAACAGACAAGATTATTTTAAAAAATTGAAAAAATTCTTTGTTTAATTCAATTATTTTTCAAATTTTTAATTAAAATTATTAAAAAAAACATTATTTTTAAAAAATTTAAAGAAACTTGTCAAAAGGATTGAATTATTCATGAAAACTCTAATAAAAATTTTTTGAAGCCATTTGTAGATTTATTTATTTTCGAAATCAATTAAATTTAAATTTGATGAGAAATAGAAATCGTGAAAAATTGGGACAAAGCCGGGAATTTTGTTGAACGAAAATAGCAGACACCCTGAGTGACCGAGCGATGTACCTTAAAGAAATCTTAAAAAAGTTGAAATAATCATTTTCTGTTTACGGAAAATAATAATTTTCATCGCGATTATAATAAAGATCAGATTCAATTTCCCTAAAGATTTATTTGAGATCTTATTCACCGGAAGCACAATCGCTATTGGAAGCTTTTGCTCCTAAAAGATGATTCTGATCTGCTCCTGAAGACGCTAGTAATTTTTTAAAACAATTTTTTAAAATCTTGCTCAGGAAGTCTCTGATTTTTAAAATATTTTCTTTAAACCTAAGCTTGTTAAGCTTAGTTTATATCTTCCCATAGCATTACAATTTAAATATTTTAATTATTTCAGTACTTGAATTAATTGAAAATTGAATCTATTTGTTTATTTGAAGAAGAGGGCAATTAAAATTTCGATTGAAAAACTACATAATATAAACACTGTCGGACGAGAAAGAATAAAAATTTGAAAGATGAAAAGTACATAACACAAGAGATTTTTTTTGCTATTACTTTTGGGTTAAAATTAACACTATCTTATGAATTAAATTATTGTTATGTATGATTGACCTTAATTCTATGAAACAAAGCTTTTATTCTAAAGAAACGCATTACCCCTATGGAAAAACATACTTACGAAACATGTTACAATAGTCTTAATTTTCTTTGTTTTTGTCTACTAGTCTTATTCAGAAAGATTCATTTTGCATTAAGTACAAGTAAATTGGTCTGATCCTTAGAATCTACATTCACAAAATAATCTATTTAACATGAGATAAATCCACAAATGTCAAGAAAAATACTTTTATGTATCAGCTTGTGACGCTTGTGATTAGAATTCCTTTATGTGAAATTTTCTCTGAAGTTAAATGGACTGTTTTGTGACTGTATCTTAGAATCTAACTAACTCAATATAGAAAAAATGCTCTGGAATAGAGTACTCGTTGAAAATCTATTTTATCTTCGTATTTGGTAATATAAAAGATGTATAAAATTTAATGACACGTGCAAAACTGTTGCTAAATTATAGTATTTAAGTGAGAAACGAAACTATTTTAATTTTTTAATTTTTATGACGTTGGTCACATGGCTTAATGGAGCAAATACTATAATAATCGGTACTCCTCATTAGCATATTTAATGCTGTGAACAATATTGTCGAGACCAATGAGTTATTATTTAATCACATCGAAACTACTGTTTTCTTCTTTTACCGTCTAATTAATTCTGGACTCGTAGATCACAGTTTTGTGACTGTTCTTTCTTAATTTCCACAATATTTGTTTAATTCCCCACACAGCATCAAAACTTTCATAAAAATTTATTAAAGATTTACTTGCAAACTTCCAAGTATTTACTTGCAAAGTTTAGTGAAAATTGTGTAAAGATTTAAATGTCCCACTTCAATAAACGTTTAGCGTGAATCTTTCTCGAATATTTAAATGAAATTTTCGCCTAAATCTATGTAGGCGAAAATTTACTGCTCGGGTCCTCAATGCACAAACATAACAAAAAAGTTAGGCGCAACCCAGTAAAAAAATGTATTTAGAAAAAAAGTATTGGTGGTAACTCAAACTGAATTAGAGATTTCTAAGCAAAGTTGAGAATATTTATGAAGAGCGCGAGTGACCTGAAATAAAAAAATGCCGATTGCGAGAAGGACGAATTAATAAAATATTTGTAAAAGTTGCTGCAAGAATTTTTAAAAGAATTATTTTCCTTACATACTGATCAGCGTCATAAAAATTAAGCTATTGTATGGAATAAATTTTGACACGTCTTCTTAGTGTACAAATGACACAGGGTTGCCACGCAACCTGGAAACCTGGAAAATTTGGAAATGTCAGGGAATTTTATAAAACTTGAAAAAACTTGGAAAAGTCAGGGATTTTGATCGAAATCCTGGAAAATTATAAATTTCTTCTTTAAAAAGCCTTCCTATAATTTATTTATTAGAATTTAAGTATTATTTTCAATACATTTTTAATTAAATTTCTGGAATTAATTAAATTATTTTCAAAAGTTTTAATGAAATTCCTTTTAACAAATCAATTTTTTTTCAAAATAATTTTAATAAAATTCTTCGTAGAAATTTAATTAATTTCAAAAATTTATCAAAATTCAATTAATTTCAATGTCTAATGTTTCAATAAAATTTCACAAAAGAATTCAATTATTTAAAAAGAAATTTTAATAAAATTCATCTTAAGAATTCAATTATTTTCAAAAATAATAAAATTCTTCGCAGAAATTCAATTATCGTCAAAATTTTAAAAAAATTATCGTCAAAATTTCACTTATCTTTATAAATAACAAAATTCTTCTTCAAAATTCAATTATTTTAAAAAATTTTAATAAAATTCTTGACAAAATTTCAATTATTTTCAAAAACTTTTCTCAATTAAATCAAATTTTTTACAGAGATTTTTTTTTGAAAATTATAATCAAATTATAATTTTTGAAAGTTTAAGTTTTTCATACTTTTAACTGAAAATTTGTGTAGTTTTTATTTTCTAATATAATATTTAATTGAAGAATTTCCGAATAATCCATGAAATTTCGTAAAATTGAATTGTAAACAAAAGGATTTAAAAATTTTCAAAGAAATTTTTCAAAAATTATTAAAAATAATTTATGTAAAGAAGAATTTTAGTTCAAAATTTTAAAAAATAATTGAATTGAAAAATGATGATAATAATTTTTATGAAGTTACAGTAAAAATATTCTTATAATATAAAATAATGATTTTATCAGTCGGTAATTTTTAATTATTATAAAACATATTGTTTTGTAACAATTTTTTTAAAATTGTTTAATTTCAAAAACGTTTGAATTTGAATGTTTTGAAGAATTTTAATTCTTATGAAAAAATAATGATTAAATATTTATTTAAAAAGAAGCAAAAGAACATTTTTCTGAGTAATAATTTTTAAACTGAATGAGAATATTTTTGAAGTCAAGGAGAAGTAAGAATTTTGTCTGGAATTCAAGGGAAATTCAGGGAAAAAAACCAAATTGAATTTTTGTTGGCAACAAATGTAGTTTTAAAAACCTGGAAAAATTTCGTTTTTTAATCTGGAAAAGTCAGGAAATTTGAAAAGAGCAAAACCGTGGCAACTCTGGCACATGTGCATAATTAAATGAACTGTTGTCAAAACTGTTTCGACGCAAATGAAATCTCAAAATTTTTTCCGAAATATTATGCATGTCTTTGAATTTGAACGTCGTTACATATCAGTAAACAAAGCTTTACACTATTAATTATATAGATGAAAATTAAAAATACGTCTCATTTATTGCATATTATATTGATGTAGTTAAATTCTGCAAGGATCGTGAAATGAGAATAAAATTTTCAAATACGTTATGTATGCTTAAACAAAGTAATCGATTGCATTTATTGTAAGATATTTGTCAAACGAGTTGCAAGTAAAATAATGTAAAGTATTCACTAAAAAATATTTAAAATAAATTAAAGAATTTTCTCAATTTATCGTGATGACAATAAAATTATTTATAAATATATATATATATATATATTTGTCAAGAATGAAAGTTGTTGCAAATGTGAATCTCAATGTTATTAGTCGTTAAACTTGTTATTATATTAATTCCGGGCATGAATGTGAAGAAATAATGCATTTAATTGTTATAAGGTGAAAGTTATTTAATGTACAATTTACCTTTAAGGTAACTAGTATTATTGCACTATGTACCCATTGCATTTAAAACGAGTTATTTTAAACCAAATTACCTTTAGTTACTAAGATAAAGTTGGTTACAAAATTTTCTTGTAATATTGATACCTTAAAGTGAAATATTTTTCTTTGAATAAAAAACATACTAAAACTAATTGTTTCATCTTTTTAATTTTTATTACTCATTTTGTTATTTATCAAAAAAAAAAATTCGGTAAATCTCAAGTAAAAATTGTAATTTTCTCGATTTTTCTTTTGACACCATAAAAAATTATTTGTTCAAAATCTTTTGTCAACGTCGAATAGTACATGTTTCCAAGTACTTGTTGAAATTTCTTCATTAAAAAATATTAAATAGTATAAATATATTGCATATTTTTTATTATTTTAAAATTCAACTATAAAATTTGTTTTAAAATGTTTAATGAAAAAATTTTAAACCTTAAAGAAACAAACGAAAAAATATGTTTAATAACAATTAATAAAAAAAAATAGAAATTAGATTATAAAATGTTTGCTTTTAATATAAAAATTTCTATATTTAAAACGTTAAATTTACAATTCAAATATGCTCATATACGTTTGCTGATTAAAAACCCGATAAGAGGTTTGATAAAATGATGTAGGAAATAATATTAAAAAATCAAATATTTTTGAATTTTAAAGCATCATGAATCATGATAGTATTATTAGTTATTCCAACACGCTTTAATAATGTTTGTTTAGGTGAATAAAAGTTTCATCAATATTTACATTATAAAGTAAATTTAATTGTTTATACAATCTTTTATAATAAAAATAAATTAATTGATTTAAATTTTAACTACTACCTTTTCGGAATTAAAATATATATACAAGTTTCGTCAAAAATTTAAAAGAATTCAAATATTTACAGAATAGTTATTTCCAAAAAAGATGGAATAAAAAATTACATTTTATGTATACAAATTTAACGATATTTGTAGTCATTTTAATTCCTCTTCATACCGGGAATTGTAGGACTTACAAATACTGTAAATTTTTAAACATAATTTTTCAAACTCTGAATCACATTTGTTCTTTGTAATAAATTTTGTTACGTATTTAAGTAATAAAGAAATTAATTTATTTCAACAACTTATATTTACTAGAATGAAAATATAATTTACTTAGCGTATATAAACATTACAACTCTTACTTTCTTTTGTATAATAAAACCTTACATTTGATTATAGTTATTTTACCTATTTAAATATTGTAAAAAATATTTAAATTCTGCGGTAAAAAGTTGATTCATTTCATAATTTAATTTACATTCTAAAATCATAGTTTTTACAATTAAAAATAAAAATCAAGTTCGATTCGAATAAATCTATTTACTATGTATAATTCTTTTCTGAAAAAGTTTCGAATAAGCGATGGACTGATTTTTATCACACTGATAGTTGTTTCGTTACTAATTTCTATAAAAGATGTAAAAAATGAATAATTTATGGACTAAACATTGTCAATTTGCCAACATGTAGAAGCAGTTCGAGCAGGAGGTTTCTCTCTGATATCTTCGAGAAACGATAATATGTTTTGAAAATAGTCAGCACGGCGCCATGTTTCATTATGAGAGCCCGCAGGTATCGGCACCATTTTTTTACAAGGACTTCTGCAGGCTTTGTATAATTCCATCATCATATCTGGTGGAACTAATTTATCTGCTAGTCCAGAAATGAATAGCGTAGGTATCGTAAGTGTTCTCATTTTCTGTAGTGACATATACTGAAAACAAGATAATGGAAAAATATATAATCAATTAAATCTTTTTATACTCCTCTCCCATTGTATAGAAAGTTTTTTTGTTTCAAGTTTTCGAGTCCATTTAATTTTAGAAACTAAAGTTAACATAATTAAATATTTTGATAATATTAACATTTTTTAAAAATTTTATCAAAAATTCAATATAGCGTAACTTTTCAAAAAAACAATGTTGAAAATTTTGAAAAAGCCTTTGATAAATTAATTTTTCTACGAAATATAACAATTTCACGAAATTGCAGATTAATCCCAAGACTTAATGCGAATTGTGATATTTTTGACGGAGTCAAAATAAAAGTTGAACTTACTTTATTTTTGTAAAAAGTTAGTGGAAGGTATCGTAATTTCGGTCCAATGAGAATGGTTGACATATCTGGAATACTAGTAAACGTATTTTCTAAAATAACAAACCAAATTCGCTGCGCATATTCGGGTTTACTAGCTAAATCTATTGCGACGGCTCCACCTAAAATTCACGAATAAGATAAAAAGGAATTTCCAGTGAACAAAGATTCGGTGATAAAAGTAGAAAAATACCTAAGGACCGGCCGAATACAATAATTTCATTAGAATTTATGTCACTTCGAGTTGCTAAATACTCGATTCCCGCTCGAGCATCCATGTACAGACCCTCTTCAGACGGTGAACCCTGAGATAATCCGAAGCCTCTGTATTCTAGCATTAGTATATTACACTGTAGTTTTTCATAGAGACCAACTATATTTTGAAGCCTGAAAATAATTTAATTATTCGTATAATAAATGTTTTTTATTTTTAGTGGAACTGTATAATAAAATAAAACCTGTGTCCCATATTTCCAGCATTTCCATGAAGGAAGAGCACCGTCGGTGCTCTTTTTATTTTATCCGCAGTCTGAGGAATGAAGAACATGTGTAACATCGTTCCATCTTTCGATCGAATGAACAAGCTTTGGTAAGGCAAATTGCATGTCGACGGAGCAGGAACATAAACTCGAGAATGCTTTGGAATTTCTGGATAATACAAAAGTTCATCTTCCATGTGATACAGCACACCTGTAAACAATTATACAAGGAAAAATTAATTTTAAAATTAGCGACGAAATATTTCTGTTAAATTAATATTCTACAGATTAAAGTTCTATTCGATTTCACAAAAATAACCTTGACTTATTTTTTAAAACCAAGAGCTTCACTTTTGTTTCTTATCAAAGTGAGTATCGTATGGGGAGATTACTTATGAAATTGTTCTAAATAATAACTAAGCAATTGAATAAAATCAATAAAATAAAGATAGAATATTTCAAAATAAAAATGAATACTAGTATAGTAATAAATGTTAAAAATAAAATTTAAGACATAAAGAATTGTTCAAAAAATTTAGTTTTTAATTCTTGAAGAATATTTTACCCCAAGAAAAAATACAATATAAAAAAATTTAGAGGATATTTTCGAAAATCCTGGTCATACTTTATATTGATGACTAAATAAGCATAAAAAATTACAGAAGAATCCGTCGAATCTTTGAGATAATTTGATGATAAGAACACGCATCCGAATATTTGTTTAGAACAAATAAAAGCATTTGAGATAAAAAATAGACTACTACTATATTATATAATTTATTAAATTTTTATTGATTTTTCTAAATAAATATTTGATTTTAGCAGGTGCTACTTAGAATTAGAAGTAAATAAAAAGAGCTGTTCTTACAAAGTAGAATTAAGAAACAAACGACTTACCGGTTGTGGCGAAGCAAAGCAGGAAGAATGTAAATATTCCGCCATAGAGCCAATACAAAATTATACAACCAAAAAGATAAATGCCCGAAAGTGCCCAGCATCTTACGGCAAAGCTACTTAATGCTCGAATAGGACGGCTACGAGTCAAATTTATACGAATGGTCATCACTTTGTGACTTCAATTGACTGTTTATTACACAAATCATTCAGTTTCCTTTGAATTAACCTCAAAAATTGTCAGTAACATTTGTCGAGAAAATATTTATCTTTGCTTACTAAATTGACATTTATACACTTTATTAATATGTTGATACTTTTTGAGGCAGTTAATTTTTTGACTTCAGTCAGTAAATAGAAGGATTAGACAATTATTAAAATTTATGGGTAAAAAGTTTACAATATTGATTATAAATAAATAAAATAAAATATTTCTAAGTCTACATTCAAATTACTGAAATATTTGATTAGAATTATGTGAAGATAAATAACAACTAGACAAATAAATCATCTTTATGTTTTGTCACTGTATGGAACTTTTATTTTTCATATTTGTATATTTTGTAATTTCAAACAGTCTCGCTTATATATATAGCAGAAGTGGAGCATTCTCCAAATAATACTGCCGTTTCTACAATGATTCTGTCAGGCTGTGTTCACAATAGGCGCCTTCACGTCTTTAGGGTGTTGTCACATGTTAACATGCAAGTGCATGCAAGCATAAATATTACATATCTCTATAAGAAAGCAAAGTGTTCATGAAATGAATACAAAGATACTTCTTGGCAGCGGTTTTATAAAAATATATTTAACAATCTAGAAATATATTATATTATAATAGACAAATTTAAAATAGAATTTCTTAATTCTTTTACACCTTAATCTAATAAAAAAAAATATTATATTAAATAAAAATAAGAATTTTTGGTTTTGTGTATATCAAATATACATTATAACAATTTTTGTGTATAATATACACACACTATTAAATTTTTTTAAAGTCAAAATAAAGTAGTGAAAAAAAATAATTTGCGAAATTCATTTCTTCGTAGTTCGCGTTCCACACAGTATGTCCATCAATAATTCTCTCTCGAGAGTTTGGAAAGGTTCCGTTTTCTTAACTTGTTCGAAATGTTCATCAATATATTTGATACATTTGTCTTTTAAATTTTTCGACTTGTGACAATTGGCCAGTTGCAATATGTAGATGACGGTCTCAATGGACAGTGAATTAGAAAGACATTTTTCACACTTTGATAGCAAAAGAGGAATATTATATTTATACGCCAACTCGTAAAGACCGAACACCATGCTTTCTAAATCCACCACAAGACCAGTGTAAATAAATCGTAATAATTCCTTGAACACTTCCGGATCAACGTCATTCATTTCGATGACGTTCAAGTTTGTGTTCGTCTCATTGCTGGAAAACATTTTCATGAAAACCGAACTAACCGAAGCGAGAATAATCCTATGGACCGAAAATTGACGTCCTTGAATTTTAAATGTTACATCACTTAAAGACGTATTGTTAAAAAAGGATTCGAAACTTTTCTCAATTATTGAGCAAGTTTTCGTTTTATTGACAGATTTAGATTTATTAATGTGCTTCAGCGGAGTGACTGTTAGGCTCACATTTAAACAACCGGTTGGTTGAGTGAGTTTAATAAATTCTTCCTCCTTCATTGAATCATAAAATGTATACGTTGCTCCCAATTTTATTCGTGTTAATTTCATACTTCTTGTGAATGTTTTCTCCTCAAAATTTGAGCTTAGTGACATTTTCATTTTCACTGCAGATGAAAAATTATTTCCCAGGGAAATATTCTGAAGATTAACATTAATAAAATTTAATTCACACGAAGAACAAGCGGGTTTCTTTTTCTCCAGAAAAAGATACCATTTCATTTTAGGATTTCCCTCAATACGAAATGTATGCGATCGCATGAAAATTTTATTTTTCTTTTCGAATTCCTTTATTATCCAATTAAAATTTGTAACTCCTGGTAATTTTTTAATGGAATGATGATTATTATTATCATCTTGCCCACTTTCTAAACATTCACTTGTGGAAGAATTCATCTCCATATCTGATATTTGATTAGGTTCCAAATTTTCTAAAATAATTTAAATTAAATTTAAAATTTATTTACATTTTTGTTCACTTTTTGTTAAACTAATTATTATAAAATAGTTTAAAATTGTTTTTAAAAAATTGCAAAATATAAACAGTGAATTCTAACCTCACATATATTTTTTATGCAATTCTCAAATATTTTATAATTAAGATCAATGTTTTGTTTCATTTACCTGTTTTTATATTAAATGATTCTTCCATTTTTCGATTGTTATTTAAAAATCAAAATCGAGCTTTAAAAAAAAATAATAATAAACAATGCGCGAGTTTATATTTTTCATATTTTTGAAAACATATTAAGACGATTTCATAATGGTAAGATAAACGGACGAGAGTACATGAAGGTGCTTTCACATCTCTGTTTAGATTTTTAAATAGGCCAAAGCAGTTAGGGTACAGTCACACGATCTCATGCAAAACTAAAGGCGCTTGCACACTTCCAAAATTTTGGGCGAGCAGCGAATTTTCATGGCCTTGAAACTCACATTATTAAATATGATTGGCTCTACAAAAAGCTGCGTGAAAATGTACTTTGTCAGAGCCAATCATATTTAGTAATGTGCATTTCAAGGCCGTGAAAATTCGCTGCTCGCCTAAAAATTTGGAAGTGTGCAAGCGCCTTTATGCATGCAGGTTGACATGGTAGCGTTCAAGAGTGAGAGAGATAGGAAATTATTCTATCTCTCTCGCTCTTGAACGCTACTATGGCAACCTGCATGCATAAGTTTTGCATGGGAAGGTCTGAACGCTCCCTTATCCTTCTCTCTCAAGATTGAATTTCGTTCAATTTACAATTCGTTTCAACAGAAATATTATTGTAACTTTCAATTCGAGAGTTATGAATTCGAGTTAATATTCATTTTTATTAAACTAGCTCCTCCGACGGCCGCAAGCGGCCGTCTAAGGTGCTAGTTTTTATATGTCTATTGTCCAAGTCCATTATTTTATTAATAATAATATTCAAATTTTTTCAGTTAATAATTTGCTTATTTATATTTGAAATGTTGACGTTTTTTTTGACAATGCAAAATAGGATTTATTATGTGTACTTTCTCTTAACAAAAATAAAATTTATATATTCGCGCTCTTTTTAAATAACATACGACTGCAGTGCCACCTTCACATGTACAAACAATTTTAAAAACACCCTTCTATTAAGATTTTACATTCTCATTGCCCATTCTTTACTTCGATACTTTTCGATACATTCGACCTTTCCACTCCATGTCTTTTTTAAGAAAGGAAAAAGGCAGATATATAAGGTTGTCCTTTTCTATCCTATATATAAATTGACAGAGAAACGAGCAACTAATTGCCCCATGAAATCGCACCTTTAAACGTGTCCTTTCAATAAACTAAAAACAGGTTGAAACAGTTGTTCAACATTTCTGAACAGTGGGATCTCCTCTTAGTTGTTAGTCTATGATTTCTCTATTGTATTCTATTGACTGGGTAGAGAATAGAATCTAGAAACGTCAAGTTCCATCTTAACCAACAAAAAAACATCGAATTGCGGAAAAATTGAGACTGTTTAAACTAATCATTAAATTATTGTTAGAAAATTCCTATTACGAATGACTTGATTTGTTGCAATGAACAACAATTAGAGCATTTTTAAGCAAGATACCGCCTGAAATAATTAAAATGTCTTGATATCTCTGATATCGATTGAGTACGTGATTGGTTAAATTAGAATCTATGCAAGTATGGCCGCCCTGCCATCACCCACTCAGGTATATTTTTATTTTTTTCCTTCATCTGGACAATATCATCATATTTTTAAATAACATTTAAAACGAATTATAAGCAGTTAATTTTCCTTTTCCTTTAGAAACAATTTTTCTAAATTTTCTCAAAATTGACAAAAGTTCTTTCCGTCAGTTAATTCATTCGAAACTTGGAAAACAATTTTTTTTTTGCAAAAGTCAAGTAGTTTGTTACTATTCATAAGTTTGTTGATTTATACGTTTTTTATTGTTCCTCTTGTTTTGAATTACAGGATAATTTCTTATTAATAAAATAATAATTAGCCAGGAAGGAAAAGTGGGCGTTTTTCATTTTACACATTAAGCTACTTTTATCAATATATTTTTTATCTCTGTTTTTAATGAGTACTATTATTTAAGAAATAAATAATAATGAAGTTTGAACGCAATTACAGGTAGCTGGAAGCCATCCGGATATTTATGAGGCCTACTACAAACAGGTATGTGGTACATGTGTTTCTCATTACCTTTAACTAGTTATTATTTCAATCAATAACTGTCATCTGGCCTATTTTAGTGAGTCTTTATTCAATTTTAACGCTCAAAAGCTTCAAATAAATATCAGTGTCATTGACAAATTAAAGATCAGATAACGTCATCGATTTAAAAATCAAAATAAAATTGTTTTTCTTTTCTTCATATCGTGAATTCAATCTGAATTGTTCTGAATGTTTGGCACCAACACAGTAATTGTCATAAATATAGTTTCCTAGCAAACACTCGATTTAAAAGTAGGATTTCCTCAAATTTTGTAATAAAATTTAGTTTTTCCAACTTTATTTCTTACAAATTGAAACAAAAATTTACAATCTTACTTAATAATTTTAAATACATATTGTCAAAAGATGTTGTCATTGAAGGGAATTTTGTATCAATCAGGGACTACCAGCATGAAACTAATTCTTTTAAATAAACATTTTCTGCAATAAAATTTTCATAAAAAAGAAAGACTATTTTTTAAATTTGAAATGCTGAAATATTTTTCAAAAATAGAAAAATGTTTTGTCTAAAATAAATTAATGCGCAAAATAAATTTTTCATTTTTAAAAAAATTTTTATAACTTTTAATTTGTTTTTAATATTTGACCTTTGAAAAGTTTAAAATTTGGATCGATTAAAATTTAAAACGGTTAAAATTGAATAAAATAATTTATAGATTATTTGCAACATAAATCAATTCAAATTATTTAGATTCTATGTAAATAATTTCGATTTAAGTTTTTCATTTACCATTTTTTATCAATAAAAATTAGAAAGGTTTAAAATTTCAATTATTAGAAATGTGTTGTCATTGGAATATTATTTGAATAATCAGATAAATTGAAGATTGGTAAGATTAAATTTGATTAAGATTAGAACAGGAAAAGTATATTGTTTCATTTGTAAGTAAATTAAATATTAGTATTTGGATAATTTGAAATTAATAATTAATTGTAATAAAAAAGTCTAATTTGTTTATTTGGTTTCAATTAATTACAAATAAACGGTTTTAACAAACAATTATTAATTAATAATACTGTAGGTAATTGAACATTATTATTATTATTATTATTACATTTTATTATTTATAAAAATAATTGAATTCTTTTGAAGAATTTTATTATTTATGAAAATATTCTCATTATTGCGAAGGATTTTATCTGAATTTTTGAAAATAATAGAATTTTTTGAAGGAATTTTATTAAAAATTTTGAAAATAATGATCTTTTAAAAAGAATTTTGTCAAAATGGTTGATAATAATTGAATTTATATTAAAATCTTGAAAATAATCGAATTCAATTACCTAATATTTTAAAAAATAGTTGTATTTTTTCGAGAAATTTTATTAAAATTGTATCCTTATTAATAAAATCAGATGTCTGTCTGTACATTGCTTAAAACTTAAAAATGTTAACATGATTAGTTATTATGGACATCAGAGATTCCAAAAATATTCTTAAAAAATTTAATGTATGTATGTATGTATGTATGTATGTATGTATGTATGTATGTATGTATGTATGTATGTATGTATGTCTGTCACAAAAACTTTGTACCCCAATCACACAAAAACATGTAAATTGATTTAAGTCCAACTTGGTAGGTTATTAGGTATTGACCCAAGGAAGGTTTATAAATTTACAGATTTAAAAAATATTAATTAGAACGGCAGATATTCAATTTTTTCAAAAAATTCAAAAAATCGAAAATTTCAAAATTTTTTATTTTTCATGGATTGCTTTTAAAGTTTCTATACTTGAGTATTACATGTTATTTAGTCACATTATAGCATAACTTAGCAAAAAATAAAGTCCTATAACTAATATGTAAGTATAAAAATGTTTTCAAAAAATCGAAAATTTCAAAATTTTACATTTCTTATGGATTGCTTTTAAACTTTCTATATTTGAGTTTTTACATGTTATTTTGTCACATTTTAGCATAATTTTGCAAAAAATACTATTCTACAACTAAGATATAAATATAAAAATATTTTCAAAAACTTCAAAAATGGAAAATTTCCAAATTTCGCAATTTTTAATGAATAGCTTTTAAACTTTCTAAAATTGAATATTATATGTTATTTAGTCAGATTTTATCATAATTTTGCAAAAAATACTATCCTACAAGAAATATAAAAATATTTTCAATATCAAAAAATCGATACTAATTACTATATGAAGTTTAATTCAGTAGTATTTTTGGAGTCTCTGATTAATATTTTGACGTCAAAATAGTGCAATTCAAAATTATTTATCAAATCAATCTAATATTTTCAAGAAGTTCAGAAATATTGAAAATGCAAATTTTTTATGATTAAAATGATTTTGCAGGATGTCAAGAATTGTAAGTCACCTGTGATACAATACAAGCATATTATGCCACTAGGCAAAAACTTATATGTTAAAACGTTTTTTCATTTTAACTCTAGATTTAACTTTAAGAGATGTTTTGAGCAATGTAAGGACAAAAGTTAACACGGTGTCTATTTTTGTTTAACAAAATTTCCTGCTTTGTCCAAATTTTTCACGGTTTATCTCTTTTTTGTCAAATTTAAATTTACTTGATTTTATCCATAAATAAATCTACAAATGGCTATAAAAATTTACATATTTTATGAAAATACTGTTTCTTAAGTTCATAATTATAAATATAGATTATATTAGTATGCTGTCGTACAGTTTTCTATTTCTACTAATACAATTAACTGGGTATCTACCAAACGGGAAACACTGTAAAAAGCTGGGAATATGCCGAACCGGGAATTTTCCTATGAAATTAAGAAAAAGTTTCATTATATTAATTCGCTTTTAAAAAATTGCTTTTTACTTTAATTTTTATTGATGTATAATATTTATGAAAACAGACCCGAGTCAAAATTTAAGCTGATTCAAATAGTAATATTTTCCTACTAAAATAGCTATAATGGTAACTAATTATTATTTTTTTCCGGTCAAATTAAATTCCCTTGCTATTTTCTGATTTTCCAGATTAGTAGACACACTTAAATGTATTGGTAGAAAATAAAACCCGTCGAAGACGGGTACGACAGCTAGTTGAAAATAATTAAATTAAAAGAATTTAAAAGAGTTTTATTATTTATTATTAAATTTATTTCTATTTTATAATATTTATTTATTTTATTATTTAATTTCAAGTGAATCCATTGAATTTTGAAAAAATATGTCCGCCATTTTGAATTTTACAAATCTGACATCGGATTCGCAAAATCGCAATCAGCAACCCCAAACCCCCCGAAGTAAAAAATTTTAAGTAATTCCGTTGAATTTTTAAAAAATTGATCCGCCATATTGGATCCGCCATTTTGAAGTTTTAAAATCTGACATCGGATTCGTATTGAGCGACCGTAAAAACCCTTGAGTAATAAATTAACAAATTAACAACTCACGAGAAACTATTGGGCGTTGGCCTATAAACAGTGTCACATGGTGTTTATTGTTCTACAGTTTGCGCATCTTTTCTGCGCACCTTTTACCTCGCTACTAAATAATTTATTTACAAATATAATATTGCTTTCAAGGTTGATCAAAATGGAATCGGAAGGATTGAGGCGATGGATGCCGCCAGGTTTCTCATGAAATCAAAACTAAGCGATGTCATTCTCAGCAAAATATGGGATATGGCAGATCCTCAATCGCGAGGATTTTTGGACAAACCTGGATTCTTTGTAGCCCTAAAACTTTGTGCTTTGGCACAGCAAGCATACGAACTAAATATGATTAATATAAATTTGGAAATTCTTCCTCCGAAAATGGTAAATATTATACTAAGATCATGATAGAATTGTAATTTTCTAAAACGATTACATTGATTCTTTTACATTTTCAGGGAGACCTACCTAAGATTCAACCAATTCCACAAAAACCTGTGGTGACAACTCAGCCTCTAATTGCTGCTGTTAGCAGTGGCGACTGGACGATTAAACCAACAGAACGAGCCAAATACGATCAACTCTTCGACAGTCTTCAACCATCAAATGGATATATTCCAGGCAATAAAGTTAAAGGAGTTCTAATGGACAGTAAGCTGCCTCTTGAGACCCTCGGTAAAATCTGGGATCTTGCAGATATGGATAAAGACGGCATGCTCGACAGGCATGAATTTACTGTGGTACGAAACGAATTACAATAACCAATTGTAATCATAACCGTTCAATCAATTTGTTTTTAATTTTTATCTTTTATTTAAATTTTTGTCATCCATTTAATATTTGCAAATTCTTACAGGCAATGCATTTGGTGTATAAAGCATTGGAAAAATATGCGATTCCACACGTCTTGCCACCAGAATTAATGCCGCCAGGAAAGAGAAAAGATGTGTCTGAATCAAAGTCTCCAGCCTTACCAGTAGTCGGAGGTCCTCCACCAATACCTCCACTTCCGAACGTTCCTTCTGTTAACAGTCTTGCGGGTTTGGATATTAAGGTACGTCAGTTTATACTCATTCTATATTATTTTACTAGCTGTCGTACTCGTCTTCGACAGGTTTTAGTTTCTACGAATACATTTAACGGTGTTTCTACCAATCTGGAAAATCACGAAATAGCCGGGAATTTAATTTGACCGGAAAAAAAATATAATTAGTTACAATTAGCTATTTCGGTAGGAAAATATTACTATTCAAATAGTTTCCATCTTTTTTTGGTAAAAAATTCAAAATTGTCAAAAATTATCAAAAATTCGAAAAACCGAATTTCTTAAAATTCAACTTTTTTTCTTCTATTTTACGGCATTTAGCTTCACTACTTTTGTGCTTTTGGAAAATACTTTACTTATTCAATAATCTTCAACCTTTGGTAAAAAATTCAAAATTGTCAAAAATTATCAAAAATTCGAAAAACCGAATTTCTTAAAATTCAACATTTTTTCTTCTATTTTACGGCATTTAGCTTCACTATTTTTGTGCTTTTGGAAAATACTTTACTTATTCAATAATCTTCACCCTTTGGTAAAAAATTCAAAATTGTCAAAAATTATCAAAAATTCGAAAAACCGAATTTCTTAAAATTCAACATTTTTTCTTCTATTTTACGGCATTTAGCTTCACTATTTTTGTGCTTTTGGAAAATACTTTACTTATTCAATAATCTTCACCCTTTGGTAAAAAATTCAAAATTGTCAAAAATTATCAAAAATTCGAAAAACCGAATTTCTTAAAATTCAACATTTTTTCTTCTATTTTACGGCATTTAGCTTCACTATTTTTGTGCTTTTAGAAAATACTTTACTTATTCAATAATCTTCACCCTTTGGTAAAAAATTCAAAATTGTCAAAAATTATCAAAAATTCGAAAAACCGAATTTCTTAAAATTCATCTTTTTTTCTTTTCTTTTATGGCATTTAGCTTTAATATTTTTGTGCTCTTGAAAAATACTTTACTTATTCAATAATCTTCACCCTTTGGTAAAAAATTCAAAAATTTTAAAAATTATCAAAAATTCGAAAAACCGAATTTCTTAAAATTCAACTTTTTTTTTTCTTTTATGGCATTTAGCTTCAATATTTGTGTGCTCTTGAAAAATACTTTACTTATTCAATAATCTTCACCCTTTGGTAAAAAATTCAAAATTGTCAAAAATTATCAAAAATTCGAAAAACCGAATTTCTTAAAATTCAACATTTTTTCTTCTATTTTACGGCATTTAGCTTCACTATTTTTGTGCTTTTAGAAAATACTTTACTTATTCAATAATCTTCACCCTTTGGTAAAAAATTCAAAATTGTCAAAAATTATCAAAAATTCGAAAAACCGAATTTCTTAAAATTCATCTTTTTTTCTTTTCTTTTATGGCATTTAGCTTTAATATTTTTGTGCTCTTGAAAAATACTTTACTTATTCAATAATCTTCACCCTTTGGTAAAAAATTCAAAAATTTTAAAAATTATCAAAAATTCGAAAAACCGAATTTCTTAAAATTCAACTTTTTTTTTTCTTTTATGGCATTTAGCTTCAATATTTGTGTGCTCTTGAAAAATACTTTACTTATTCAATAATCTTCACCCTTTGGTAAAAAATTCAAAATTGTCAAAAATTATCAAAAATTCGAAAAACCGAATTTCTTAAAATTCAACATTTTTTCTTCTATTTTACGGCATTTAGCTTCACTACTTTTGTGCTTTTGGAAAATACTTTACTTATTCAATAATCTTCAACCTTTGGTAAAAAATTCAAAATTGTCAAAAATTATCAAAAATTCGAAAAACCGAATTTCTTAAAATTCAACATTTTTTCTTCTATTTTACGGCATTTAGCTTCACTATTTTTGTGCTTTTGGAAAATACTTTACTTATTCAATAATCTTCACCCTTTGGTAAAAATTTCAAAATTTTTAAAAATTCGAAAAACCGAATTTCTTAAAATTCAACATTTTTTCTTCTATTTTACGGCATTTAGCTTCACTATTTTTGTGCTTTTGGAAAATACTTTACTTATTTAATAATCTTCACCCTTTGGTAAAAAATTCAAAATTGTCAAAAATTATCAAAAATTCGAAAAACCGAATTTCTTAAAATTCAACTTTTTTTCTTTTCTTTTACGGCATTTAGCTTTAATATTTTTGTGCTCTTGAAAAATACTTTACTTATTCAATAATCTTCACCCTTTGGTAAAAAATTCAAAATTGTCAAAAATTATCAAAAATTCGAAAAACCGAATTTCTTAAAATTCAACTTTTTTTCTTTTCTTTTATGGCATTTAGCTTTAATATTTTTGTGCTCTTGAAAAATACTTTACTTATTCAATAATCTTCACCCTTTGGTAAAAAATTCAAAAATTTTAAAAATTATCAAAAATTCGAAAAACCGAATTTCTTAAAATTCAACTTTTTTTTTTTCTTTTATGGCATTTAGCTTCAATATTTGTGTGCTCTTGAAAAATACTTTACTTATTCAATAATCTTCACCCTTTGGTAAAAAATTCAAAATTGTCAAAAATTATCAAAAATTCGAAAAACCGAATTTCTTAAAATTCAACATTTTTTCTTCTATTTTACGGCATTTAGCTTCACTATTTTTGTGCTTTTGGAAAATACTTTACTTATTCAATAATCTTCACCCTTTGGTAAAAATTTCAAAATTTTTAAAAATTCGAAAAACCGAATTTCTTAAAATTCAACATTTTTTCTTCTATTTTACGGCATTTAGCTTCACTATTTTTGTGCTTTTGGAAAATACTTTACTTATTTAATAATCTTCACCCTTTGGTAAAAAATTCAAAATTGTCAAAAATTATCAAAAATTCGAAAAACCGAATTTCTTAAAATTCAACTTTTTTTCTTTTCTTTTATGGCATTTAGCTTCACTATTTTTGTGCTTTTGGAAAATACTTTACTTATTCAATAATCTTCACCCTTTGGTAAAAAATTCAAAATTGTCAAAAATTATCAAAAATTCGAAAAACCGAATTTCTTAAAATTCAACATTTTTTCTTCTATTTTACGGCATTTAGCTTCACTATTTTTGTGCTTTTGGAAAATACTTTACTTATTCAATAATCTTCAACCTTTGGTAAAAAATTCAAAATTGTCAAAAATTATCAAAAATTCGAAAAACCGAATTTCTTAAAATTCAACATTTTTTCTTCTATTTTACGGCATTTAGCTTCACTATTTTTGTGCTTTTAGAAAATACTTTACTTATTCAATAATCTTCACCCTTTGGTAAAAAATTCAAAATTGTCAAAAATTATCAAAAATTCGAAAAACCGAATTTCTTAAAATTCATCTTTTTTTCTTTTCTTTTATGGCATTTAGCTTTAATATTTTTGTGCTCTTGAAAAATACTTTACTTATTCAATAATCTTCACCCTTTGGTAAAAAATTCAAAAATTTTAAAAATTATCAAAAATTCGAAAAACCGAATTTCTTAAAATTCAACTTTTTTTTTTCTTTTATGGCATTTAGCTTCAATATTTGTGTGCTCTTGAAAAATACTTTACTTATTCAATAATCTTCACCCTTTGGTAAAAAATTCAAAATTGTCAAAAATTATCAAAAATTCGAAAAACCGAATTTCTTAAAATTCAACATTTTTTCTTCTATTTTACGGCATTTAGCTTCACTACTTTTGTGCTTTTGGAAAATACTTTACTTATTCAATAATCTTCAACCTTTGGTAAAAAATTCAAAATTGTCAAAAATTATCAAAAATTCGAAAAACCGAATTTCTTAAAATTCAACATTTTTTCTTCTATTTTACGGCATTTAGCTTCACTATTTTTGTGCTTTTGGAAAATACTTTACTTATTCAATAATCTTCACCCTTTGGTAAAAATTTCAAAATTTTTAAAAATTCGAAAAACCGAATTTCTTAAAATTCAACATTTTTTCTTCTATTTTACGGCATTTAGCTTCACTATTTTTGTGCTTTTGGAAAATACTTTACTTATTTAATAATCTTCACCCTTTGGTAAAAAATTCAAAATTGTCAAAAATTATCAAAAATTCGAAAAACCGAATTTCTTAAAATTCAACTTTTTTTCTTTTCTTTTATGGCATTTAGCTTCACTATTTTTGTGCTTTTGGAAAATACTTTACTTATTCAATAATCTTCACCCTTTGGTAAAAAATTCAAAATTGTCAAAAATTATCAAAAATTCGAAAAACCGAATTTCTTAAAATTCAACATTTTTTCTTCTATTTTACGGCATTTAGCTTCACTATTTTTGTGCTTTTGGAAAATACTTTACTTATTCAATAATCTTCACCCTTTGGTAAAAAATTCAAAATTGTCAAAAATTATCAAAAATTCGAAAAACCGAATTTCTTAAAATTCAACATTTTTTCTTCTATTTTACGGCATTTAGCTTCACTATTTTTGTGCTTTTAGAAAATACTTTACTTATTCAATAATCTTCACCCTTTGGTAAAAAATTCAAAATTGTCAAAAATTATCAAAAATTCGAAAAAACGAATTTCTTAAAATTCAACATTTTTTCTTCTATTTTACGGCATTTAGCTTCACTATTTTTGTGCTTTTAGAAAATACTTTACTTATTCAATAATCTTCACCCTTTGGTAAAAAATTCAAAATTGTCAAAAATTATCAAAAATTCGAAAAACCGAATTTCTTAAAATTCATCTTTTTTTCTTTTCTTTTATGGCATTTAGCTTTAATATTTTTGTGCTCTTGAAAAATACTTTACTTATTCAATAATCTTCACCCTTTGGTAAAAAATTCAAAATTGTCAAAAATTATCAAAAATTCGAAAAACCGAATTTCTTAAAATTCATCTTTTTTTCTTTTCTTTTATGGCATTTAGCTTTAATATTTTTGTGCTCTTGAAAAATACTTTACTTATTCAATAATCTTCACCCTTTGGTAAAAAATTCAAAATTGTCAAAAATTATCAAAAATTCGAAAAAACGAATTTCTTAAAATTCAACATTTTTTCTTCTATTTTACGGCATTTAGCTTCACTATTTTTGTGCTTTTGGAAAATACTTTACTTATTCAATAATCTCCAAGTTTCACTTTAATTGATTAAACCGTTTTCAATTGATGCGCTAACCAAGTTTTGCATACAGATAGACAGACATACAGAAATTTTTTTTTACATTTTTCGAATTCTAATGTCTGAAAACGAAAAAATATATAAAAATTTTCTAGCTAGGAGCAATGTACAGACAGAAGTCTGGTTTTATTAATATAGATTATTCCGTCATTGGACTAAAAAAAGTAGGACTATTACGTCCAATAATTTTTAGAGTGAATCAGAATATTCTGTAGGGTTAGGGGAAAAGTCAGAATTATGTCTGGAAATCAGGGAAAAGTCAGGGAAAACAAAATTTTTGTGGTTCGTGGCAAGTTTGCTTACCATTTTAGTTATGAACAAAAGATTGCGATAGAAATGACGCGGTTTTGAAAAGGGTTTGCAAACCGTAAGGACACAATATTTGCATTCACCTGTAATATACAGTAAACAGTATCTTCAATTTTAATTAACTTTAAAATTAACTGTCAGGTACAGCCCGTTGTGCAGAAGTGGGTTGTGTCCGTCGAAGATCAGGCAGCGGCCGACAAACTATTCTTGCAAGCGGATATGGATATGGATGGTTTTGTTTCCGGAGGAGAGATCAAAGACATCTTTCTTCAAAGTGGACTTCCTTCGCATAAACTGGCACACATTTGGTACATTTTTTCCCTATATTATTTACCAGGAAATGTTTAATTAAAAGTGATAAAATTGTTTGTATTATTAAGTAAACATGATAATAAGTAATCCAAACTGAAATGTTATTAATAATAATTTTTTTTTTGATAGGACTTTATGCGACATCTGCCAGAGTGGTAAACTAAATAAGGAACAGTTTGCTCTGGCTATGTGGCTCATCAAACAAAAACTCCACGGAGTAGAACCGCCGAACGTTCTCCCTCTTGAAATGGTACCTCCATCCTTGAGGAAGCCGATGGAAAGCATTGTGGTAAGTCTTTAAGATTTTAAATTTCTTTATAATATTATTATATTTAGTATCAGTCACTAACAGTGTTAGTAGGACATATATGTCCCGCTTACAAAAAGCTCATTATCCGTAAACAAAAATTAATTTTTTTCATTCAAATTTGGTGCGCTTTGTTCAGCAAAGAGATCTCTGCTTTTTTTGTAAAATTTAAAAAATTGTTTTAGCGATTACGAAAAATATTCCAAAATACTTTTAGGAACGTCCCTAAAATAACAAATCCGCCAATTATTACAATATGATAATCAAATTTCACTTCTATGCTGTATGAAACTTCAAGCTTGATACTTCCAGCTAGCTGATTATTTTGCCAGCAGCTAAAAATTACGATTTATTTAACAATTTTAAATTAATATTTTTATTAGTTGTATAGTCAGCATTAACTTTACCTGTAAATACTTTTATCGCTTTCTTGTAATTTTTGAAATATTATTTCCTGCTTTGAGTTTATTTGTATTCTTCCTGAAGATTGCTCATTTATTACTTTGGAGGATAAAAGTTTGTCTCCTACTTTCCACGTGAAAGGGGAATCGGAATTGAGATTTCTAAATATTTTATAAACATATGAAATTCTTATTAAAGGACCTCGCAGGAAATACATTTGTCAGTTCTAAGTCACAGTCGATCTGTCTGTAGTTTTTGAATTTAATAGTTTTCTTCAGACTGAATACAAATTTAAAATTCAATATTTATAAGAAAATCGACTGGGACTCAAAACTAATGTATTTCCTGAGGGGTCCTTTAGGGGAGAAATTATTAGGAAAATTGTTTATTACCCTGGACATTGTAATAAATATTTCTCGTTATTTTTTCCGTAAAGAGTTATTCTGGGTACTGAGGGTAAACTAGCAGGTAATTTTTGTTCAAAGGAATAGATACCGGCACTATTGTTTGCTTGTTCAAGAATATTTCCAAACTTATCACGTACTTGAAATACTTGATTTCGTCTACAAGTTTTCTGCAATAAAAATTTATTAGTCAATAAGTTTTTTAAATTTCTATTTTGATAGTTTGAAGTTTGTTTCTTGATTTCTTAAAAGAGTGAGATTTTTACCTTACAATAGTGTTGCATTATTTCGCTTTTTCTTTCTGTCACGCCCGATATTCTTTGAATTATTAGCGGAGTATTTTCTGATCTACAAGGTATTTTATTTCTAAATATTTTCAGAAATTTACTTAACAGATGTTGTAATTGTTCTTTGCTCGACCCATCTTCTTGATAGATTTCATCTCCTATTACAAACATTTTTATGTTTTTTGAAAATAAAAAACTACTTTATTTAATGACAGAACATTCAACGCTTTTTTTCATAAAATAAATTTGAAATATTTACCCCGCCGGCTTAATAAAAATTAATAGAGAATCTTATTTTCAACTGTTAAGACATTCTATTATATGAATATTTTTAAAAGTCTACCATTAAATGGAACATCATTTGTATTCCTCTTAACTGGAGTTTTCAGATGCGAAATTGTACAATAGCCATATCTAATCTTCTTTCCCACAATATCACAAGTTGAACAATCGGACCAATCAGTCCATGAAGAATATACTTTCAAATTATATTCCGGTATAATTGTAGGAGGTTGAGCGCTGAAATTTGTCATTTGCATTTTTGATATTTCTTTACTTTTCTCTGCATGAACATTTATTGTCAATTCTGATCCATTATCAACGTGCAAATAATAAGGAGGAGAAATCGTATCTCCTAATCGACACCAATATTTACCCGCTTGATTTATCTATTATTAAAATTTTATGGTATTATTTAAAAACAAATTTTGGTTATATTATTATTTTTTATTATTTATGATATTATTATTATTTTTATTATTCTTTTTTAGCGACGTAACAGCGTTTAGAAAATAATTCACGTACTTGAATTTTGTAAATACACAAACTTCCATTTTGTGAAATTAACACATGTTCTGATTCATAAACTTCAGTATTTGAATTAGAATCGTTGATTTTACTAAAATACCATTTTACGGTTATTTTATGTATATTTTGAGGCGAAAGGCAAATTTGGCATTTTAAACTGTAAGAAGAAAGGGTATTGTTTTCGGAGTTATTTTATTTAACGCAGGAGTGATTCCTCGTTTTTCTACAACTGCTTTTAATACTTAAGTCAGTGTTTCGATTAATTTCATTTTTAAAATTAAGAAAGAGGGAAGTTTAATCATTTTTAATGGGAGTGAATTCTAAGAAAATCTTATTTTTTTACATTACTGATGTTTCTCTAAAAGCTACTAAAGAAGTCGCAAATGAAGTTTTATTTGGTCCTATTTTTAAGTGCTCCTCATTTAAACATTTATAATATTCATCCCAATGTTTCTTATTTAGTTTTATTAAGGTCTTATTTGATCTTGGATATTCAACAATCATTGAATCTAGAAAAAGATTATTTTTGTGTCGAAAAGGACAATTTGTTTTCATATTAAAAGGAGTAAATATTTTTTCTAAAAATATACCACATAATTTAACTTTTGTGACAAAAGGAATCCAACAAAGTATTTTCTAATCAATACCTTCTTTATTTCCCTTATTGAAAAAATCACCTTCTGTGGCTATTATAATCGCAATTAACAACGACAAATATTTTGTTTTTAACATTTTTACTTTATTTCTCGTCGTAAATGATCATAATGTTTCTTTTTATTTGGTTATTATAATCAATTATAAGACTAAAAATATTGTCACCAACTTCAATTGTTTGTTTCGATGTTCTTTTCTTCCTAGAGTTCCAAATATTAAAAACCATTAAAAACCTTCTAAGCTTAAACATTATTTATTTACTAATAACTAATAATTTAATTTGTTTAATCGTGAACGGAAACCTAAGTGAAGGTTGACCGATTTTATTTTCGTTCATGACTTGATTTTTTATTTATTCTTTGATTCAAAATTGTACATTTGTATTATTTATGATCAACAAAATTTTATTAAATTTAAAACAAATCTTTTTTAAACTTTTCGTTTCTTTGGTTTTATCACCTTAAGCTGATAGTTGTAATGTCAAATTTTTACGTCAGAGTCATGTTCAAAAAGTTGTAAACGATTAAAAACCACCAACGTGGTTTTTGATAATCTAGCAATTTTTAAAACATTTCTTAGGCATATTGAATTTTTACATTTCAACTTGGTAATCAGACCCGAAGAACCTACGAGTAAATAATTTTACCAATTAGTGTTTAAAAATTCGTAGATAATCTATATTGTTAACAATAATTAATATTTTACAACAAATATTTCAAATATTTATTGTTAACTATAAAAATAAATAAAATATAAAAAAATTTTAATAATAAAAATAAAGTTATTGCGAATATAACATTATTAAAAAATGAAACTTGCTATTTTTCAGGAGAACAATAATATATCTGGATACTCCAATCCGGAGTTGGATATGATTAGTAAAGACATTGCTGAATTGGTTCGCGAACGGCAGATGATGGAACAGGACATTGCACAAAAGGAGGCAGACATTAAAATAAAGAACGGTGAAATAAAGAGTTTGCAAAGTGAACTAGATACTTTAGCAGCTACTTTAAAACAGTTAGAAAATCAAAGAGGAGAGGCGCAAAAAAGATTAAATGATCTAAAAGCGCAGGTAAAGTATTTTAATTCTTCTAATTTGCACATTAGTTGTTCAGCTTGGCTTCTGCAAAATAGTAAAAATATTGGCTATATTATGAAAAAACGTTTAGATATCGTTGTATTTTATTTTCATTCTTTCAAATTATTCAGTTAAGTTTCCTTTTCATTTTTAAATATGATTTACTTTTTTAATTTGCATATTAATTTTTTTATCAAGATGCCACTAATGTTTTTATATTTATTGAAAGATCCATGATTGTAATATTCTATTTCAAAAGTTCGTAGTATTCGGCGTTTTTTATTTAATTTTTTTTTTTTTTGAGTGAATGATTTTTTTTATAGAAATCGTAATTTTTATTTTATTATTAAATGTAAATTTTATACTCTTGGAAAGAAAAAAGGATTTAAATTATTTTAAATATTTTAAAGAAAAAAAAGTTTTTTCAAGGATCTTTCAATTAGTATAAAAAAATACTTTGTTGAGTTGTACTCATCTGCTGTTTGTGAAATACGGCTGAAATAAAAATAAAAACTATTTCGAATGCTTAAAGAAATAAAGTCACATCCAGGAGGAGGAGACTTTTTATTCAAAGGTTGGGTAACTTAAAGTCAAATTACTTTATAATTTACTTTATAATTTTAAATACATAACATCCTTTACTTTAAGGTATGTAACTATAACTAATATTATAATTTAATCGTTTTGCATTCGCGCTTATCAAGTTGAAATTTTGTTTATTGAAAAAGGAGGGAGGGTATTAATGACACCCCCTGATTGACATACTACTGAAACTTTCAGAGTAAGACACTCATATTACTTTCTGCTTTTGTCTCCTAAATATAAACTTGTCCAACTCAATAAAAAGTATTTTTAGAGGCAATTGATTTACATTTCAATGATTATTTTTTGGGTACGATTTTGACTGGACAAAAAGTAACAATTCATCAGGAAATTGTATAAAGTTCGTTCTATACTAAAAAGTACACTAATGATTTTAATAAAACATTAATATTAAATGTGTAGAAACTGTTTATTGGAAATACTAAGAAATGTAATTTACATTTAATGAATAAAGAATTGAAAAATCCAGCGTTATTTAAAAGGAAATAGATTACTTTTTGATTTTTAAAATATAAACCCGAGAATTTGCAACCATTTAAATAACAAAAACAGAATTAATTTTTGAATTATTTTATAACTAGCAAATGTTTAGATTCAAACTTTAAAAAAATTCAAATATTAACTAATTTACTAATTAATAATAATTTTTGTTTATTAATTTCAAAAATTTTAATACAATTCTTCGCAAAAATTCAATTATTTACATAAATAATAAAATTCTTCGTAAGAATTCAATTATTTTTTTAAATAGTAAAATCTTTGCAAAGATTCAATTATTTTTAATATAATTTTAATAAAAATTCATGAAATTTTTACATTAATTTTAAAATTGAAAATATTTAAAAAGAAAAGTTATTAAAAAAGTTAAGAAACAAAAAAGCAAATAACATTGCTTCAATTTTTGAAATTATTTTCGAGAATTCAAATATCTTTAAAAAAATATTAATTACAATTTTTAAAAACCTAATATTTTTTGGAATTTCTTGAAATTATTTAAAAATTTAATCATTTTTAGAGGAAAATAATATATTAATAAGTTCTTTAAATGAACATATTTAAGGTAGAATCTGAGAAACAATAGGAACAAAAGTTAGTCCAATGTCATAATTTTGTATTTTAAAAGAAAAGGTGAAAGGTATTAATGTTTTCCTAAATTCATTGCTGCACCAACAAGAAATCGAATTTTTGGTAAACTATTTTCCTGTCGACAGTCAAATTCTTACCATTCCTTATTACTTTTTTGTTCGTTACATTTGATTTGTAGAAAGCAGATGTAGATAAAGAGTTGAGTGAAATCGAGATCGAGATTCAGGATGAGCATCAAAAGGTATTCAAATATTTCTCATTGTTTAACATTTGTAACACACTCAGAAGAAAGGTACCTATGAAGCAATTTTAAAGTTATTTTTGTGTTATTTTTACCTTAATTAAAAGTTTCTGTTTCATTATGTAAAACTAAAATGAGTTTTTATTTACTATTTTCGATGTAATGAAGACTTTAACATCAGTGGTTTAAATTGAGAGTTGATTTATTTTCTGTAATTTCGTTTAAAAAATTAGAAACAACCTTAAATTTTTTGCTTAAGTACCTTTCTTCGGAGCGGGTCACATTTTTTCCTTTAAATTATTTTTTCTTCTATGTTAAACAAAGTAACGTCGCTAACGCAATTTTTGCTTAATATTTCTAAAAGGTGATAAACAAAATACTTGAGTGAAATTAAAAGAAAAACTGTTTGTCTGCTTCTTGTGTGTTTTTTGAAAGAGAAAATCTATTTCTCCTTTTCCAAAGCTTATTCTGTGAAGTCTACGTTTTGCGTTTTGCGATATTCTTTGCGAAATGTAGTTCAAAAAATAAAAGCAAAATGAAGAATTAATACACATTTTTTTCTCGTTACCACCTTGGAAAATTGAATATTTATATTTTATTATTTATCATATGATGTTTTGAAAACTTTGACTATTTAATAATAAAAATTCAACTGATGAATAGGTTGACAAATTGAGACAACAAGCGGAAGAACAGGAGTCGGTGTTGCGATCTCAAGAGGAGGAATTGAATTCCAAGCGCCAAGAATTGGAAGGACTCAAACATGAAGAACAGCAATTGGAGTTGCAGCAGACAAAGAGTAGGGACCAATTGAATGAATTGACGAAGAAGCTTCAGGAGGCGCAACTTCAGATAAGTCAAGCGAAGGTTAAAATTACTCACCTCGAGGAACAACAGAGGCAAATGAGTGACGCGATTGCCCTTTATGATTCTGCACTTGCCACTGGTGATGCGAATGTCGTGCCAGACACGAGTCTCCATTACAAGCCGGAAATTGAAGAATTAATACGGTTAGATTTTTACAATCAATATAATCCATCTTAATTAATATAAAATCATAATTTTATCTAAACATTGCTTGGGACTTCAAAATTTATACTTGAATTTGTATTTCATACAAATGTTAATTAAATTATTGATTGTTAAATACTGAATCGAATTTATTAACAGAAATGAAGAGGACAGTTTCGCACAATTAAATGGACAAAAATCCGAGAGGCAGTCTTTCTCGAATGTTAACGGTATTGGAGGTGCTTTTAATGAAGATCCTTTCTCGTCGGATAAAGCTAAAGACGCTTTTGGAGACAGTGATCTGTTTGAAAATCCTCCAGCAGCAGCAACTGTAAGCAACATTTTCATTTCAAACATTTTTCTATTTTTATAATATTATAAATTTTCGAGAATAAACATCAATTTTTTAATGATTACAGATTCCAAATTTAAAGAATTCACTTATTAAGTACATAATACTAAATATTCTTGTTTATTATTATTCAAAAATTTTAATAAAACTTATCGCAAGAATTTCATTATCCTCTCATAAATAATATTTTTTAGAGCAATTCAATTATTTTTAATACAATTTTAATAAAATTTCTCTAAATAATACAATTATTTTTAAAAATTGTAATATTAACATTTTTCTAAACAATTCAATCGATCTCAAAAGTTTTTAATAAAATTCTTTCTAAATTTCAATTATTTTTAAAATTTTTAATTAAAATCATTTAAAAAATTACATTATTTGTACGAAATTTAATGGAATTCTTAAAAAATGTAATTATTTGCAAAAACTCTAATAAAATTGTTTAAAAGAATTTAATTTTCTATGAATGATTTTAATATAACTCAATAGGAAAATTATTAATTATAATAAATAATAAACACGATTACTTTAAAAATTTTAAAGAAAATTTTTTTTTTTTTTTTTTTTTTTTTTTTTTTTTTAAATCTTCATATAATTCAATTACTTTTAAAATTTTCAGTAAAAATTATTAAAAAAAACTCCATTATTTTCAAGAAAATTGAAATAAATTCTTCAAAACAATTTAATTATTTAAAAGAATTGTAATAAAAATCTTTCCAAGAATGAAATTATTTCCAATACAATTTTAAATTGACTTTTGTTTCTATAAGAAAACCGATAGTAATGAAAAGTGGAGTTTTGCTTCGTTTACTCAATCAAATTCAAAATACATTCGTAATTTTTGTTTTGTTTTAAGAACGAAATTTGACTTCCGTATTGTAATTATAAATTTTTAATTTTATTTTGTTCGTGTTTAGGGTGGATTTACCAGTGACCCCTTCATGGCTTTCAACAAACAAGATTCAATAAAGCAAGAACCTTTTGATGCCTTTGGAGATAATAAAGCAAAACCAAGTGGTGTAAGTAATCAATTTTTTCTCTAAACAATAACAAATGCAGGACAATTTTGTTTCGTTGAAAAACTAAGCAAAATTATGCAATTTATGATTTCAGAATTCGAAAGATCCATTCGGCGACGATCCGTTTGCGAATCTTTATGCACCCACACGTTCTGAAAGTCCCAGCCCAGCTCTTCCGCCGAAGAAGGCGAAACAGAAACCTCCTAGACCTGCACCGCCACGCTCGGCTCAACCGGGCTCTGGAGTGACTGGTCCATTGCGAGCTGCCCCCGCACCTCCTGTTCCTTCGCCTACACCCGACTTGTTCGCGAGTCAGAAACCTGACCCCTTTGCCAGTCAATCATTATCCGACACTAAAAATGGTAACACTTTCAACGCTGGATTCGCTGATTTTACAAATTTCGACTCTAAGGTAAGCAGAATTAAGATTATTTCATTGTTAAATGTAATTATGTTCTTGTAATTTACGTGGCTTTTTTTAATATTTTATGGATTATGCTTTTTATTATTACTATGTGATCAGATGTTGTCTAATAATTGTTAAGTAAGCAATTTATATTCAAATTAAATATTTTACTCAATTGAAAATAATCTGCAATTTTTTTTCTAATTTGTAATTAAACATTAAAATTGTTTACAAAATATTCACTAAATATATTTTTTAAATGTATTTACTAATTTTGAAATTATTAAACACAAGTTTTTGAATTAAATGCTTACTTTTCAATTAAAGTTCAGTATTGTTGTTAAGAGATTAAATAGATCTTACAGTATTGAATTTTGTTATTTTTTTTTAGTTCGAAAAAATGTAATTAAAAACTTTGTGTCTCTATCAAATGTTTCGAATTTATATTCAGTCAGTTTCATTGAGTTTTAATTAATTTTTTCAAAAATTGTAATATTAACTTACGAACAAATCACTTTCTTTTCGAAGCTAATTACAACCAAACTTAATATGAATTTTTCTTCGAAAGTAAAATAAGTTCGAAATGTTAGTAATTGAACTCAAAGAATATGATTTTTCAATACAAAATATTTGCCTGAGATATTAAAAAATTTTTGATTGTACATGTTCAGATTGCATGCTCACTAATTGAATTGTCACAATAAATGTTTCGAAATGTAGCACTGTGTGAAAAATTAGTAGATATTTTATTTCGAAAATGAACTAGTCAGTTTCTAATCATCCGATAATAATCTACATAATCTCTTAACATATACTTCACTTATTCATTATTATTATAATTTTATCGTTATTATTATTATTTTAGTTATTATTATTATTATTATTATTATTATTATTATTATTATTATATTATTACTATATTATTATATTATTATTGTTACTGTTACCATTATGATTATTTTTTTATTATTTCAGTATATGATTATTTAATTATTACATTCACATTTATTTTCTCTCATCAGTTTGAAACATTGGAAATTAGGAAGAATTAAGCGATAACTTGGAAATATATGTTTTAATATGTACATTTTAATTGTACCGCATTTTCTATTGAAATTACTTTTTTTCTATACAAAATTCAGAATTGAAGATGGGCAAAATTAATTCTTAAATATATTAAAGTTACTGCACATTTATTGACTTGAGGTTAAGTTTTCTATAAAAAATACACTAAAATTAATCACGTAATTTAAAATAAAATGACACACTTTGTAAAAGAAGAATAGTTTGCATATTTTAATACGTTCCAAGTATATCCAGTTTGATTTAGAAAAAAATTTAGTAAAAATGAAACAAATATTAGGAACAAAAAAATCACTTCATTCATAACAATAACGATTCATTATCCTATTGTTCTGAATTGATTAATTACTATAATAGTTTTTAATTGACAAGAAACTAAATATAGTTGTTATTTTAGTTTCGGAGTGACACGTTTAAAAACAAAGTCTTTGTTTTAATATTCTAAGTTAATACGAAACTAAGCTCATTCATCGACTTTCGTTTCTGGATCACACTAATATGTAACTGAAACGAAACTAATTTTTAACTTCTCTCAAATTAATTTCTACTTCTTTCTTCCAATGTTTTTAACGAGTCACATTTTTTTTAAGAAATTGTACAATAAGATCAAATATGTTGTGAATTTGTGATCTTTAACACTATCTTTTGGATAAAACATCGATATTTTATTTTTCATAATAAATTTTTAATTTTTACAAGATGCACAGCGAACTATTTTAGTTATTTGAAATTTGAGTTTATAGAATAATTTCCGCTGAAGACATATTCGTACCTTGTTGTATGATTTTTGTTTGAATTCTGTCGATTTTAATTGATATTTTTTATAATTTATTTGTCATCAGTATTGATTGTTTTATATTTAGGTAGATGCAGTACGATTTTCAATTTACCCACTGATTTGACTTGTGGAGCATGCAGTCAACATTTTAATTCATTTCTTAGTGTTCGGTATTTTTTCGTAACTTTGTTCACTCATTGTTTACACCTTGATAGCTTGATAGCAATTAAATTCAATGTACAAGGTGTTTCAAATTTTTTTAAACCTCTGAAAATAATTTTTCGACATAAAAATGGATTTCAAAATATTTAACACAGCAAAATCGACATAGTAGAAAAAAACTAATTTTAACAATTTTGCATGATTTTAAATTCTTCTTAATATTTGAATTTAAATTGTTACGTAAACAATAAAACGTAAATTTTGATGCTTTGGAATTTTCCTACTTCAGTCCTTTGATAAAAATAAAAAAAAACAATAATTGATTTGCTCGGAAAGAATGATTTTTATCTCACCTTAAATAATTGAAACAATTTTATTTTTAGAGAGAGGTTCGAGACTATTTGAACTCCTTGAATAATTGAATATTTATTTTGTAAAAACTGGATTTGGAGTCGTTCAGAATATTTAATGTATAACCCAGATAGCACAATATGTTTTCAACAATTTCACATCCGACGTTTGCAGTTAAGTTTTTTGTAGCATGCTTTGTTATTTCTTTCACTTCAAGTAGAAACATTTTTTTGGATAGATTAAAAACTGTTGCATTAAACTAAAAATTAAGAAATTTGTTAAATAAATTTAATTACTTTTTTTAAAGGAAAACTTATTCCATTTGAATAAGATTATTGTGCTGTTTGGGAATAAAAATTACAACATGCTTAGAATGTAGGTAGAATTTAAAAAAAATTTCAAAGAAATAAATTATTTTAATGATTTTATCAGAAAACTCAGTAGATGTACGAAAACACGAAAACACAGTATTAAAATATAATTTCTAAAGTTAATTTGTAAACAAGTTTTGTAAAACAATTTTTATAATATTGTGAAGAGGTTAAATTAATTTTCAAGAAAAATAAATATTCAAAAATTGTCAAAATATTTTCGGATTTGTTTCCTTTAATGACGATTGAATTTCTTTTCAAAAAATTACTGTAAAAATAATGTTATGGAAGATTTAAATTATTTTCTTGATATAGTTAAAAATGTAAGCGAACCTTCTTCTTAAATTGGAATTGTAATAAATACATTTTTAATTTTCTTCAGTTTTGTTAAGTGAATAATTCTTGAACCAAAATAAAGATAATTAATTTCAGAATGAATTGTAGAAAGTGTAATTTTTTCGATTTGAACAAAGTGTTTTCATTATCGATTGAGTTGTCGATTAAAATCATGAACGACGCTGATGAATGTTTTTGCATGTAGGCACATAGATACGTTTGCATTGCAGCATTTAACAGATCTGAAAGCAGACCTGAGGACCAGTTCATAATCAGCGGTATTTGCCGCGTTTCTCTTAAATTTACAGTAAACAAAATACTGACTCGTGACAAAAAAATGCTTCAGCCGGAGCCAGTTTCCAACCGAACAGAGCCACAGAGACTAATCGGCAGACCTCGCACCACTCCAACTCCAATAATGCAGGACTTTAAGGAAGATCCATTCAAAGACTATCGCTACGACGACCTCGACAATCTAGATCCCTTCAACGACGAATTCCTCCTCTCCGGAGACTCAAATGCCAACAAAACCTCATCCGCCAACAGCGCCAGTAGACTAGACCCCTTTGGTTTCGACGAGAATTCATTCACTTCAGGGAATTCCTTCGACAAAGCCTTCGACTCTGACTTCTCGAAAACTTTGCCCCTTCCAAAAAATAAAAACGAAAAAGCCAATTCCAAGTTCAGCGTCGATTTCAACAAGGCTTTCTCCAACACCAACAAAAACCAAGGCTCGAACACAATGCGAACAAAGTCTAATGTGGCGTTTGCTTCCAAAAACGATGCCAAATCGGACAAGAAGTCTCCGTTCAAGGACAAATCCCTGTTTGGCGACAAGAAGAATAAAACCAACAGAGTGTGGAATGGGGAGAAGAAGGATTTGAACTCGGAGGAGCGGCAGATGGCTTGGGCGTCGAGGGAGAGTTTACGGGAGGAAGACGAGAGGCGCAAGCGTCGCGATCAGGAGGATTTGGAACTGTCTTTAGCGTTGGAGAGGAGTAAACTTGAAACTGGAAGGTCCGGGATCAATTAGATTTTGTTTCGCAGCAAAATACATTCAATACATTCAATGTATTTCACAGACTCGTTATTTTTACATGTTGTGCTTGATCAAACGAATTACATGCTTTAATCGAACTGTCGTGGTACAAGTGCTACTGTGACTTAGTTAGCTCTCTTGCACTCATTAGTTTCTATTTGCTTTATAAATAATAATTTAAAAGTGCAAGCACATTGACCATAGAATTAAAATTTAAAATTATATAATTATATACTCAGTACCGAACTCTACCATAAGAGAGTGTACATGCCATGCATAACTGTAATCAATCGATTATGTTATTTTCTTCAAGTTAAACGAACCTTAAAACTCAAAGCCTTTGTATTCAATTCCTAGGGAAGATTTCCAAGTGGAAATTCTTTGGAAAATTATTTCCAAAGACGAAATCCATTTTTAAGGCAATGGTTTATGTATTAAGATATAGTTATTAAAAAACTGTTAATTATTTAACAAACGTTAAATTTTAAGACAAATTCCAGTTTAAAAAGTAAATATTACTAGATAATAATTTTTATTAATTTTAAGAATATTTGCAGAAAAACTAAAATGTTGTACAAATTCATAATAGATGTATATTTTTATTTTTATTTTTATTTTTATTTTTATTTTCTGAACTGGAATTCATCTTTATTCGTGATTTGTAGAAAATATATTTTTTTTATAATCTTTCTTTAAAGCTCTCCGAGAGAGAGAGAGAGGGGGTAAAAATATTTTTTTTTTCTTTTTCTTTTTTGTTTTATAATTTATAATTTCATAATACAAGACATAATCATAATTCTGAAATTTAAAAAATCGAAGGAATTAAAAATAATTATCTTTTCTGTGAAAGTTGTAGATATGCTGTAATAGTTAATCAGCATTAAATGTTCTTAGTCAATCCAATGTAACAAGAAATAAACGAAAGAGAGTAATATTCATTATTAGTGAAGCGTTTAGTTTTTCAACAATTAGACAATAAAATAAAGTTGACCATTGTATGTACCTAATGACTCCCAGTATCATGAAAAGATTATTGTTACAATGTAAGATTCATTATGTAAACGTTAAAGAGTTATTCTAAGGCTTTATACATATTGTGTAATGATAAATCCTATTCGATAGACAGATAAACTCGTTCTTAAAGATGTTGTAACTATTGAATCATAATATGTAGTTCTTTTTTGTTCACCCTTATGGATAGTAGTTCATTATTTTTACCAATAATATTTATCTAAAATTCAAATATATCTTTCAAAGATTCTTCATTGTTGTTTTTAACAAAAAATAATTCACAAATGATCAATAAATCAGAACAAATGTTAATAATTAAAATAATTTTTTCTTTTGAACAAAATTTTTAAAGATTTAGTAACAAAATTAGATTTATTAGACATTATAATACAGTTGGTTTGAAAAATAAAATTAAGTACATTTGGCAAAAAGTTATGTATATAAAAATGTGACTCAATATAAAACCGCGATTGGCATACACATTTATACGCGACTAAAAATCACTCATTCTTTACAATTACTAATTTCATGATTACTTTTTTTATTGTTCAATATTTTAGTCACCTTTGTACTAAAGAACTGTTTTCGCCACAGCTTTTTTTCGAACTGTAAAGGAAGCTGCGAAGCATCTTGGAAAAATGTTAATTTAACATTTTATTTTCAGAACACTATGATACATAAAACTTATTGTTACTAGTAAAATCATCTATACAGATTCTTTGAATGTTAAAATTGAGTTACTTTTGTTGAAGTAATCTATAGCTATTTATAAATAAAATATAATTTACATATTATTTTTTTTCTGTTTGTAATCGCCTCTTGCGGAAGATATTGCTGAATCGTCTGGGCGATCCCACGGCATTCTGAAAAATTAAAAGAAAATTAGTTCAAGATGAGGAAAGTTACTCTAGTAAGTACGGTTATTTTAAAATGAAATCTTATTAAATTATTGAACAAAGTATATTTGCATAAATAGTGAGAGAAACGTTACCTCATCTTGCTGTCTCGAGGTACTGAAGAGATCCTTTAACCGCCGTGGGGTACCGGTAGTTCTTTTCTCAACTAAATTTCGTTCTCTTAAAATTCGCGACGTTGGAGATTTTGCTTCGTTGCCCTGGAATTAAATTATGAATCAATTCGTCATCCTTTATGGGAACAAATTTTAGTTTCTTGTTTCTTTTAGAGAAAATATCTCTTGAGCATTCAGACATAAAACAAAACTTGATTATTTCAAGGCACTCGAGCAAAGCGAAGAAAAAGTTGTTTTATTTATTTATTTATTATTAATAATGTTCTTAGTCAATATTTTACTAATAAAGTACTAATTATTATTATTTATTATTTTAATAATCTTTAATTAAATTAATTATTCCTGTTTTGCGACAGATACGAATTCGGTTTGTATTGAATTTTCAAATATCTAATATTTGTACGAATTCGTTTATCAAGTTTGATAAGTTTTAATTTTTCATCATTTCTTTAAATTCCTGAATTTAAGAATTAAGCTTCAGTTCGTCTAAATTTTAAACTGAAGAAAATAACTTATAAAAAATTATTTCGATTGTATATAATTTAAAAGGAATTTTGAATCATGATTAATTTGTCATATAAACAAAATATAATTTGTTTGCTTCTAAGATCCGTATTTTTTAGGGCGTGTCACAAATATTTATCATTATTTCTTAACGTTGTCATTTATTAAAAAATCCTGACAATCATTTATTAAAAAATCTTAATATTTTGTGAAAATTTAAATTTTTTAAATGAGAATTTAAATAATTTTATTTTTGCTGTAAGCAATATAATAAAGTTATTATAAAACCCTACGCGAAAAAAACAAATAGAGTAATTTTTACCATTTTCGTAATAAAACCAAAATTCTTAGGAATTTCTTTGTATTTCCGACAACTTTTACTATTTTCGGAGAAAATTTTGCTACGTTAGAAGTACATGCAAAGATCGAGTTATAAATTCAAACTCTAGGACTGAGCATATTGAACAATTTAAACTTTTTTACAGTTTCTTTAAAAATCTTTAAAAAAATATATGAAAATGAAATATTTATTAAAAAGGCAATCCAAAGGTCTGAAATAATAACTTGGTTATATTTCCAGGAAGATTAAATTTCAAAAACAGAATTGTCGACAGTTCATTGGCGACTTTAGAGTTTTCAAAGTGACGTAGCAGATATGTTTATGGAAATGAAGATTGGTAGAGAAACCTGTACTTGAAATAAATCGAATCAGGTAAATTATAAGTAAAAACTCTTTAAAATGTTCGATATAAAGAGTAAAAATTCATTGACATTCAACTAAACTTGGTTAAAATTTAATTTCAAAATCGAAAGAATTTCCAAGTACGAGAATAGGATCTCTTTTATTTGCTGAAAGAATATGTCGACAAGAAATATAATTTTCTGCTAATTACGTAAATCAAGTAGTAGATTCATTGAGAGCGTAACAATATGAAGTTGTAGAAAAATCTCTAGTTATTTAGCCAAGTAACGAATTTGTGTTTGGAAATAGAGAATTTAACTAAAGTCAATATAGAGTATAAATATTTCTTAAGAATCAAGAAAAAAAATGTAAAGAAAAATAATACAGGTGAACTAAATCTCAATGAAGATTGAGAGCAGCTTCTAAAGACCAGAAGCAATTTGTGATTAATTTGGTACAAGGAAATTAATATTAAAATTTAATATACATGTAGATGCAGTCTCACTAAAGCAAATTGTAGACACAGCAATTGAAAACGATGCAGCTAATTAGTAGCGAAGATTATGTCAAAAACTAAATATCAAAGTCAATTCAGAGATTAATAAGCAAACATCTTCTCAAAGCAATTCATTAGTAGAGCATCAACAACTAAAAATTCCCTACTTAACGATAAAGCAAAATGTAAAATCGTTGAAAAGTATATAATTTGATTCACCTGCAACGATAGTCGTCTACCGTTTTTACTTGGTGTAGGAGGTCCAGGTTTTTTATAGGATGTCTAGAAGAAGTCACAATGTATATTATAAAATATAGATTCTGACAAAAAAAAGAACCAAAATCGACGAATAACTAAATCTAAAGTTACCTGAGTTCTCTCTCTTCTTTTCCCCTTTTGGTTCGGAAGCAGACTTTGACTAAGACTGTCGTTAAAAATATCCTCTGTTCCCCCATGCTACAAAATATAATCAAATTTACAAGTAACTGAAAATTATCAACTAAGGTTTTACAAACGAGAGGGCAAAAATCAGTAGAAAGAAGGTGAAGGGAGGGCTAAAGTAGATTAATGAAAGTGGTTTTTTTAGCAGAGGTATCGTCATGGTTTAAACTTATTTCTTGAGATTATTTGAGTTGCTGATTAAAAATCAGGTGTTACATCTTAAAAAATTCAAATAGTGGCCTATTTATTTTCAATTTATATAGAAATTATCCTGCATTTATTTTAGAAAATAAACAACTTTATTTTTAAATAGAAATTTGTATTAACTAAAAGTATTGCACACGTCAAACACACCATTTCTTTGCTTCAAATTCAATATTGTATATTGACTATTTAAATGGCATGTTCTCCTTAATTTTTCTCATAAAATCCTTTGTGGTTAAATTAAAATTTTATAGAAACTTGTAATTATTTCAAGAATTCCGCTAAGGCGCGAATTGTATCCGATAAAATTTAGCTTAAAACTATCAAGTATTTTCCAAGAAAATTTTCGAATTTTGTTTATATTAAAATTTTGCCGATTGTGAAATCAGACTGAAAAAAAATTGTTATGTGTGTTATAATAAATGTACGACTAATTTTGATCAGTCTTGAGGGACTGATTGACTAGCTGCAGATTTATTGACCTTCTCACAAACAAGGAGTGCTATTTATTCTAGAGGAATGTGATCTCGCTTTCGAGAGAGGCGCCTGCTCTCCCTCTGGCGGACGAAGTGGGAACTTTTTGCTTCGGAGTTGCCCAGGAAAGCAAATCTAAAAGATACTGCGCTTAATTCACTCATCTGCACTCATTGGTTGAATTAAGGTCCCTTTATTTCAAAGAAATATTTTTTTAAATCTCAGTTAATAAGATGATTAAAAAATGCCTTGAAAAATACTTGATGTTGTACGCAAAGGTTTTCTAAAGTTTAATATTGTTTAACAAAACATTGAATTTCCGCGACATCATAATTAAATATATATTTTTCCCCACATCTCTATAAAATGTCAGTTTAATGCACAAGGAATTTCGTGAGAAGTATTTTTTGAAGGTTTTTGAAGATCTCACCTTTATGTCCTCTTCGGTTAGCCCTAGAGGTTGGAACTGCGTTTCGGCAGGATAGGAAGACTTCAAATGTGGTTTACAGAGAGAATTTCTCATTTGCAAAACCGAGACCCGATTGAAATCTGAGTTAATAGTACTGGTACGACCTTCCTTCATATCAGCTGAAATTAGGCATTAAACAAGAAAATTGGTTAAATAGAAAATACTTGAAAAATATTTCCACATGCTTATAATTGTGTCTTCGTACCTAAATACACATTATTGAAGACTTCTCCCTCTTCATCTTCGGCATTGAATGCATTTCCCATTACTTGCAAACCTTGAAGACTACGTCTTCTCGTGAAAGATTCCTCTTCAATAATTTGGAAAGTTTGCACACCTTTTCGGAAGTCCGTCGTTGTGAAATCCCTTCTGTCCAAACTGAAAACAAAACGGAAAACTATCAGTATGAAATATTTAATGGATAATAAATCATAACTTAATTTGCAAAAATAGCAATTGAAAAAAGGAAAAAGTGAAAGAAATACCTTGCTGTTTTGTTCAGCGATGACAATACTTGTCTTTGATGCAAATCCTTAATATCATTATTGAATTTCAAACTCATTTCCTTCATTTGCTTGAAAGCGCCTTCCTTTTCTTGTTTCTCAGCCAAAAGTTTATCACAAACTTCCCAATGTCGGGAAGTTAATTCCGTCACGTGCTCCTTATATTTATTAATTTCCTCAGTATGCTTGCGACATTGTTGCTCGATCTTTGCTTGTAAACTCTTAACCTTCTCTTGAATTGTTTGCTCTTGCTTCATTGTCAATTTCTGCATTTGTTCGTTGTAAGCAAGTTTCTAGAAAATACAAGTTATTGTAAATAAAAAAATTACACTTATCCAAAAACTTTTCTAATTACAAAAAATTACCGGTCATTTTACATTTTGTTTCTAAAATCTGTTTTGAAATTTGAAATTCGAAATTAAAAATACTTTTAAACTGAAATTTTGAATCTAAATCTTTTAAAAATGCTTGAAAATCAAAATTTATTTTATGGATTTGATTTCTAAGTATTTTGTTTCTTTTGTTTAAAAAAGTGAAATATATTACCATTTTTTCCTTGAGTTTATCCAACTTGACCTCGTACTCATCGTGAATCTCCTTAATTCGATTATCAATTTTCGAAACGGCAATTTTACCCTCATCATCCTTCTCTGTTATCTGACCTCTTAAGGATTCAATTTCCGCCTTCAGGCATCGATTTTCCTCCCCCAGGTGTGCCGTTTCCATTTTCAGATTCGTATTCTCTTCCTCGAAACACTTTACTTTCTCCAAATAATCTTTTTCCGCTTCCGAATTGCCACTTTGAATGCTCTTCAATTTCGTTAATTCACTTCTCAGTTCATCGATATTTTTCTCCAACTTCGCATTCCTTATTCGAATGTTATCTAATTTCTCCTTAACATCTCTCTTCTCTTTATTTACATTTTGCAGTTGTAGTTCCAATTTCTTGAAATTCTCCGCTGAATATTTTACATGATTCGCCTCCGGACTATTGTTGTACTTGTTCACCATTGACACAAATGATTCTAGTCTCTTTTCGGTTACTTCCATTTCGTTAATCGTGGTCTCAAGTCCTTTAATGTCGGACTGTAGAATTTCTTTTTCATTCTCCAACTGAATGTTGCTGTCGTTGTTTTTAATTTTTTCCTCAATGCATAAAAATTTGTTTATCGAAACATCGGTTAAGGAAGTTAACAATTGTAGGTTCTGTTGTGTGTAGGTGGAGAAAATATTTTGCAAAACTGCTTTTTCTTTGTGTATATTTTTCAGTTCGTCAGAATCTGATTGATGTTTAAAGAAAGTATCGTAGAATTTATTCAGACTCGTATTCCAGGTTTCTTCAAGTTTCGATAATTTTTTGTGATAATCTTCTCGAGTCTTTGTTGCCCTCAACAATATTTCGTGGAGGAGACTTTTTTCTACAATTAATTTATCGATGTGGACTTTCTGCTCTTGTTCCTTGTTTTTTAGTTCTTTTACTAAATTTTCTAACTCGAATTTTTCTTTCTCGATTTCTGTGACAATGTCCCCTAGACGTATTTTCTGCGAGATGCATTCTTCCAAATTTTCGCATTGTTGGCTGGAATTCTCGATCAATTCGTTCTCGATAATGGACATATTTTTCAAATCTTCGGATTCGTGTTTCATTTCATTCGATATTTCCTGATTCAAATTAGCATCACTTGTTTCTAATTTTACTTCTTCCTTTTTAATCAGATTTTCTGGTGATTCATGATCTGCTTTCAGTTTCGATATCAAATTGTTCTTGAAATTATTTTGTTGGACCAATCGGGAAATTTTGCTTTGCGTTGAATTTAGTTTATTACTCAGCAACGTGTTGCGTTCTTTCAACTCCCGAATCGAGGAATTAAGGACTTCTTGCTCTTTTCTTGCTTCACTCAAATCGGTTTGATTCGATGAATTCTCTCTCTGTAGTTCTTCTTTCTCTTGATTAATATCTCGTATGCAATTTTCCAGTTGACTTAATTTTTCACCACTCAGCTGCAAATCGTATTTTAAGGAAACATTTATTCGAAGCATTTCGTTCACCTTTTCTTCTAATTTTGCTGTAATTTCATTTTTCATCGACGATTCTTCTGCAATTTCACCTGAAATCGATTTTCTTTTCCCCGAAGCGTCATCTTTTGGAGCAACTTTATCAGCAGAAGAGAATTCTTCGTGAGCTTTTATCAAACTTTCGATAACAGCATTTAATTCACACTCAAAGGAGATTTTCTCTTCTCTCAACAAATTTTGTTCGTTTTCTAAAGTTTTTATAATTGATTCTCTTGCATTCAATTCTTGTGTAAGGGAATCAGACTTTTCATCAGATGCTCTTAATTCCTGTTCCAGTGACAATTTCTCTTGTTGCAGGTTCGAAACATTCATTTCAAAAGAATTGAGTGCTTGATTCTTTTCCTCTAATTTTTCTTCAACAGCAAGATTTTTCTTCGTAATCAGAGACAATTCTTCACTTAAGTGATCATTACTGCTTTGTAAATCTTTGACCTCTTGTTCCAAAAGCCCGATAGACTTGTTTTTATCCTCCAAGTCGGTTTGGTTCTGACAAAGAAGACTTTGCACCGAATTCAAGTTCTCTTCCAAAGCAATTTTCTGGTGTTTTAAATTTTTCACCTCGTTGACTAAAGTACACAGATTCACAATTTTTTCCATTAATTCCTCTTCCCTTAATTCCATATTTTCTTGTTCTAACGAGTTTTTGAATTCGTTCAAATTCTTCGCAATTGCGTCCAAAGACGGTGAGAATTCACTATTTTCTGAAAATACAACTTTGGAAAATTCGTCTAGAATCGAATTTCTATAGTTTAGAGACCCCTGGAGTTTTTGAATTGCACTCGAATTTTGCTTGATAGTTTCCTTGAGTTCCAGAACTTTAGAACTAGTTTCATCAAGTGAATCCTTGATTTCCATTTTTTCTTGTTCGTGAATTTTGATTTCTTCATTCAGTTTCAAAACTTCGGCATCCAGAGTCTTTAAGTGATGGCTCTTTCCTTCAAGATCGAGATTTAGATTTTCGATCCTATCTTCAGAAGTTTTGTTCAAATTTTCCAATTTGGAAATCAATTCCTCTTCTTCGGTGATTTTTGTTCTTAATTCGTATACCAACGAATCCAGGTCCGCTGCTCTTTTAACTTCTTCACTTAGAGAATCTTCGACAGCCAGTAATTTTTTGTTCAAGTTAATTTCGTTGAGACAGTACTCTTCCAATTGATTCTTCATTACTCGAGTCTCTTCCAAAGACTTTGAATTTTCTTCGCTTAGTTTTTCCACCCGATCGCAAGAAAGTAAGAGTTCCGATTGCACTCGATGGAAATTTTCCTCGACCACTTTCATAAGTTCAATTTGTTGACAAAGATTTTTATTCTCCTCCTTCGATTCGAGTAATTCGGAATTTTTCTCACTTAAACTACTGATTAGATTCGATTTCTCAATGCCAGCGTTCTCGATCTGATGGTTCAGTTCCAAAATTTCAGTTTCTAATTCCGAGGTCTTGCGATCCTTCTCCTCGGCTTCGTGATTTAGATTTTTGATCGTAGACTCAAGGCAGTCGTTTAAGTCCTGAATGTTGGAAATTAATTTCTCTTTTTCGACAATCTGGGATTTAACATCGGTGACTATCGACTCGAAATCGGCGATTCTTTTAATTTCCAGATTTAAAGAATCTTCCATCGAGAGTAATTTTTTGTTTAAATTAATTTCGTTCACGTTGTAGTGTTCTAGTTGATTTTTCATTAGTTGGGTTTCTTCTAATAAATTTTTATTTTCTTGACCTAATGTTTCTACTTTTTCCGAAGAAATCTTCAAATCTGAATCAACTTCTTGATACTTCTGCTCAATTAATTTTGTCAGTTGCACTTGATCTTCGTTTGTTTTCTTCAAGGCAGCTATTTCCAAATTTGCTTCATTTACCGAAGTGGTGAGATTAGAAATTTCGATCCCGTTCTTTGTAGTCAAATCATTAAGTCGCAAAATTTCGGACTCCAATTTCGAGGAGTGATGTTCTTTTTCTTCGATATCGCACTTTAGTTTTTTGACCGTTTCTTCTAAATTAACGTTCTCGTTTTCCAATTTGGAGACAATTTCCTCTTTTTCCTGAATTTTTTGTCTCGAATCCGAAAGTGATGACTCCAAATCAGTAGATCTGTTAATTTCCTGATTTAATGATTCTTCTAAGGTTGATAATCTTCTATTCAGATCGATTTCGTTGAGAGTAAACTCTTCTATTTGCTTCTTCATTATTTCTGACTCTTTCAGTAGATTTGTATTCTCCAGATTTAGTTTCTCTACATTTTCGCAAGAGAGTCGATATTCTGATTCGATTACTTGGTACTTCTGCTCCACTGCCCTCGTCGCTTCAATTTGATCTTGTTTGGATTTTTCCAACAGAAGTATTTCTGAATTTGCTTCATTTATCCTGTCCGTAAGATTCGATATTTCGGTGTTATTGTTTTTAATCATTTCGTTTAAATCCGAAATTTCAGCTTCTAATTTCGAGGAGTACCGATCTTTTTCTTCCGCGTCGGAGTTTAGTTTTTTTATTTTACTTTCTAAACTGTTGTTCACTTCTTCGAGTTTGGATACAAGTTTACCTTTTTCTTCAATTTCGGTTCGAGTTTTCGAAAGTGACGATTCCAATTCTTCAGTTCTTGCAATTTCCAGATTTAATGAATCTTGTGTAAAGGATAATTTATCATTAAGTTCGATTTCATTGACTCTATATTTTTCTAGTTGAATAGTCATGAGTTTTGTCTCTTCTAGTAATTTCCCATTTTCTTCACTCAATTTTTCTACAATTTCGGTGGAAGTTTCAAGTTCTGATTTCACCCTGCATAATTCCTGCTCCATCGCGTTCATTAAATCTACTTTTTGATAAAGATCTTTATTCGTATCTTTTAATACCAGTATTTCAGAGTTTGCTCCATTTATCGTATCGGTTAGTTTTAATTTTTCAATTTCATTGGTTTTTATCAGATCATTTAGTTTTAAAATATCGGATTCCAATTGCGAGGAGTGATGATCCTTTCTCTGGGCTTCGCTGTTTAGAGTTTTAATTGTGCCTTCTAAGTCGGAGTTCGAATCTTCTAATTTAGATACAAGTTTATCTTTTTCTTCGATTTCGGTTCGACTTTTCGAAAGTGAGGATTCCAACTCTGCTGTTTTTGCAATTTCCAGATTTAAAGAATCTTCCGTAGCTAGTAATTTTTTATTTAAATCGATTTCGTTGATATTGTACTGCTCTAGTTGACCTTTCATTAACTGTGTTTCTTCTAATAAATTTTTATTTTCTTGACCTAATGTTTCTACTTTTTCCGAAGAAATCTTTAAATCTGAATCAAGTTCTTGATATTTCTGCTCAATTAATTTTGTTAGTTCCACTTGATCTTCATTTGTTTTCTGCAAGGCAGCTATTTCCGAATTTGCCTGATTTATCGAACTGGTGAGATTCGATATTTCGACGCCGTTCTTCGTAATCAACTCATTTAGTTGCAAAATTTCGGACGCTAATTGCGAGGAGTGACGATCCTTTTCTTCAACATCGCGATTCAGATTGTTAACAGTACTCTCCAGATGAACGTTCAAATCTTCTAATTTAGACACAATTTTCTCTGTTTCTTCAAGCTTTCCCCGAATCTCCGAATTTGACGACTCCAAATCAGCAGTTCTTCGAATTTCTTGATTTAAAGATTCTTCCATGGTCACTAATTTACTATTCAAAGCTATCTCGTTGACATTATACTTTTCTAACTGAACATTCAACTGTTGAGTTTCCTCCAATAATTTTCCATTTTCTTCACTTAATTTCTCCACCCTATCGCAAGAAACTTGGAGTTCTGATTTTACTTCTTGAAATTTCTTTTCTATTATTTTCATCTGTTCGATTTGCTGATGAAGAACCTGATTAGACTCCTTTAATTGTTGACATTCTAGATCAAGAGATTTTGAGTATTTAGAGATAGAAGCGAGTTCATTTTGGACCTTAATTGTCTCTTCTTTCGCCTCTTGCAACTGAATTTCAATTACTGAGCTGAGTGATTCACTGGTATTTAAAAAAGATGATGCATTGGCGGTGTGCACATGTTCGTATTCGAAGCTCTCTTCGTTGAAAGACACTTTGTTAATTTCCTTAACGTGACATCGGAGTTCTTCATTTTCTTTCTTTAATTCAAATAAAGCAAAATCGCTTTGCTTTATTTTACTACTTAAAGTTTCGAAATTTTTCTTATAGTATTCGTGTTCTTGTAAAATTTCAGTGCTTTGAGTCTCAAATGTAATGACTTTTCTCGCTAATGCTTCTTTCTCATCTTGGAGCTTATCATTTTCCTTTTGCAGGTCGAGAATGTACTTTTCTAGATCTTTTATCTCCTCCCTGAAAACAAAATTAATTCGAAATTATAATTTTAGTCGAAATAAAAATTTAGTCGATTAAAAATACAGAAAACTCAAAAAAGTCGTTTATTTAAAATTTTATTTTTTGTTTCCCTAACCTTTTGACCAACAAATTTTTATAATTAGTTAATATTTCGAATGAAACACTTACTTATAAACATCAGGTTTCAACGTATAAGTTTTCTTGCACGATTTTGGAGTCAGCGGTCTTGTCAATTCGTCTTTTAAAAACTTAATCTCCTTTTCCTTATTTTGTAAGGCTTCTTGAAGAGCCAAGTTTCTGTCCTGTTGAATCCTCAAGTCTTCAGTGATGTCGCTCTTCTCACAACGCTCCATTTCAAGTTCTGCTTTCAATTTTCTCAACTCGAAGGCTTTTTGAGACACTTCATAATGCTTTTGGACCGAGCGCGCCGCAGGAGAACTAAAGAAGTCCCTGAGTGGTTTACCCTTTGGTGTCATGTAAGGGGTTTTCGGACACGCAATGCTGGCGACTTCGGCATCGTTGAGTTCGGAAATTGTTGACTCCAAGAACTCTTTCGTAATATTATTTCCATAGGAAAGTGCGCTCTCGAGAAACATCTTTATTTTAACCTGAGTTTCATTGTCGAGCTTCGCACACATCTGTTTGTGGAAAATTGGCTCTTGTGACGTTCGTAGCAATAAAAGTGATGTAATAAGGACGGAGTCGGCGAGCAATTTTTTGTCGTTAAATTCGAATTTAAAAAATGGATATTCATCTGTAAAAAGAAAAATTTTTAATTTTATACAAATAAGATGAAATGGGAAATGTTTGAATTTTTGAGTAATATTATGGCTGTAAAATTCACTGATCTTTCCCTAACTAATTAATAAAATTTTTATAATTATTTTGTGGATGTTTAAAGGAAAAAAATCTTAGACTTTTCCCTAACTTACGACCATAAATACATTCGAATTTAATCTGAGTAAGATAAATCGACAGAAGACGAGAAGAATAATTGAAAAAAACTAAATTGATCAAGGTTGCCACAAAAATTTAACTTCCTTTTTTTACTGATTTCCAGACAGAATTTTTGACTTTTTCCCAGACCCTAAAAAATATTCTGATTCACTCTAAAAATTATTAGATTCTGAGACAAATGTTCTAATACATTTATTTAAGAATTTCCTTAATTGTAAAATTATTTGAAAACATCAATAACTTGTTTTCTAAATAAATATTTAATCATTATTATTTTTCCATTGGAATTAAGATGTTCAAAAATCCCAAATTCAAACCTTCTCAAATTGAACAACTCATAAGAATATTACTATAAAATATAAAGACGACCGAGTGACAAAATCATTATTTTATAGTATAAGAATATTGTTACCGTAACTACTTCAAAATTATTTTCATCATTTCAATTCAATTATCATTTTCTACAATTTTTCTTGAAATCAATTATTTTTTAATAGTATTTTCCTTGAAAATTTTTAAATCCATGTTTACAATATACCCTATCTTCTTAATTTAATTACCTTGCAGAAAAAGTTTGAGTAATTCTTTTTCTGTTAAGCTGTTTTCTTGGTCTTTCCAAAAGCTGAAACAGAAATTTATTAAAACTTATAACACTGAAAAAAAAGTATGAAATTTTATAAAAGTTTTTTTTTCAATTTTTATAGACAATATGTTACAAATTATTAATTTTTAGTGGAAATTAAATATTGTAAGTTTCAGTAAACGATTATACTATACGAAACCTTATATTAAAAATATCCCCCACAGCACCGAAAATTTCCTAAAAATTTAAACAATTTTCTCTAAACATTGCAAGTAAATATTTAATAAATTTTCGGTGCTGCGGGGAATGAGATTAGCGTAACTGGCGTAACTTTTGTTCTGATTCTTCTTTAAAATGATATACATATTTATAAATTTAAATAACACATATTTTTATAAAACTCATAAAAATATATTTACCTAATGGATGTAACGATTTTATTAAAAATGTTTTTTTCTCCTAATTCGTCAAAATCCTTGACTGGAGAATCCAACAATTCTAGACAATTTACCTGTAAATAAAAATTAATTTTGTTGTTAATAAATTTAAAGAAAAAGTTTTTCAAATCTATTACAAGTAAAAGAATTTTAAACAAATAATATTATTTATTATATATTATATTATAATATAATTTATTTTTGAAGTTAAAATTCTAAATGTCGCAAAACAACGCCTGAGATATCTATCAAATCTCTATGAAAGAAAAATGGATAAAAAGCTTACTTTTATTTAGACAAATTATTAGAAATTAATAGATCTTTAAATATTAGAAAAGTAAGAAATAAGATGACAAATGCGATACTTTTCAAAATATGAGGTACTTTAATAATACTTTTTATAACAATTGACAAGCAAGTTGACAAGTAAAGAAAGTAAACAAAAATGAACCCTTTAATGATGCGGTTTAATAAAAATAAGATAAGATGCATTTTTTAATGTTTCAAAGGCCACACTTAAGAAAAGTCTAATAACATTAGTAACAGAAGTTTGAATTTTCTTTTATAAATAAGCAGAACACTATTGACAAGATGAATGAAAGTGAACTTACCCATTCTAAAATAACTTGAGACCAAGGTGCCATGATTTATAAAAAAATAAATAAATTCACTTTAACACAAGTTAATTGAAAAACACATATCACATAATTCCAAATTTATACACTTCTTAAAACACAATTATCTATTTATATTCAGCATTTAATTCACAATTGCTTAGGCATCATAAAAACAAACAATCGTATATAACCGTTGAAGCTTCAACGACTAAAATTTAAATTACGGCACGGTTTATAATTTAGTTACAGAGAACTAGATGAGCAACCTTCATATTCATTTTCAATGCACTGGTCAAATGGGAGGAGGGAACCTCTGAAATCTGATACTTATGGTGCTCTCACAGCTTTGATACTGTGCACTCCGCATGGACGGATCTTTATTGTCCTTTGACCTTTATTTTTATTTTTGTATTTGTGTTCAAAGCGAACAAACATCACGTGGTTGGTGAATAGTAAAAATTGTCGGCACACGTGAATAAAGTAGTAAGTTGATTTGTTTTTAATATGATGATTTTTTTAAATATTTAATTTACTGACTGATCGAAATATCAAATTTATATACATAATCATAATCTATATAATCTACAATTCTCCACAAATTGCGAACATTAATTTAAATATATTTAATTAAAAACACTTTATTCTAGCCTAAAATTAATTAAATAAATTGTTAACAATACTATAGGATAATAGAATTATTCCTTTTATCTTTTTATAGTGTATTAAGGGGAAACTTGGACTACATTTTTAACTATATCAAGAAAATGATTTAAATCTTCCAAAAATTATTTTTATAGTATTTTTTTGAGAGGAAAACAATGGTCAGAAAATATAACCATTTTTTAATTTTTATTTTTCTTAAAAATTGATAGATTTTTAAATTCATTCATAATTTTGTAGAAAATTTGTTTTTTGTATCCACAAAAAAATTACCGAATGAAAGAATTGATTTTTACAATTTTTGAAGCATTTTTTTCTTAAAAAACGTAGTTTTTATATTGAAAAGACTAAAGAAATACCATTGTTATTCAATGTTTTATTGTTAAAAACAACTGATAATCTCATTGTTATTGTTAAATTAACATGGAAACTAATGGTAGACTTGAACTTTAAACTAAGATTTTCTCTAAATTAGGTTTTTAGCACTTCTAACCTTTTAATTATATTCTTTTAGTTCTGGCGTTTAGATTGTGGACTGAAATACTTGAAATTACTTGTACTTTTTCACTTTTTAGAAATTGATGACCACAAGGTTTTTAACAATAAAATGGACCGCAATGTTATATCGAGAATTGGACCATCAGTACTAAATGCGGATCTTTCTGAATTGCACAAAGAATCCCAACGGCTTTTAGATAATGGTGCTGATTATATTCACTTAGATGTTATGGATGGCCACTTTGTTCCAAACATTACCTTTGGTCATCCTGTTGTCAAGTGTTTACGCAATAAAATTAAGGATGCATTTTTTGAGACTCATATGATGGTTTCAAAACCTGAACAGGTATTAATATTCATTCATCTTTATTATACTTTAATATAATATATAATTAATTAATATAATTTAATAATAATCCTCGATGAAAGGTACAGTTAGTTTCATCAGTCTAAATAATAAATTTATTTTTAGTGGATAGAACCCATGGCCGATGCAGGTGTAAATCAATATACATTCCATGTCGAACCTGTTGAAGATGTTTCCTCGATTTGCAGAAAAGTGAGGGAAGCAGGAATGAAGGTAAATTATTTTATACACTAAGATAACTAAAATCAAGGAGACCTAATGACTCTCCCTATAAATAAATAAATATTAATAATGACAAAAAATGTACATAATAATAAGAATTGAATGGAATGAATTATTATGAATATGAATACAAAAATTATAATTGATTGGAAATTAGGCAGAGAACAAAGTCGACTGATCTAGTTATTTAAAAATATTTCTTTTCTATGCAGGTTGGCGTAGCTTTAAAACCAGGAACTCTTGTGGATGTAGTAGAGAAATACGTCGAAGAAGTTGATATGATTCTCGTTATGACAGTTGAACCAGGATTTGGTGGACAAAAGTTTATGGAACCAATGATGAAAAAAGTAGAGTGGATACGAAAAAACTATCCTACAATGGACATTGAAGTTGATGGAGGAGTTGGACCGAGTAACATTAACGTTTGCGCGAAGGTAAATACACCAACATTTTTTCCGTTTGCTTATAAAATGTTCAAGTATTTTAATCTCTTTAACTTTACTGTTTAAGGCTGGAGCAAACATGATAGTAGCTGGAACTGCTGTGATTCAAGCCAATGATCAGGCTAAAGTTATTAAAGTCTTGAGAGATGCAGTAGATGACGAACTAGGAAGAAAATGAAATTAAAAATGAAGTAAATATTTTTTATACGATACTATATTATATATAAAACCAAAAGGTATTTATATTTTGAATACATGCAAAAGTCTTCAATTCAGGTATAAAATAATCAATTCTCATGTGGTGAGAATGTAAAAAGTGATAATACACGTGGATCAATTTCAGAATTATTTTATTCTGATTTATTTGTTTGGTTTCAATAATCATTTTAATGCTGTAAATCAAAGTTTATTGAATATATTCTAAAAAGATATATTGGTGGGACAAAGTCAGGTAAATTTTATATTAATAAAAATTATAATATTGTATAAAGTCGCTCTATACAAATTCTTAATTTATGTGTTACTTATTTCTAAGTTAAACCCTTTTTATTTTTTCTTACTATTTTTTACTATTTCGCGCGGCTGTTCTTTTGCTGTTCTTCTTTTAAAATTATTTCCTTCATTCTTTATTTTTTAAATCTATTTCCCGAATTTTTTATGGATTATTTATGACTTTTTTATTTTTATTTTTACATGTAACAAAGTGACGTTTCATTAGATGATTACTAATAAATTTAGTTCCGCATTTTTGGCAGGGCACACCCTTACAAATTTTAAAGTGATTTTTGTATGTTGAATTTTTAATTTTCTTTTTACATGTAGGACACAGAGTTCTGTAAATATCTAAAATTTGATATACTTTCTTTTGTTTTATTCCAGCGCAACGCACATCTTTTCTATTTCTAATCGGTTCCTTTGATTTGATTATCGTTTCTTCTTGTTCTATCTCAAAATTTGCTTCTTCATTGTTGAATAATACTTGTGCTTTTCTGGATGCTTCATTTAGAATTTCTGTTTCCATCCTTCTTTGCATTGTTTTTTTAATATTTAGGGCTCCACTTCCTAAGTTGAAAATATTTATTCATAAAACAAAATTTGAATATGTGACACGCTTCGAAGAAAGAAGCAAATATTCTAAAAATTACATTCTTAACCTCGAATTGTTTGCTTCAATATACACCTTTTTTCAGAGCGCGACACAGAGTTAAATAATAATTTAATAAGAAGACAGTGACTTGCCTTTATCGTAGAAAATGTTGTCTTCATCGTTATTACCATTATTACTAGCGTTAGCAATTGATTGTGTAATAATCCAAACTTCACGTTCAATTTCTGCAGCGCACAAGTTAGCCGCTTGACGATTGCTGAAACGTTTGTGGTACATTTCAAACCATTGTTGAGTGTAAAAAATTTTCGGATTAATAGACAGACCATGTTTTCGTTCAAGATGGACGAGTAAATGAACTGACTTAAATGTATCCTCGCAACCGTCACAAAAGTGGCAGGAGTACATTTGATTCGTCACCTCATTTCTTATTCGTAAACTTTCTTCACGTTGTCGTATTTCCTCAACGACTCGTTGCATCATTTCTCCTGTAAAAACAATTTTAAATATAAACCGTTAAAAAAAACAGAAGAGAGTTTGATTCTCCACTAGGCAAATGTAAAAACTCACCCATGTGTCGTTTCCAGTCCTGTGGAACAATATCCTTATTGTAAAAGGTTTCTTTAAATTCTCTTTGCCAGATATCGTCATTAAAAATTTTCAGCGGCACGTGCAGTTGGTGGTACACGATGAGATGACGTCGCAAACTTTCAATTCCAAGATACATACCATTACTTCGATAACGGCACAAATAGCAAAATTGTTTTTCCCTGTGTTTTGCACGAACATGTTTGCGAAATTCGAGCATGCTGCTTGTTTCAAATTGACAGTTATCAGCACCAGGACCAGTGGCGATCTCTCGACATCGATAAACCTTCTCTTTAGTCAAATGATGAACAACGAAATGGTATCGTAATTCGGCTGGATTGAAATACTTTTCATTTATCTTAGGGCACATGGAACACTTTAGTTGCCGATTATTCGACTTCACAATACGAAAGTTTGGGTACATTTTTTCCACATCCACTGGGGCAATTATACTGTCAGTGTAGTTGCATTGACAATTAATTTTAAAAGACTCAAGCAGTTGATCAAACACACCAGAAAAATGAATCGACTCTGATAGATTAACCCCCAAGTCAATGGTCTGGAAGTAGACATTCTCGCGCAACAAAACACAACTGCCGGGATGTTGCACAAAAATATCGTACTTGATACCATTATCTTCCAACCAGGATGGTAAGATAATAAAACGACCATGACTCAGTGGCACTGGACAGTTTATGGAAATTGTATCGTCATTCGGATTTTGATGACTTTTGAAAAGTTCACCAAAAAGATTAGTCAATCGTTGGACATGTGCTCGCTTCACAATTAGCCAAAGACGTGGCGCACCTCCATAGAGAATGTGAATAAGTGCATTAAAGTTAGTTACCACTTGGAAAGGATCAATCTTCTCCTCATTTCCAATTATGAATTGCGAATAATTGATACCAGCTACGACAATCGTCTGATTCGAAAGGCATTTGGGATGTAAGAGCGATCCAGCTTCTCCAGTTATTTTCGTCAGTAGGCCAATTTCGTCAATCGAAGTTTTATGCAAATAAATCGGCGTCACCGATTTTAGTATTCCATCATTCCGAGTGCAAATGTCAAGCAATAAATTCTCATACATTTCGAAAAATTCCTGTCGACTAGCTATGACTTGATTGATATCATTGCATGATTTTAAAAAAGGCCAGATTTGATTCAACTTTTTCCCTCTCAACTGCTCGATATAATTTCGTAACAATGACGATGAGGATGAGATTTGTTTGAATAGTATTTGCAAATATTTCCCGAATAGTTTACGTTGTCTCATCCACATTGAATTTTCGCATTCGATATTATTTAGTACGCTTGTATCGATGTTGTAAGTTTGAAAGATGTCCATCTTATTGTACAATGTCGTGCATTTGTACTTAACAGCTTGCAGATTAATTTGTCGAGTAACAATTGCGTCGAATAGTTCGTCTAATGTGGCGTTGGTGCGTCTCAAGTCGTGTAAATTGATATACATTCTCTCGATAATAAACACATCCATGTCATTCATAGAAACGTTTATATTGTTTTTAGTGCAGTTGAAAAAGGTCGTAATTGCTTCGTCGAGTTGAATTGATTGAATTGTTTCGCAACATACCAGACTGGAGCGAGTCGAGCGTATAGATCTCGGTTTCGATTCTTGTTTGGCTTTCAACGGCAACAAATAGTCGATCCATTCTACCTTTGTGGAGTCTTCTTCCACATTTTCTGGTGAAAGGATGGGTAACGATAGGTATGAAGAACACTCCGAATTTGAAGACATCCTGTGTGTCTTGAATTCCTTAATATCCAAAACTTCGGGTTTGGGGTTTCATGGGAAATATGATATGAAAATGAGATATTAAAATAATGTGCAATAAGGTAGAAGAGGAAATGAGAAATAAACGGAGAATGTTTATAATTAAATGGAAAATATCAAGTTTGTTGGTTAAGTTGTAGATGCAAAGATTACATGCAATGAACACTTGAGAGAAAAGCATGAGCAGTGTGCAAGAAAAGAAGCATATGCTCTTCAAGTAGCAGTCGGATGACGTCCTCGACACAATAATGCGGGCGCTGTTTGTGGTCATAAGATATATGTATAAAATACCGAAAAAGATATCGTATGTTGAATTTTGATGTGGGTAATATAAGATTCTGTTAGAAATGTCACGAATTGCCTGAGGTCTCCGGATTAATCTACAATTTGGTCAAATTATTATCTCAAAGAAATTAATATACCAAAGGATTTTTGAAAATTTCCAAAAATTTTAAAGTTACGCCGTATAGAATTTTTTGACACAATTCTTTTAAATATTAATATATTTTATAAAACCGCTGCCAAGTTGTATGCTTCTGTAACTCTCTTTGTATTCATTTTATGAATACCATGTTTCCTCATAAAGACAATAATAACTATAAGATGGTTATAATAGTTTAATAGTTACACAAAAGTTTTTAAACCAAAAAGCTGAGAAAACGATATTTTTCACAATTTTTGGTTTTTGAAGTGCCTATAATTTGGTCATTTTTAATCCAATTAAGTTCAAAAATAGGTCATAATCGAAACTTTTTTTATTGCTCTACAAATTGGTTACGAGACTTTTAAAGTTACTTCTACATTTTTTAAGCAAATTTTCAAAAAAGTCTTATTTTTAAAAGTTTAAGAATTTAAAAATTTTGATAACACCGGCTAACATGAACAAAAATGTTCAATAAGGGGTCAAAAGATGCGTCTAAAAAAACTACAAAATTTATGGCAGTACCATAAATATATAATTATTAAAATTAATGTCATCAGACTGTGAACCACAACTAACTGCAAATAGAAAAATATTGGAGAAACTTTATCAATTTCTTAATATGTATCATAAAAATTTCCCAACTCAAATGGATAATTATAATTACAAAAAATGCTATTTAGAAAGTCTTTTAGAATTAATAGCACTTAAATATAAAGTTCTCCTTGATTTTGAACATTTTGAAGATACAACCCTCAGTCGAATTTCATTAGAAGCCTTCATAATTGACAGTTTACAAAAAATAAAGGAATGCATTGCATTAAAGATAGCTTAGAAATTATTCAAAGTATTTAATTTGAAAAACATGTAAGAAAATAAATAACTAATAAAAATTATGTTTTGAATTCGAAAAATTTATTGTCTTTATTTCAAAAAATAAAAAATATCACATTAGTCACATTTCCGCGTTTATATCATATTTCTTTGAATATAAATTATTATGTACATTGTTTAATCTAAATATAGCAAATATGCCAAAATAAAAAAATGCGTGTCAAATATTTTTCGATTTTCTACAGAATATGATAGAAGTTGATCCCAGTTTATTATACTATTTAAGCCTCTTTGTTGACATCATTTATACAATTTTTTTATAGTATTTCAAAATGCTAAAAAATGTATGATTATTATTTTCTTCTCTAAGACTATAATTTATGCAAAGATCTTATGTATATGACACTGAATATAATATTAATTAATATTTTTCCAATGCAAAATGTATTTAATTCTTGAAGTTTACAAACATTTCAGATTCCAAAATATTGATGTAAATTCTTATTATTATATTGATTTGTAATTGATGCTAATTAAAGAAGGTCGTTTATTTAAGTTTACCAAATTAGTTATCACTTAATGTAGAGCGTCATTGAACGTTTAGCATGTTGTCTCTTGACGTCAATATTATGTATAAATGCCTTAAGAGTTCGCTATTCTTTAAAGTATTGTTAATAACTCCCAAAGAACGTCTATAACAAAAAATTGTGCTTCCTCATATTTTCCATGTATAAGAAAATGATGGTGAGAATAATTCTTATTAATTCCTCTACATATACACTATACACAGAAATTATAAAGTGAAGTCAAGCATCTGTCATAAATTTAATTGCCTAACATTTTTATATTTTGAAAATCTAACGCCATTCTCAAAGACTTCCGAATGCTTCCGAAAATATAAGATTCTATATACAAAACTTAAAAAATTATACATAATTATAGTAATTGAAATTTAAGAAATTTATTTAAAATCATAATATTAAACCTATACTCATAAGTGCTAGGGAGTTCATGTAGTAGTGAAAAGTAAAGGGTTTGTTTTTTGTATTTTCTTGTGCTATTATGTCGGGAACGTAATACATGCTTGTTTGATCGATAATAACGCATAATGTTATATAGACATGAACAATTTTTAGCAGCTACTGTAATAGGTGTAAAATAACTGAAAATGTAAATACAAATGTCAATCTTATTTTTTGAATGTGGATCGCACTTGTAGTTGTGTTTGCATTTGCCTTTTTGCACTTTTTCCAGACTATTCTTAAGAATCTTATATTTTAAAGAGCTATTCAAAATTTGTATAGAATGCTATCTAAAACTCAAAATTAATATTCTGTACTTAAGTAGATGGCAAAGTCGAGTCTGTTTCCATAGCTTCAATAAGTAAATCGCATAGAATTTGACACCCCTTAAGGTTCCTATTAAAAATTCATTCGCGTATGGACAGAATGAAGAAGTATGCGATTATTATTACCTATAGTTATCTATAGTTTAAATCAGTACTGTAAATATTACTTATTCTTTTACTAATGTTCTTTATTTATGTTTCTGTTGTTGCAGGTTAACAAATTTGCAGCTTTAGCACTTTGCTTTGTAACAATGTTACAAATTGAAGTTGATGCCAAACCTTTACAGGGCGAAAATGTTTCTGTAACAGAAAGCAGTAATCCTGTAACTGTGAAAGCAACTAACTATAAAATAGAAACAACACCCATACCATTGATACAACTTGCACCCAACAACAAAGAAATTGTCAAAAGGGAAGCGAAAGATGATGCAGATCTTGAAACTGCCGCTGGCACTAATATTCTTCGGCCTCTTTTTGTATACCGTCAGCAAGTTGAGTATAGAAGACGCATAAAAAAGAATAATAATCGAGGCACTTAAGTGAATAGTTAAAAATAGTCACCGTATTAACTTATGTCAAAGTTAATCATTATACATTTTATTAACCCAAATGGCCATAAATAAGATTAATTCTCATATTAGTCTTTATTTTGTACGTAAAGTATTAGGGAAATATTTTATTTTTATATAAACTTATTATTTGGAATTCGAATGAAAAGGAGACAAGTTTGTATGCTTTGAAAAATAAGAAATAGCGTTGCAAAAGAAAGCTGCAAGTGTATATTAAGCAATGAGGGTTCAAAGGCAGTCATTATTTAGTTGTAGCCCGAAATATGTATGAACGAGTGCTCGCAAATGTCATAAACAATTTTGCTGCTTTGGGACTCGTATTGCTTCTTACCATACTTTTTATTCCCAAGGCACAAACGTGCCTACCGGTATCAACTATCAAAAGGCACAATTTTTGTGCCTGTGGGATAAAAAATATTATTTATCTGCTGCATTGTTTTGTAGCAGAAGGTAAAAAAAGGAAGTTATTTATTGTCGAATACTTTACTTATTCATAACATATGATCAATATTTACTCAAAAGAAATATTCAGGTCACATTTATATCTGTATCTCATTATTAACTTTAAATAGATTCGGTTCAAATGAAATCGAGGTTTTTATTTGATAAAGTGTAATAAAGTTTATCAAAAAAAAAAAAAAAAAAAAATTGAACTGATCTATTATCTGAAATTCAAATTTGAAACTTCAAGAATGATAACTTAAAATTCAAATTTGAATTTCTTTAAATAATTTCTCATCGGATTTCTCTTTTTTGTGTGTTTATAATGATTGTATGTCAAATTGGTTTTAAATACTAAATGTACCTAATTAACCTGTGAATTTTTAACAAACTTGCGGTAAGTTTGCAAAAATTACAGTCCCACACAGCACCGAAAATTTTCTGAAAGTTGAAATTAACTTGACTGTAACCTTCTGAATCTTTAGACCCAAAGCTTATGAAACTTAAAATAAATCTTTAAATATCCGCAGTTTTTCAATGTTGGGCTCAAAAGTTGATTGAACATTGCATAGAAGTTTAAATTTTTTTTTAATTTTTAAAAAATTTCAAAATATTTTTAAAACTTTTTTCATTTTTATTAAACTTCTGCCTTTTGTTAAAAAATTCATTTAAATTAAAAAAAAATTTAAACTTCTATGCAATGTTCAGTCAACTTTTGAGCCCAACATTGAAAAACTATGCGGATATTTAAAGATTTATTTTAAGTTTCATGAGCTTTGGGTCTAAAGATTCAGAAGGTTACAGTCAAGTTAATTTCAACTTTCAGAAAATTTTCGGTACTATGTGCGAGCTGCTAGTGTAAAAATGTCCTCATTATTCCATAGCATATAAACTTGCCGCTTTAGTAAGTTTGCACTGCAAGTTTTTTGAAAATTTGCACGTTAATTGGGTATTAAGTTTGCGTCTTACTGTTTTGTTGGCTGCGGTTAAAATTAAAATATATTTTTTATACATGTATGACAAATTGTATTTTTTTTAAAAAATGAAGAATTAAATACGATGTGTTGTTAACATATAAACATATGCATATTTTATTCTAAAAAAATATATTTACCTCTGAGGTTTTACCATGTCCGGAACTTTTATGAAAATAAGACAACTTAAAATTCAAAATTAAATTAATTAATTTAATTAAGTCCTTTCAAAAAAAGTTCTCAAAAATGATTAAGGTCCCTCCCTTCTAGTGCGGGCACATTTCTTAACATTGAAAGCTGAAATTTTGACAAACATATTTTTAATTTCATCTCTAAATTACAATAAAAATATAGCAAACATGATTGAAACTGATGGTCACAGAGTTGTTAAAAAAATATATATTAAAAAAAAGAATTTTTTCTCCATTTTCCAAAATAATCAATCTTGAGGGCTGAAAAAATAAATATATTAATATATTTTTTCTTGTAATTCAAAAGAAATATATTGATTGCAATTGGAATTGATTACTTCAGGGCTATGAAGGCAAATTGATAAATTAATCAAATTGAGTTTTATTCCCCTTATGCTGCAGCTCAATATATCTGATGAAGAGTGCTCAAGCTCATTATAAATGTGTATTTGTGTACGCATGATTAAATGGAACTTAGGGTTTCGTACACCAATCAAATTTATTTGGTATAGAAACGTAAGTGTTAAGCATTAAATATAATCATTGTTTTTTCAATAGTGTAAACAAATAGTCTAAATAAACTCGAAAGGTGTTCGGTTCTAGTACGTTTCTCGTCCTTGTACGATATCTTTTTGTGTAAATTGTAAAAATTACAATTTCGAAATTTTTTCGAAAGTTATCATCAATTGAAAACAATTTTTTTTCTTATCGACACTTTTACAATTATGAAGTATAATTTCGTTGCTTCAATTCTAAACTAAATCCATAGACAAACAATCAGTGTTGACTTTAAAATCTATAAAAATAATTTCTCGTGCGCACTAAATTTTTTTAAATGTTTAGTTTCAAAATTCAACATTAATTTGTTTTGTCAATTTTAACATACATGGAAAATTTTGTTCATGAAGCAAAAATAATAGAACAATGTTTTGCAAAAGTTCCCATGACCTTATTATATCGCGAGGCAAATTCCGAGATTTAAATCCAAGTTCATGCACTGATCTATTCTTTTGTGAGTTTTTGTATAGATCCGATAAGATAGCGATACTTTAAAATTAAGCATCGCTTTGAAGAATTTATATCAGAGTACTTCTTTTCATTATAAGTGAGACAGTGCATCTTTCTAGTCGCGATACAAATCGACTAGTGATAAAATTATTGTATTTAAGACCTCAACTGCATATAATGAAATAAACAGTGTTGTTTGTCAAGTACTTAATTTGACAAATTTAATATCATGTAATTTAAATGTAATTAATATTGTGGTGCATCAGAATTAATCTTAAAAGATTTCGACAATCATTACACAATGTAAAAAGAAGGCATCTTATTATAAGATACTTTGATGGTCGCTTTTAAATTGTTTCAAAAAATTTATTAAAAGCATCGCTGAAAATGCAAAGGTCTTTAAGATGGAAGATAGAAAAATAAGATGTTTTAAATGTTTTAAAAGTGATTGCAATGTATCTTAAGTTGATTCTTTTTGCAATGTTCGTAATGTCTCAGTGGAAAATAAATTTACGTTCGAGGAACGTTTCTGAAATGCGTTTAATGTCTGCCAAATTAACATTATTTTAAAAACGTTTCATGTTCTAGAAACGGTTTTAAAATGTTAATTTCGCAGACATTAAACGTTTCAGGAACGTTCCTCGAAGGTCAATATTCTTCTTGCCCATTGGGGTGGTTATAATTATATCGTATATTGTGTTTATGTTCTCAACAACTACATTTGAAAAAATAAAGGTAAGTAATTTTTTACTATTATAAACGATCGAATTTTTTCTTCAAATAATTAAGGGGACATCAAAAAGGATTAAAATAATCCATTTTGGTGTTATTTCGACTATGAATGAAATTTTTTAAATCAAACACCAAGTCAACGATTTGTCAGAACTTATTTATTTAGAATAAGTTGCTACATTTTTTTACAATATCAATTTTTATATACATATGCGCAATTTTTGAATTATTTCCAAACTAGGTTGTTTAGAAAATTTGTGCTGGGAATATGGGATAGATTAAGTGAGGTGCAATTATATTTAATATATGTAATTATACACTAGATGCAGCATGGAACTTGACGCGTGCGTAATTTTTCCTTCATATTTATTAATTTTTGTTGATAGTAATGTTAGCTTACAGTAATCTTAAAAAGGAGAATAAAGTAAGCTTATAGCTAGCCAACATAAGCTTTCAGTATTAAAGTAATATTCCACTTTTCCATGTTTTCTTAAAAGTTAAGAAGAGTCACCCCTTTTACCGCCTAACTTTGAAATTCTATTGTGTACATGCATATATATGAAAGTATTACTCAAAAGTTTCAGTGAAATTCTAGGACAGAAACTGAGCACCTACATGTCTACATTTAAAAATATTAATCCATATTATTTTACAACAATAAACACTTATTTGAGTTTTCAAATATATTAATCAGTTTTCTTATTTGTCATTTAAAAGTTTCTAATTTGGATAATGTAAATAGATACATCCACAACAAAAATAATTTATTTCTTTTGTTCTTTGGATTTAAATGCAAAAATTTTTAGTAAACAAATTAGTTAACTTCGTATGCTGATTATTTTAGTAAACATTTAAAAAACTTGATGCTTTTGGGTTTAACACAATATCGAAAAAACCCTTTTTTATAAGTACTACCTCTTTAACTCAGTCATTTCATATGCGCAGGTTCAACATGAAATAAGATTTGTATCTTTTATATTGTTTATAATGTGTAAAGTTTCTCGCAGTTCAATAGATTCTTACGCCTTTAAAATGAGTAATAATGAAGATACTCTTTTTAATGAAACAAAGAAACAATGTTTGCAACGTTACATAATAGTTTTATTAAATTTTTATAACGTAAACCTGCCGAGTAGACGATTCAGTTTGGGTCGATAGAGCTGCCACATCTACAACCTTCTCTCACATTCTCGACCTTTCTTTCTCATACGCATTTACGGTTTAGTTTTTTCTCTCCGTTTTTATAATACTTATGCCAAATTTTATTTTTTAACTAAATATACAACATCCATTTATACATATATATATATGAATAATTATTTAATAAATACTCTTAAGTCTTCTGGTGGTTTATTAGAGGATAACGTTATTCAACATTTATAATAAAAACAAATTAAGATATTATTTTTAAAATTATCTTTTACATACTCTTTTTATTTCAGTTAATAAGGCACTAAAGTGCGCTCTGAAGTGTTAGGTGTAAAGTGTATAGTGTAGTTACAAGCACAAATATACATATGTCAGAGTGAAAATTTTTGTAAAGTGATAATTAATTTTTCAAAATTGTTATAATAAAACAAAACATAAAATTACGTGTTTTAAAGAGATGCACTTCAAGTACAGTGAACAACCTCTAATGACCTTCACTATGTAAGTAAATATTTCTGATGGAAATATTCATAGACAAGGTTATGTTCAGAAAGTAAAAGTGTTAAACTAAGATTTCTTCTTCGGTGACAATGTTTTTTATTTGTATCTAAGAATGGGAAATTTATTTTTTTAAACACATAATCAGTCTTTTTTATTTTAAATTAATTTTAAACTGAAAACTTATTTGAATTTAAAATTTAACATAAAGTTCAATAGCCCTAAGAAATTGTAAGATGCTATTTGTATCTCTCCAAATTATTTAAATCTCTGCAATATGAATCTTCTTATATTTCGCTTTTTTATATTTAATCTTGTAACTTTTTTTATATTTTTTAATAATGTTTTGCAATTTGTTTATATAACATTTTTGTTCATAAGAGGTTCTGATTAATTTAAAAATTAAGGATCGTATTTTTCTTTTGTGTTCGGCTTACTTTTATATACAAATTGAAGATATATGCGACTATGATTCTAAAAATTTTTTTTAAATATTTTATATATTTGGAATTTCTAATATGAGTCACACTTGAGTTTAAAGATTCTCGCAGAGTTATATTTGCCTTCAATTATAACTTAAGATACGTAACTAAAAGTACACGTCATGCGTGCGTGGCGTAATTTTCGTGCTATTCCTTCACGACGCCATAATAATTATGTCATTGCCAGGAAATTATGTCACGCGTAAGACGTCACTGGTCACAAATATACTCGATACGATAGCGGAAATAGTATAAAGGATATTGTTTTAAGATTACTCTAAGTATCTAGAAAAATCTGAATTTTTAAAAGGAAAAGTAAAAATTCTCTAAAATTAACAAATATGTATAAAAATAATCTCCATCATATATAAACGTTATGGTTTTTAAAACTTTAGGTATAAGCCTAAATTTGATAAAATTCAATAAAAAACATCTGGCGAAAGTGCGGACTAACTAAAAAATTACATTAGTAAGAAAAGGACGGCGATATTCATCCATATATCCTTTTCATACTAATAGAATTTTTAGTTAGTCCACTTGCTACCAGGACCCTTGTCGGATTTAGGAGAATTATTTTAGGTAGCAACATTTAATTATTTAAAATGTTGAAAATTAAATTCATGACCCTTGTGCTAAAATCGTGAGAGTTTTTAATTTAATTTAATATTTAGGTCACATTTATATCTTAGTGGATGACAATGTTCTAATTTTATAGCTATTAATTAATTTAAATCAAGATGAAACTAATTTTAATACTGAATTGGTTTTTTGGAATACATTATTTTTTAAAAGTATAAATTCAACATAATATTTTACTTGATGATATGATGTTTAAGATATAAGTTGTGATTTAAACAATCCAGAAATTGTTTAAATAAATAATTGTTACTATTTACCAACTCTTTACACGTACATTGCACCTAGAAACTTGTAGTTTTTTTCAATTTTTCAATAATATTCATTCTGATAAATTGCAAAAGAATATTTAAAAGAAACTATGTTTCTAGGTGCGCTGTGTAAGAAGTTAGTAAATAACAAATATTATTTGTTTAAACAATGATGAAATCGATAATTTTATGTTAAATGTTTGTTTGTTTGTTATTATAATTAGGTCGACAAATTGCAAAATTACGCTTCATTTCTCTAAGTGTACTGAGAAAGAAGTAAACAATAATAAATTGTTTAAAAGCAAGTGAAGAGTGCAGTATAACATCAATAAAACACACAGTAAAAATGATTATTTCAATTTTTTTTTAAGATTTTAATAATACAACTCTGCGGTATTGTAACCTTTTCATCTTCGTACATGCATTTACAAATGTTATAAATAAACAATAAACAATGTATAAAAAATTGTTTTACATTTTTTAAAAACTTTTTAGATTTTGTTCACTGATTTTAAGTTTCGTCTAAGTTTGGTGCAAAACTTTATATATGGGCGAATATTAAGAAGATTATTATATACTCTTAATTTTCCCACGTTAAAGACTTTTAACGCATTCTAAGTGAATTATCACTTATTTCAGATACGGATAGTAGAGCAGGAAGGTTAGCTATACTGTAACTATGTGTAAACTTAATACAATTCCGCCGAAACTCAACCATATTTGCTCAGTTGAGTAGTTACAGTAGTCAATGTGTATTGCAAGTGCTATACCAACAGCACTACTCGGTTACCTTATTAACTGAAACTTTGTTATATTTAAATATTTCTTTTCTCAGTGTGATGTTTTATGCGGGACATAATTTTCTTAGTGACATGAAAAAACGTCACGAATGCATAATTATGATGATCTTTCTACCAATGTGACACATTTTTCTAAGGTTCATTTTTTATTTAAAAAGGAACGTAGAAAGAATTGTGTTCCGAGCTAAACGTGCGAGATTGCACGATGACGTTGCACGCAAGAACGTATACATACATTATTTAGTGCAAACAATTTTTTCTATCAGGGGATTTTAGCAAGATCATTTTCTTTAAGAGTTGTAGTTTGATCTTTTATTCACAACTTTTTGTTTGCATGTTGTTTTTTTCATTACAGTAAAAATACAAAATTGCAATTTCTTTATAGACCTTTTATTTGATTAAAAAATATAAGCTATTCGATTTGCTTTTTCGGAGAAATCAAATCTATAAACAATTATTATAATATAAATTCATTCTCTTAGAGATAATTTTTTTATTTTTATATACTTTTAATTAAATTTTGGATAATTTAGACATTTCTTGTAAACACTGACGAAATCTACGTTTTTTCAGGAACTTCCATTTTCAGTTATTTAAATACCCATTCGTCATAAGTTTATCGAATGTAATAAAGAAATAGAGCTATAGTAAGGTCATGTTATCATTACACGCTACCGTAATTTTTTTTTCAAAGTCTGTTGAATATCTATCAGCAAAAACGTCAAAGAACAATTCTTCGCCTAGGAGGATAAAATGAGTAAAAGTGTTGAATTTCTTTCAATGGCAGAGGACAACGAACAAGCATGTAAGATTTTGGATATTTTTGACTTTGTAAATTTTTAATTAATTATCACTGGTCTGCAAATTTTAACTTTTTTCTATGAATAAGACGGGAACTAGTTTTTCCAACCGGATTTAGAAAGCATGTTAATGTAAAATCCTTTGATGAATTGCATCATTATACTATATCAAATAGTATGAAGATTAACTTATGCCAGTGCACAGAAGAATAATCCAAAAATTTATATTTTTAAGGTGAAAAAGATGTAGAAGATAAATCTAGACTTAACTTTAATGGAAGTCGTCAAATATCCAAGAGCGCAACTGAGCTTAGAAATAATGAATCTGATAGTTCTAATCGATCACCAGTTCACCGACTACCTGCTGATGAGAAAGAATTAGCCGCAAGTCATCGACATCGACATGCATCTGTGGCTCAAAAAACTCATATCTTTTTTGCCACCTTAAAAAATCGCTGGACACGAAGTAAGAGCAAGGAGAGAAAAAAATCGAAAGAAACCTCCATCTTCCTTAGTCAAGAGTCCAAAAATGTAGGCTTAGAGTCCGACTACGCTGCGGACTACTCTTCAGAACACAGTCATAGTTCTTCCGCTACTCAAAGTCCAGCTAAACATTATTTGAATCATCCAGGTAATTCTTCATTTTTCAACAAATACGATATCCTAAGATATCTTAAGGACATCCTAGGAATTTCCAAATTTCAGGATGTGCCTATAATGACCGTATACTCATTTTGGAATTATATTATTAAGTTTCAGATTCACCTCTATCAAATCGCAAAAAGGACCAAAACGATGGTTTCGATGATTCTTCTTATACAGACGCATCTGGTAAACAAAGACAAAAAGGTGATGGTTTTGAGGAAACAAAAACAAATGGAATTGTTGACATTAATTTAACTTCAGAGCATGCTCGGCGAAGAGAATTGGCTTTAAGGCAACATGCATTTTTTCAACTGCGACTGCATATAAGGAGAGGCGCTAATCTTGTCGCAATGGATAGATGTGGTAAGTGCAAATAATTACCAAAGTCAAATTTACTTTTTTTTATTATTCGTGTAGTAAACTTAATGGTGTACACCTTATGTCCTAATGATTAGGTGAGAATTTTTCAAACTGTTCAATTAGAATTAAATTTTTTTTATTTCAAAACAACAAAATGATTCACTTTTAATAACTTAATTACAAAACAATATTCTGTTTGATAATACAAAAAGTAATGTTTAGTATGCAAGGTATAAAAATTATTAACCATCAAACATTAAAATTTCGAAACGCGTCAAAATTCTTTGATGTAAATAAATAAATATAAGCTAATAGGTCACAAGAATAAAAAAGACATCTTTTCTAAATGGGTTGAAATAAAGGAGTATTTGCACTTCATATATTATTAAAATTTTACAATTTAGCCAATACATTTGAAAATTTCTTACCTAATTGCATTTACTTGCAATTTTGCATGCTGTTTGCAGTGTTACTTGTTAAAGAATGTACATATGTTCATCAGTGATGTTCCGTCGGTGTTCAGTGGAAAAAGAAAATGCTCAGATATTTATTTGTTATTACTTTCTTACACCTATTAGCGGTATTTTTATGTACTTATAATTTCCTCCCCATTGTAATACTTAATGCTCTCAACCTAAGAGGGTGCTTTCTGTATCTTTCTGTAATATTTCTTTTTCTTTCACAGTTCATGTTTCTCTCTTCACTTACAAACAGTTTAGTCACTACGTGTCGCATGCCTTCATGATCGTTCTCAATAGGATTTATACAGCGGTAAATAAAGTTTTAGTTTCCTGAATTGATTGGATCTTTCCTAAAAACAACCTGCTTACCAGCACATTTTTAAATTTGTACCTTCTTCTAGTATTTATTCTTAAAAGTAAATTAGCTTTTTTATTTTGAATTTTTATATCCGTTTGAGGCAAATTCTTTTAGCTTTTGTTTCACGCTAATAGTGTATACAGTTGTTTCCCGCAACTGGCTCAAATTTTAGAGTTTTATTTTTCGCAACGTGAACATTAAATAAACCCCTCCTATCTTTGGATATACATGACGAGTGCACCAAATTAATGCCCTACACAAGAATCGCAATCACTATAAAAGTTAAAATCACTATAAATTAAAAGGTTTAGAAATTAAAGTCGAGTATATGTCGATATAATGTGTTATAAATTTGCTCATAAGGCAAAACCAAGGAGGACCTAAGTTCTGTTATAAAATTAGGTACAGATACCACACTGCAAAAATAGGTGTCTTTTTTAATATCTTAAAATAAGATGTAAAGATGGAAAAATGGTGCATCTTAGAAAAGTAAGATACTTCTGTAAGTTTTTTAAAATATCTTAAATTAAGATGTTTCTGACGCAATAAGATGTGTACGAAGATACTTTAAACATCTTAAATTAAAATATTTCAAATAACTAAAAAGTGTCTACCAAAATATCTTAAATTAAGATACTTCTTTTTGCAGTGCACTGAAAAATGGGGTAGAACTGGTATCGTCTATAAGTTTAATTGTAATGACTGCACGGCTGTGCATATTGGTGAATCAAAACGTACATTGAAAAAGAGAATCAACGAACACAAAAACAAAAATTCTGAAACTAATTAATAAGCATCAAATTGAAGAATAACTTGTTTGAAGATATTTGCAAATTATATAACATGCGAGTCGCTCGAATGAAGGCAAAATGCGACTATTTAGTGTTTTCTTTGCTTGCTTGCAACACACATGTGTGCACAATGACTGCAAGATACGTTTACATTGTAGTGGTAATCACAAAACAATTGTCCTATACTTTCTTGGAATCAATCCTCACAAATTTGTTTCATGTGAAATTACTTTGCAAAAGTAGATGCACGTTGATGGTAGACTAGAATCAATGATAAAGTATAAATATTAAAAACATATAATTTTATCATAGTACGCTCTGCAGAATACTTAAGAGAGAAGAATCATGTTAAAACTAATTTTAGTCTTTATGTTTTGGAATTTATAGTTTTAAACATGTTGAAAAGATTATGTATAATATGTTTTAATAACGATTTTTAGAAAATGTTGTGCTAAGTATCATATACATCTGTTAAAAAATAACTAAAGTAGTAGCGTTATTTTTCTCTCCATATTAATATAAGTATGTGAACTAGTAGTTCTAATAAACATTCGAAGTTAATAAACTTTTCAGGTGCTAGTGATCCTTATGTTAAAATAAAATCCTGCGGACGACTTTTGCACAAAACTCGAACAGTTCATAGGGATTTAAATCCAACGTGGGATGAAAGTGTTACATTACCGATTGAAGATCCATTTCAAACAATCAATTTTAAGGTGAAATATTGTAAAATAATGTAGAAATGATACATAGTAAATTAGAACAATAACCATTCATTCAAATATTAAGTATGGATAGCTAAAATTGGACAAATCTACAAAATTGTAAGAATAACTTTAATATATGGAATTTTAATTTTTATTAGGTTTTTGATTACGACTGGGGTCTTCAAGATGATTTCATGGGTGCAGCAGTTTTAGATTTAACACAATTAGATTTATGCCAATCTCAAGATATTGTTTTGGAATTAAAGGATCCTGCAAGGCCACAACAGTATTTAGGTGAAATTATTTTAACAGCTTCCCTTTGGCCGAAAAATCAACAAGAAAAGGAGCAGGTTCGGTTCCACATTTATTAAATGTTTTAATTAAGAAATTCATCTAGTCTAGTTTTCCTAATATTACTTCAAGCATTTTTGTAGAAACGAACCTCGATTATCCGAGTATAAGTAATATTAAGTAATACTAAATTTGTCTGTTTCTATTAGTATTATCAGAAGAGTAGTCGACTAGCGGACGTGAATCGCAAATTAAAGTCCCAAATATGGAGTTCAGTAGTTACAATTGTATTAGTTGAAGCAAAGAATCTGCTACCAATGGATGTAGATGGTTTATCTGATCCATTCGTTAAATTTCGGTAATTTTCCTTTCTAACATAAATTAAGTAATAGGATTAAGTTAAATTATCTTAAAAGATTTATGATCTTCGCCTTGTGTTACAAGTAATGTAATTCTATATTTTAATAATTTTAGATTGGGTGCAGAAAAGTATAAATCGAAAGTAGTTAACAAAAATTTAAATCCCGTTTGGTTGGAGCAATTCGATCTTCATCTCTATGATGATCCACACATAGGTCAGGAATTAGAAGTTATGGTTTGGGATCGTGATAAAAGTCATCAGGATGATATAATGGGGAAGTGTATTATAAATTTAGACAGTCTGGAACGAGAAACAACTCACAGACTTTGGCGTGACTTGGAAGACGGGGCTGGCAGTATTTTTTTGTTACTGACAATCAGTGGTACAACTGCCAGCGAAACAATTAGTGATTTAGCAGCTCACGAAGAAACTCCTCGCGAAAGAGCACAACTCTTGCAAAAATATTCATTAAAGAATACTTTAAGAAGGCCAAAAGATGTTGGACATTTGATTATCAAGGTAAACATTAATATTTTCTTCTTTCTCACTCATTTATATGTAAAGGGAATTGCAATGTTTGTCTTCTAATAGGTTTACAGGGCTCACGGCCTCGCAGCTGCCGATTTGGGCGGCAAAAGTGATCCATTTTGTGTTCTAGAATTAGTTAACGCTAGATTGCAGACTCAGACAGAATATAAAACCTTAACACCAAACTGGCAGAAGATCTTTACATTGTAAATATACACTTCTTCATTAAATTGAATCCTAATTCGTTTACTATATTTACTGCTCAAAATTTGTGACCTGAACTAAAAATTATTTTTAGTTATATATGTTACTAACGAACATTGAACGCTTTCCTTCTAATACATATTATAAAATCAAAAAATTGTTTTATAAACTTGTAGCAACGTAAAAGACATCAACTCGGTTTTGGAAGTGACTGTTTATGATGAAGATCGAGATCACAAAGTTGAATTTCTTGGTAAAGTGGCAATTCCTTTATTGAAAATAAAAAATGGTGAGAAAAGGTGGTACGCTTTAAAGGATAAAAAACTGAGGGGTCGAGCCAAGGGAACTTCGCCTCAGATTCTTCTAGAAATGACAGTAGTGTGGAATATACTAAGAGCTTGCATTAGAACAATCAATCCTAAGGAAAAAAAATATATGGAACCAGAAATGAAATTTAAGCGACAAGTGTTTCTTAGGAATGTGCTTAGACTAAAAGCTATTATTGTCATTTTTATTGACATGGGAAAATATCTTCAGTAAGTTTTGTTTTATCTACATTCTACATTTTAATAATAATAACCAAACGACTTTAATTTCAATTTAAGGAGCTGCTTCGAGTGGGAAAATAAGATGAGGAGTGCTATTGCGCTTGTTCTCTTTGTGCTTGGCTGCTACTACTTTCAGCCCTACATGGTTCCTACTGCAGCGTTACTGATCCTCTTAAAATACTATGTGGTAAGTTTGTACAAACAAATTAACTTTAAAAAATATAATGAAGTTTCTCTTTTAATTCTAAGAAGTTTTTTACTTAAAACTCATCGAAAACATTGTTATAAAACGTTTGCAAACTTTTACAGCTTTCTTAAAAGTTCATTCATTACTAGTTTGCCTAACAGAGGTTCTTGCTTATTGTGGTATCAACTCAGATTAAAAAAAACATGTTATGTGCTTATGTTTAAACTTTTTTCTATTTTGCATTTTTAATCTAAAGTTATAATACTTTGTTTCGATAGCAATATGAGGACATTTCAATGCTCCTACTACATTTTTTCTAATTGTTTTAATACTGCTTTTGAAACAGAATTGAAGAAAAGAACATTGGATGTTTGATTACAAAACTCTTCTTATTAGTGTTGTTACTCTGGTGACTCTTGAAATAAATTTCAAGACATCTCTGCATGAATGATTGATTATTGTAATATATTAATACTAAATTTTTATTTTCGTAACAATTACACACTGCAACCTATCTTAATTTTTACGAAACGTTAGAAAAAGATTCAAAAACAAAATACAATCGTAAATCACACCATCGAAAAGTCACAATTTATAAAATGATATAAAATGATTTGTTTCTTATCTCTTATTCATCGAATAACTTCTCGGAATATATTCGGAGAGGAATCTTACTTTTATCTGAAACACGAAAATGTATTGCTTGTTGTTAAAGTAAAATTCTATAAAAACAATTTAAGATAGGTTGCACTGAATGGGGTTTATTTATTTACTTTTTTCAGTAACATTTATTAAATTTAAGAACGAGTCTAAAACAAGCAGCGCCACTTTAATTAATATAATTGACAATAATTTTTCTTAAAATGCTTTCACCGAAAGTATTGCACTAATTTCTTTTAAAAAACAAAAATTTAATTTTTAATTCTGTATGCTAATCTAAAAAAAAGAACATAGTATTTTTTCGAATTAATAAAATTCTGTCACTGTATAGATAATGCTTAAAATGTATTTTGTATTTCAATGTTCTAGATTTAAATCATAGATAAATTAGTCAAATTTATGCCGAAGGCGTATGAGTAAAAAAAATGTCATCAGTAAAAAGTATTAACGACTTCGAATTTCTTTATTTTATAAAAATAGATTATTTTCTCAGTTAAAATTCATTAGAAAATCACAAAATTATTTTTATTTCGATTATTTCTTATTCGATGTTGACTTCTTTCGTTGAATTATTACTGTTCCTCTTGAGGATTTATTATATTTTATGTGCACATGTTTGTTGAGTTTTCGAGAAAAACGGTGTCAAAGTCGATACGATTTTTCCGTTGTGGCTTTGGGTAGAAGTCGCATTGACTTTGACATCCCTTAAAGCGTAAATTCTTGTAGCAACTTTAAGCGTTATATAAATAGATTTGCTGTTTAAGATAAGAAAAATTGTAACGGGCTTTTTTGTATCCAGAAAGTAGTAAATGTCTTATCAAGTATTTAATTAGTCACAGACATTAAATAAAAAAATAGTGAATCTTGAAATTCCGCATTACTTTGAAACATTGAATCTTTTTTCACTTAGTATCCATTGCTGCGGCGCTGCTTGATTCGGACATGGCGTTTTCTTTTTTACTCACTTCCTTGTTTTATTTCGTCGCTGGCAAAAGAGAGAGATTATTGCTTGAATCGCTTGGCTCTGCGGACAGGTTGCTGTACTAACTGGAGCACCAGTTACTCATCAGGCGGGGCAGAACTTTCCAAATGCGAATGAAACGTCAATTGATGATGGTCCTCCGACTCCGGGCGACGACGACGACGACGATGATGACAAGGATAAGGTGCGTAAAAAACGATTAATAACAAACTGTGCAAAATAAATTGAAATGCCGACATGGGTGTCAGAATATGTTATTTGAAACAAGGCTAAAAAATACTATTTGTAAAATTTAAAGCGCAAAAAACATAGGTAAGCAGTGGCGCTTTTATCTGTCAACGAACCAGCTTAAACAGATTTTTTGTAGAAAGTATGCTTCACATAACATTTTCGATATTTATTTTAGTAAACCTGGACGTTTGTCCTATTTTTCATCCTACGGAACTATCATCAGGCTTTATCTTTCCTTAGTGTAGTATCTTGGGATCTTGCTTATGCTACCATTAATTCCATTCTGTAAAACTCTTCCTCCTCCTCCTTTTTACTTTTCTGAACTAAAAACATCCCAAGAATGTCACACGAATACCTTGAAAATATTCTGAAAACACGTTGTCATTCGAATTACCAAAATGAATTCTGCTTTTATAGGAGGAAAAAAGAAGTCTTAAAGAACGTCTTCAAGCTATACAGGAAGTAACTCAAACTGTGCAAAATTCAATTGGCTACTTAGCTAGTCTATGCGAAAGAGTAAAAAACCTTTTTAACTTTACGGTTCCTTATTTGAGTTATCTTGCCATCATAATGTCGATTTTTGGAGTGATTGTGCTGTACTTAATACCGGTGCGATTTCTAATCTTGGCCTGGGGCGTGAACAAATTTTCAAGGAAGATCTTCAGACCTCATACGGTGCCTAACAATGAAGTTCTTGATCTTCTGTGCAGAGTTCCAGATGATGAAGAGATTCTTAATTACAGGTTCGTGACAACTAATTTTAAAACTATCTATCATGAATGGTTTGCATTTATATTCCAGTAACTTGCAAGCTTCCAGGAAACTTTTAAATTTGGAGTTTTAACTTCGTAGAAAAATATTTTTTCAACATAACAAATTTGATGTTCTTCTTTCTGCTTTAGAGAATTAAAGCCTTTACCCACTGCCGACTTTGAGAAGGGAGGAAAAGTAGGAACATCACAAGGTAATTTAACAAGGAGAGAATTAAGACGAAGACAAAAAATGGCGTAACAGATTATCCCGCGGCAGGAAGTCGCGGGTCTCCGGCCGTCCGATCTCTTTAAAACTGTTTTGATGCGTAAAAAATTTCTAAGAAATCGAAAAGATTCTGATGAGAAGTTGGACATTTTAGAAATTGACTGAACGGAAATCCTAGATTTTTTAAGAAGAAAAAATTAATATTTTTGGTTTTTTTCAGGTTAGGTACCCTTATTACACATTCACAATTCTATTTCAACTATGGTAGAAATAATCGTTTTTAATATTAAAATCATTTTTTAATTTCTTCATCACGTTTACTAGACAATCTAGTGGGCTCAGAAACATAATTCATCTTAGAGACGTTTCTGGTCCACGTAAATTCAGAAAATCAGAAATTGTTTTTAAGACAATCTATGTCCTCAGACACACTGGTTATACATGTTATGGAGCTTCAAAGTTTAAAATAAGTTCATTAATATTTAACATACTTTTTACTTTTTCTTGTTTAAACCATATCAGACAGAGAAAAAATGTTTAACTATTCAAATACTATTGAACTGTTATTATTTTAAGATAATTCACATTAGAAATACGTCTTTCATTCCATAAGTTAGTTGCTAAATTATTCTAAAAACTAGAAAGCGGACTTAATGTTCAATAGCATATTTTTTCCATTTTCATTTGTGTGCCAAGAATTTTTCTGTTCGATAAATCGAACAGCTGTCCGATATGGGTTCAAATTTATTTTTTTAATTAAAACATCAACTTGTTATATATAATAACTTGTTATTTAGAAATTTTTATGGTCGTTGAATTTGTGATGTATATGTGCTTGTAATAATATTCTTCTGTATTTTCTAAATTTTATCTGATACTACTCTTTTGAGTTTAAGTATATTTCAAATTCACAAGACTTTGTGAGTTCAATATACTACTTCCAAGCGGCAAGTAAACATTTTTTAATCTTCAAAATGAATTTTTAAGGAAAAAAGTATTCCTTTCTGTTATCGTAACTTTTTACCATTATCGTAATCTTGTAAAATTCCATTTTCATCGAAATCGATTTGTATTTTCTTATAACAATCTTTTTAGATTTAACGTTTAAGGATTTTCTATGTTTTTTGGATCACATTAAAACTTATAAAGTGAATCCTGATTAAACTTCTGACTCTTTGTCTTTAACTCGACTGTTTCTAATTTCCAAATTTCTTATTCTCTGACAACAATAAGAGTATTTCATAAATCGTCTAGTAAATTTTTATGTTTCTGCGTAATTTATTCAATGAAAAAAATCTGAAAAAGTTGATTTTCTATGTTCTGGTTTTAAAAAGTATATCAGTAGAAATTTGCAACTTCATTAAAATAGCCTATTAAATATATAAAACTAAGAAGTAGAACATTTCCACAATTCACACGATTAATCAGATGGAGTATGAAAACTATGAAAGGCGTAGAGGCGGTAACAATTGTATTATTAGACAATACCGGAGTCAAAATTTATACCATCTTTAAATTTTTTAAATTTCAGGGGCATTTAAGAAGAATTAGTTGCAACTGAATTTAGAAACTTTATCGTTCCTCTAATTAAACACTTATTATGAAATTTTAAAAATTAGAGTATAAAGGAGATCTCCCTGTGAAACCTATTAAATCTTTTATTTAAGCTCCACTTTCTTTTCTATAAGTCAATGTCCATATGAATCTCACTATTGAAACTATTTCATATACATATTTCAAAACATGCTCTATTAAGACTGAAACGTTTCAATTAAAATCCCCAGGATTTAAGATAGGTTAACGGAAGTTAAACATAGTGTAAATAATAAAAAGGTTTATGCAAGGTATTAAAAAATTTGCGAATTGTTTCAATCAAATAACATTTTAAAGAAGGTCTAAATTTTGACTTTGGTAATAAATTAAACCTTATGCCTTGACTGCGTAGTAATATATCGTGCTCCAAAACACTCATTTTCACTCAATTTCACAGATTATTTAAAATTCAAGAATTTCATTATGAACCATACACTTAAAATTACATACAGAATCATACGATTAATTTTATACCGTATCTTAAAGTATCCAAGAAACAATCTTGTAAGTCACCGGTTTAGAAATTTTTAGAAAATTGGTACTTCCTGTACTTAAAACTACAATTTATGCAACTTTGTGGGCACAGAAACTGTTTTGTTCAGGAAATGTTTCCTGTCCGATAAGTAATTGTTGAAAACGCTCAAAAAGCGTTCTAAAAACGTCTTTGGAACGTTATCAAAACAGAAACGTTTCTGTGCCCAATGGGAACAGTTCAGAATTTTCTTGTTCGCTACTCTTTTGTAAAACTGTTATTGGTTGAAATTGAATTACATACTATTGGTTTAAAGTTGTTGGAAATAATTCTTCTAATTGAAAATATTTCTTTTTTTTAAAATAATTGTGTTGAGATGGAAAGCACTGTATCTTTAAACTTTTAAAGCTATATTATACGAAGCAATCACTTTTTAGAGATAAAGCTTTTCTAATGCACTCGCCTTTTCTAATATATATTGTTTTTTGTCAAAAACACTGTCAAAAGTGTAAAGTGTAATAAGCATATCCACAATAAATGAGCCGATTTTTAAGGAACCATTGAATAGTAAAGCTTAAAATGCAAAGCAGAAAATCGTGGATGAAATCTGCTTTTCATTTTAAACATTGCTCAATATTAAGTTTTTGCTGGAATCGAAATGGCTTTTAAGCTATAAAATATCATATGAAACAAATGTATCTAACATCTAAAAGCTAAAAGCAGATACCTGCATAAAAATATTAATTTTTTCATAAGTAGTTAAAATATAATATACAACATTTTATAATAAATATAAAATAATAGGAAACGAGTAGGATAAAATTGTTTTTCAATATTATATATTTATTCAGTTGAAGAAAGCATTAGAGTATTAAACATTAAATTCCTTTAAAAATAGGAATAATATTGCCTTTTTTACTATATATGTGGTGTCAGGTCATAATTTTAAGATTATGTCAGCAAAAGATACATGCTACGTTGAGAAACGATTTTAAGCTACTTAACGTTAACAAAAAATTTGATTATCAATTGTTAATAATATAGGATTTATGAAACCTTCGTCAAATAGCGAAACACATTCATCATTCGGTGTTTGATTGTTTCAATATTTAGAGCATTGCTGTGAAAATTTATTTTTGTTTAAATGATCGTTACTTTTCATAAAATAATAGGTTTGTTTATTTTCAAAAAGTTAATTAATCTTATCTTATTTACTGATATTTATATTGAAAATAATGCAGTACAGTTTTTAAAAATACGAAGTCAATTAATTTTACAACTTCATCAAAAAATAAAATAATAACTTTATCCATCGAGAAATAAATAAAACGAAAATATGATTATTTATTACAAATTAATAGAAGAATTAATTTTAAGATAACGTTACTTAAGTTGAAAAAAAGTTACTTCCATATATAAAACTGTTTTCTAAAGTAAATATATATATTAATATTAATTACTCGTCTACTGAGAATTGTTAAAATCATCCATTCCAATCGTTTACTTGGTGTTAATCAATGTTCAAAAGCACAAAGTGTATACGTTTTTATCGCAATTTTTTCTTCATCACGATTTCAAAACCATACTATGTCAATACAAATAATTATTAGATATATTGTTTATATAACAAATTGTGTAATAATTTATATACCCATTTCTTACTCCTTTTTTAAATTGTGAAATTGTTAAGAAAACTTTAAAGTATTACGTACGTATATGTAAAGTCAAAGACTTTTAATCAGGCCAATCCAGTAAGAAACTAGAAGTATTTGTTTAATTAGTCCAAGGGGCATACATACCTTTTGAAAATTTGTGGAAAATCTTAAGTAGAACTGCATCTTTCTCTTCTCTTGTGGATTGCACAGATAGCCAGTACTAGAGGAACTGCATCTTTCTTGCGGTTTCTTTGTTTAGTATCAACTTTAACTTTCTTCTGTGGTATTTTCATATTGAATACTGTTATGTCCTCTTTCAGATCTTTCCGTAACCAAACATTGTCGACTTAGGAATTTTCCTTTCGCGCACTTATTGTAGTCCCCAAATAAATTATTTTTTATCGACATAAATAATTCAACTTTTACAAATTACTTAAAACGTGGTATGTACATGCCAGTTTCAACTTCGCGCTGAGATGTAAACAAAGCACACCGGTAAAGTTTAGTTCACATTTGGCTCTTTCACTTGTGAAGATACAATGTAAAGGTGCTTGCACACCTCCGATAATTTCGTTAAGGTCTAAGCACAACTACTTCGCGAAAGCAAAATATGAGTTAGAAAAGGATAGATATATATTTGTTTCCTTTTCTATCTCATGCTTTTCGTCGCGAACGTCTTTCGCGAAATTATTATTAATTGCGCAATTCTTGTTTAGCCGCCTTTGAAATAGAAAATTCGACAATTATAATGAAAGAATTAAATTTATGGCTTATTAAACTAAAAGCTCGTGCCATTTAGATAATAAAACTTTATAAAAATTAATTATTTAAACAAATTAAAGCAATAAAAAAAAGATCAAAAACGTCAAATTCGGCGCACCAATTATGGCGGCGAAAGTAACGTGTATTTGTGAGGATTGGCCAATAGATCTCCAGTATTCTTTAAACCGAAAAAATTAAGTTTGAGTAATAATTGCACAGAACTAATTTATTCTAATGAATTTAATTCATTAAAATCTCAGGGCTTTTCTCAGTAAAAGAAGTAAAAAAATTAAATTAAACAGAAGAGAAAACTATCCAATTTAGAATAAACGTTATAAAAAATAGAAAATTTATTGCATGCAACCATGCAAGAAAAAAGAAACTCGAAATGATTAAAAATTTTTGTACATGTTTATTTATTAAAGTTTTAATACAACAAAATTCTCAAAACTAAAATTATAGAAATCTTATTTATAATTTATTATATGTATACGAGTATATAGTAAACCTGTGTGGCAGGCTTCTACTAGTTTGTAAAAAAAATCACTAGGTTTGTCCAAATTGGCTCATTTATTTATATCTGAGCCAATGAGGAAAAATTCCGACACACAGATGTACAAAATTTCATTAAACCTATCAATCACTTTCTCGTTACTAGAGGCATTCTTTAATTTTTCGTCGTTATTCAAAAAAATAACTCTAAAAACTAAAATTCTGCAAATTAATAAACAGAAAATAAAAAACAATTTCTAAAGAAGACGATTATAATAAATTAAAATTGAAATAGGTATTAAAATTTGATCCTAGAAAGAATGTTAATAAGAATTTAGCTGTTCACAGTTTTTAGTCAAAACTTTAAAAAATAAGATATAAATAAAATTATATTAGAATGGAAAATTAGATGTTAAAATATGAAGCTTTTCGTTTCTTTACAATTGAAAATACGTCTTCCTTAAAATTTTATTAACAAAAATTAACCGATAATTATAAAATAAAGTAAAATACAGTTTGGACGGTAAAAATTACAACAAATACTGGTTTACGCTGATAGTGAAATGTGCTAAAAAAATGTAAGAGTACAAAAAGTGACATTTTTTAATTTCTAGTACTTAAAAAAATTAGTTTATGATTTTATGATCATAAATAATTTTTTAAAATATAAAGACTTATGCATTAAAATACTAACATTCTTTAAAAGTACAAATCAATATCAGCTTTTTAAAGAAAATAAAATTAAATAGACAAATTTCGATTAATTATATCAGAAACGACTACTAGTTGGTTATAAAGAACAAACATTTAATTTTTGTTTAAACTTTTCAGAAAAGTAACTTTATCATCGTCTAAACCTTCGATTAAGTCTTCGTTACTTTTAATTACTTTTAAAATTTTAAAAGTAAATTGTTGTTAGATAATATGAAGTACGTCTATAAATCACAATTCAATTCAATGTATTATTCAAATTTGCTATGATATAAAAATAGTTTTAAAAAACTTTCACTTTCTTATGTATTGAAGTATCAAAATTATCACCATATTTTATTTTCGAGATAATTATTTTTAAATATAAAACTGTTTAGTGTTTAGTCGTTAAAAATCTTTAATAAATATGATCTTGTGATTTATGGACGCTGGCAGTATTTTTTCACTTTGTCATAACTAACATAATTATTATCAAAAGTAAATAATTTTTTAATTCTAAACTTTCCACATTTTTCAGAAAAAAATTATTCGTTTTTTTCTTCTTTTGAATAATTGGTACAAAAAAAAAACTTCAAAACCCGTAAAGAATACCACAATTTCAGAGAAAAATGTTGGTCGATTGTTTTAAAAATACGATTCTTTCGTAAAGTATTACCATTATTAAAATAAATTGAACTATATAATATGCATTGTACATTTTACAGTTTATACACAAAAAAGTACAATGAGAGCAGACTTTAGTTATAATATGAAATCAATGTTAATATTACTGAAATTGTCAAAATTTTAATTCTCATTGGAAAGTTTGGAAAAATGAATATTTACTCTTTTTCCATTGTCTACTAATATCAGTAATTAAAAACAAAATATAAAAAAACATGTAAACTTCCATTTGATACAAAAAGATCACCTAAATAATTTTTGGGAATAAGTCACAAATTAAATTTGTTTCCTAATTAAGTGTGATCATTTTGAATTACTTCATAAATGTACAATAAAAAAATTCTAATCTAATAACTAGCAAACCAATCCTCATCTGACATAAAATTTGAAACAAAAAAATGCTGGTGATTCTCCCGAAAGACTGAATTTGATTTTAAAGAATGACTAATTAAAGTTCAATTTAAATAGTCGAATATTTTCATAAAATAAATCGTACTGTTTTACAGTTTGTAAGGGAACTAATTTTCAATTATAAAGTTAACATATATTAAATATACGTTACTATACAAAGAGATATAATTAATATTTAAAGTGTATTTAATTACTCACTAGGAATGCTTTTCCTATTTTGAAATTCTAAGAATTATTCTATAAACCAAGTTTTTCGGGAAAATCACAACATAAGTCTTAAATGTATTTATCGAAACTTGTGAAACACTTCGAAGTATCTTTAAAAAAAATATTCAGATCGATGAAATTGAACTTAAGTTACAAGTTATAAAAAGTATGCCACATGCCAGTCGACGATGAAGATGAATTACCTTAAAGTATTTGTATAAAAATCTTTACAAAATTTAATTTATCCACGGACCAGCATTTTTACATTGGTTTCATTTAATTTAAATGAACCACTCTTTCTTCTTTTGCACTTGGTGACCAGTCGTTGAATGAACAACTGCAGAATCAGGATCTAAAGCAATCTCCGCGCCCTTGTCTTCCTGGGTGAGGTACTCACCCTTGTGTTGCGACATGTATCTCGCGATCAGCGCTCCCATTATGGCCAGGAGGATGAAGAGCAGAGCCAGAACACTACCTAAAACAGCAGTGTCAGTTTCGTTGTACGCGGCTCTCACTTTGTCTTCATCGACATTCGGAGGAGGACGAGTTTCAATGATATCCGGAGGATGGGTTATTGGTTCCACTCCACAAAAGTCTTCGGGAAGTGCGCTAGGAACCGATCTCACGTTCGCTGGACCATTCTCTTGGAACAGTAATTTCAGGGGATAAATGTCATCGAATTCTACTCTTGAGATACAGCCAACGAAACCTTCAGTCATTGATTCGTTTCTTCCGATGTACATGTATTGAATGTTATTGAACTGAGCGTCAGCTGATTGCTTAATGGGGAAATCGAATTCGGTTGTCTTATGACTGTCGACTTGAATTACTAGAGTGGCTCCTGAATTTTTCCTTCCAATTCGAACATCGTGGTATTGCCCTAGATCGAAACGCTTCGAGGGATATATCACCTCTCGCCTTTCGAAGCCAAAGTCAAATACTACCCTGAGATGTCCACTGTTCGACACCATGATTGTCATGTACTCTCCAGAAATGTTCGAGAACAGTCCTAAAAGGAATCCTTTGGCGTTTGTTGTAGTGAAGCCTATTCTAATTTTTTCGGATATTGTTGACCGCCAGCTGCCCATGAAATCGTATTTTATCAATTGATTTTGTCGCAGGTTGACGCCAATTTCTATAAAACAAAGTATGCATTTTTTTATAATAAGTGATAATGCAGTTTTTCCAAAATTTATTGTAAATTAAAAAATGTATGTATCTTTTCCTTGGACCGGTTTGTTTCTGAACTTATTTATATGTGACTCGCTCCGAAGAAAGGTATCCAAGCAGGGTGGCAAAAAAAAATTAATTTTGTTTTCCCCTGAAAGTATTCTAAATATTGAAATAAAACTCACCATCAGCACAAATTGGTCCCTTGAAAGCGGTCCAACGACAATCACAAGTGTATCTGTCGTATCTCTCGTGACAAGTTCCGTTGTTCAAGCAAGGATTGCTCTCACACCTTCCAACGCAGCCCTCGCTCACTCCATACAATCCTCGTTTCGCGTGACTTCTCAAATCCTGAAGTTGTCCATTCAACAGCAATGCCCGAATACAACCCACAAAACCATCTCTGTAATCTTCGTTGGCACCAATAATCAAATCAGAAGTTAGGTGAAGAGCCCGAACTGGACCCTCGGGTTCCCTCACTTCACTTTTCAATGCGCCGTCAAGAACTATTCTCGCTTCCTTGCGATTGCGTTCAACGGAAACCGTGTGCCAACGATCGTCAGCCAGTCTGTAGGATGTTTGGACAGAGACAGTCAGAGGACCTCCTCCAGCTTGATACTGGAACAGAATTTGATTCCCTCCATTGATCGATATTTTTATGTAATCCGAGGGTCCCTTGCTGAACATCATTACTGCGTTCTCGATCGTTGTTTTGAATTCAAAGTAAATGTCTCCACTGTGGCTCATGTCGAATGTCGGTAAATTAATTGTTGAGTCGGTAATGCGGAAAGTTACCACGTTTATAAACAAGTCTGCAAATATATTAACTTTTAGTATATCATAAAGAAATACGACAAATTAGAGAAAAGATTTGAAAACGTACCATCACCCTCGCAGATTAGTGGTCCCAAGGTGTAACGTCCTTCTTTTTCATCAAGAGCTGTGCCTGTATCGCCGAATCGTAATTGCTTCACAGGCAAATGCTCTTTTTCTGTAATGTCACCACCGTCCTCCAGCCAACCCTCAAAGCCGGCATCACAGTTACACCATTTGTTGGGATCTGCACAAGTTCCATAGACTCCACATTCGCACTTTCGAGATCCTGGAAGAGCACCGCCCCAGTAGTCCATTTTTTGATTCCGTCTGCTTACCCACCAAGAGTTGGGTCTGAACGGTTCATTTTGCGGTACTGAAATAACGGAAGATTAGTTCTCCAGTCTCGGAGGGTGATTTTGACTATTAAACTGCACTTACTTGGGGTGTTGAACAGTCGTGAATGTTTGCAAGCATAATTAATTCTCTGTCTGCAGGTTGAGGATACATTTAACAATGCCTCAATCTGATCAAGATCCGCGTCGTAATTAACATCTTGAATAAAAGAACCAGCTTCTTCATAAGCATCTACTGGAGTAGGTTGTTCGATTCCATGATGTAAGACAGTGAGAGTACGTCCATCTGCATAAAATTCACAAGTGACTGGGAAAGGACGCAGAGGTCCGCTTCCATCAACATCGATTTTAATTTCTGCCCGCTGATTAACAGAATTTGTATTTCTGTGTGCTTCACAGGACAATGGATTCATTGCTGCAAAATTTTAATGATGATTAAAAATAATGATTTACAAATAAACACGGTGTTCTCAATAACAACTAAGTTATTGAGAACTAAGTTATTCTGAAACGTATTTTTAACTTACACGTGTGGCAAACAGCACCCGAGTAACCAGTGTTTTCACAATCACAGAAAAATTCATTAGAAGTTTGTTGACAGATTCCAGAATGCTTGCAAGGATTGGGATTACAACGGTCCACCATTTGGCAGCCGTCAATGACGATATCATTCTTGCAGCAGTATTCCTCGTCTTTCCAGTCAGTCGGCAATTTATAATTTCCATCTATGCTTATAACTCGCATACAACCGACGAAACCCCGATGATTTATCATGTTTGGAATTTTACTCTCCAAACCGCCGACGTAGTAAATAGAGCCAGTTGATATTTCCAGAAGACGCGTCGTTCTCATTGTTCGGCCATCGACAGTCAAAATGACGGAATTTTTAGCAATAGTCAATACTATTTGATGCCATTTACCATCGTTAAAAGATTCATCAAAATTGTCCAAAATTGCTTTCGGATATTCGAGAGTTTGAATGTCTATCTTCAATTTGCCTTCTTCAATGTACATCTACAAAATTTTTTATAAAAATTAGCGACGAACTTTTAGAAAAAGGTGCAAATTACAAGAATACGGAATTAATTGTTGTGTTAATAATTACCTTAACAAATCCAGGAGAAGTGAATTTATGATACAAAATGACTCCTTCGTCGTCGTACGTTCTGAACGAAAGGGAAACATTAAGAGACACAGCACCTTCATATCCCTTCAACTTGGCGTAAGAATTAGCAGTTAAGAAAGTGATTGGGACTATTGGTGGTTCTGGACAACTGTAAAGAGAATTTATTCTCTGATACCGCATGTAGTCTCCGTATTCTTCTGCCTTCTTAACGTCGCTAATTACATTCGTCGTATTGAAGTAAAAGTTTTCTACGCAGCCAGTGAAATTTTGTGTTACAACTATGCCTTCTTGCACATTGGGAACGCCTCCGATGTAAAACTAAAATACGATGATATCAATAAGAATTGTTCAAAAATCGTTAATATTTAATTTACTATTAACATGAATTGAAACTTACTACTCGATTCAAGTCCAGTCTGTGAAATTCTCCTTTTATTTTACCCTTTATTATAACTCTGTCTACTGAGAAAGCAATGTTTCTTCGATTCCTAGCAACTATAACGTCGTGCCACATGTTATCATCCAAAAGGCTTCCAACTGACAAACTTGTCATTATTCCTGAGCCCAGATCAATATTGAGCAACATTCTATTGTCCCGCAATTGCAATGCTATAAAATCTCCCTGTGTGCCTCGAGAGTAAACCATCACACCATCGGCGCTGTTAGTTTTAAATCGAAAGCGGATGGAGTGTCGGTCGGTTTCAATTGGTTCTCTCATTAAATCCAACCGTAATAGAGAAGTACCATTAAAGGATAAAACATCAGAAACTGTAAGGAGATTCAAATTTATTTGTTTAGAGTATTAAGGAAAAGTAATATTTCCTGTTGCATAAGAAAATAATTTTAAAAATTACAGGGAGAGAGGAGTTTAGTAATCCAAACTCGTAACAAATTTGCCTTAGGGCCCAAATAAATGCCATTTTAATACAAGTCGAAATTTTTAAATTATTATTCTTACCATATTCACATCCATAGAGTTCGACTCGAAGTGAGATTCTGTCTCTCCACCTTGTAGGATTTATTCTAATCCATTGTGCGATTATTGGAACTTCAAATTTATTCAATCTAATTGTATCTCCGTTGACATTACCTTTAAACATCTATGAAAAATTCCTGTTATTATCGCTATCAAAACAAAATCAGCAAAAAAAATTATAAGGGATTTTCCACGTCTCAGTATATATTTGTACTCAATTATAAATTTTATTCAAATATTAATCACTTTTTTGAAATGAAAGTTTTAGAAATAAAAACTTGAGTAAATATTTACTATGGGAAAATTTTTAATAAGTACGTTTTTCTAGATACAATCCATATGAAAGGGTTACAGAAACATTTATGACTTTTTGCGAGATCTTTAATAAACCACGACATATGGAATGAACTGATAATATAATTACAATTATTATTATTAGTTTTTAATAATAATGTTATTATTTCATAAAAAAAGTAAGTGTTAGTATTACGTAAATTATAATATAAATTAATTTCAAATGCAAAGTGAATCATAAACAAATCATGAAGCGTGTCCGCTATAACTATCAATGTACTATGCAAACTGGGATAACTTTGGACATTAACGGTAATGCTAAAAATGTTCCAATTTTTTATATTTTTGAGTCTAATAAATTATTTTGACAATCTTAGTTAAGAACCTTTAGTAGAAACTTTAGAAATTGTTTATTGCAAATTACTAAGAAAATTTAAAAAGAAAAGAAATCAGTAAAATGTATCTTAAACTTGATTTATCTGTAAGTTGACTCTAAAACAATTTTTAAGCATAAATAGCAATTTTATTGATAAATTGATGTCCTTGCATTAATCCATTTTACAGTACCTAAAGGTATTAGTTGAATGAATGGAAAATTAATAAGGTAAATGATAGAAATCTTTATCAAAATATTAGTATATTAATGAGGCATGCTAAATTTTAAATCCTTCAAACGTATAAAAAAGGAATGATTGCCATAACCGGACAAATGTAATTAATGCGTTTTTTTAAGTCGGCTGATGGTATAATTCGAATGGTGTCTAACTAATTGACTTACAATTATTACAATTTATTCTGTACCAGTGAATCTAAAGTGTTTAGAGAAAAAAATTAATTTTTTTAATAAATTCGATAACTTTCTTAGCCCACAGTAGAAGGGGAAATTGTAGTATGTATTTATATTTCCATTAGAACAAGTGGGATACATTTTTACTGCATTAAGTTTTCATATAATGGTCTAATATAGCTGAACTACGTCGCTGATAATAAATTAACGGAGTAATCTGATAAAAAACTCCTATCAAAGAGTGCAACTTTATTACCAGGATTATAGACTTTGGTCCATAATAATCTTCTTGAAAATCTACATCCTTTTCCAATTGATAAGAAGAATTTAATCTTTTTAATAAAATTAAAGAACTTTACATTTTTCCATCTAGTATCTTTGCTTACTCTTCTTAACTACAACCTAATCCATAATCCACATAAGATAAAAAGCAAAAAACCAATCTTAATATTCTACATTTCCTTAATGCCATAACCAGATGGGATTTGTATACTTGCGACAAGCTCAATTTATACTAAAATTTAACCCAAGCTATGTACACTCTACTTTTTTGAGGAAAAAGAAAAAGAGATACAATTTTTATTCACTATTCCCAAATTCATAAAATTGCTTAGATAACGAAATAAAAAGAATCAAGGAGCTTTCCCAGTCTTAGTGGAGCTCAGTTCTGCTTAAAGTCTACACTTTGGACAACAAGCTTGATCATTCCTAACGAGAAAGTCTTCAATAACTTCAAGTTACAATACTACTTTAAATAACACAAGCCAAACAAATTTTGACGAATCTCAGACCCAAGAACCGGGCTATATTTTTACGAAAGTTTTTGAAATGTTGAACCCAAATTTGACCCCAGAATTGTCTTAGCATATCACGTTTTTAAGATATTATAAAAATGTTAAAAAGAAACATTCAAACAATCTTTTTTTAAAAGTTTGTAGCTGAACGGACTCAACAAGTCAGAAACATTCGAATATTACCTGATTACTAATTCTGAGATTCGATAAAACTTTGACTGTTTGTGTAATACAATTAATTCTCTTTTCGATAAACTTTTTTGAAGGAGTAGCACAAGTGGCTTTCTATTATAACTGAAATTTCTGATAAAATTTTTATATGAAATCATATACTTTTCTATCGAGTTAGATTAGAGTAATTACAAATCTAAGAAGAAGATGTTAGACATTAAATTATAAAATAAACTAAAGAAATTACATTTCGGAAACGCTTTAAGGAATGTCTTTAAATAAACTTTTTGTTGAAAATAATAATGTAGGTAAATAAATATTTCAAACCAGACAAATAATGTTTAAGTGGACCAGTTAAGAAATTTTGATTTACAAAACATTGAGAATTGACGTGATAAATATCGTTTGTTTTTCAATACCTCATCAACGCCGTCCTGACTTTCATAACTGATCCAAGCTTGACCATCGTCAGAATACTGGACAATGTATTCAGTGACATATTCGTTAGTATGTGCACGACCTCGAGTTGATATGCTGCGAATTTCAAAACGACCTCCAAGATCCATTGTAATGTGCTGATAAAAACTGCTAACTTCCGGTGACCACGCAGAGTCCCCTGCAAAGCCCAACCCCAAGTCCAGCGTAAAAGTTAAGGTAGGTGAAAAGCAAAGCGGAAATGATTTAGTCAATAAACATCTTACATTAATACAATTATATTTTGTGCTCTCTAAAACTACGGTAAGTTTCACGGAATATGCGTCCTGAAATACTTTCGAGTGCTTAAATGGTAGTTGGCTAAACTACGTTTTTTAGAATCAAGCGGAAGCGTCTGTTAGAAAATAAATAGCGACTACAGATATCTAAAGAGCGGGCTGTAAGCATCAAAGCAGTTTCGTCACGTTCTCGTGCAAATAAAGTAACGTAGACCCAACTTACCTTTATGTTGCCATCCTTTTCTTTATAGGATACGTAATCGCGACCGTTGGTGCCATAACTGACACCGTACTCCATGACAAACTCGTTCTGATGGGCTCGACCCTGGGTCGCAATGGAAGTGATATTCATAGTTTGCCCCAGGTCAATAATAAGGTACTGATCAAAATCTGTTTTGCTAGCTGTCCATGCGAATCCGCCTACGTCACAACAACACTTACAAAAATACGCATGCAAGCGAAACAACTAAACTCATTTATAGTAAACAATTAAGAGAAAATATTTACAATCTCAATATTTTACTTTCATCTCACTTTCGATAATCACTTTACTAGTACATTGGAGTTTCTTTTATGAATTGTAACATCTAAGCGAGTCTTAAGGACATGTTAGTCAGTGATCTTAAGAACGAATCTTCATTTTATTTACAACTTGTGCTTCGGATATTTTAATTACAATTCAAATGTTCAAAAGGAAAAAATCTAACCAGGTGGATGAACACTTGCAAAACAGACACAACAAAATAGACTTTAATAGTTTTTATTTCCAGTATCCATTTCAAAATACAGTACATCATAGAAAAATATTCATAATTGCAAATTTATGGCCTCTCGCTTTTAGCAAAGTATTGGGAACAATATTCAGGATCTTCTTCTATAAGAGGAATAGCGTTTTCTACTAATTTCTCCACAGTGAGTTCTCCAAATAATAAAGTTTTCGAACTATCAACTAAATTACTGTTTTCAGTAGCTACAGCAACGCAATGTTCAGAATTTAATAAAGATTCCTCAAAGATCCAATTTTGCTTAACATTATTTAAATATAAACTCGTATCCGTCACTACATTATCTTCACTCAATTTACTGATAGTTCTGAATTCGATTTTTCGGAGATCAATTACAATACCGACTCCCAGTGCTTTAACATAACTTTCCTTCAATGCCCAATGTCTGCAAAACATTGCAATTTGCGCAGACTCTGAAGCACCGCCTTTAATTTCCGCCCATTCTATCGATGAGAAATTTTTATCCATCAATCGAAAGAATTCCGATAATCGCTTTCCACCTGTGTACTCCAGTTTCATAACATCAGTGCCTAATTTTACATTTCTAGTCTCACCGGCAAGTACCGTAAAGTTTCCCTGATGGGAGACGTTAAATGCCAGTGATTTGTTTGCATTTTCATAAATAGGTTTATTATGATCGTCTCTTGTGAAAACAACTTCATTGTATGGAACGCAAGCATATTCACTGACAAATTTTCTTATCATTAATCTACCTATTAGGGATGCTTTAACGTCTTTTCTAAATACAAATTTCCCGAGTCTTTCTTTTTCATCGACTTGAATGTACGACATTAAACGCATAAATTCTTTCTCCGTTGGGTGCCAATTCGCCCAATTGAAAGCCCATCTAACGCTAACCATTTTTAATTTAAACAATCTTTTTGCGTTGTTGGATCAAAAAATGCAGATTTGCTTTGTACGTTGATCACTCAGGTAAACTCGGTTAGTTCCTAGCATCCACCTGCAGCAAACAGACACGTGTCTTTACTATTTTTGCAAATTCAATTTTCTTTTAAAGTAATCTATTTTCAAATTCCAACAGCTTGAAAATACAGCATTTAAAATTTAATATTTTTAGCAGAAAAGTATTTGACTTAACTGTAAACGAATAATTTAGAACCTATTTTTGGGCAATTATTTCAAAATAATTGAGAGAGGATATTTGCTATAGACTTCGCGAAACTTTCGATTTAACAGTAACGGTCACTAGGGTGAACTATTATTGCCTGTCTATTTTTAAGACTCTATTTCACAAACTTAATAACTGCCTAGTGTCACGCAAGAAAAGGATCCTATCTTTTTGGAATACACCCTGAAGCATATAGATTATTAATTTTTTCACAAAGTTACTCCAGTGTAATGAACAAAGAATTATCATCAATGGTAGAATTGACTATTCATCATTTTACACGTTCAAAGTTATTTAAACGTTATTCTATAATTTACAATCGTTCTTTATATTTTCAAATAAAAATATTCAGTTAATTATCTTGAGGAAGCATTAATGTTGTACAAATTTCATTTTACTGAAAATGAAGTCCTTAACTAATTGTTTAGTGTGTTTAATACATAAATTAATGCTAGCATCTATACTTGACATCCGTTTTCTAAATAAAATTTATTATATTTTTATAAATTAAATTTATGATCATAAACTAGAATGTGGTACAATTGGTATGTCATACCACGTCATACCACGTATTAACCAAGAAAACTTTCGAATTTTGTTTTTATTAAAATTTTGCTGATTGTGAAATCAGACTGAAAAAAATTGTTATGTGTGTTATAATAAATGTACGACTAATTTTGATCAGTCTTGAGAGACTGATTGACTAGCTGTAAATTTATTGACCTTCTCACAAACAAGCATTCCTATTTATTCTAGAGGAATGTGATCCCGCTTTCGAGAGAGGCGCCTCTTCTCCCTCTGACGAAAAAAGTGGGAACTACGCTTTGAAGTTTTCTTTCCTGGGCAACTCCAAAGCGTAGTTCCCACTTCTTTCGTCAGAGGGAGAACAGGCGCCTTTCTCGAAAGCGGGATCACATTCCTCCGGAATAAATAGGACTGCTTGTTTGTGAGAAGGTCAATAAATTTACAGCTAGTCAATCAGTCTCTCAAGACTGATCAAAATTAGTCGTACATTTATTATAACACACATAACAATTTTTTTCAGTCTGATTTCACAATCAGCAAAATTTTAATAAAAACAAAATTCGAAATCCTCATGCCTCTAATTAAAGCAAATAAAAATCACGTCAAATAAAATATTGAAATAATTAAAATTTTAGTAAACTGCTATTCGGGAAATTGATTTTAAAATGAAATTTGTAAAACAATTAATACTTGAAAAGTTGAAATCCCCAAAATAAAATCCGGGCACAAAAACTTGAAGATTTATGAAAGTAAAATATTGAAAAGTATTGTAGCACCCTACTCGAAATACATAAAGGAAAACTATGTATTAAAAACTGGGAAAAGTAAAACCGGATATAAGGATATTTTTACAAAAATATTTTTATCTTTCAAACAATTTTTTAGCAATATTTATTTGAATATCGTCAACCGGTGGTAAATTTGGAATACACAAATTTATTTTTGAGTGAAATTTAACGACTTATGATAATTTTAAACATTTGTGATGCGCTCTAAAGAAACCCAGCAAACATTGTTACATAACAGTTATGTAACAGTTATGTCACAGAATATCACACGTGATATAACATGATATGAACATGTGACACGAAATGTCGTAACATGAGGGTCACAGTTACATAATTGTTACAAGAAGGGTGATATAACAATTATGTTGCAGCGTGATATTTAATTATTATATCACAGTTATGTAAATATGTTACATAATTAGAAGAATTTGATACATAATTGTTATATCACACTTATATCACGTTGTGACTTATTATTATATCACAGTTATGTAAATATGTTACATAATTGTTATATGACACTTATATCACGTTGTGACTTATTATTATATCACAATTATGAGATTCTGTTACATAATTTGATGAGCTTGTTATATAATTGTAACATCACTATTATGACCTACGTGAAAATTATTGTTATTATTTCCATTCAATAGATAATAACAAATGCCATTTGACATGGTAATATCCAAAAATAATTTTAGTAAAAACTGATTTACTAATTAGTACATTTTTTAAACTTGATTTTTTTACAGATCTTTAATATTATTTATAAACATGTTCACAAGTTTATTTTATTCACATTTCACAACACTTATATATACAGATTAAATAGTAATTTTATTATTTTACATAACGCTTAGAATGAAAAATATCCGCTCGCATGTGGGATCGAACTCACGTCCCCCCGCCCTTGACGACCCGACGCAACGCATTTAAACCGCACGGCCACTGAAGGCTGGATGAGAATTCTCCTTATCTACTATATCAACTGCAGTGCCGTATATTCTGTTACTTACTGTTATGTAACTATTACGTAACAAAGACAAACTTGTGATTTTTTTATTTCTAATATACGATTAACGTGTTAATAAAAATATCTACTACATATTAGTCACAGTGTTCAGTAACAATTCTGTAACATTTACGTAACAATGTTACACACATATAAGTAACAATTTTGTAGCATTCACATAACAATGTCACACACATGTGAGTAACAAAAAGAAACGATTACAATTATACTAATCGGGATTACAAATTTTTATTTTATTCTGAAAATTCTATTTTTCTTCACATAAATTTTGAGAGTTATAAGCTTTAAATTAATTTTAAATAAATTTGTTCAAATTAAAATGTTTCTTTATTAATTTCTGACAACTTTTTACAAAAAAAATTAAGATATTTTTTAAATTATTAATAGACAAACTTTTCAGAGTACGTTAAAAAATTTTAAATAAAATTAAAAGTGAGTGATATTATATTAAATATCGTAAAATGTTCCAAAAGTCGGCTTCTTCACCCCACTTTACTTTTACGTACTTCTTTAAAAGTTTTGGACATTAATAATTATAATAAATAATACTGATAATAATTATTAATAATAATTTATTGTAAATTAATAAACTTAAACAGTTAAACTAGATTTTTAATCAAAAATATTTATTCGAAACAATAATTATAAAATAGTGTTTCATGTTACATAACAGTTATGTAACAATTACATAATTTTATTGCGTAACAGAGAGACTACAATTTTACGTAACAATTTTGTAACGACAGTTACAGAACATTGTTACTTTTATGTTACATAACAATTACATAACAGTTACGTAATTTAGCTCTTATTACTACAGAAATGTTACGTAACAGTTACAGAACATGTTTGCTATTTAAATAATTTGTTTTTATATATTTTAGTTGTAATAAAGACTTATAAAATGTCAATTATTTATATTGACGGTTGTTACTTTTTTGTATTTTCATTTAAAAAATTGCAAACATAGCCTACAATTCTCTAAGTTCGGGACGGTGTACATGATTTCTCAAAAACTACTCAACCGATTCTCTTTAAATTTTGTACACAACTGCTCAATAACATTCTCTATGACATGACGTAGGATTTTTTTGATATGATTTTTTTAAAAAAAGTTATACATTTTTAAAGAAAATTTTTTGTACCAAAAATTTTAGACTTTTTTTTTAAGTGCTCCCATTTGCTCAAAAAATTTTTTCTTTAAAAACGGCTACGTCATGTCATAGAGAATGTTATTGAGCAGTTGTGTACAAAATTTAAAGAGAATCGGTTGAGTAGTTTTTGAGAAATCATGTACACCGTTCCGAAAAATGTAGTTTCGAAAAAACGCCATATCTTCGCCATTTTTGAATATTTTTTCATTTTTCAAAATTTTTTTTACAGTTAAATATATGTATTTTTATACTATAATTAGTAAAAAATTGTATTTTTAATATTTTTGTCAAAATTTATTTTTGAAATACCTTCCAATTTTCAGGCGATCAGGGTTGTGTAAGCCCTTAATTCTGTTTATAAGGTTTAATCTCTTCATTGGATAAGTTGTGAATATTGGAATAAATAAATTTATTATTTCATATAGTATTCTCTAAATATTCAAATTAAAATTTGCCTTGTTATGTTAACCTTAGGAACTAAAGCAAAAATTTCTTTTTAAAAAGAAGCAATTGCTTTGCGTGTATTGCTTTTGTTTTTAGGAAAAAATTGCCTATGTAAAAAACACATTCTGCCTATTATTTATTTAAGTGCAGTTTAAAAGAATGTATCACATTGTTGTATAATACGTATGTTATGAAACTGTGTTACTGTTATATCACGTCCCAGTAACAGTGTTAATATTTCATTATATAATAGTTACATAATAATATTGTCACAGTGTGATATAATAATGTGACCTACTTTATTAATTATAACAAAATTATGTATTTATTATGTCACACAGTTTCGTATCAGTTATGTAACAATTAGAGAACGATGCAATAAGACAAAAATTATTACTCTGTGATGTAATGAATATATCACACAGTTATATAATAGTTATTTGAAAAAATTATGTAACTGTTATATCACCATCCAGTAACAGTGTTATATAACAGTGTTACTATCTCATTATATAATGGTTACATAATAATATTGTCACAGTGTGATATAATAATGTAACCTACTTTATTAATTATAACAAAATTATGTATCTGTTATGTCACACAGTTTCGTAACAGTTATGTAACAATTAGAGAACAATGTAACAAGACAAAAATTATCACTCTGTGATGTAATGAATATATCACACAGTTATATAATAGTTATTTGAAAAAATTATGTAACTATTATATCACCATTCAGTAACAGTGTTATATAATATTGTTACTATCTCATTATGTAGTTGTTACATAACAATATTGTCACAGTGAGACATAACAAGGTGCTTTATTTGTTATGTAACACTTACGTAACGTGTTTGCTGGGAAGATACCTAAGATACAAATAATTGTAGGTTATGTTTGTGATTTTTAGAATGAAAGTGGAAAATACACAAAGGGGATTCATACTCAATATAAAGCACTGCGATGTTTAAGTCTTCATTACATGGAAAATAGTAAATAAAAAATTATTTTAGTTTTAAGTATTTCATATCGGAAACTTTCAATCATATATTCATATAGATATCTTTCTGCGGAGCACATCGCAATTGTTTAATATTTTATCTACAAATAATTTCAAATATTATTTTTATTGTCATGATTAAAGAGAAAGAAACTCACGAAGGAAGAAATAAAGAAATAAATTTAAAAAACAGAATTCTATATTATCATGGTTCACAAGAAGTAGAAATATCCGTATAGCCTTAATTACATTGACCCAATTCATTAAAGTTATGGATAAATCAAAACAAAATTCTTCTTCACTTTAATTCGCTATAAGATTCGAAAGAAAGTTTATTGAAAATTTTGTTTTATTATAGAAACATAATTAAAGTATCTTGTCTCATTTTTTTTGAACAAATTATAGATTAATTGAAAGGTGTTTCAAAACTTAATAATTATGAAAGTAAACAAAACAAGTTTATATAAGTATATATAAATATTATATAGAATACAAGCTTGCATGCCACATGTGCTCTCTTATAAAGAAGTGCACACAATAGTAAACTTTAAACATACTTTAAAAAAAATTTTTAAATATATTTAAAAGTTTTTTATAAGAGACATTCTTGCCAGAAATTGTTGAAAGTTGAATATTACTAACTATTAAGTAAACTGTGACAATAGAATTTAATCATTTTAATGATTTTTTGTGTTCGATTCTAAATACATTTACAATTTATAAATAAAACTCAATAAAAGACAAATTAAATTGTGGGAAAATTGTTTACAACAATAACTAGCAATTATGTAAAAAGCATATATTTATAAATTAATCTATCAATTTTTTTATATTTGTAATAAAACAGAAAAATATATTGGATTAAAATAAGCTGCAATGGTCCAGTTTTAATCTAATATGATTATTATATAGAAATAAAAGCTAATTTTATGAATATCGAATATACGGACAATATTCATTCGTACAAAGTTACAAAAATTGAAATATTAATATTAATAATATCTTCAAGAAAAATAAATATAAATTTTTAGGAGAACAATTTTAAATCTATAAACATTATTTATTTAGACATTTTGCATACCATCACAATTATGTACTATTATATCACTCCCTTTAAATTTTTTTAAAAAGGAAAAACATTTATATTTCGAAACATTGGAGTAAATATACAGAAATATGCAGAATTAATACTTTTTAATTGAATTTAATTTCCTATTAAAACAAGGGACTTGGAGTTTACTTTAATCCAATTAATACTGTGTTTTGTGGAAGTAAGAGAGTTCATTTACCATTGAGTCTAGCATTGTTCGGTCCACGTTCAGATAATGATGTGGTGGCTGATAAGTGAGCATTTTCAAGCAAAGGGAAGTTGCATTCTTCGTCTGAAACAAAAAAGGACAAATTTCTTAACAAAATTATTCTTATTTACGTACCTAATCATAATTAAAATGTAGGAGACTAATTTATTAAATAATCCTTGTATATTGTTTTGACGAAAACAAAATATAGAAATAAGAAGAGTTACTTTAACTGCAATTAAATTTTTTGCTCTGTACGAAAATTGGCAAAACAAAACACGATTTTTTAAACAATCTTTTTAAATTGCCCGTCATTTTGTTATTTTTATTTTATTTCGAACTATAATCATAAATTTCATCATATTTGTGTTTCGTATTATTCGTCTTATAGAAAAAACATCACCGCAGATGACATCGATTATTTTCATGGGGTGTTGTAAATAATAAATTTTAACCCTTTGGCTACGCTGACTTATCTCCACCCTAGCGCTTTTGAATGTTCCCACCGAATTGTCGCTTTCTGTTGATAACGATCAACTGACTAGGCAAAGGATTAAATAAATAAATTATTTCAAGTAATTTTATAGAAACTGAAAAAAAAATTCCAGAAAATAGAAAAAATTTCAGAGACGAGAGGTGATACAATATCTAAAAAACCATTTGCAAAATGACAATTCTGTCATTTTTAATCAAATCTTCTTACTATTTTAATAAAATTACCCAAAAAAATCCATTTTTTTAACACACTTTTAATAAAATTGTACGCAAACATTTAATTATTTTCATAAATCATAAATAATAAAAATTTCACAGGAATTCAAATATTTACAAATTTTTTATAAGTTTCTTCTCAATAATAATTATTTTCCGAAATAATAAAACTCGTCGCAGAATTTCAATTATTTTCAATACAATTTTAATCGAATTCCTTGAGAAATGTAATTATTCTTAAAAATTTTATTTATTTATTTATTTATCCATGAACGGGCTTACAAATATAAAAATTTGTCAAAAGAATTCAATTATTTAAAAATTTGTTAATAAAATTCTTTATAGGAATTACATTTTAAGAAACATTCAATTATTCAATAAATAATTTGTATTTGAATAATTTTGTATTTCAATAATTGAATTCTCATAGAATTTTTTAATAAATATTTATTTAAAAATGAATTTTCGTTTAAATTTAAGATAATAGAATATGAAAGTAATTTTGAAGAAGTTACAGTAACAATATTCTTATAAAATAAAATAATGATTTTATCACTCGGTCATCTTTAATTTCTTCATGTTTTGTAACAATTTTTTTAAAGTTGATTAATTTCAAAAATAGCAATTGAAATTAATTTAACCTACAATTATTTAATAAAAACTTTCTTAAAGTTCATGGTGCAAGTTACTTGAGTATAACTAATGTTTATATTTGAAAAAACAATCATTTTTCAACATAGTACTAAAATGCTGTTGGATGAAAAAAAGAAAAAAAAATGTTTTTTGAACCGTCCTAATGTAAAACGTACTTAATTTATTGTAATTCGAGAGTTAAATTCTCGAGATACTTAAAAATGACAAAGATATTGAGACTTTTACCTCAGTCGTTAATCGTATTTTAAAAGTGATGAATACTTCATTTGCTTAATCACGCATTAATTTGGGCCAATTTATTCGGAATTATACAGTACTAAAGTTCTAGTTTATTTTTGCAGCTAATAAAAATAATGTGATAATTAGATTTTTAGAACCTATTTTGTCTAACAATACCAATTTTAATTAAAAATATAATGTTTGTTTTTAAACTATTGGTTACTTTTTATCCATGCACATATTGTATAGTATTGTTTTGAAGTGATTTATTTTTAGTGATATTTTGCATAATATTATCATTAAGAAAAAAATTAATTTTTTGTAATACACGAACATTAATTATATTGTTAGCTTAAACATGCAATTTTCTATTGTTTTGATTAATGTTCCCTTGTCATTTTTTCACCAATTTTGAATATTCGAATGAAAATATTTTCAAAACTTGCTATTGTTATTGAATGATAAAAAGATAAATATTTAGGCTTGTGATTTATTATTTAATATGTAAAACAATATTGCTATTGAGATTAATGTTAAGTGTGAATTTAAAGTTCCATAAAGATAAAGTTGCACAATTATAACTCTCCATACTTAAATCACATACAAATGATAATATTTAAAAATTTAACGAAAAAAGATTTACAATCTATTATTTACTTATCAAATAGAAATTATAAATAATATTCTCTTTAACAGATTCTCACTGAATTAGAAGAATTTATTTGTTCTTTAATAATTAATTTAGAAAATAATAAAATTTCAATTGGAGAGTGTTTGCGTGTAATGGGCTTGGTCAGGAAGACTCATGTATATTTTTAATAAATCATAATCAAAGTAAATTTTTCACATGGTAGTTGAATTTTTTTCTACTTACAAGATCGAATAATCGGACTTATAACCACTAGAAAGAGAAGTACAAAATATTTTTGAACTTTCATCATAACATCGTTTTTTTCTCAAGTCAATAATAACAAATTTTTCGATGTTTAACACTGTCAAATTGATGAATTGTGATTCACGGGAGACATTAAATAACTGTGACTCAACCAGCTATGAAAACAATCGGGTCACTCCCTGCAGATTTACTGCCATCTGGACCCGGTCGCCACGAACCACGGCGGCATAAACAATGTCTATAGTGCTAGAGATGAGAGAATGCTGGCCTTTTTTTATTTATTATATTTAATGTTTCTTAAATTCACTACTACGAGCGCAGCGAACGTAGTGTGTGTGTGAATGAACCTGAATAAACATTAAGGTGCTTACATATTTTTGATTTTTTAGCTGAGCGCTTCAACAGAAGAATTTTCCCGGTTATTAAAGGCCAACGCAGAATAGATCTGTAACCGGAACCGCAATCGTAACCGTAAGCGTAAGAATGAGTTAGAGAAGGATAAACAATATACCTATCCTTCTTTAACTCATTCTTACGGTTACGCTTACGATTGCGGTTCCGGTTACAGATCTATTCTGCGTTGGCCTTCTAACTCACGTCACTATAATTACAAAATTATGTTTTAACCTCTATGATTAAATTAATCATTATTATTATTAATTAATTAATTGTTCAGAATAGAAAATCTATATTGAAGTAAGAGAGACAGACTGTATGTTTCAGAAAATTTCTCATTAGAGTAAGAGAGACAGATATACAGTCTGTCTCATTTACTCCAATGTAAATTTTCCGTTCTGGATAATTTTTACAGAAGGCAGAAGGTGTAAATGCTCCCTTAAAGGTGCTAGCACACTTACAAATTTTTCGGCGAGCGGACATCTTCAAGATCGTGAAAATTCACGTTACTAAATATGATTGGCTCTGAAAAAAGTTTATTTTCACACAGCTTTTTGTAGAGTCAATTATTAAAATTTTCATGAAATTTGCCTCTCGCCCAAAAATTTGGAAGTGTGCAAGTGCCTTTATACTTCCGCAAACATAAAGGTGCATACATCTATATACATATATCTTTGTTATGAGAACGTAGGGTAAACATAATTGTTAAAATTTTGAATAATTGAATTTAGGAATCAGTGAAAGGGCAGGAAAATACAAAATAAAATTCTTGTGACAGCATTGAATAAAATAAATAACTCTTTCGAGATTTTTTTTAATCTTTAATCGACTCTTTTTGTGCCTTAAAGTCAAGTTGAGGCCAACAAATCTGCCCTCTTTCCCAAATTTCTCATCCAATTTTTTAAATTTACTTAAAAAAAATTTCCCGAATTAATTTAAGAAAAAAATATTCTCAAAAGTTTAATTCTAAAAAAAAATTTAATGTTTCAAATATAATAGTTGGTACAAAAATATAATATAAAGTACAAAAAATATAATAGAAAATACAAATATTGTTGCAGTTAATGCAACAAATTGATAACAAAAAAGCATTTTGTTTAACATTTTAGTCTAATTAAAAGAAAAAATATATAAACTCCGAGTGTGAGATTTTTGAAATTTTACATAATCTTTCATCGTTCATTAATAATCACTCCTTTTTATAGCGTTAATATAATTTAGAAAATACAGTTGATAATTTTCGAAGATCACTCATTGAAAGAAATTTTAAAACTTCTCCTAAATCAAAAATTGAGATTTGAATTTTGTAATTTCTCTTAATGTAATTGAACAAACAATTCATAGACATGTCAATTAAATCAATTTTACGCTTTGCTTGTTCAATGCGCAACGTTAAAAATTTCGCATACGCAGGAAATTTGTCGTACGACAATTCAATGGTATTTAATAACTTCTCATTTCTCATGCAGTTCGCAATTTTATCAGTAGACTTTACTAGAATATCGTGAAAAGTCATATTTAAGTCATCGATAACTTTGGTTTCTTGCATAATTATTATCTGTTGTCGACATTCATTTTGAAATTTTTTAAACATTAATATATCTTCCCTAGAATGGAGACGATCAACTAGTTTCTGGGAACCAGATGGTAGCAACTCTAGACGTGCAATTATCCATTTCAATATTTCAGTATTTTTAAAATCAAATGCGTGAAAACTATTGATTTTTGATAGTGCTATGGTGAAAAGTCGACTGTCGTCCTCTACTTGATTGATTACAAAAAAACAACTCCAATTCTTACCTAACCCAATATATTCTGTTTCTATAAATTTAGAATTGTAGTATTCGATAAAAATGTCAATCATACTTGAATTCTTATTAAAACTTAATTGAAAATTCAGAACAAATTTAAGTACATCTTCCGTTAAATAATTCAGCAAGCATCTCACAATTTCAGGACGAAATTCCCCCTTTTTCTCCTCTTCAATATTGCTGATGGAAATTTGGTCATTTTTGTCAGAAATTCTTAAATTGGAAGCATTGAATAATAATGTATTAATATGGCATGTGTGTACATCTTTGAGAACTTTGACACTTAATAACAACTCTGTTATTTTTAAAATATTTTCAAACATTGAAGGTGTAATTAATTTTTTTTCACTGTTCCTTAATACATACTCCAATATTGAATTATCTTCCTGGTCTTTAATGGGATTGGCACCAGAGTCTAGGAGTAATTTAATCACATTAAAATGTCCCATAGCTACTGCAAAATCCAATGGAACGAAGTGTCCTGTTGTTTCTGAATTAACATGCGCACCGTATTTCAGAAGAATTTCCACCAAACGCGTATGTTCGAATGTGGCTGCAACATGAAGAGGAGTTAATTTGTCATTAAAACAACTCTCGACCGAACAACCTGCTTCTAGGAGAGTTTTCAGCATTTCCTCGTTTCCATTTTCCACGGCAATGTAGACTGCAAACTGTCCCAATTCTCGAGGTAGAGGATTTACATTTACTTTGTTCAGGATTTCTTTTACACTTTCAATTTGATTGGCACGCACAGCGGAATGAAGTTCAGTTTCCTTGGACGTTAAAACAGCATCAATTTTGGAATTACAGGTTAATACGTACCTCCAAAGTTTCAATTGGCCACATGAAAATGGGTGATCAAGTAAAGAATTTTTAATACGATGTTTTTTTATGCCGAAATCTAATAAAAATTCCAAAATATCTATATGTTTATCATTTATACAGAAACTGATGAGATCTTCTTTTATCTTTAATCCACTTTCAAGCAAATATTTCAAAATGTCCAACTGTCCATGGACTACTGCGACACCTAAGGGTGTTTCACAACTATAATGTTCAACATCAAGCTTGTCGAATCCATTCGACATGAATATTTTGACCATTTCTAAATTTCCGTCTTGAACCGCAACTTTAAGAGCTGCCTTTCTTTCATCTACATCCATCTTGGCCAGAAATTCAGCCACTTCAACATCAACATCCTTGACATTATAATAAGCACATTTTTTTATCAGCACATCAATCATTTTTAGGTGAACTTTTGCTACTAAGTCAGACTGCATTTTTTTGATGTGTACACCTTCTTTTAAATTAAATTCATTTCTGCTATTTAAGCTATTTAACCAGTTATTTAAAAATCTATTGTAACGATCAAATTCATCCTCATCTTTATCACTATCATCATCACTATAACTATCTGCCTCACACTCCGACTCATCTTCATCACTATCATCATTACCGAAATAATTTTCCCACTGCATTCCGTATATTTTTCGCCCACCGATAAAAAATTACAATACGTAATACAAACAAATAATAATGAACAGAAAAATTGATGAATTACAATTTCGATCAAAATAATATATATTCTTCCGCAGATTCAATTTTCTGGAACAAATAAAAAAAACAAAAATGTTTGAATATTTTCTCTTGAATTAAGGGGGTGTCCTGCTTTTGATATTTAAAAAATGGATTTTTTGAAGTTTTGAAATTTAACATCGAGTAACAATAAGTTTCAACCAAATTTCACCAATTTTTATACTTTTTCCATTTGAACTAAAGACGTTGCAAAAGAACTATTTTTAACAAATTTTATAATAGGTTAAAGTACTTCTTTTCAAACATTGAAAGAAACTAAAATTTAACGAATTCTTTTGGCTCTTTTAGTTCAAATAGAAACTATAGGTACATTTAAAAATTGAAAAAAATTTGTATTTTTTAATTTTGTCAAGAATTGCGTGCTGCAGCTTTGTACTATATATTTTACTGGGCTGCATATTTAATTTCTTGACCATTTAAAATAATTCGCAAAAAAGACCTCGTGCCCCAATTAGGAATAAATTATTATTAAATTAATTTTGTTTAAATAACAATGTGTACTGAAGGTTATATAATTGTGACGCGATCTGAAGAAAGGGACCTTAGAAGCAAATCATTTTAAGGTTGGGTTAGAGTTACTTTTTTCTTGTTTGAAAGTTTCTTTTTACTTATTTCGAATTAAAATCAGTGTTTATTAAATATTTTAGTTTTAATGAAGACTTAAACTTTAATGATTTATATTGACAGTTGATCCTTTTTTTGTATTTTCATTTAAAAAATTGCAAACATAACCTATAATTTTTTGCTTCTAAGGTCCCTTTCTTCAGATCGCGTCACAATTATATTATAGAAATTAAATACTTTTTAACTTTCTTTATTTTAAGTTGAATTTGATTCTAAATTGCCTTTATAGAAATCCAGTTAGTGCTGCTATAAAATCTATAAAATATAATTTCTTGCACAACTCTCTTAGTTAACTTTATATTACACTTCTTTTCTAAATAGGAATAATTTTTGCAATACATACATACCCAATTGTTTTGCAAATTTCGACTTTCTAAAACGAATTATCATCCTCCAAATATACTACAAAGAAAATTCGCCTGTATAGACTTGTAATAAACGTAACCAACGCACACAATTGGTTCGCGAACTTGATTCATGAGATAGAAAAGGACATAAATATAAATCTGTCCTTTTCTAACTGATGCTTTGCGATCTCGAAGTAGTTGTGCTTAGGCCTTAAGTTTTATATCCCTACTCTATGCTCCATCAAAGCTAAAGGCGCTTGCACACTTCCAAATTTTTAGGCGAGCAGCGAATTTTCACGGCCTTGAAATGCACATTAAGGTGCTTCTATACCTCCGGTGGATTGGTCAAGCAATCGGCTCGATGAATTTTCACGGTCGGAAAATGTACTTTCATGGCGGGTATTTTTGAATAAGTAAATGTTGAAAAGGTTTTTACTTGAAAATTTATTTAAAAAAATGATTTTATCATAGAAATTCTTTTGAAATTTATGTTAAAAAACATGTTTTATTTTAAAAGTTATCAAATTTTAATTCAAAATGTTTTAATTTTCCAAAGAAGTGTAAAAAGCCTAATGTTTTTGAAATGCTAGTACAGACGGTACAGACTGTTTGTTATGAATGTACATAACCTAGCGTTGTGTTGTCTGTTCATTATTATTTAATATAATAATAATAAAATCATTAAATTTAGAATATAATATCACAAGCACGACAACACAACGCTAGGTTATGTACATTCATAACAAACAGTCTGTACCGTCTGTACTAGCATTTCAAAAACATTAGGCTTTTTACACTTCTTTGGAAAATTAAAACATTTTGAATTAAAATTTGATAACTTTTAAAATAAAACATGTTTTTTAACATAAATTTCAAAAAAATTTCTATGATAAAATCATTTTTTAAAATAAATTTTCAAGTAAAAACCTTTTCAACATTTACTTATTCAAAAATACCCGCCATGAAAGTACATTTTCCGACCGTGAAAATTCATCGAGCCGATTGCTTGACCAATCCACCGGAGGTATAGAAGCACCTTTACTAAATATGATTGGCTCTGACAAAGTACATTTTCACGCAGCTTTTTGTAGAGCCAATCATATTTAGTAATATGAGTTTCAAGGCCATGAAAATTCGCTGCTCGCCCAAAATTTTCGAAGTGTGCAAGCGCCTTTAACTTCGGAAAATCTAGCATGTAAACGATGTGAACGCACCATAAGATTTAAAAAACGTTGCTTTCTACGGCGATATGTGGACTCCCCATAAACGTATTGCGTTGGTTTATGAATTGTAAAACAATTGTAAAATCACCTTTATACCACCGTGGTATGATCATGCCGTGAAAGAAGTTAAATCCAGTCAATGTTGTAGTCAACAATAACTTTGAATGTGGTAATTTATTATATTTGTAATTAGTATTTGTTTTATGGTAAACTTAATTTTTTTACGACTTATCATTTAAGTAAAACAAATCGAAGTGTATATATACATAAATTTTGCTTCTATCTGTTAAAAGTGTCAAATTTAGTGAATTAAATTTTATACAATAAAAGCAAAAAACTACAAAAATTATGTCAACATTTAATTTAAATTAATAATATTTTTAGAAAAATGCCATCAAGTATGTCAGATTATCACATTCAGGAAGGACTAAAATAATTTAAATTATTGATACTTTTGATAGTATTCATTCGCGCAAGGTATGAAGACTTAAATAAAAATTGTTTTTAATCATTTTTTCACATTTTCTATTAATTTTATCATTAATAATTTCTTTAATTATATTAATTTCTGTATAAGAAATTTGGATGCATTCTAATGTATTTATTTTCTGCTGTGTTTGCACAGTGTCAAAAAGAAGAATTCTGAGAGTTTGAATTAAAACTCAAAATTTATCTCGTCTCTGAAAAATACGAAAAATTTGACAAAAATGTCTGAAACTGAGGTGAATGCAGAGGACAGTGCGGATCCGAACATTATTACCGAAGAGGATAAGCAATTTCTGCAGGATTATGTGAAGGAGGCGGAATTGAGACTTGCTGCCAAGGAGGAAATTCGATCCTCGAATATGAATGTGACGAGACCAGCTGAATCATATTTCACCACTCTCGACTCGAGTTTAAAGAAAAATACGACTTTTGTTAAGAAATTGAAGAATTTCAGTGCTCCTCAGCTCAGTAGTGTTCTCAAAGATATGTCGAATTTAAATTTAACGAAATACGTGAGTGAGGTTGCGAGTGCTCTGGTGGAGGCCAAACTCAAAATGACTGACATTGTACCCGCTATCAAGGTTTGCAGCTATTTGCACCAAACTTACGCAGAATTCTCGAGTCATCTCTTTGAGAATTGGCAGAAGAATTTGTCCTTGAAGATAGGAGACAAAATTTCTAATCCCAGCAAACTGAGAGTTGATCTCCGGTAAGATTTACAATTAATTTTATTATACAAAATTTATGGTAAAATGGAGTAAAGTTGACTAATTTCAATTTATTTCAATTATTTGTGTTACAAGTTAGTAAAATCGTCGATAGCTTTTTTTAAAAGCAGGCTTTTAAAAAAATTTTTTTATGTAAACTTATTAGAATTTCGAAGAAATATTTTTTATATTTATATTGAAATTTCAATTTAAAAATTAAATTAAATTTTAAATTCTTCAAAATTATTTGTTTTATATTTTTCAAAAATTCAATTATTTTTAAAAGATTTAACCAAATTTTAATTATTTTAACAAAATTGTCCTTAATGCGAAAGAAATATATAAGATTTTCTCCTTTTTCAGGTTTTACGCTGAACTCGTTAACGCTGGCATATTTACACATAAGCAGGGCCTCTCTCTATTGGGATCGGTTTTAACAGTACTGATTAACATGGATAAAGAAGAGCACAGCAACGTCAGTATAATTCTCAGCTTCTGTCGGCACTGCGGAGAGGATTACGCCGGACTCGTACCTAAAAGGATTCGCATATTATCTGAAAAATTAAGTGTCTCCATACCAAAAAGTAAACTACTTTCCCCTGACAAACAACAGAACGTAAAATTGCTATTAAGAGATTACTACAACTCTCTCTGCAAACATTTGCTCAAAGATCACAAAGATTTACAAGCCTTCGAGAGGCAAAACCGTAAAATTTTACAAACAAGGGGCGAGCTAAGTACCGAGAGGAAAGAAAAGTTAGAGGCCCTCCAGCTTTCTTATGAGCGAATCTCAACAAATGTTCAAAGTTTCTCAGAAACACTGGACGAGCCAATGATGGAGTTGCCCATGGACATTGAAGTCAAAATGGAAACTGAGGAGTCGTTCAAGACAAATGTCGAAGGCGACGAGTGTACAATAATCGAAGACTTGTGGGGCGACGAGGAAACGAGAAGATTCTACGAAGTTTTGCCAGATTTGACAGTCTTCTTGCCTGGCTCCTACTTGAAGGAAATCGTCAAACAAGACCCACCGATAACTGAGGAGACTCTAGACGAGGAATTAACATTCGACGAGTTGGAGGAAATCGAGAAAGTGGACGAACCCGAGCAGGAAGTCGAAGAACCTCAGACGTCGAACATTAGCAACAAAATTCTCTTGGACGCTTTTTTCACTCACCTTCCGAACTGCGTGAATCGGGAGCTGATTGACAATGCCGCAGTGGACTTTCTCATGAATCTCAATACCAAGCACAACAAGAAGAAGTTGATTAAAGCCCTTTTCGGCGTCTCGCGTATTCGTCTAGATTTACTGCCGTTCTACTCGCGGCTCGCGGCCATTCTCTACCCCGTCATGCCGGACGTTGCCAACGACTTGTGTCTCATGCTGAAGCACGACTTTAAGTATCACGTGCACAAGAAGGACCAAATTAACATTGAATCTAAAATAAAGGTTGTTAGGTACATTGGTGAACTCGTGAAATTCAAACTCTACTCGAAAATCGAGGCTTTGTATTGTTTAAAAGTCTTGCTGCACGACTTCACACATCATCATATTGAAATGGCTTGTAATTTATTGGAAACTTGCGGGAAGTTTCTCTTTTGCTCGGCAGACTCGCATCAGAGGACGAAAATTTATTTGGAGCAAATGATGAGAAAGAAGGCTGTAACTGCTCTTGATTCTAGGTACGTGACTATTATTGAAAATGCCTATTATTTCGTGAATCCTCCTGAATCCACCGGTGGCATCACGAAAAAGGAAAGACCTCCGATCCACGAATTTATCAGGAAACTCTTGTATCAAGATTTATCGAAAACCAATACTGATAAAGTTCTCAAATGGATGAGGAAACTGGACTGGGAGAATGATGGGATATCTTCCTATGCTGTCAAATGTTTAACTGCTGCCTACAACGTCAAGTACTTGAATATAAGGTATTAATTTTATTTTTACATTACGGTCTGTTTCAGCGTAAATCTAAAACTCAATTATATCGAAATACTGTTTGATTGCTTAGATGCGTGGGAAGTCTGCTAGCAGGACTTGTGGCCCACTACGAAGCTGTTGGACCCTACGTCGTCGACGGAGTGTTGGAGGACATTAGAGTGTGCATGGAAGTGAATCTTCCCAAATTTAACCAGCGTCGCGTCGCCATGGTCAAATATCTCGGAGAACTCTACAACTATCGAATGGTGGAGAGCGGCGACATATTCAGAACTCTCTATCTTCTCATAACTTTCGGAGTCAGCTTGGAGCAAGGCGCCCCAAGCATTCTCGACCCTCCTGAGCATCTGTTCCGCATCAGACTTGTCTGCACTCTCCTCGAGACTTGTGGGCAGTACTTCAGTGGCGGCTCCAGTAAAAAGAAACTCGACTATTTCCTGATTTTCTTCCAAAACTACTACTGGTTCAAGCGCACAGATCCCATGTGGAATGCCGAGAATCCCTTCCCAGTCGACATCGATTACATGTTTCGCGACACTCTCGCCATGTTGAGGCCGAAAATGCAGCTGTTCGAAAGCTACAAAGAAGCTCAAGTCGCTATTGAGGAACTTCGGAATACTTTGTACCCTTCCCTCGTCGCGTCTATAAAAAGAGACCAGCAGTATGGACAAACCGAGATGGGAGTGATTCCCGAGGCTGATGAGGAAGCATCGCCTGCTCCGAGGAACGGCAGCGGCGATGCGAAAGGAATGGTCGAGCTGCACTTCGAGGAGTCTGAGGACTACTCCGAAGGTCAGTCGGACGACGAGTGGGACGTCGACGCCGAGAGAGACGAGAACTTGGGAACTCAAGAAAACACCCAAGGCGATCAGAGTCTGTCCGAGGGGTGCAACGACGTGGCCATGATGGATTCCTCGGAATTGAACGCGGCCCTTCCGTCAGGACCCAAAAGAGTCAGTTGTCCAGAGGATGACGACTTCCTGTCAGCCCTCGACAAAATGGTGTCCGACAATATTCAAGACAGAATGCGGGACTCGGTGAAACCACAGCAAGTTGATATTTCCGTTCCTCTTCACGTTCGAAGCACAAAGAAAACCTACGAACAACTACAAGAAGTTCCCACGGACAACACGACTGTTGACTTTGTTCTCATGTTGAGAAAAGGAAACAAGCAGCAGTATAAAAATCTAGCAGTGCCCGTTTCTTCCGAGCTAGCAATGAACTTACGAAATCGGGAGCAAGAACAAAAGGAAGAAAAGGAACGAGTGAAGAGATTAACCCTCAATATCACCGAACGGCAAGAGGAGGAAGACTATCAAGAGACTATTAATCAAGGAACTCGACCAGTCACTGTCAACTTGAACAGAGAAAGGCGGCAGAAGTACAACCATCCGAAAGGAGCTCCCGATGCAGATCTTATTTTCGGACCCAAGAAAATCCGCTGAATTGGGAATAATTTAAAAAAACCCAATCGTAGAATTAATTCTATCTAGGAGAGTAATTAGAACTAACTTTACGTTGTTATCTTATTTACTTGTTATGTATGACAAACTTGTGATAATGTAAATATCTATTCTGATAAAATTTTGTTAAAGGAGCGAAATTTTTTTTTAAATTGCCTTTAAATTCAGAGTATTATGTTTGTATATTTTCAGAATAATTTTTGTATAATCAGATGTATATTGAAAGGGTAATATTTTAGAAACTTTATATTTTGATGGAATAAAATTAATTTACATTGTTTCTTCACCTGAAGCAGCTTAGACTCCAAAGAGCTAAAATGGTGACACAACGTGAGAAAGGAAGTTAAGTGAAAAAAGTCTATTACAATTTTTTCAATTTTTATTGAAACCATTTAGGAAATAAAATAAAATGCAGTGCGCCTTTTATATTCATTGGGTGTACGTACAAAGTTTAATTTTATAAACTTGCTTGAAAATAAAAATTTTTTAAGACCTCGATAAAAGTTTTGTTAATAAATTTCCGACCTGTGAAATGTATCCATTATTTCAAGGATCAAAAATTAGTTTTAAAAATGAAAAAAGTTAACCTCAAGGTTTTGGAGCTGCTGATTACGAATAGTTTCTTTTTACATTTTTTCGGAATTTCTAAATTAAATTATTTAAAACATCAATATTTTTTGTTAAACAAAAATTTAGAAACTTATTTCTATATTTATTTTTCCACAGAAATTAAAACTTCAAATAATTTCAACGAAGAACCTTTTGAAATTTAACTATTTCTAAAAATTGCAACTGTAATTTTTTTTAGAATTCCTATTACAATGCTTTAAAATTTCAATAAATTTTTTTAAATCAATTTCTATTAGAATTTAACTACGAGAATTGAATGATTTAAATCGAATAATTTTTGTAAATTCATAAAATAATGTATTTTAAAAAATAAAATTATATATTTATAAATAATTTTTGAAGATAAATAAATAAAATTCCTTAAAGTATAAAATCTTACAAAATTTCAAATTCTTTCAATTTTTTAAAAATTTTATGAAATGAAAAATTATTTTATGACTATTGAATTCCTCTCAAAAAATTACTATAAAAACTTAAAGAATTTTTATAAATGTATTTTTATATTTTACTAAACCGAATCGTTGAAAAAATATAAATAAGCGATCAAGCATCAAGTTTGCACTGCAAGTTTTGGTAACAAGAAGCTAAGATAGAGAGGTGTATAAAAAATTCATAGAAAGGAAAAACTGTTAAAATGTCGTAATTTATTTAAGCGCTGTTACATTGTCTAACTAGAAGTAATTGAAATTTCGCAGAAGATATGATCATTTTTCTTTATTTTTCAAGCATTAAATGTTGAATGATACACTTTTTTTTAAAAAAAGGAATGAACCTAACACGAGTTAAAGTTAAGCTACACTTAACATATTTCCCTTGCTTTGAAAATTCTGGTTACTCTAACAGAAACTCTAATTTTAAATAGAAAACTTTAAATATTAAAAACTATAAACAATATTTAACAGAAACTTTAAAGTTTGGTTAAAGAAACCAAAATTTTATTCAAAACCTAAGAAGACTAAAATTTGTGATTACATCAACCGTAATTTATTCTAACTTTGAAAATTGAAACTAGTTATAATAAAACCTACAATTTGAAAGTTGGAGGGAAAAAAGAAAACTAGCTTAACTTGAATCCCATTAATATCAACTAAACACGTCTTTCGCCGTGAATTACGTAGAATGCAAAAGATAATAATTTATTAACAAAAAGTGTATTGAGCAAAAGTTGTAGTTTGAAATATCAATTATACTGAATTTGTAAACTATTTCATAGTAGACAATTAAAGTATATTCGAAAACGAAACAATCGCATTTTGCCTTAAAATATTCCATGTAAATATTTGATAAATTACAGAGAACAATCGTACAAAAAGGAAATTAATTCTATTTTCAGAGATGAGACTGTGTATCAATATCACGTTCATTCGAAACTATTAACTAAGCATTGCGCGGTGTAAATTATTCATAAAAAGAGTTGTTTACAATACATATAAAAATCTAAAAAATTTTGTGTCTTGTTCAAACATAGTTTTTTTCTCTTTTATCTCAAAAATGAAGTTCATTTTGAAAAAGCCAGTGATTGATTAATATAGATAAATGCGTTATGATTATTGTGATATAATGAGTATTTTTAAAAACTATCTTGCCTGGGGGTTCTTAAATACATATAGAAAATTTCCCAGAATCTTTTTGATCAGTTCTTTTTTTTTGTTTAGTGCATCGAGTTTCTCAACGGAAATAACTAAACAACACCGTTGGACGGTGCAAAATTATTTATTCTTTTTTTTACCTAAAAATAAGCACGTACAAAATTAATATAAATAAAGTTTCGTGTTTTTGAAATGTGTGGAGTGTTCTATATATTGTACCACGTTTCCAGTGAAGAGATTATTATTTGCAAAGAAATGAGTTTGGTATTTGTGTTAAAATAAATAAACCTACTCCAACAAAATGCAAAAATCATCAACTGTTGTGCTTGCACTTCAGTTTTTAAAGACCTTCTTCTGCATCTTCAAATTGACCTGCTTCAACGTCCATAGCTTCTTCTGCTTCGACTCCATTGTGATTCTCTCCAACCGTTTCTGCAAATTTAGTCAGAAGTGAGTATACTATTACAGAAAAAAAAGGTATTAGATATAATGTTTTTCTGCAAATTTAAAAAAAAAATTTGGACCTAGCTCTAAAGGGGTGGGAGAAAATTTTATTTAAAAAAAAATCCCGAACATTTGTTTATTAATACACTAGCCAAACTATCCGCGCGCAAGCGCGCGGGAATGTTATATGGGGCTGCTTATTTTAAACAATTAAAAAATTTTAAAGAAATAATTATTATAACCTAACAAAGAGATTTAACTAACTAAAATTTAAATAATTTCACTCAATGGTCTCAATTTAAATAGAATTTACATTACTAGACTTAAACTATGGCTAGAACAATTACAATTAGTATCTGGGTCATCTTTTGCATTGCTTATTTTATAAAGCCATTTTAAATTAAATACTTTTCAAAGAAATAATAATTATTACACAATGAAAAAAGTTTTACTTGAAATAGCGATAAGTTTCTCTAGAATAACGAAAGTATTAATTGAAGCACTGAAAAATTTCGCTACTAAAGTGAAATCTGTAGTTCATCCAGCTAAATATTTTTTGCCGTGCATAACGAAAAAAGAATTAAATTAACATCAGATTTTCTACATTCAAAAAAAACGAATTCAAATAGAAATTAATCATTTTACAACTTAACCAAATTCACCCCAGAAATCACTGAATTCGATAATTTAGAAGAAAGTCAGACAAAAGCAGGGTTCCTACAGAATCTGGAAATCATGGAAATGGTATGGAATTTTTAAAAGGCTTCTGGAAATCAGGGAAATCATGGAAAAGGCCTGGAATTTTTAAAAGTTTCTAAATTTTTTCAGTTTTTCATTTTTTCTCTTGAATAAAAATTTAAATAATAATAAAGCTAAATGGCATAAAAGACAAAAAAAAATGTTGAATTTTAAGCAATTCGATTTTTCGGATTTTTGATAATTTTTAATAATTTTTGATTTTTTACCAAAGAGTCGAGACAATTTAAAAAGTAAAGTATTTTCCAAAAGCACAAAAATAATAAAGCTAAATCCCATGAAAGAGAAGAAAAAATGTTGAATTTTAAGAAATTTGGATTTTTGAATTTTTTCAAATTTTTGATAATTTTAGATTTTTTACCAAAGAGTCGAGACTATGAAATAATAAAGTATTTTCCAAAAGCACAAAAATAATGAAGCTTTATCCCATGAAAGAGAAGAAAAAATGTTGAATTTTAAGAAAATCGGATTTTTGAATTCTTTCGAATTTTTAATAATTTTAGATTTTTTACCAAAGAGTCGAGACTATGAAATAAGTAAAGTATTTTCCAAAAGCACAAAAATAATGAAGCTAAATCCCATAAAAGAGAGGAAAAAATGTTGAATTTTAAGAAATTTGGATTTTTGAATTTTTTCGAATTTTTGATAATTTTAGATTTTTTACCAAAGAGTCGAGACTATTAAATAAGTAAAGTATTTTCTAAAAGCACAAAAATAATGAAGCTAAATCCCATAAAAGAGAGGAAAAAATGTTGAATTTTAAGAAATTCGGATTTTTAAATTTTTGATAATTTTCGATAATTTTAGATTTTTTACCAAAGAGTCGAGACAATTTAATAAGTAAAGTATTTTCCACATTAAAAAGTTTGACATTAAAAAATAAAAAATGCCAATACTTAACCCACAAAATTTAATTTTCAAAACAAACAAATGAATGCAGATAATTTGCTAACGGAAAGGAACATACGATTATTATAATGTATTAAGTATTTATAATAAAGGACAATATAAACTCAACAATATATAAATTCAACATTACCTGCAGATAAAATGTATGGAGGTGCATCGCCAGCACAATATTCAAATTCATCTTCTTCTGCATCCTCGTAAATATCTTCTTCGGCTAAGCAAAAATTAATTCATTAAAATTTTCTATTCAAACATAAATATTTTAATTGTAATAGGCTTAGTTTTGAATTGAAAATTTACCATCTGAACAACTGTCTTGTGGATCTCGATGAAGTGACTGGCATTGGCTCATTGCTTGGAACATAGCGTCTAGATTATTTGTATTGTCAGGTGCAAACCTCATTTCTGTCATGGGTCCATCTGAATCATCGTCGTCGTCGTCATCTGAGTTGCTTTCAGGGGTTTGGGCCTCGTCTGATTGAGAAAATTCACATTCTTTTTGTTACGAAAATTCGTTTAGAGAAACAAGTTATTTTTTATTTTACAAATCTCTGCAAAATGTTGAAATAATAATGAAATAATAACGAAGAATTACCTGGAAGATCTACTTTGGCATCTACCATCACATATAGACACTGTCGAGGATGAACCGTGTCGTCCCGTGAAATCGCATGAAGGGAGATGTGAGGATACTCCAAGGAGAATCCCTGCCGTGTATCATTTTTGATCCAGGAAAGAACGCTGTCAATTAATTATTTATTTTAGTTGCTTTGCCAGCTTTACTTTAACCAGTCTTGAAATATTTCGCGACTATTTTAAACGAAAACATCCATTTTTGGAATGAAAGCTTGTTGAAGACTTGAAAATTAATTGGGTAAATCTTGTTCAACTCAAGTCCTTCTTAATTACTATTTAGAGAATTAATAAAAGCTTTTGTTGAACACACCTTTCAGTGATGTAAAGAGTCCCTTTTCCAACCTCTCTGTCATTAATGTATAGAGTTGTGTGCTCTTCTTCGTGTCGCACTCCCTCCTCTGGAGCCAAAAAATTACTAAGCACCACCATTCTTCTATCTGCAATATCAATTACATTCTTCTCTTATATATGAATGATATCTTAAATAAATTATTAACATGCACTTAATTAAGATTACTGCTTAAATATCCAACTATACATTGAGTATAGGTCATCAAATCTCTGAATATTCTAAAAAATTCTCTAAAAATAAAGAAACTGATGAGTAAAGTAATAAATATTGATAATTTATTATACACATTATGTATGTATACCTCTATAATTATTAATAGTTATTTACATCACACAGTAAGGGTCGGTTAACCTATGATTAAATCCTTAACCAACTAATCGTGAGCAGTTAAACTGGCTTTAATCATTGATTAACTTTTAATCGAGGCTCTAAGTCAGTAGACAAATTTTTGTAATCGATGCTTAGCTAGAGCTTTGCATGAGGATACTCATACAAAGCATCGATTTAGAAATATTTGCCTCTTGTGGACTAAATTTTCTAAAAATTAGAATTTTGATACTTAAGGACATGTTCCTGCTATATATGAGGAAAAAATTGCTTACGTCAAACGACAATTACCAACCATTTTAATCAAAATTAAACAACAAGCTACATAACATTATTTACTTAAATTTAAAAATGTCTTACGAAATATTGAAAATATAAAAATGTGTTGGTGTCTTGGTTTGACACCATCATCAGGTAACTTTATTAAACAATGAAGTATTTTTTAACAATTATTAAATTTCAAATAAAATAAAGTTATAATTTTTACAAAAACAAATAAATAAAACAAAATTAATATCTACCTGGTAATTTAAAAAAAATTATTATTAAAATAAATTAAATTATTATTATTATTATTATTATTATTATTAAATTAAATTATTATTATTATTTAAATAAATCATTTGTTACATTTGCAACGCGTCTCGAATAGAATAAAATTAAAACGAATAAGTTAAACCAAAATAATAGAAATAAAATTATTCTTTCAGTCTTCTTAATAGAGGAAAATAGGTATTACTTAGAAATTATATATCTTCTTTCTTATTGATAAGTATATAATCGTTAAATTTTGTATGTAGCATTTCAGAAATTAATCGTTTTTAATAATTTTATTCTAAATCTACAATTTTAACTTCATCGACATTGAAAGAATAATTAAGTGTAGTTTGATGTTCATTAACCGTAGATTCAATTTTTTTGTTTTTATACTGTTATTCTTGTTGCCCGGTTGAAAATTCATGTACATGAGTATGCGCATGATCTTATGCATGACATGCGCATGTTTTTGGCGCATGTACCATGTCAAGACTTCTTGTACCGTTCAGTCACATGTTAATTTAACAATATGTAAATTCCCCTTTTACATTGATGTTTAAGTAAAACAAAAAGTAAAAACTAGAACCTGCGAAGTATTTAAGATTATAAGTTTATATGTAATTTCTACAAATTTTCAATAAAGAAGATTCCTGACGAATGAACATATACGTGATCCTATTCATGTTCATGTATATGATTTATGAGTTCAAAATTTTGCACACATAAACATGTACATGGTACATGCACAAAAAAACGCAGATGTTCATGTACATGAATTTTCAACCGGGTGGAAAGGCAAACAAGTACTGTCAAAATTTTAAAAAAAGTTCTTATTTTTATTTATGCATAATTTTCAATTTGCAAAAACTTGACTGGGAGAAATCGATAAACTCAATTAAATTATTTAATGAATTAAAAAAAAGTATATCAAAAACCAAATAACCGGTATTTAAAAAATATATAGTTACTTGTACAAAACTCGGCTTTTAGTGAAAACAGGTTTTTTTGTATAGGCCTAATTTTTCAGAACACCTATGAAAATTATTGTTATTTTTATTTTATTTTTACTCTTACTGCAAAACAGAAATGTAAAACAATTTTTTGTTACTTTCCAAGAAAACAATTATTTATTGAATAAAGTGAAAATTTTGATATTTGAGTAAATTATTAAAACTTTGATATCAAACTAAAGATTTTTTTTTAATTTTTTATATAAACTTCTCGCGCGCTTTTACATGTCAAAACACAAGAAATTTATGACACATTTTATTTAAACGATTTAAACTATTATGAATGAATCAATTACTTGAATTATGAATGGAATTGATAAATGTGTAAAACCTTTTTTACTATTAAAACTAATGGATAGTTATCTGCAATACCTCGAACATTAAAATAGCAGGATAAGTCGACATTGACAGAAAGCTATTTGTTTACAAGTACCTAATAAAAGTTCATTTTCAATTTCCCGGAAATTAGTCTCAGTTGACCTAACCCATTTCAACAAATCACCAATCATATTTTTCAAGTGAATATTAAATACAAATGCAGTTCAAACAATTAAATATTTTAAATATCGAACAAAATGAAAATTTATAGTCACTGTTTCAATTAAAGTTCATATAAGTGTGTATAAAATAATGTTGTAAAATTAAATTCGCTTAGGGACGACTTGATTATATAAAGTTAAAAAGAGTTAATTTTTATTTAACAATATGAGAAACGAAAAGATCTTAGGTTCTACTTTCGGTAAAACTACAACCACTTATTGGAGGGACATGACACTCGTCGAGAAATATCATTTTCTGTACAAGAAAGCAATAGTCAAATAACACTTTAAATTATAAGTTACATTTACTTTTTGGCACTTTCAGAATTACTAACAATTGTAGAAGAATTATAGACCGATATTAATTGTATTGGAAATTTTCATAAACAGATTACTTGACAAGCCTCCAATAAGTGTGTTAAATGTATTATTATTGCGGATTACTTTACATCACTCAAAATCACTGTTAACTCTTGTTGATTAAATGACTCCTCTCTTTAATAAATCACAGCACAACACCACTGTTAACAATTTTAATGATAATGAGTTTAAAAAATCCTAAAAGAATCAAGCTGCGCACTGTTATATGTATATTTTATTTCAAGTAGACTAAAGACTAGTGACAGGAGGAGAAACTCGAACGTTGGCACGATGTAAAGGAAAGAAGAAGGTAAACTCTATCAACTATCACAGTGATTAAAATCCACTTCTCAATTAAAGTAGAGCATCCGAAATGTAAAATTTCCGCAAAAATTTTTATGGATCAATTACAAAATACGCAATGTGAAAAACGTTGCGGCATTCCGGTTAATTTCGACGGAAGTGAAACTGTAACCTGAACAAGAGGAGAAGAACCAAAAAGAACGTGTGAACGCAATTTTATTTTGGTTGTTCTGAACTTCCCCGCCGTGGGAAGGTGTATATGTCAACAATTATTTTGTTATAATTAATCAGCAATATTGTTTGAATATAAAAGTTAAAAAGTACAATGACAACTGAAAGAGACTATGCACCGTTGAGTGCAGCTTGTGTCCGATCTCTCAGTGACAAATTATATGAGAAAAGAAAAGCTGCTGCTCTGGAGATAGAAAAGTAAGGTTATATGTCATATATCTATAATCTGTAAAATACAAAAGTTTTACATGTTTTTAATTCTAATGCGAGTTTTTTGAGAAAAGTAGAAAATAGATTTGTTGGCAAAAGTGATATTAAAAATTATATTTATTTAATTGTTCACAAATTTTTTCTTTTAATTATTGCTTTCTAAAAGAGCAAACTGGAAGGAGTGAAGTTGTTTACAGATCAGAAAGTTCAGTGTATCCAACCTTGATGAAATATAAACTCTTTCAGTCCCATAATTAAGGGGATGTCAGGGTACAGTCATGAGTAGAAAGCGTAAAGGTGCTTCTATACCTCCGCCCTCCGGTGGATTGGTCAAGCAATCGGCTTGATGAATTTTCACGGTCGGAAAATGTACTTTCATGGCGGGTATTTTTGAATAAGTAAATGTTGAAAAGGTTTTTACTTGAAAATTTATTTAAAAAAATGATTTTATCATAGAAATTTTTTTGAAAGTAATGTTAAAAAACATGTTTTATTTCAAAAGTTATCAAATTTTAATTCAAAATGTTTTAATTTTCCAAAGAAGTGTAAAAAGCCTAATGTTTTTGAAATGCTAGTACAGACGGTACAGACTGTTTGTTATGAATGTACATAACCTAGCGTTGTGTTGTCTGTTCATTATTATTTAATATAATAATAATAAAATCATTAAATTTAGAATATAATAATATCACAAGCACGACAACACAACGCTAGGTTATGTACATTCATAACAAACAGTCTGTACCGTCTGTACTAGCATTTCAAAAACATTAGGCTTTTTACACTTCTTTGGAAAATTAAAACATTTTGAATTAAAATTTGATAACTTTTGAAATAAAACATGTTTTTTAACATTACTTTCAAAAAAATTTCTATGATAAAATCATTTTTTTAAATAAATTTTCAAGTAAAAACCTTTTCAACATTTACTTATTCAAAAATACCCGCCATGAAAGTACATTTTCCGACCGTGAAAATTCATCAAGCCGATTGCTTGACCAATCCACCGGAGGTATAGAAGCACCTTAAAAAAAGCAGAAAATAATGAGTGCAAGAGAGAAAGGCTGATATCAGTGCCTCTCTCACTCTCACGTTTTTCTGCACTCGGTTTACGTTTTCTGCTGACGGAACAAAGCAATGGAAAAATCGCATCGACGTTGACAGATGATTAAAAAATTCGATAAATATCAGATTTTTGAAAATCAAAATGGATTCAATACGGCGGAAAATGAAAATAAGGAGGTTCTCTCGCAAATAGAAATAACAGACAGTTTTTGATAAAACTTTAAATATTGCTAGATATTGATTTAAAAAAGATGTAGTTTTTTAGAGACCTAAGGTACTTTTATACACTAGTTTTTTATAATTAAAGCTAAATAACTGATTATCATATATTTATACTAAAAAAATGACTAATTAGTTATGAAAGTCAAAATTAATTATTTTGTAAAAACAGAGAATACGCAACAAAACTCATGACAAAGAGCATACGAAGTACATTTAATATTTAAATAATATTTAGGACCAGATATCTTTCAATGTAGGAAGACAGAGTTCGGAAAATTTAGTTGATGTAGTCCACGCGTAGATTGAAAAACTTAATGTAGAATTAATTATTTTTCATCTTATCTTTTTAGGATGGTAAAAGAATTTTCTGCCCACAATAATACGTCACAAATAAAACGCCTGTTAAAAGTATTAGGTCAAGATTTTGCAACCTCTCAAAATCCTCACGGTCGAAAAGGAGGTTTGATTGGACTTGCAGCCATAGCTGTCGGTCTCGGTAAAGATGCCGGCCAATACACAGAGGACCTGATTCATCCAATTCTTGCATGTTTCTGTGATCCCGATCTTAGAGTTCGATACTATGCTTGCGAAAGTCTTTACAATGTTGTCAAAGTTGCAAGAGGAGCCGTTTTACCACAATTCACAGATATTTTTGCTGCACTTAGCAAACTGGCATGCGATTCCGAACAAACTATTAAAAATGCCACTGAACTTTTAGATAGATTAATGAAGGTATTAAAACTTATTCCTTATTTTGGCAAAGGTATCCGAGTTTAATTTTAATTTTTAACATTGAATATCACACAATTTAAAGAATTAGAGACAATTTTTAAGTAATTATATTGTTTAGGACATTGTAACTGAAAGTGGAATGTTTGACTTGGTTGGATTTATGCCTTCGCTGCGTGAACGTATTTACACGAAAAGTCCTTTCGGTAGACAATTTGTCATTTCCTGGGTGTCGGTTTTGGACGCAGTGCCTGAAATAGATTTCATTATCTTTCTGCCAGAAATTCTTGATGGTTTGTTTAAAATACTTGAAGATCCAGCGCCTGAAATAAAAAAAATCACCGATACGGTTCTTGGGGAATTTTTACGGACAATTAAATCCAATTCATCGCGAGTAGATTTTTCTGGCATGATAAATATTCTCATCACTCACGCACAAAGTACAGATGACCTTTTACAGTTGACAGCAATTACGTGGATAAAAGAGTTTGTCAATTTATCTGGTCCTTTAATGTTGCCTCATGTTTCTGGAATATTGACAGCAGTTTTGCCATGTTTAGCCTACGACGTTGACACGAGGAAGAACATTAAAGAAACAGCCACGCAAGTTAATGTTAATCTTATGAAATTAATAACTATTGAGTCTGTTGATGTGTCGACTAGATCACTTCACTTGAGTGAACATGCGAAAGAAGAAAACGTTTCAGGTGAATTAATCAGTACACTTTACAATCTGTGCTCCATTTGAAAATCCAAAAACTTCGTTTCTAGCATTAAACATTTCTATAATATTTTTACAGGTGACAAAACCCAAAATCGTCATCTAATTGACAGTTTAAAACTGTCAAGTGTCGTGGAAGTTCTTACCAAGCACCTGATGCACACATCAGTTCAAACGAAAGTAGCTGTTTTAAAATGGATACATCACTTATTTACGAATATTTCTGATAAAATGTTCCACCATTTAGATGATCTGTTTCCTGTTTTAATGCGCACCTTGAGTGACAGTTCAGACGAAGTGGTGCAACAGAATTTAGTAGTTTTAGCCGAAATAATTGGTTCGAAATATCCTGAATCGACAACTGGAAAGTCAGATTCATCTGTACAAAATAAGTATTTTCCAAAGTTTATTATTAATTTATTAAGATTATTTTCAACTGACAGACATCTTCTGGAAGAAAGGGGTGCTTTTATAATAAGAGAATTATGTGTATTACTGAGTGCGGAAAATATTTATAAAACTGTGGCAGAGATTTTGTTGGAGGAACAGAACTTGAGGTTTGCTGGCCTGATGATTCAAACGTTAAATGTTATTCTTTTGACTAGTTCCGAACTATTTGAATTACGAAACAAATTAAAGGATTTAGATTCAGAGGTAAAATAATTGGCTTTCCTAAAAGTAATAACGAAATTATCTTTTTGAACTTTTTGTTCTTTTATTTATAACTTTTCAGGAAAGCTGCAAATTATTCATCTGTCTGTATGAATCCTGGAGTCACAATCCAGTAGCAACTGTGTCTCTCTGCCTTTTAACGCAAAATTACAGCCATGCTTGTGAACTAGTCAAAGCATTGTATCCTTTCTTAAGTTTGTAGCAATACTTTTACACTAGTATTTAAGGTTTTAATACATATGAAAAAAACCTTCATAAATTATAATGACCTTAACTTAGTTATACAGTGGGAACATTGAAGTAACTGTGGAGTTTTTAACCGAAATTGACAAATTGGTGCAACTTATCGAATCCCCAATATTTACATGTAAGTATAAATATCTAAGTCATAATAATTTAACTTAGACTAATTGCAATGTGATTAACAATTCTTAAAAATTGTCAGATGTCCGACTAGAATTACTAGAAAGAGAGAGAAACGAATCCTTGGTGCATGCTCTGTATGGACTTTTAATGATACTTCCACAAAGCGAGGCGTTTGATACATTGCATCGACGATTAGCGGCAATCCCTCCAAGCTTCAATCCTGTATCTAGGACAAAGAACGTTTTACGAGGAGAAGATTTTAATAAACACAATATTGATTTTAAGAGACTATTAAACCACTTCATTGGAGTTCAAGAAAGGCATAAAGAACAAAAGCACAAGTTAAAAATTAATATGCTGACGGACAGGGAATCTACTTTTACAGATATATTATAATTTACATTGAAGAAAACTAGAACTAATTCTTTGTTTTCTTCCTTGTCCCTCTGTGAGTAGGGGACTTCAGCGGAATAACATAACTAATTTCATTATTATTTGCTATTGTTTAGAAAACTTGAAATTTCTCTGGGAAATGTGTTTTTTATAAATAGCTAAGGGATAAGTTGTGACAAAGCCGTAGTTATTAAAACGACACTTCAACTTTTGGAGCTACATAATAAATGAGTAATATTAATGCAACATTACTGATAAAAAATTGTTTATAATTATAATAAGATTTATTCAAGTAAGAATTTCTTATACTGATTCAATTGCATATTTTTGCCCAATGGAGAAAATGGCCGCCATTTTCATACAGTCGAACAAATGAATGACTTTACTCCCTGTTGTCAGCTATCTAAAAGCACCATTTTTTGTGCATGTGGGATAAAAAAGAAATTATAACATTAAATGTCATGCAAAAGTTATCTAAAAACAAGCAGAAATTATGGTAACCGTAACTATGGTTATACCGTTTCCTTAGCAACCGTTGCCATGGTTACAATTTCCATAGCAACTGTTGCTATGATACGAATACAGTAGCTTTGTTACAACACACCCCAGTAAACGAAAACTAATTGAAATGAATTAAAAAGAATTCACAAAGAGCTTTCGTGAATCCCGCTTTGTGACAAATACGAATTGGAGCCATGATGCAATTTTCCTGAATTCGTGAAACTGTATTGAACTTCCGAACCTTCTATCCGTACCAATTCACTGGACAAGTTTTGAGCCTTTAATTTTTTTCAATTCGTTAGCACGAATTCAATGCATTCCTTGGCCATTTCTTTCGAATGCGAATTCGTTTGGACAAATTGGTACATATTGAATTAAATTCAATTGAATATACAAAGAGCTTGAGTGAATCCCGCTTTGTGACAAATACGAATTGGAGCCTACCAAAAATGTTAATTCGTTTCAATTCATTTGAATTAGTTTTTTTTTACTGGGACCCTCCAACTAGAAAAGTTTATTACTACGATTTGGATATTTATTCATAAATACATAATGATAAACGTATTTTTGCAACACTAATCTTTAAAATTGAATTTTACACACAAAAAGCGATAATTTTTTAAGAGCGTGTAAAATATTGTCATGCCAAAATATTTACTTTTCAATGAGTAAATAAGTAAACTTCAGTGCGTAATGAAATTTTGCCGTTCGTACAGTGACCACATTACGCATTGAATGTTTTTCTTTTTAACGGTGTTCGATGGTCTCTTAAATTTCTCGATAATGTGCGACTAACAGTTATCACCCAACAAATACGGCACTGACCAGTTTAAATGACGTGAAATTGGTAAACATTCATTTTCTAACAAATTTTTCTCTGTTCACAGGCACTTTTTACAAAATATGACAACGTACATTTGTCACAAATGTTTTTAATTACCTGAATTCAAAAGATTTTGTTAATCCATTCAGAAACGCAGTTGCAGGATTGGAATTACCATAGCAATGTAATGTGAATCATTTTGACAGCTGAGCCTTTACGCTCCCTGCATGCTTCTGCCCTCTACTGGCAAAATGGCTGTAACATACGTCTTGCCGCCTGTCATTACATTACTTTTGTAATTCCAATCCTGCAACCGCGTTTCTGCATGGATTAACAAAATCTTTTGAATTCAGACAATTAAAAACATTTGTGACAAATGTACGTTGTCAGATTTTGTAAAAAGTGCCTGTGTGCAAAGAAAAACTCGTTCGAAAACGGTTGTTTACTAATTTCACGTCATTTCAAACAGGCAGTGCCGTTTTTTTTGGGCGATAACTGTAAGTCGCACATAACCTACAAATTTCAGAGACTATCGAACGTTCTTAAGGAAAAATAATGACAAAGTACTTGCATTATGTTCTTTATAAAATAATCGCGAAATACAAAGCTTGATTTTTAAAATTCTAGATCATGTATCATTTGAATGAATAAAATGACATTCCAGTAAATAGAGGTCGTATATACAAAATGATTACAGTAAAATTTAAAAAAAAATTATTTAAATGCCACATTAAATTTTAAATTACTTTCGTTTTTGGCCAGAAAAGCAAATGTCTTGAGATTTTATATTATTGTTTCTACCTTTTTAAGAAAGAGGGTAAGAGGTACAAACTTTAGTGTTTAAAAATTATTTTTATGCAACTAGTTACCAAATAATTAGGAATAAAAAATTTCATTTTATAGTTATTGGAATATTTGCGTAAGCAAATGAAATTGATGAAAGTCGTGTAAACAAATATTTTTATTGCAGTATTAAATATATAATTGAGTATAATTTAAAATGAAAATTATAATGTAATCAAGAAAATGTAAATAAATTGAAAACAATTTTAAGAAAGAAATTTTTTTCTTCATTAAATTTTAGGATTCTATGTCTTTTACCTGTGACTAATTTCTAAATTGAATTATTCAAAAATTAAATATTTTTATTTGAAAATAATGTCGGTTATACTTAATATCAAGACAAATAAAATGCCACTAGAACCATTAAAATTGATCAATAAGTTTTTAAAAAATGAATTAAAATTCAATGCACTTTCTCTCTTAGGCTGGAGTCCCATGATAGCGTTTTGCGTTGCGTTTTGTAACTAGGCAATGAGTGTGAGAGAGATACGCAAAACGCAAAACGCTACCATGGGAGCGTTTTGCGTTGCGTTTTGTAACTAGGCCATGAGTGCAAATAGAGCAAACATATATCTGTATCTCTCTCACACTCATGGCCTAGTTACAAAACGCAACACAAAACTGTGCCATGTGACGGCACCCTTACTCTGAAAAGTTACCATGACAACCGACAGACAGGTTGCACGTTGCAGAGTTGTGCCAGCACCTTTACGTTCTTATATACTTCTATTCTTGTCACACTCATGGAGCGTTTACACCATTTGTAAAAATTGTCTAGAAAGGAAAATTTGCATTGGAGTAAGAGAGTCAGATACACAGTCTGTCTCTCTTATTCCAATGAAAAATTTTCCGTTCGGGAAATTTTTACCGAAGGTGTAAATGCTCCCTTATTATTAACACAGAACGCAAGCATATGAACACAGCCTAATTCTGCAATTAAATCAATTCAAACAATTATGAAATTGTTTAAATAAAGCATGTTTTATTCCTCCGTAGAAAAATAAACATAAACAATTAAAGACACAAGCTAATGAAATTTACTTGTAAATATTATTTATTAAACATTTGAATAACACCGACGAGGTAACATTTCAAGATTACAGGTGCGCTGGATTTCACTCAACTCAACTTCCATGGTGTGACTCGATGGTTAGACCTTTTTTTTATTGGATCGTGCATTTTCAATATTGCATCTAGTCTCAACCCTAGTTTTTTCTAGTTTTTAAGCCGTGTAAACACTGGAAACAGTGTAATCGGTGAAATCAATTTGTTTTATTTTTTTACACTTACAGACAGGCAGTTTTAAACTGTTTTCTGGTGTTATCACGCGTGTATATTTTGTAGTTCTAACGCATTATTAAAAGTGAATTATGCAGTTCGTGTAGTGTATAACCTATATTTAACGGTGTTCGATTTCTTTTTTGCTTCCATTAAGGTACTTGATCTTTATTTTCCTATCAAGCCCTTCAAAGTGTCATAATGTTTTAGAACCAATTTACATACCTATATTGTTTCACGTATCATATTCATAACTCAATTTTTGCAAAACGTACATCGCAACTTTTAACAAGTAGAATCAGTTTGTTTTATTCTTTTTTTACATTTGCAAGCACTTAGAAACTGGTTTTTTTCTGTTATTAGGAATGTATTTTGCAGTTAAAGGTAAATTATGCTGTTCAAATCGTGCATAACCTATAGTTAACGGTGTTTGGTTTTTTTATATTCATACAGAAATGATTCTGTGTTTCCGTTAGCAAATGATTCATTTATTACTCCGTTAGCAAAATTTTAGCGATTCATTTGTCATTGATTGAAATTGGGAGAAATTTAAATTTCGTGACACTTGTACATTTCCCAAAAAGTCTTTTTTTTGTTTTCTTTATTCTTTTCTTTAAAATGTCGGATAGAATAATTGCTCTTTTTGTTATCAAATAATAGCTTCTTTCTTAGCTATAAGTAGTTATATAATTTAAATACTACAAAAAGAAATGTAAATTAATTTTAACAAAGTTGATACTTATTATAAAGTCCATTTTGCACCTTAGTTACGGGTTGTGAATTCGATTTTTATTTATTTCGTTCATAAGCAGTAATTTAGGTAAAGACTAATTATCTATTTTGCAAATGGACTATTTTGAATAAATTTCGTCATTATTTTGCAATCTTGTTAAAGATGGACAACTAATTTAAAAATTTATAAGATTAAAATCATTTTTTAATTAAACATTTTTTCGTATAAAATACTACGGCAACTACGGTATTAGATATAAAATATTTAACATGCTTGAAGTCAAAAGTTGATTTTTATTTAAATTTTAATTACTCTATACTTAACCATTTATAAATCAAATAATTCGATAAATTAAAAGTTCCATATAAGTAATAAAATTCATAGAAAATTCTAAAATACTTTATTCTGGACAGTATTCAGTTACAATTTGCAATAATTTCATGCAATCCAACTTAAAATTTTAAAGAGCTTTTTTTCAATTACCATGTTGATAAGCTTATTGATATTTATAATATACATTTTTTGCAGATGAAAGGAAGGAAAACAATTCATCTTTAAGGATAATGTCTTAATAATCTCAACTTTCATTATGGAATCATCTTTGACAAGCAAAGTCCTGCGAGCTCCCAGTTTAAAGAGAGGCCAGGAAAATGTAAAAGTCCAAGATAGGGTAAGTCAAACGTTTTCCTGATATTTAAAATTAATGCAATCAAGTGTTGTGGCATTTGGTCTATTAAGAAAAAACTCAATCCAATTTTTACTTAATAGAACAAAGGCTGCAATGCTTACCATTACACTTCATATTAATATTAAAATTTTTATATCGATTTACACTTTCTATTTAAATGAAAATTCTATGTACCGATCAAATTCGAGCGCTATTAATTTTTGTTTAGTTTAGACTAGTGTCTTCTTATCGTACGGATTATGTTTCAAAAATGTCTCCATTTATTGTTATTGAACGCTTTGTTAAGACGTACATTCATTTGAAATTACAAGTAATAAATGGGGCTTTCTTACCTTTAAACGTTTTACCAACAAAAGAAGATCGCAAAGATAATTTTCGCAATAAAATTTATTATATGTGTAAAAATGAAATTATTTATAATTGTTATACA